AATAAAGCAACTTTAAAGAATTTCTTAGCTGAAATTTCAGGTCTAATATTTGCATATTGACCATCAAACTGGTTAGAATATCGTGGTAATCCATCCGGTCCCTCTTCAACAGCATTTAATTCTTCATTGAAATAAGAATATGGATTACCACGATATGAATTAATTGGACCATTTTCACCTTCTCTAATGTATTGTTTAACAGCTTTTCCATTTTCATCAAATTGCATAGGATAACGTTCATTATATGCTTTACGTTTAGGATAATCAGTTATAGTTAATTTATAACCATTTATGACTTTAATATTACCTTGACCATCAGTAACGAAAACTTCATTTATACCATCAGGTTTTCCATTTGGACCCGTAATGTCTGCTTCGTGTGCTTCCCAATTTGGACCTTGACGTTTGGCATATGCTTGAGCTTCTGGTAATGTTAAAACGTTTCTCATTTGTTTAACATCTTTTTGAAGACCAGCAACAATATGAACTAATTCTTTCATTCCATCAGGAACTTTCATAGTTCTATTATATGCACCCCTTTTGTTTGTCCCTTGTTTTAATGGAACCTGTAGAAGATTTACCATTTCTGTCATGTTTAATTATAAATAAAAAATAAAAATTAATTATAAAAAGTTAATCAAATTTAACACTTCCTTTATTTAAATCAACTATTATTTTTCCATGTTCACCTAATTGCTGATATTGTGTGTAAAGTTCATTAATGCTCATTGGTAGATTCACTTGATAAAGCATAACGTTCAACTGTTGACGACTAAACCCACTGAAAATGAAAAGGGTTGATAGATTTGATTTAATGTTTGTGCTTAATGCTTTGAAGTATTGAACAGCCATGAAGAATGAACACTGAATGTGTCGACATTGAGTTAATAACTGATTAAAATATGATTTCTCATTTGTTATTAGTTTTGATTTCACTGCATCATCTAGAAAAATGAGTGAATGCAAAAATTCTCTATCAAAATTTGAAATAGAAAGTGTTTCAAATAATTCATCTCGTTGTTTATCAATAATTTTATCCTCTAATCCTTGCTTCTTGATTGTATTATATAATTCTTTATACATTAAAAAGTTTTTTAAATAATCTTCTGCTTCTTCTTGTGATAAATAAATAATTGGAATTTTGATTAAATGCTTTAAAGATTCAAATGTATCATCTGAAGGTGAACCTGAACGGTTGATATAAATTAACACGTGTGAATAGGGGGAAGTGTTAGCAATAATGATAATTTGTTTTAATATCGTTAATGTTTTACCTTTATTTTGTTTACCAATTGCTGCAGTGATTGAATTTAAGTAACATTCAGAATATGGAATTTTCATTAATTTTTCCTTAGATAGAGCATTTCTATTATCACTCAATGCTTCATTAATCATATCATCTATGTATGTATTATATACTCCTGCTAATTCTTCATAAGGGGTGGATGAATTTAAATCCATTTAATCAAAAATAAATTTATAATTTTAAACATTTCTATTCATCAATATTTCATCATATGAACTTCTATACTGTGGTGGTGTACCTGTTGGATGATATTTCAAACCTTCATCCGGTGTCCATGTCCAATATGTAGTCCTAGTAAACCAAACCTGAGGAGGATTTGTCACCTTTGAACAGTAAGTGTCATTTACACCCTGAATGATTGGATAAGCTTTCACTTGTACTGTAACTTGTGAGTTGAAAGTTTCTAATCCATCAAAGAATATACCCGCTCCATCACGTTGAACTGGAATAGTGCATAAGAATGAAGTTTGGTCTTTCCATGTTCTAGCTAATGGCGTGCCATCATCATCATTCAGTGGTCTAGTTAATGAGTCCTCGTATTCTTCCGTGCATTCATTCACTCCATCTAAATCAGAAGCTTGAAGCATACGTGTAAAGAATATGTCACCCACTGTGGTCATCGCTTGATCGGGGAAGTTTCTGGAATCTATAGTGACCTGAAGACCTCGAAGCATTGGATTTTCTAAAACCGTTCTTTGCATTGCATTCTTCGGAAATGTTAACACAACATCTGTAACATTATGAAGAGCGTATGAGAAATCTGAGCTGATACCTTCAGGAGTGATGCAACCTCCATTTAGTGAACGAACGTCAATATGTTGAGCTGGAATCATGAATGGATCTTCCTTACTGAATAAACGTGGTATTGCTTTAACTGATTCTTCAATTAAACCGTATCCTGGTGTAATGCATTTATCCTCTAAAACTTCCATCTTTGTGCATGAAATAATAACGTTATCAACTGTTGCGTCAGCAGATGTAGCGGCTAAGCTTGTAATTAATTTGGCAGGAAGTCCGATTTGTTGGAATTTGCGATCATATTTATAAACATGATTCATAATCTTTTCATAATTTTCATCAGTTATCTTTTCATAAACGTAATTTTGTAAATCAGCAACTCTTAACGGGTCAACCTGACAAAATACTAAAGTATCCCTGAAAACATAATATTTAAGAATGATATCACCAAATGATTTAGGATAATCATCGAACGCCTGAAATGCTAACAAATCATTTACCGGAATAATCATATCAAAAGTGACATCAACTTCTTTATTTGCGTTCTCGAAAACTTCTGAAGGGTCAATATATTTACCACATACTGAGTTATCATATTTTTGAACATTATTATATAACGAATGAACAAACTTTTTAACTTTCCTTTCTGATTTTGGTTTATATGTTGCAAATGCGAAAGATTCACGGGCGCAATCCATTTGAAGATAACCGGCATCACCTCTTTCGGTTTCTACTTCTAATTGTTTAAAGCTTTGATTTGATGATTTGTAACCAACGAATAAACGCATGCATTTAAAAGCGGCATCACATGTGAAAGCTTTATTTGAAACTAGAGTTGCTTTAACTTTGCGTTTAATATATGTGTCACCTAATTGGTTCACATCATGAGCCGGATTTGTAATTCTTAAATGAGTTTGTTTATCATCAAAATATGGAGCATCAGAGTCATAGCATGAACTTTCAAGTTCTCTATAATATCTTCTACCGTCATTCTTTGCGAATATTTCATTTATCTTTTCGAATGAATGAAACACATTTCCATTAATCGGTTTAGTGTTTGGCACCAAATAGTTAGTCGTCATTTATTATTAAATAAAAAATCAAAATTAAAAGATGAAAATGAATTTTTAATTTTAATGAAATAATCAACTATGGCTGCAGGTATATTTAAGAAACTGTGGGATAAAGTAAAAAGAGGAGCGCATAAAGTTTGGGAAACATTGAAGAAGGGAGCAAATTGGATATTTAAGAATAAAGAAGCAATTAGTGACGTTGCTGAATCAATAACACCAAAAGCTGCCCCAATAAGAGAAGTTTTAAATAAAGGAGAAAAAGTTTATCAAAGACTTCAACCGATACTAAGATAAAAATAATTTTAAAATAATTTATTTTTCCACTATCTACCTCCTATTTTATTAAGTATTCCTTCAGCAATTCCACCAATTGCGTTACCTGCTTGTGCTCCCATCGCCGGATTACCCGCTTTAGTACCTAATACTCCACCTATGATAGTTCCTGCCGTTTTCGCTACTGGTGCCAAAAAGTTTGCAACGGGTTTAATAATATTTTTATGAACCCAACCTGCAGCTTTCTTAATTCCATCCCATAATTTTTTAAAGAATCCTGCCGCCATAGTTGATTTAATATTAATTAAAAAATATATTTCATCACTTATATTCTAATTTTTATTCTTACATAAATGAAACCGATTTTAAAAATAAATGAAACAGAGAAGGAAGAAATAAATGAAAGTGAAAATGTTCAACAAAAAATAAACGTTGTTAAACCAATTACTGAAATAAAAATTTTTTCATCTGTTGAAGAATTTAATGACTATTATGCTAATAATAAAAAATTATTTGAAGAATTGACAACGTGTAAATTGAATAAAATGTTTAAAGTTGATGGATTCAAAATTTCAAAAATAAAAGGAGTGGTTAGTTTGAAATCTATTCCTCAATCAAGAATCACCTCATTAATGAAAATTGATGATTTAACAAAAAGAATAGAAGAGATTGAAGAAAGAATGAATCAAATAATTGATTTCATAAATTCAAATAATCATTAGTTTCTTAAAGTTCTATGTTGAACTCATCAAATTCTTCTTCATCATTACCATTACTCTTTCAACTCTATCTTTTGATAGTCTTGCGTTTAATTTTTCGTAAGAAGTTTATTTTTTAAAAATTTTTTATTTCATTATGGTAGTGAATTTTTTATTCATGAAAATAATTATTTCTAATTTCTTTTACTCGTTTATGAGGTCTTTGATTATGACTCCATTGATTCCATTCAGGATTTAAACAATGTTTAATTAATCGCGGAATATCTGACATCATCTATATATAGCTTCTTTTATAAAAGATAAAAAATAAATTATTTTAAAATTAATGTTAATTTTTTAATGCGTTTATTTCATTATGTATGGGCTGAGTGTAAATGTCTTACAATTTTGAAAATTTTTTAAATCTTGATTTATTCAAAAACGTAAGAATAAAAACCGTAAGAATCATACATTTTTTACTTCATATGTTAAAAAAAATGATACAAAATCGCTTGATATTGCATGAATTCTTACGTTTACAAAAAAAGTCACACAACCCTTCCTATCCTACTACTTTTCAAATTCGAAAGACTTTGATTGCCATAATTTTGTAATATATAATAAACAATATGACTCAATGTTTTACATAAGCTATTTTTGAAATTACTGAGATTTTTTTTTGAATTCATTTTATTTTTGATATTTTGCTAATGATTGGAGGTCGATTTGGATATTTTATATCATATAATCTATGAAATAACACATATTTAAGATTACTTGCACCTGTAGAATAATTATTTTAGAAGACAGGGCGTTAACGATTCCTATTAATATTATAAGTTGTTTAATGATAGGTCACAAAATTTTTTGAAATTGAATACGCCAAATTCATTTGTAGATATTTGAGCACAAATGAACGTGCTTGATGCGATTTCTAAACGCAAAACAATCAGAGATTATGAACAAGGTTGGAAATGTCCGAAAGAGCACCTAGAAACCATTGCTGAATTGGCTCTTTTAGCTCCTTCAACGTGCAATTTTCAAAGCATTGATCTCTTGGTCATTACAAATCAAGAGATTTTAGATAAAATCGGAAGTGTAGGATTAGAGACAATGCCCGATGTATTGCAACAACAATTTTTGCTGAGAAAAGATAAAGGATATAAAAATGTCATCACGTGCGATGCTCCTGTTCTTTTCATCCTCGTTAAAAATGAGAGAGCAGATCCACACTTCTACCAACTCGATGCAGGAATCATGGTTGAATCAATCTTATTAGCTTCTTTGAATTATGGATATGGAACAATGTGCATCAGCGCATTAGCATTTGCAGATCTTGAAAATATAATTGGTGTTCCAAAAGATAAATTCGCAATGGCAATTGCTATGGGCAAGCCAGCAGCGAGCGCAGCTACTTACGAAAAAGAAATTCTTTGCAAGGCATCATTTATAGAATGAATTATATTATACCGATTTAGTTTATTACAATTAAAAAATTTATATTCATGATTACACGGTTTTAATATTTGATTCGCTTTTATTATAGGATATGACTTATATTTAGATGTCAAAAGGAAGGACAATAAGATTCACAAAAATGCAATTTAAAAATATTTCCGTTAACATCAGAAAAATTGAAATAATTCTATAAGTTACATGGAAATATTTTTGAACATAATTAAATTTTGTTGGATTGTCTTGCCAGGACTGCATAGATAAGATTTGGATTCAAGTAGTTATAAAATACTATTTGGACTGTATATTATTTGGCAAATAGATTATATATATATATTTATTTGTCCAAATAGAATAATGCAAGGCTGAAGCAAAACTATATTAAGTACATTATGAAAAATACAAACAATTTATATAAAAACAAACAAAATAAAAATATAATTTTCACATAATGTCACCGAATTCATTGAGAATCTTCTGAGCGGTTTCATGCCACTTAACATTACTTGCTGCAATGTTTGTCAGCTTCGGTTTCAGATTATGAGCAGTATTAATAATTTCTATCGTATTTGGTTCAGTTAACGACACTCTCATTATCTGTCCCACGTTCTGCATGATCTCGTACACAAACTCGACTCCTTTTTCCTCTCCGCCTTCCAATTCCATTGCATGAGCCGCAATTTTCAACAAATTTGCAGCGTTTTCAATGTGAATTGTTTCTTTTCTTCCAGACAACAAAGTAATGAACTCAATTTCACTGCCTGTTGTATATTGTGAGTAATTTTTGAGAGTTTCTTCAGTTCCAACCTTTTTTATCATGTCTCTTATATCATTCATCTTCTTTAGCCTGTTCAGGATTGTGCTCATGTAGGATTTTCGGTCGGTTGAGAACTCTTTGTAAATTAATGGATCAGATTGCGACGGCGGGGGCTGTTTTCTGTTCAATTGTATCTCAGCAAGGAATTTCTCGTGGAACTGCTGCTGTACTTTGCGTGCAGGGATCTTTGTTCCGTCTGGAAAAGCATATTGATCGAAAATGTGGACTGGCATTGAGTTATCTCGCAAAAGAACCAGGTAAGGAGCATTAGTATTCTTAGTTGTTTCCTGCCTGGGCCTTAGAAGTGGGAAATCGCTGTTGTTCAACAAAATATATTTTGCATTCGATCCATAAGATGAAGTTATCGCTATACAAGTAGATAACATAGTAATTGTATATGTAGTAGATAACGACAATGTCATGTGATCTGAAAATTTCGTATCGTGGACCTTGATAATACTAATTCCATTTGGAGAACAGGCAACGACGCAATCTCCGTCTGTAGAAAACTCGATGGATGTTGGCATACTTCGACCAATTATAAATGAACCGTCCATTTCGAATGTTTTGTTGAGATCAAACAGTTTTATGTAGCGATCTGCTGAACAAGAGGCTAATATCTTCTCGCGAGGATGGAACGCAACACAAGTAACCGGACTCAAGTTGGATCTGATCACACCAAGTGACTTGTTTGTTTGTAAATCGAATAATCTGATTGTATTGTCGTCTCCGCATGAAGAAATGAGTCCATGGACTGTAGATATGGCAATAGAATTCACTCTTCCGTTGTGTGCTGTTATTATTTGTACTGGTTCCATTTTTGGATGAGAAAATAAGAAAATTCTTCCAATTTCGTCGCCTGCATATACGCCATTCGGAAGTCTTGGATGTATACATAATGATGTAATTCGTTTTTGATCTATGTGCCATTCACAAATTGTATCATTTCGATCTAGATCAAGTAAAGCTACAGTTCCATCATTAGTTCCTACGGCAATAATGTCTTCATTTTTATTGAATTGAAGGCATGATATTTCTGAAGAAAATGGACCATACTTTAAGACTGGATCTTCATAATAAACACACCACAAGTATAACATGCGGTCTTTTCCGCCAGAAGCATATACTTTACCTGATTTACCACCAGAACACATCGCAGAAACATCTCCTGTATGTATTTTTACCCCCGGAACATGAAAAACTTTTGGGGGCATCCTAAAATCTATGGATTCGTCACTTTTTGTTGTTTGATGCCATCAAAAGTTTTACATGATTTCGTCTGGATTCTACTACTCTATGCATCGATACGCACTTTTTAAAGGTAAACTAATTCTCATTTTATCAAATATTGCAGAATTTAGATTCAATCTTGGCTTTCTGATTGGGAATTATAAAGTCCAATTATGAAAAACTATTAAATACATAAAATTACGTTAATTAACACATTCATTATTTAGATATTTCCATTCAAGTTGGAAATGAGTAAACAATTTACTCATTATATTGAAATTCTCACAATTACTTCTGACTACTCCATGCATGAGTGGAAAATAGTTATGTGACACTATAGATGGGACAGATCTTAACAATTAAATTTGACCTGTAATTGAATCCAAACTTACTGGCTATTACTGTTCTTATAGGCATCATCGTAAGAGCCACAAAGATGCCATATGCATGAACTTCGTTGTATTGTATTCAATAGAACTAAAATTTTTATCTCTATTGTTTGCCTCAAGTCAAAAGAATGAAGCAGGCAAGCTATGAATCAATAGCAGATTTTCTTGTATCTCAACGGCGAGATTCCTTGAACTCTGCTTTTGATTCAATCTATCAGAAGATATCGAAATTAACATTCAGAGACGAAAATGTTAAATTATCGTCACAAGAATTTGTAAACCAATGCTTGCAAACTATCAAAACTTCATTAACAAGTGAACAAGAGATGTTTATTTCTTATATTTTGGCTTATTGCGGCAGTTCTAATGTTCCAAATGAATTGAATCAGTACATTCGCGATTTGATGAAAACAAAGAAATCTTTTCCAACAAACTCAACTAACAAGATGATACAATCTTCAAAATCTTCAAGTAACGTAACTAAAAATATCAAATTTAAAGATTTTAGCGCGAAACAAACTACAGCAAGCAAATTAGCATCAGATATGAAACAGTCTTATTCAGAATTTGTCTCTTCTTCTCAAAATTTATTTTCAAATCTTAAAAAACTTACTAAAAAAGTCGTAGCAAAACAGTCGAGCATAATACAATCTGATAAAAGATTCATATCAGAAGCCAAATCTCAGCAAAAAATCGATGAGGCAGAAATAAATAGATTAAAACAGCAATTGATCAGCACAGAATCTCAATTAAACCACTACAGAACTCAATTATCGAATATACGAGCAAAACCAGCTGATAAAACAGACTACTCATATAATTCGATTATTGAAGAAAATGAACGTCTCAAAAAGGAAAATCGTGACTTAAGTCAGAAGCTCCGTAACTCATCCTCGATTGTTACCGATAAGAATGAAACAGAACTCGAAAAAGAAGCAAAAGACAAACAATTAGAGCTTGCTTTAGAACATATCGATGAGATTGACAATGAAAGAAGAAGGTTGATTAATATTAACAAGAAATTACTTAACAAAGTCAAAGAATATTCTCAATCGAATGATGAATCTCTTAATCTTCAAAATATCATAAGCGAAAAGTCAGAACTCAATGAGAAAATGGATGCTGAAATGAAAATTTTGAGAAATGATAAAGAAAAATTAAATATCGAAATTGAAACATTAAAACACGAAAATGAGGAATTAAAGAAGAATAATAAGAAGCAGATAGTCAAATACAAACAGTTAGAAACAGATTACAGGGACTTAAAGATCGAATTAAATCCGATAATTTCGGAAAACGAGAAAATGAAAGAAGAAGTCGACAATGAGAGACAGAAATCGATGGAGAGCATGTCTGATACTGCAAAAGTCACTGAAAGAGAAGCCCATCTCATGGAAGAGATCTCGAAACACAAAGAAAAAATCCAAAACTTGGAAATTTCTTTGTCAAAAGAGAAAAAATTTTCTAAATCTCTTTCAAAATCAGAAGAAGAATTAACTCAAGTCAAACGCCAAATGGAAGATTTAATGGAAGAGAATGAAAACATTAAGGAAATACTTGCTAAATCTGTTGAATCGCTGAAGAAAAAGAAATCTGAAATTAATGATTTGAAATCATTAGTTGAGAATCAAAAAACTGAGATTTCTGATGTTGAGAAGTCAAAAGAAGAGCTTTACAATGAGATTGAACAGCAGAAAAAGGAAATTGAACAATTGAAGAAAGAAATTGAAAGAAATGATATGAATTTCAACAACTATAGAGATATGTCGAACAAGACATTGAGGAAAACTGAAGAGGAAAAGAACGAAATCGAAAGACAATTTGTGAAATACAAATTAGATACAAACACCGAAAGTGAAACATATAAAACACTTCAGACAACATTAACAGATAGAAATGATGAGATTTCCAATCTCAGGAAGAAAGTTTCTGACTTCCAAAAAGAAATCATCAAAATGCAAGAAGAGATGCATAGCAAATCCAAAGATTTTGATAAAAACAAAGCAGAATTTACCAATAAAATCAAGAATCTTGAGAAATTAAATGAAGATCTTCGATCCCAAGTTATATCTTCACAAAATACAAGAAAGAAATCAGAAGATATGATGGAAGCATCAATGAAACAATATGAAAATGACATTCTTAACCTCTCACAGCAAATTGAAAGCAATAATTCAAATCATCAAGAAATAATTAAACAATGTAAAGAAGAATCAGGCAATAAGATCAAAGAAATAGAAGCAGAATACGAAGACAAAATTAATAAGCAAAAGGAAAAATTGGAAAATAAAATCAAAGATATCGAATTTCAATATTCCGAAATTAAATCTAAATATGAAGAGGTGAATAATCAAATTCAAGAGGCATCTCAGATGAAAGAAACATTTGATAATTGCTGCATATCATTATTCGGAAGTATTAAGACATCAAACGAGTTTTCTTCATTAATAAATCAAATGAAAGAAGAAAATCTCAAGTTAAATGAACTTTCTAAAACAAACGAGATCCTGACTGGAAAGCTTGGAAAAATATATATGGCAAACAAAATTCTGAAATCTGAAAATGCAAATTTGAAAAATAATTTAGTCATTTCATCTCAGTCGAGTCGGAAAATTTCTGATGAATTCAAAAATTTGTCAAAAAAGTACAATGAATTGAATAATTCATCGGAAAATTTGACTAATGATAATAAAACATTAAATGAGAAGAATCAGAAGCTTAATGAACTAAATAACAATTTAAGCTCCGAATTTCTCAAGTTATCTTCTCAAAATGAAGTATTAACAAACAATCAAAAGATTCTAGAAGAAAAGCATAATAAATTACAGAATGATCATAAGCAATTAGAAGAAAATTTCCAGAAATTAAATAACGAACACCAGGAATTAACAACAAATTACGAAAAACTAACAGAAAATCATGAGAAACTTAAAAAAGAATATGAAACAGCGACAAGTGAATTATCTATTTCTATGAATGATGTCAATGAATTAACTGAACACTACAAACAACTCAAAGACGAAATATTTAATATCAATAATCAATACAATGAAATAATTTCTGATAATGAAAGATTGAAAACTGAATTAGAATTAACAAAAGATGAATTAAATGAATCAAATAATAATTTATCGAAGATTAAATTAGAAAATGAAGAAATGTCGAAATCATTAAATATCAGCGAATCTGATAAGAAGAAATTAGAGAATGAGTTGGAAGAAAATAACAGAGAAATAGAAAACATTTCATTGTCGCTGGATAAAGAAATTTCTAAAAACGATGAACTTCAAAAATGTTTGACAAAATTGAGTTCAAAAATAACAGATTCATCATCAAGAATAGATGATTTAAGCGAGAGAAATAAGGAAATGAAGGAATACAACAAACAAATCCTACAAGAAAACAAAAAATTGAAGAGAAAACTTAATTCAAATTCACAAATTCCTGATATTAATAAATTACAATCAGAAAATAAAACATTGTCACAAGAACTATTTAAACTAAAGGATGAGAATCAAGAGCTACTTGAGAGAGTCGCAACAATGACTTTGAGTTTATCACAACTTGAATTTGAAGAAGAGGAAGAAACAATGCTTTTAAGTCCTCAATTTGACCAATTAAATAATCATACAGAAGAAAAAATTAAATCTGTTATTTCTTCACCGAGATCATCAAAGAAAAGAAATAGACCAGTATTCCTTACACAATCATTAAATGATGCCGAACTTTCGTCAGAAACTGAGGTCAAAAGTGAAGTGATTTCAGAAAACCACAGCGAAGGCAGCCAAATAAATGAACTCAGTAAAAATCATTTCAGCGAAGAAGAAATAGAACAATATGAAAATTCCTATGAAGAGGAAGAATTTTCAGATGATTATGACATTTCTGTAAATGATGATGATGAAGAAAATGATTAACACAATCTGGTTTAGAATCAAGAAAACGCTAATCATATGTTTTTGATTAATAATTGTTTTATTTATTTAATATTTAGATCAAATATAAACTTTTTTTTTCTTTCCCATTCAAAAAAACTCTTAAAAATCAGACTAAGTGATTTTTTAATTAAACAAGCGTTTACATTTTGAAATGTTTACAGTTCTTAAATCATGGTAAATTAAATTGATAAATAATCTTTCTCAAATATTTTGTGAGAGTATTCAAATAAACAGTGAAATTTCGATTAAAATATAAAAACATTTACAAAGCCGTTGTTCATATCTGAAGCTTAGAATTAATGATTCCTTCCTTAGAGCTTCCGTATTTATAAACAAATTTTTGACTATTTAACATATTTGTTTTCCGAAACACTTTAAAACAATACTAATTCTCTATTTTTTGACTTGAATATCTCAACGATAAAACTAATATTACTCCAACTTGATGGTCATGATAGATGCTAAAAGGTTAAATCAAAAGAAATCGATTCATCTCTGTTTTTGAACAGCTCTGTATCTAAATTAAATGGCCCAAAATCTTGGAGTTCAATTTCGCTATCTAAAAAGTTGTTTATTTTTAGATCAATTTCTTCACTTGTCTCACAGACAGGGATAGGTATATTGCTACATTTCATTGGAGCTATTGCTTTTTGGATTGATTCTGACATTTCTTTTTTTTTTGTTCGTTTAGACGATCGATCTTTGATGAGACGGCATTTACTATCGCATTTTAAGATGATACAGTTTTCTTCATCGTAGTTAACTTCAAAGTAATCTATGACTCGCTTTTTCTTAGAGGTCATTATTCATTAATAATATTTGAATGGTATTTCAAATCACTTTTTGACATTTGTAATTTTGTTTTTGACTTTCAATGAAAGATGGTAAAACAAAATCATATGATATTGTTATACGTTATTTATTGAACAAATGATGTCAAGTGTGATTGAACATATGAGGTCAAATCTTGAGATGAAGTGAATTTCATATCAGTATTGAAAATATACTGGGCATGAAACATTTTAATTCGTTCCATGAAAATAATTTAAATTTTGAAATCAATTATGCTTTAACTTCCCATTTTAAGGGATATGTTCCATAAAAGATTTATAATTATAAGAAGATTTAATTTTCTTGATCTAAGAATTAAATGAGGATTTAATGAAGTTAATTATTTACGACAAAAATCATCAACACATATCATTTAATAAAAGAATATGATTTTACAAAAGAAGTATTAAAAAAAATATTTTGATAATTGAAATTTTATTTTATTTTTAAATAAAATATATACTATACTAAATAATTATTGTTCTTGAAGAGTTTCAAGGGCAAATTTAAGTTCATCAACTAAATCCTTTTCAGTCACCTTTAATTTTTCTTGGAGCCAATCATTGACTGGATAATCAACGATGTTAACCTTTCCATCTTCATCATTAGTGCAAGGGAAAGAGAAAACAATTCCTGGCTTAATTCCGTATTTATTATTTTCTGGAACAGGAATTGCGAGACTCAAAATTTTCTTTGTTCCAAATAACAAAGCTTTCATATGTTCCAAAACAGCAACAACTGTTGAAGCAGCAGCAGAAATTCCTCTGTGTTTAGTTATACATGGTCCTCTAGACGTCATGAATTTATAAAACTCGTTTTTCATGAAATCTTCGCCTAAAACATCCAAAATTCTTTCTGTTTTCCCGTTTTTAACAAATGTAGCGTTTGTTAAATCAGGAACTATTGTTTCTCCATGGTTTCCCCAAACAATGACGTCCTTGAGATCGCAGACAGGTACACCTAGTTTGTCAGCAATGTAAAAGTTTGCTCTGTTGTGATCGAGCATGGAAAGTGAAGTGAAATTTTGAGGATTCAAATTTTTGGCAAATTTTGCGCAGAGTGCAGCATTTGTATTTGTAGGGTTTGCAATCATGAGGACCTTGCAAGAAGGATTGGCATACATGGAGAGCCATTCTCCTACTTCTTTGTAGATATGCGAATTCTTGTTGACTAAAAATGATCGAACTTCCCATGCAGGTAATTTGTATGAGCTTGTAAGGAAGGCGCATTCAACATCTTTGAATGCTACTGCTGGATCTGTACTTGCAACACAACCAGAAAGATGTGGAAATGCACAATCTTCAAGTTCCATGACTAATGCGGTTAATTTATCTTGAGTTCTTGAATAGAGATGAAGAAATACTTGCCTGTCGCCATAAAGATCACCATGTGCAATCCAGTGCGCAAGGATATATCCGATTTGGCCTGAAGCGCCAACAATTAAGACATGTGCGGGTTTTTCCATCTTTTGGAAAATTCGTCACTTTTATAGTGATTCAATGAAAAATTTTGGTTCAATTTTTTTTTCATATCGAACTTTTTGAAAATATCAGTATCTCAATTTCTGTCGATCAAATTTCTATAAAATTAACAATGGTTGTGGAGCATCATATTGTGGTCATATATTTTCATTTTCATTTTTTGCAAAAACTTTTCCCGCCAAAATACAAAAGTGCCATAATCTCATGGTGGACCACAGCTGGAGTCACCGCCGACTATCCACTTGCTGGGATGCTACGCAGCCTTTGATCTGGCCAATCATAGTGCTGCTCCATCCATATCAGCAAGTGATTTCGGCGAGAGATCTCCAATCGGTCTTCCATGAGGGTTACGCAAGCCAGAAGCACAATAACTATGCAGCCTAGCTGCTAGGATAGCGTAGCTAGGCTGCGTAGTTACTGTGCTTCTGTCGATATTAGTTATACGTTATTGCCCTCGTTGACTGTAGTATAAAATTTGATCATAAATAAAATCGTTTTAAATTACTTCTTCATTTAAATTATAACAATTATTTTTGGTTTTATATTTTTTTGGATCAAATCCATTTTAATAGAATTTATATACTATTCATCTATTAGTAAACACTACCGTATATTATTTTTTAAGCTATCTTATTTTTTGAAATTTTATTCAAATCTTTGGTCGCAAGAAGAATTGCATGATAAATAAAAACATTTAATCAAAGTCAATTTTATTTTTCATATTCAAATGGACTGAGTGTTAACATTTAACATTTTTTGCTAATTGTCGTCAAAAATTAGGCGTAAAGCAAAAATTGATATTTCATATGGTTTTATGATAGATAAGCATTATATTCCCACTCATTATATTCGTAAATTTTGAGGTTTATCCTTCGCTTTTAAGATCATTGAATTTGATTTTTATATAAAATAGTTATATATTAGAAAATAATATGAGTTTATGTGATATTATTTTTCAGAAGATTTTGTGTTCTTCTTCAAAATTTTATTTTTTTTATTAAAAAGAATCTTTACAAAATATACATTTACTTTAATTAATATTTAAAAACGTGCTCTATCAAAAGTTCCAAAAATTCAATATTTTAGCTTTTCTGAGGTGTCACTTTTGATGAATTTCTGTTTACAACATTTCTTTTTAAAATCATTTAGTAATTAATAATATTTAGCACTCATAGTAAAAACATTAAAATTTATAAGAATCGTTATGAAGAAAAATTGAGAACTTATGATTTTTATTTAAGAAAATGATTAAATAATATATAAATAACCATATAAACAACATTTTAGATTCCTCTGAAAAGGGTATCTCAAATTGGTCTATGACCAATTGAATGGTTCGCCGGTTATTCAAGGTACGGTATGAAAAAAAATTGAACCACAAAATTTATTTGATTTAACATATAACCAATTCTTGATGTAGATTGAATTCAACACGATTTTATTTTCCTTATTAACATTTTAAATTTTTATTGAAGAAATTGAATCACTATTGTTCATATAATATCTTTTATTGTTCATTATTTTTTTGAAATTTTCGGTTTATCTCAAATTACGGTAGATAATAAAAATGACTGATCACTGCAGGAAAACCGGATGGGATGTCAGTGCAAATGATTTGATTGAAATCAAAGATACATCATTTTGCGATATAGGATATACTGGACAAGGTTCTGCTGTTTTTTCAAATAGTGCATCAAAAAGGTTTAACATCTTAAATTGCGTATTTACGCTATGCAGAGCAACAGAAATCGGAGAAGCTTTAAGAGTTATAAACTCTCCGACAGTTACATTAAAGTCCTGCTCTGCATCTCAGCGCTATACAAGTACAAATACTGATGATGAGTTGAATAGATGGGGCCAATTCTTTGCATTCACAGGTGCCGAAAATTCTCAATGCGAAACTCATGTTGACAATGTTGGAATTGATAAATGTCCACTAACGACAGAACTAAGAGGTCAAAGACCCGCGTTTTTCCACAGATGCAATGTCGATTTCACTCATTCAAACGTTACTGATTCACATTGCACTTACTGCAGTGGATTTTATCTTGGAGATTGCGCAGCATCAGTTAAATACATTCTAATCTCAGGAACATCAAGCAATTGCGTAAGTATAGAGTTAGAAAATACAACAGGTTCACTTACCCACATAACTTTAACTAATATAACTCAATCAGATTGGAACCTTTCCGTTATTTATTATCTTAATTCCACAGTTTCATTCGAATACTTCACTCTTACAGATTACAACATTAATGAATTAGCTTACCTCTTCAATTACAGTCTTAAGTCCGATACACCTTCCGGTGGTGTTTCATTGAACCATTACACAATTGTTCCTCCATTCCCCAACATGGGCAATTTAACAAGCATGGAAGGAAATGAAACCAAAACCACAGACACTACAACAGAGGAACCAAAAGGACCAACAGAAGAAATAAAGACACCAACAGAAACACCTACAGAAATACCTAAATAGAACATTGATGATGGAGATTCTCAGAAAAACGGTAAATTGTCAGCAGGAGCGATAGTTGAATTGTTGTCGCTGTTCTTGTTGTTGTTGCTGTTGTTGCTGTTTGTGTTTACATATTCTTCTTCAAAGAAGAAAATCATTACAAAGATGATATTGACTCTGATTCTCCTTCTGTTGAATCAGGGCCAAAGGAAGTTAATTTGTCGTCAAATCCACAACAGGATAGTTACATTACTAGAACGGTTGATTACGTTGATGATTCTATTGTTAGAACAGGTCAAACTATAGACAATGAAGAAGTCGATATAGGTGTTTGATTTCTGTTCGCTAATTAGTAAAATATTTTTATTTTTTAAATGTTTAAGGTTGAGATTCTATATTTGGTGGTTTTGTGCTGAATAGATATTAATTGTATCTTGATTTAAAAGAGAATATCATATCAATTGTTTTGGAAAATTAAAACATATTAATAAAATAATATTATAAACATGTCAGACATGTAGAGTCTGTTCAATTTCAAACATTATCACTCTTGAATAAGGAGAATTTTTCATGACCAATGACGAAAACACAAATTAATTGAAATTTATTGCGACAAATAGAATAGTATGCATTCAACAGTTCAATCTATTAATGTTTCACGGGTAAAAAAATGAGATATCCTGGAAAAAGTGACAAACCTTCAAATATAAGTTAAATATGTGTATTTCAAATACTAAATACATTTGTAATTTTTTCCTCAAAATCTTTGTTTACAAAATTCCAAAATTTCAAAGAAAATATATTTTTTCTGGATGGTTGTTGATTCACGTTTATATACAATATTAGGAGTTTCACCAACAGCAAGTCGTAAAGAAATCAGGAAGGCTTTCATGAAGAAAGCGCAAGAAACTCATCCTGATAAAAATCCAAATGATCCTACAGCAACAGAGCGTTTTCAAGAATTAAACGAAGCATACAACATATTAAAAGACGAGATAAAACGTGCCCAATACGACAAATTCGGCATGGGATCATTTAACAAAAATTATGATTATTTCAATACTTTCTTCGCAAGGATTTTTGGAACATTCGAAAGCTTTAATACGTACTTTAGTCCAACACGTACTCGACCAAGGACAAAAGATTTGGAAATTGAGTTTAAATGTTCGTTAGAAGTTTTGTATACAGGCAGAGTTCATAATTACAAGCTTACAAGGAACGTTATATGCTCAAGTTGTCAAGGTTATGGGACTAAGAATGGTAGAAAGCCACCAAAATGCAGTTTTTGTGATGGAACTGGGCAAATCCATAATATTACAAATCGCGGGTCAATTTTAGCAGATGCTACAGTAACATGCCCAAATTGCTTTGGAACAGGCATAAAGAAATCAAGATCAGACATGTGCCCAAAATGCGAAGGTCATAAAGTCATCAAAACAACAGAGAACATACCAGTTACGATCCTCCCTGGCATGAAATCAGGTAATGTCATAATCATACCCGAAAAATCCAACCAATTACCAGAACATGATACAGGAGATTTGATACTTAGAATTATCGAGAAGCCACATGAGAAATTCAAACGAAACAAAGATAACCTAATGCTACACCATACTCTAACGCTTACGGAAGCCCTTTCTGGCTACAATTTGAAGGTAGAAACTTTGGATGGAAGATTTCTTGACATTGCTCAGCACGAGAAGACAACAAGGAATGGAGATATAGTTAGAATACCAGGAGAAGGAATGCCAATCCAGAAAACTAATGGAGAAAAAGGAGATTTATTTATTAAATTTTCTGTCAATTTGCCTGACAGAGAAAATGTTCCAAAAGAGGTTTTAGAGGCACTAAATCTATATATGCCTCCAGAAAAACCCGATTTCAGCAATTGCCAGCTTATTAAGAAAATTCTTCCAAAAATTTCATCAGAAGACGAATACAATAGATCAACTCACAGAGAAGAATACAATAGTTCAAGTGATAACTCACAATCTCGTACAGATGATGGTTGTAGAATTGGATAAAAAAATTTTTTTTATTGTATTGTAATAGAAAATGGAAAGTAAATTTTAAATGTCTTATTTTGTTTTGATTTTTTTGTTTAAAATATTAGATAACCTGCAATTGTGCTGAACACAATATCTTGAACCTTGGCATGACATCAACTTCTTCCTAAATTTCTTCTTGATTATGTTGTTGATGGTATATAAATGAATCCCTCTACTTATTTTTTGAGAGGTGTTTACTCAATACTAAGGGAAGTAGTACCATAAGGAGACTTTACATGGGAAAATGAGCTTAGATATATTGATGTGAGTTGCGATATTTTTAACTCAAAACTTTTGAATCTTATCCGATATAATCGTTTTTCTATTGAATTTTTTTTAATGATATTCTTTTAGTTAAAACAAACCATGGAAACTAACGTCGAATACCAATATACAATATATAATTCCAATTATATTCAGATTCCAGCTTAACTCATTTAAAATAATATTTATCTAAAATCAAGAGGAAAAATTGAAAAATATTTGTAATCTCGATTAAAAATAGATCATTCTCATTTTATTCTTCAATTCTGGAAGTGAATAATAGTTTTCATTAATTAGATCAACCCAAATGGCAAAAACCTTCATAAATGTCACCTTTTTATAACTCAAATTTAGTTATGATACCTTTTTTTACAACAAAATGATTGACAATGAAAGCCAATCTGAAATATTCAAACTGCCATCTGTTGAAGAACTGGAATCCATTAGAAATGCAATCCTAGAAACAAGGAAGCTAGCAAAGACCTCAAATACAATGAGTCTTGCGCAAATCATTCAAAATCACAGAATGATTACAACCAAAATGTTCCAGATCAATTTGGATTGTTTAATTTACAATGCTGCCATTATAGAGGATATAAGAGAATGTCAAAAGATGACTCTTGATGTTATTACGAAAAATCAAAAACATGATGAGATCAATTTAGAAAAAACTCAAGAAATCGGCGCAAAGCCGAGACTTACTGATATTTCTCCCATGCATGGCTTCACACCAATGGATGACGATGATTTTCAACCATTAACAAAAATCAAATCGAGATTTCAAAAACAAGCTTCATTTTTCTCTCCTGAAAAGAATAACTCCTCAACACCTTTCTTTAAGCATTAAAGAAACTTTAAAAGAATAAATAATTTAAATTTTTAGAATAAAAGCAAAATAAATGCCAAATTACATTCAAAATTAAATTAATGATCTACTAAAAAACTTGATCCAAAGGATTTTCTTCGTTTTGCAAAAATTGTAGATAATTTCTTTCTGCATCTTCTTCTTCTGCTTCTTTTTCAAAAACAAAATCAAAATCAGAAGAAGATTCATTTACAACTTTAACATTTTGATTTTGTTCTTGTGGGAGATACCAAGGATCAAAATTTTGGGAAGCTTTCTTAGTTGGCTGTGGACTATTATTTCTTTCGTTTCCTGTATAGTTTTTGTTGATATTTAGAAGTTGATAAATTTTTGGATCAACAGAGTCAAGAATTGAATCAAGAACCACATTTGACACAGTTGATCCACTTGTGTTTTGATTATATGTTGAAGATTTTGCAATTAATTGTTTGATTTTTTCAACCTTTTTAGGTGAGATAAAATACTTGGCTCTTTCAACGGAATATATCATCTTTAACTGTTTTGGAGATAAAAATGATTGATTTGCTGTGTAATCAGTAAAATGAGATTTAACAGATGATATGCATTGCTTTATTTTCTCCATTAATGTTTGAGAAACTTCATGTTTCACAAATTCTCGAGATAAGAACTTGATTTTGGAATAATGATTATTCAGATCAAAAACTAAGAAGTCAAACACCAGTCTTGCTGTTTCAAAAGGTATTTTGTTGTACGTGTATTCATTTAATGTCTCTTTTGATATAGTGTTAATCATTTGAATATATCTATCATATGATTTGAGAGCTCCAGTGATTTTGGCTGTAGCGAATAATCTATTAATTCCTACATAGAATTGTTCTGATAGATCGGATAATCGAAAAATGACATTTTGCACGTAGCTCATGAAAAATTGAAAAATAAAAAAAGAAAATTTCAATGGTTATGTGATTAAATTAATCTAATTATGTATCTTTGTCTGAACATCTGATGTTCAACATCAGTATATTAAAATTGTTGTTGAATTTTCAAAATTTTTGGGATAAGACAGGTTCTTGAAATAGGAATATATTGCAACTATGTTCGAATTAAAAATGTTTTAATATATTTATTTTGAATAATATTGTAGATTGAAAATTTGAAATCAATAAATATCAAAATCACTGCATTTATATGGTACTGATAAGTTAGAAAACATTATTTTATTATGTTAACGGATACTAATCATTCAAAAAAATGAAAAAATTAATTAGCAAATTTTTAAAATTTGATCAATTTAACTCAAAACTAATCCATTTGATTATCTGTCAGTATGTAAACTAATATTCAAGTTATCACTTCTTAAAATGCGTCGAGGTACAACGGCGCAATTTATGAAGACAGGCGAAGGATATTCAGGGCCAGGTGATTTTCATGTACTAAAACAGTATCTTATTCCGATTTCCGATAATGCTTTAGCTCAAGATCCACAAATGTGTGAATCCATCAAACATCATTTAGAAAAAGCGACAAAAATCATTACAAGGGAGCACGAAAAGATTGTAAGTACTCTTTCAATCCTTCGTGAACAGCTAGATCATGATTGTCATGAAGATTATGGAATTCCAGATCGAAATTGTTTAAATTGGTATGATTTAATCATACTATTGTTTTTAATAGAAACACTATATCAAATTAATATAGACTCAATTACAGAAAAAATCATTATTCTCGATGAACAACGCAATTTGATGGAACAACTACTGGATCTTATCCAGTATATGCATAACACTAATAAAACAGTTACAGTCCGCTTACAAAGAATCATAGAATCTCGCGAAAGATCAATTTTTTTCATAAATAAAGCTTCTCAAACACGAATGTCTTTAATTAGAAGGCTTGCAAATAAATATTACACTAAAGTACAACTTTTACCACCTCCTTTCCGCTCAAATGCTAAAAATCGAGAATGGTTAGATAATATTATCGATTCAGCCCAGCGAAAACCAGAAACTACATACTTTTCAGAACTTCCAGAAGAAATAGACATACAATCATTTTTTCTTTCTCCTAAATCTCCTTTCCTTAACGAAGAAGGTTTTGATAATCCTTATAATCGCGATAACTCACCAAATTCAGTTAAAGAATGGATAGATCTAGCCACAGTTGTTCTTGCAGAGTACGTACAAACAGAAGATGAAGACAGAGCAGCAACAATTGCGATACTTGCAATGAGATATCTCTTTAACTCCACATATCCTCGGTTTTATCCACCACACAGTGGCAATCTATCTCATATCAATGCAGTTATGCAGAGATTCTGCAAAAAATCTCCAAAAGAACTTGGAATTTTGCTGAAATACGTTCCATCAGAACTCCAAGAAAAACCAAGTGAAATGTTGTTCCAAACAGATACAAAAGCTGTCGAAGCTGTCTCTTGGATGAGAAATGCTGAGCTGCAACTGACCCCAATTGATGCAGCGTATTGTGTTGTTAAAGCACACGAGTGTTTGAGTTTAATGTGTGTTACAAATGAGTTCAGAAACAAAGGAAAAGAAAGTTGGACAAATGAAGAGTTTCTGTCAAAAATGCCAGGTTTTGACGACATTTTTGAGATGTGGCGAGCATTTCTCAGCTCGTGCGATTTGGGAGATCCGAGGCAGTTGTTGACATTCATCATCGATTTCTCGAAATTGCCTGGATTTACTGCAAGAATTTTGGCATCGATTGCTTATTTCGAGGGTGCTGTTGGACAACTCGAGGCTGAACAGGAATAACTTCTTTTATGTGTATGATTTGTTTTTTTATGTATTTTATAAATTATTGTTATGTTATATTTTAAGACATGAATTTACTAATGTTTATGATGATGAAACTAATATTTATATTCGAGGCATCAATGAAAGTTTCCTACTATATACAATGACAATTGAATACTTTATTTCAGAAACAGCTTATAATCCTACATTTTCAATAAAAAAACAACATCTGGTTACCAATAAATAAGAGATCAAATGATATTAAAAAAGGGATATACCGACTACTTTGGCACAAAATCAAATTTTCATTGATGAAAATAGTGGGACAATAAAATTTGGCTATGTGAGAATATGAATAGTTGTATATTTATAGAATGTGAGGAAATTGCAAAATTGCAAGAATATTAGAAAATAAAAATGGTAAATATGCACATTTTTGATATAATTATAACTTAATAGTAAGTTTGATGTCTTCGAATGAAAAAAATGAATGGATATTGTTTGAATAAATAAAATAGAAATTAAACTCCTTTTCTTTTGTAAAGTCTCTTATTCAAATTTTTGATAGAGGTTCATTCAATATTGAGGCAGAAAAACGATAGGGAGACTTTACGTAGGAAAATGGGTTTAAATATAATAAACGTTTCGAAAGACTTTTTAATTTCTAATAACTCTCAATGCAATTTGCCTCAATATATAAATTCATATTGAAAGAGTGTATGCTATGATCCAGATCAATTAATTAGAATTTTTAAAATTTTATTCAATACAAGGAAGACGATAAATAAGATTATTTCCTAAAAAATAAGATTTTATTCAAATAAACAAAAAGGTGGAAAAATCAAACCCTATTGAATTTTGTCAAAACACCTATATAATAACATCTATATAATAGATCTTAATGAATTTTGCGTCATCCTTTCACAAAATATTATTATAAAATGAAAATGGATTTATGCAATTATTTCATTTTGAATTCAACGAATTTTATGATGGGGATTTCACATATGTTAAGAATGGTTCTTATGCATATAGTAGAAACTACTATGTCAAAAATTGTTTCTTTGAAAACCTCAATAATCGCGCGGTAGATACTTTAAGTACTGCTAAATTCCTCTTTGAAGATAGTACATTTGTATGTGTATCGCATCCATCAAAAGTTGGAGGTGCTGTTTACTCAATTAAGGGTGAAGTTGTTCATAACAGAATTTGTTCATTGAACTGCTCAACCTCATATTATGGACAATACTGTTACAGCGAACCAAAGACACAAGATTCCAAAAATTATGTTATTGATAGCACTTTATTGAGTTCATTTAAACAGCCAAAAGGATATGCTCCATTAGATTTCATCCATGGAAGACAATACTTTGCTAATATCAATATTTCGTGTTATAGAACCTATAATATATGTGGATACGAAATAAGATCAGGAGGTTTATATACAAAACGTATTTCCAAATCAAATTCCACATATAATTACATAATTAATAATACAGCATACTATGATTATTGTTTTTTAGATTATAGTCTTCCCGACGTAAAAATATTTCAATCTAATATCATTTATAATTCTGTAAGAAAATCATTGATTTACAATTATGGAATTAGAAAATTTATTATTGAAGAATGTAATATTATTGAAAACTCGGGTGAAAAAATAATTCATGTTGTAGAAGGTGGTAAAACAACCATCATTAATTGTTTTCTTTCAAATAATGTCTCAACTTATGGAAGTGTTTCTTTTAATATTACTTTCAATGAAGAGATCAAAATAAATCATCTTTTTGTGAATTATTGTCAAAATTCAAATATTTATCATCATCAAATTCCATCAAAATATACTACAAAGATCGAGTCTAAAATCATTAATAAAATCCATACTCGATACTCTAAAAAGAAAAATGAAAGTTTTGTCTTTCTGATATTACTATTCTGTATATTTTAATTTTATCCAATACAAACAAAATAAATATTTTTTTTATTACACAAAAAGTATTTTCATAAGTTTCTCTTGGAAATCAAAGATCTTACTGTATGTTATAGATAATTTCGAACAGAAAATGTTCCAATAATTGAGTTCTGCCATGTATTGATCTGTGAATGTGAAACCACTGTTCAAAATCTTGTCTAAAACTATAAAAGAACCAAGCAAACTTCGATTCTTTATTGCGAAAAGACCGAAGTTAAAGAAATCATTAACAAGTTCATTATCTGTTGATTCTGCAACTAATATAATTGTCTTTGTGAACTCAATTATTGCTACAAGTCTTCTTCCAAGACTTTCATCCAAAGCATTAGAAAGATTATGTGCGTATCTCAAAACAATCATTAAACCTGATGGATAAGAAGAAATCTGTTGTCTGTAAGTTAATCTAGATGAGTAAATGTGTTGAACAAACTCATTCTGGAGATTTAATATAGGTCCATCAATCAATATCTTATATTTATCAAGTATAGAACACAAAAGATGGAATGGAAACAATGAAATATTATCAATATCACTAAAAACAATTAATGCAGAACTTTTGACAATATTAATTAAATCACAAATTTGAAATTCTCCTTTTATCAAATCAAAACTTTCAACAACAGTAAATGAATTCCATGATAAACATATATCATACAATCTCTCAAGACAAACACTATAACTCTTGTACATTTCATTTTCAACAGCACTATCAATCAAAAAAGTCAAATTAATCAATTCTTGTTCTAGTTTTTCAACAATTTCTTGATACGCGAATTTCTCGAATTCAAATGACATGCAAAGTAAAGGTAATTGTTGATTCTTTTTAAGATCATTAAAGAAATCAATTGGACAAATGTTTTTCCTCTGTGATTCTTTAACTATCGAATTCCATGACCTTGAAAAAACAACATTATTATTTAATTTTTTCTTCTGATTATAACTAAAAAACATATCAACTTCAAAAACATTTTTGTTTTCATGAAAATTAGAGATTTCTGATGACATAGATTGTATTGTAGATTTATAGTTGTTGTCATCAATAAGAATATCATAGATAAGTTTGATGTCTTCGAATGAAAAAATGAATGGATATCTTTTGAACAAAAATGTTGTTGGCTGTTTCGGCAAATTGTCTGTGAAAATGGAGTTGCCACTGAGAATATCAAAGATCTTTTGTTGGATTTCGTGTTCTCGTGTTGATAAAATGTTTTGAAAACATGAATTTGTAAATTTTTTGGCGCCGTTTGGGAGAATGACACTTCCACATGTGAATACCATGTTGAATGACTTGTATAAAAACTGGCTGATCAAAATATCACTGGATTTGTGTGGAAATCGGATGATTAACTGTTGAATTACAAAAATATGGGAATTTGTAAGTAAAGAAATAGAGTTCTGTAGGCTTTCGATCAAGATGTTGTAACAGCGCTTCTCATCAAACTTTCCTAATGTCATTGTGCATAATTTGTGAAATTGACACCATAAATCTTCCAAAAATGAGTGCGCGGAGAGAAGGAATGGTACTAATACGCTTTCGAGTAGGATAAAGTCTTCATCTATTGAGAATAACTCTAAAATAAAACGAGATGCTTTAAAAGTGAATTCTTGGGAAGAAAAGTAGCCAAAAATGGCTGGAAATGTAGAGTATCCGAAGTATAACTGGTCTGAGATGTCTTTTGAAAAGTATGAATAAACAATTTGTGCAAATACTTCAGGTTCTTCATGAAAATTTTTTATAAGCAATAATAAACATTGTGAGAATGACGATGAGAAATTATTTGATATGTCTTCTTGTTTTTTGTTAATACACTTCAAAATATCGAGTTGTGTGTTTTCAGAAAGTGTAGATAAGTCTGAATGAGATGCAAGATATAACAAATATATATTACGTGTTTTTAAAACGTTTGATAATATTGTTTCATATAAAATACGTGACTGATTTCGAATATCTTTATTTGTATCGAGATTTGCATAGTTTTTTAAAAAATTGTAACGTGATTTTAAATGGTCTAGACTGTCGAAATCAAAGTCTGGTGGCCTCTTTAGTTCTGGGTGTAGCCCAGCGTCAATTTTTTCTAAATTCATAATAAATTCTTTGAAAAAAGTGCCATAGTTACAAAAATCGGATCCAGAATGGATCAAACTGCAAATTAAATAAATAAAAAAAGATAATTCCATTTCATAATAAAAAACAAACAAAAAAATCTTTAGAAATTATTATGTTTGCCGAAAACTTGCACCCAAGTGGCCAAATCATCTGCTCTTCGTACTATCTTGTCTAACTTAGTGCACCATTCTTCGGCAGAGTTAATTTCATTCTGTCCTATATCTTCTTTTTTGAATTTTTTCCAATCTTGCAACTGTTTTGAAATATTCTTTGAAATATAAGTCATTACTTTAGCTACTCGTTCCGCAGTTGCAACTCTATCTCTATATGAACTTAAATTCTTTTTAATGTCAATAGCTGACTTACTAAAAGAGTTTTCTTCAAAAATCCGCTTCTTCATATTATCTTTTCTCTTGGAAATAGCTTTACTCATCTTATTTGTGACATTCTCAAGCTGACTGACTGATTTTGTTAACAAATAAACTTTTTCATCATTATAACTTCGATTTTGAGATAATATTTTGTTTTCTGCTTTCTTTTTATGTATGCTTTTAGCGTCATTTAATAGTTTTACCTTTTCATGTTCCATGATTTCGATTGATTCCATCGTATGATTGATTTCTTCAAGAACTTCGCTTACATCCTTTTGTGCTTTATTCAAAGAAAGCTGTAATGATGTTGTTAACTTCCTTTGACGACATTTTTCATCAATAATTTTATCAGAATTTATAATATCGTCTTCAAATGACTTTACTTGGTCGGATTTACATATTTCTATCTTTAATATGTTTTTAAGTTCGTTTAATTCCTGATATAACTTATTTGATTGTTCATTATATTCAATATCAGAATTATTATCATCAAAAATGCTCTGATCGAGCTCATCAATGAAATTATATATTCTATTATTATCCTCTTCAATATTCTGTAGCTCTTTATCAACATCTCCAAGTTCTTTCTTCAAATCATCAATAATTTTTTCTTGTTTTGCTTTATCGCTAATTACTATTTCAAGCTGTGACTTTGATTCATTCAATTCTTCTTCGATCATTGAAGTTTCATCTTCTAAGGCAGATTGCCTTAAATTTGAGCGATTATAAATGGAAGAGCCTTGGTAGACTCGCATTTCACTCAATTTCTCTAATATCTCAAGTCTCTTCCTGATGTATTTCTCTATTTTGTATTTTTTACGTTGAATTTCTGATTCATACATTTTTTCTTGTTCTATGATATCGTGATGGTCTAACTCCATTCCTTTCATGGATGATGCAAGATCGCAGACCTTATCAATCATTTCAGAAAGTCCTTGGTGATAAGAAATTGAAGATTTAACTTTTGCAAGGGCTTCATCCCTTTGAACAAGTAGTTTTGAGTATGTATCTATTTCTTTATTAGTATCTTCGATAAGTTGTTGATAATGCTTTAAATCAGACTGTAATAAATCTGGATTTGATAAATTATTATTGCTCAAAGATGCACTTAAGCGGCTATTATGCTTACCGCCCAATTCTTCAAGTTCACCATCTTGTGATGTTAACTGTTTTAGCTGCTTCGTAAGGTTTGTTAAAGTTTTTGATAATTCTGTTTTTTGTTTAACGTTGAATCCTGACTTTTTATGGAGTTCTTGTAGTTTATTTCTCAATTCTTCTTCCTCTGTGCTTATCTTGTTTGATTTATTATTGATTTGTTGTTCAAATTTTAGTTGTGATTCGTAAAGTTCTTTTCCTTTTTCTAAAACAGTATCTGCATAATGTTGTAAAACAGTACTTCTATTGTGAATTTCTTTGTAAATTGTTGAAACTGTCTTTCCGAGATCCAAAACTTGAATATCACGATTATCTATCTGTGTAAAAGTTGTTTTAATTTGATTTTCGAATTTATCTAATCTTTCTCCAAGCTTGATGACTTCCGTGCTTAAACAATTGCTATCATCAAGCTGAAGATTCATTTTTTGATGTTTTTTAAACGTCTATTTGGCACTTTTTCGATATACGAAGATTTTGAAAAGCGAAAAGACAATTGCAGTAAATTTATTTGTGATTTATAATACCTAAGTATAATAATCCCCAAATCCTGACTTAATAGGCTCAATTCAGTAAAATTGTGAAATGGATTATTGAAATTTAACAATTTGAAAATAATTTTAGAATTTTAAAATAGGTTGTTAATCAGTGATTAAAAATATCTAAATAACGAACATTTTACTGACGATTAAAACAGGATTTACATTCAAAAAATTAATTAAAAAATCATGCATATAACTATGTATGTAATGCTTTCTGTTCAAGAAAATAATCGTACGGCAAACCCAAATTTTAGCTAAAAGTGACAGGGAAAAAACGTTTAGTATTAAAAAAAAGACCGATGAGAGCTTCGTTCGAAATATAGAGGGAACTGAGAATGCGCAACCATTCTCAGGGAATATTGGATGCTATTCCCGTTCCCTCTGTATGGAAAATTGAGGTTTTCAAAGGGAGTTAAAATAATATCAAATTTATACTAATTTACTTCAAAATACAAAAGTATTTGACAGCTAAAATTAGTTACTTTAGCAAGCCTATCAATACCCTTTTACGATTATTGTTACTTTTTCGAAATAAAAGTAAAAACAAATTTATACTAATTTACTTCAAAATACAAAAGTATTTGACAGCTAAAATTAGTTACTTTAGCAAGCCTATCAATACCCTTTTACGATTATTGCTACTTTTTCGAAATAAAAGTAAAAACAAATTTATACTAATTTACTTCAAAATACAAAAGTATTTGACAGCTAAAATTAGTTACTTTAGCAAGCCTATCAATACCCTTTTACGATTATTGCTACTTTTTCGAAATAAAATAAATTTATTATCAAAAACCTTTTTTTTCTTAGTAAAAATAAAAATGTTATTTTATATCAAGTTTTTATTCATAAATTTTTATAATGTTGTATAAATTTCATTAAAATTTACGTACATATTAAGGTACTTATCTTCTACATATATAATCTTTATTAGATATATACATGATAAATAAAATTCATAAAACATTAAAAATCAAAAAATTAGATGAACCTTGGCAATTAAACTTTATTAAATAATAGTTGTTTATAAATTATATTATATTATCATTTAATATTATTTTGATAATGAAGATTTTATTTTGCAATAATATAAACGAAATTTTTTACCTTATGAACTTTTGATGGAAATATGCAAATTTAAAATAATAAAGAAAGCCGCGAGCGAAGCGATCGGCTTAGTTCGAAGATTTTGATTCAAATCTTTGCTGATCTGTAATTCGCGGAAGCCGCGAGCGAATCGAGCGGCTTAGGTCTAAGATTTTGATTCAAATCTTTGCTTATATTCCTTAAATTCTTTATGAAACTCGCAACAGTTCCATAAAAAATTTTAAATTCTAAACTGTCGAAATTACCGATCGGTAATCACACCCTTCACGGGCGTGTCATTTTTTACAGGCGTGTCACTTTTAGCTAAAATTACCCCTACTCAACTTCGGTGTCTCAATATTTTGAAAATTACACAAATTTTTTATCGTATTAAAACCTCTTACTCAATACTTCTTTTAAATATCAAAACATAAACTTTATAAAATCATAAACAATTTCAATGCAATCAAATTGCGAACGTTGAAAATTTTTCAACAAAGTATTGGCATCATATATAGTTATATTAAAACTGTCAAAAATTGTAATTTTATTGAATACCTCTCAAACTAACTACTGATTTTGAATGCTAAGAAGATACCTTGCTTCTTCTTTGCTTCAGAACAGATCCGTAAATTCGTTTGCTGTGGGCAACATAAACGATGCATTTCCTGGAGAATGCGACCAAATCAAGTATTTGAACAAAGATTTCAGAAGTTATTATGATTATGGCGAATACAGCCTTTATTATATTACTGGAGGCAAGACATTATGCTTATCAGGAAATTTAATGTTCGATAATACGTATAAATATGAAACAGAAGCAGCAATGCCCGATGAAAATGGAAAATATTCAAAAATAAGTACCCCCAGTACTCCATTAGCTATCATGCAAAAAATTGTATGGAGCGAATCTAAGCAAGATCTAGTTGCGCTAAACCCAGTAGTTAAATTTAGAAATCCTGGAGTAGAATTTATTCAAATTCAGTTTATGATTCTACCTCCTTCCTATAGTATCACTAAAGATGGTATTCAAAGTGGCATCAAAGGATTTATCTCCACAGACCAAAACGGTAATTTCCCCTTGAATTATTATTATAACGATAAGAGAGATGTTACAGCCTACGGATTGGTCATTAATTCAGATATCAAAGTTTTTACATACGAGCTCCAATCGAACAATTTAAAATTTGTGTATTATAATAACCATAATTCAGTATACATCAACAAAAACTACCAGCCAACACTGATACCGACACGTTCGGCCTTTTTCTACCCAGATAAAACAGGTGCTGTACTTAATAATGAATATAGCACAAAAATTAGTTGGTCCACGACTTCCGGAGCTTCAGAACTTATTAATGGTAACTTCCCCTTCCCGAAGATAACAGCCAGGCTCCCAACTCAAGGATGAATTTTCTCTGCTGGAAATTTAGACAGAGTTTATCCTGGAGATGGTTTAGATGCCAAGACTATTGGTATAATATCAGCCGCTATTGTAATCCCAGTTTTAATCATCATTTTCTGCGTTTGGTACTTTTGCTTTGGTGGAAAAGACAAATGCAGAGGAACAAAGCCACAGGACACAAATGAACAGAATGACCAAGTTGACCAAACAGAACCAGCGAAAATTGACCCTGAAACTGCAAAAATTGCAATGAAAATGGCTGGAAACCAAAATCAGCCGGCTCAAAACCATCAGAATCAAAATCAATCTAATCAGGCAGCTGTTGCTCCATAGATTTGATTTATTTTTATATTTATTGTTTGTATTTTAGTTTTAATAAAGATAAAATTATTTTTTCTTATTAATTATATGGTCTCTCATACTTAAAACATGTGTTATTTGCTATATTTAAGAATAATATAGGAGAATGAATAATTTGAAGGATTCAAATTTGAAATTCCGATTAATAAGTGGTCATTGAGCAAATTCAATGTTATTTCTTTTGTTTGCTATTGATGTATATTATGGATATAGCTTCATTAATAATAATTCATCGGGAGACAAAATTTTGAAATTTGAAAAATACACCGATCGTATTAAAATTTAGAATCTATATTATACACGAACAAGTACAGTTATTTCCAGTAGTATGTGACGTGGTATTTTTAGAGTGAACCAAAAAACATTCAGTTGAGACCCAATCGCTCCGCTCCTCTGCTCTCATCATTTCTGTTTTTCATATTCACGTCTAAACAATACCACTTCCCGCATATGACAACACCAATGAAATATTTTTTAAAACACAAATAACATTTTTAAACACATCATTAACTTTATTAGGATTTTATATAGTAAGTGTTAAAATTCATTAAGAGCGAAAGCCCACATAGCGTGAGTGAGTGGGATAAGTGACAAAAATAAAAATAAAATTAATGATAAAAATTAGTTATAAAATCATAAGCGAGAAAATGAAATTTTAAAGAAAATTGTTACATATTAAGTTCTGTCAAAATGTAAGCTATTGAATTTCTTGAGAGGGAAATAATCGTCGAGGAAGTAAAAAGTGACGGTTTAGGAAATATTATTAGAAATATGATAATAAATATATTTGGAAAAAATATGTTTTTTTCAAAAATTGAAATGTTCATAGAATATTTTGAAATATGTAGGGAATTGAATTCGGTAATATATGATAAACAGGATTTTTAAATTTCAAGGAAAAATAGCTTTTGTGAATACTTTTGAGAACTCATATCAAAGATCATGATTCAAATATATTAAGGAGCCAAAATATTAGAGATGAGTTCACAATCAAAATTTTCCATTTTAATTATTTAGAAAAACGTATTAACCTCAATAAAAAAAATATCTCAAAGATTAATAGTTAATTTAGGGTTTCCTAGCTATCTAGAGGGAATTGTTCCTTATGATGTATATATTTATAATGTATGCATCATAAGGAACAATTCCCTCGCTTAAAACGAGAAAACTTGTTCGAAATTGTTTATCATTTCGAACAAGTTTTCTCGTTTTTAATAACAAACTAAAGGCTATGAGGCACTGACCTTATATAGTGCCTCATAGCCTTTAGTTCCCTGTAGAAAAGATCAAAATTTTATTCTGATTTTAACTGATCTATATTTCGCTTGCGTTATTTGAATCTTTTCTTTTGCATATGTCATTCCTTTCACTTTTCGAATTTCATTTGCCTGCATGCTCTCTCGTTTTGGTTGAAAATCAACTCAATCTTAAAATGAACTTCTTCATTCTTTACAATAAATTCAATTTTTTTCGAGATATATCTTTATCTACCCCTATGTGAGCTGCATATTCTTTCTCGCTAAATTCTTTTGATTCTTCAGAGCTAAAAATCAAGTTTAATAAAAATAATGTTTATTCATAATTTTGAAAACCAAATTCAAATTTGAATGAGAATTTTTGAAAAAAATATAGAATATTTCAATAGTTTGGAATCTCTTCAACTTCCCACTGCTTATTAACACATTTTTTCCAGAGCGGTTTATCATCCTTGGTCCATTTCTTAAATTTGTTGTAAACCTCTCTTGGAGTGTATGGTCGAACTCCAATTTTTGGATGAGCGCCATGTGGCATGTCATTGTATTTTTGCCTGAATTCTTCCAATTCCTGATTGATGCTCTCAAATTCTGAAGACTTTGGAGCATTTTTGTCCAGTGATGGCCAGAGGCGTTCAATTTTGCCATTTTGACGTGGCATGTATGGAGCTGATTTTCTGATTTGAATGTCATAAGTACTCAAAAATTTTGTGAACTCTCCCTCATTTTCTTTACCGTTATCTGACCAGAAACAGAAAGGTGCTCCATATTTTTGAACTGTTGCAATTGCCACTTTTGAAGTTTCTGTTGAACTTTTGTTACGAAGCAATTTCAATGCTAACAAATAACGACTTTTGTCATCAATTATTCCATAAACCGGTAAAGTTTCTGGTTCTTTCAAAAAATGAATATCCACATGCCAGATTGTATTTGGAAGAATTGCTTCATAATCCACATAATATGCTTTTGGATTACTTTTATCTTTTTCTTTGTAAATTCCCAGAAATTTTGCTGCCTTAATAACTGCATTGTAACTGATTTGAAATTTTGGATTCATATTGAGAGTCCAATACAATTTTTGAACCCCACATTTGTAATTTTCATAAGAATTCTGAACCTTCAAAATTAATTCTGGAGTTAATTCCTCTTGTGGAGGACCACTTTTAATTTTTGGTGTACCACCGATTTCTTTGAATGCTTTTTTGAGAGTATTTCTTGAAATTTGTTTGAAAATTGTAACATTTTGATAAGAATATGGAACTTTTTTCAAAACTGTTGCGTATGTTAACTCACCATAAGGATGTCAATTCGGAAAATTGTTTTCATTTTAGGAGAATATAATTTTCCTTTTCGAAAATTTAAAAAGTGAGACGCGCAGGATTCGAACTTTTTTAAAAGTTGATTTAAATATATTCTAGTGTGGATTCTAAGGATAATATCATATTTAAAATAAGAATATACTAGTTTAGGTGGTATAATTTTTTTCGATAAATTTGAGAGCATGTACGTTTAGGACATCAAAAGTGTCAATTCGCTCAGCGAAAGCTGAGCTAGCTTCGTTCTCGAAAGAATAGGGAAGGAGTGAAAGAGAGTGATACAGATGTTGACACATTCATATCATTTCAACAAATTTTGATCAAATTGAAATGCAATGAAATTCAATTCACTTCATATCCTTCAGTCAGTACATTGACATCCTTCTACATCACAATGATAACTCGTGCATCAATAGTTCTACAACTAACTCAGAAAAAACAAGATTTTTCCTTCCAGCTTACAGCTTTTAAAAAGTTTCGATGATAAAAATCACTCTACTCTTGTTTATCGATATGTTGTGATAGTAGGTAAACGTATTCTTATCGATATTAATAAAAATATTTTTACGAAAATCTGAACCAATTACAGAGTTATTCATAAAGTTTATGATAACTGTAATTACTTCATCTTTGTTTTATATTTGAATAAACAATTTAATTTAATTTGCATAATTTTTTTTAGTTGAAAGACAGGAAACTTAGTTGAGTTTGTATTATTTTTATCGTTCAATTCATTGTATATGTGAGTGATCCAGATATTTAAGATATTTAGAAAAAAATTATTAATTTGATTAACAAATTTTAATCAAAATAGCAAAAATCTATTTGATAGCTGTAAGCAAATAATAATTTCTATTTCAACCAAAATCACTTATTTTCATCTAAACGTATAAAATTGTCAATTTTATGAGAATAAATTTAAAATCTCATGAAATATAAAGGAGAGTAATATTTTTCAATTTTCTTTTTTTCTTTCTCTCAAATATTTTCTTTGGAATTTTCTTGTTATCAAAAAATAATTTTAATATTTGTTTATTTCATTACATACAATAAAATTTTAAAAACTCTATTTCTTCACAAGAAAATTTTTTTCCTTCATATGAAGAAACATTTTGTTCTCCATTTGATGCTGAGTCTAAATCTCGATTTTTGAATTTTCTTCTTTCCAAATTTCTTTTTTCCAAATTAGAAGTTTAATTCAAATTTTCAATAGTTTATATATTTTCTCAAACCGTCTTAGATTTTCTCACTTTTTAGGGATTTTCTCTCAAAATATACAAAAATAGTAATACCAATACATGTGTCTAATATACTTTAAAACCATCGTGATAAAATTCAAAAACGAAGAGTTCTTCTCTCCAAATTTTTTTCAAAATCAAAAAAATGAGATAAAAAAATACGTTTGGAAAATTCATTTTTAGCATTTTAGGAATTTTCTCACTTTTCTTCCAAATTGACATCCTCACTCACCACTTTCAAGTTTTTCATACATATATCTTACCCATTCATTTGGAATACGAGGTCTCGAGTTTTCGTTCATTTTTTTACTTTACAAAACTGTTTATTTTTCAGAATTTTTAAATTTGAAAAAAATCCATTCTATATCTGATAAATAATATATTATTTTTCAATCAAAATATTTTGATTATCATCTCAAAAGTGTTCTCAAAACCTAGTTTTTCTTATTTTGGATAATCTTAATATTTATATTATTATAAACTAATTGAACACCATATGTTTTTGTATACTTTTACAAAAAAATTGATAGATTTGTGATACTTTCCCCGACGATAGAATTGAATAGCTTACATTTTGACAGAACTTAATATGGAACATGATGAACGTAGAGGATACGATGAATTTTATGAACAAGATGAAAAGAAAGTGGAAGAAGTAAGAAATGAAATAGATGAGGAAATAAAGAATGAAAAAGAAGTGGAGGAATACATGAATGAAATAAATAAAGGGAATTTAGAAATGGACGAAGAGTATGAGCGTGAATTAAACGCAGAAGCTATGAGGATTTATGAAGATGTGAAGAGTTACAATGAAGATGTAAAAGAAAGAATAGAGGGCACCTTTGAAAGATTAGATAAAAACCCATTTGGGGAAAAATTAGATATAAAAATTTATGGAAAAGATGAACTTAGGGTAGTGGGTCAGAAATTAAAAGAATTTTATGAAAAGCATATAATGGCTCAACCATTAAACACTAAAATTTTAGTCCATTATATCGTAAATGGTCAGGAGAGAAGCCAACCAATTGATAAAGAAAGTTTTAGGCAAAGATTTGAGCAAATGTTAAGTGGTCAGTTCATTTATAAAATCGAAGAATTAAGCGGTAACATTTCAGATGATGGCACTAAATTATATTTGGAATTTTTCGATGTCATATATTTCACCATTCATGAAAATATAAAGAAGCCTGCAAAAGCTATAAATACGAAAGAAAGTAACTTTTGGGGTTATAGATTGAAGAAAGGCTACTCGATTTTTGAACCATATTTAGCAAGATATCAAATATTCACGAAATTGACAAATGAAAATAATGAATGCAGAGAAGAAATGAGATATAACTGTTTAATATATGCCTTAAGTTTTACTATCAAGGATGAAAATTTATTAATGGAGATTTCTAACAGGTTTTTAGATTCTAAATATTGTCCCACTAATGTTTTAAGTAAGATATGCGATGAATACAAAATAAAATGTGTATTAAGGTATGTAGATGATAAAAGCGGTAAAGTGAGAATAGCTAACGAGAACAAACCTGGCAAATGTTATGGACCCAACGAAGGCTATAAATACTCTGTGTCATTGTTTACTTATAAAAATCATTATTTCATAAATGAAGAAGTGTCCATAAATCCATTTTTCATTAAAAATTATGATAAAGTTTGCGCTTACGGTAAGCTGAGAAATTGGACAACTGAACAAATGATGAAAGCATATAAATGTGCCCATGGACGTTTTGAAACAAGCACACAGAAAGCTCACATGTCAAGTTTAAACCTCATTTTAAATTTAGAGGAGGTAGGTGCTTTTGAACCATTATATAGAAACGATAAAGACGTGGATAAGGCAAAAGTCATGCAATTTGTACCAAAGGAAAACGTAAAGGGAATAAAAAATATTGATAAAAGAAATTTTAGAATAATGAAGGATTGGATAAATGAAAATGAAAATAATGGTGAAAAGAAAGTGGTGAAAAGTTACTGGTTCGGTGATTTTGAGACATGTAATAAAGATGGTCAAGAAATTCCCTTTATGGTGTGCTTATCAAATGAAGACGGTAGCATAAAAAAGACATTCACAGGCTTTAATTGTGACCAACAGCTTATGGATTATTTACCGGATAATTCAATAATATATTTTCATAATATGGGATATGACGGTAGATTATTGATGAAATTTGGAATAAAAAATAACATTATGAAAGGGTCAAAAATCATTAGACAGAAACATCTATATAATGGAAAACACATTGAGTTAAGAGATTCATATAGTATATTTACCAAGAAATTAGCATGTTTTCCTAAATGTTTCCCCGATGCATTTAAGGGCACAGACATAAAAAAAGAGTTATTTCCATATAGATATTACACTTATGACAGAATTAATGAAACAGGAGGTGTGGGAGTTATTGATGAAGTAGGACCTGACGAATTACCTGAATGGGGTGATGATGAAAAATTAACTTATAAAGAGAATTTGAAAATGATTAATGCAGAGGAAGAAAATGGAACATTCAACATGTTCAAATATTGTGAATTCTATTGTGAACAAGACGTGAACGTGTTAAGGGTTGGATTCAATGCTTTCCGTTCTGCTTGTCTTAATGAAAAAGCCATTGACATAGACCTTTATGATATCACAACTCTCCCAGCTTTAGCTAATAAAATTTTGTGTCGTGATTTATTTTATCCAAATGGTAATTTATACGAAATATCGGGAAACGTGAAGGAATATATAATGAGTGCAATTTATGGAGGCAGATGTATGACTAAAAATAATAAAAGATATATGGTCGAGGATAAATTAAATGACTTTGACGCATGCAGTTTATACCCATCAGCAATGAATAGACTATTTACAGTTGAAGGAAAGCCAGAAATTATAAATGAATGCATGATAGATGATAAAATTTATGATATCAATAATCCCCACCCTTTATTAGTTCATGCATTCGATGAAGACCAAACAGAACCGACGAAAAATAAATATTTGAGCTATTTTATTGTAGATATTGAAATCATTAATGTTGGAAAAAGTAGGGCCTTTCCGTTAATTGTTTTAAGAGATGAAAATGGATTAAATAGAAACGTGAATGAAACAGGTGAAATGAGAGTGGATATGTTAGCGCTTCAGGATTTGGTAAAATATCAAAAAATTAGCTATAAAATATTGGGTGGCTTAATTTGGAAAGGTAACAGGGACCATAGAATACGAAACATCATAAGGAAACTTTATGATTTAAAAAGAGAATACAATAAAGTAAAAAATCCGATGAAGGACATTTTGAAACTCATTATGAATTCAGCATATGGAAAAAGCATACAGAAAACGATAAAAACAACACACACGTATATAGAAGATGATAAAAAAGATTATTACCTATATAGTCACTGGCATCAAGTTGAGGAATTTTATAAAATTGATGAATCAAATTTATGGTGTTTCAAAATGTGCAAAGTTTGGGATACACAATTTAATAACCCAGTATATGGCGTATCTGTTTTGTCAATGTCTAAACGCATAATGAATGAGGTGATGACGACAGCGGAAGATTTAGGTATAAATATATATTATCAGGATACCGACTCAATGCACATAGAAGATGAGAAAATATCTATGCTGTCCACTGAATTTAAGAAAAGATATGGACGCGAATTGATTGGTGATGATATGGGACAATTTCATAACGATTTTGACGAATTAGAAGACGCTTTCGCTGTTCTTCACATTTCAGCAGGTAAAAAAATATATTATGATGAATTAAGAAACGACAAAGGACAAACGGCTGAACATTTTAGATTAAAAGGTATTCCGCAAGAAACTATAATAAATCATGCTAAAAAATATTATGGAGGAAGTGTGAAAAATTTATATTTAGCTTTATATGAAGGTAATGAAATAAAATTTAATTTATTGGATAATAAAACAAGGTTTAAGCTTGAGAAAGATGGAAAAATAATGAGATGTCGTAAGTTTGAAAGAAGAGTGAAAGCAAATGTGAAGAAAGCTGATGAATAAAAATAAATTAAAACATAAATGAGAAATTATTTTTACCAAACTATTTTGGCATTTACGCCTATTTCCTTTAATCTTTTCATTACTTCTGGGTAAGCATATTTGACATTTTTAGTCTCTCCATTCTTAATGACGTATATAGCATTAACCCTGCGGTATTTGTTGTGAGTAATGCAGCCGCTTCCTAAATCTTCAACATCCAGCTGTACATCATCAGCATCAGTGAGTAAATCGACAAATCTCATTAATACCCAGTCGTCGACTAAAACCAATTTATTAATAAATATTGGGTTATCTCTTATCATTTTCAACATTAAATTTAATGCCTCGATTTCATTTTGAAGCTTTTTTATCTGTTGCTCATAATAAATTTTATTCTTTCCGTCTTCATTAACTTCAGGATATTCGGGTGGAGGTGGTAATATTTCAATATCTCGAGATTTAACGGCTGATTCACTTAATGGTATACGGTCAGTTGAAAGATATACTGAGGTTTTAGGCTCCACATTTACGTTTACATTTTGGGAGTTCTTCGCTTCTTCTCGCTTTAAACTTATCATGGCGTTCATGTTCATTTATATAAAAATAAAAATTTTAATTTAATATTTTATTATTTGTCATTTCGTTTATTATCATATATAATTTACTGACTGCCTCACTCGGTTCTTTTAATTCTTCCTCAATTTTATTTATTCGTTCATTTCCTCCTTCCTTCATTTCTTCATTTTTAATCTTTCGTGCCACATAATCAGTGATAAGTTTAACGGTCACCTTACCGTCTTTATCTTTCGGTTTAGTTATTTTATACCCTGGTATTTTATATTTGAGATTTAATTTATACGTGGATAATTTCATAAATTCCTCCTCATTGAGTGCATAATATTTATTGAATTCATCGACTGTGTTAAAGCTAATGGTTTCAGGGTTGAATGATTCAACAACTTCAAGAGGTTTAATGTTTTTCAAGTTCTTCAATTCACCATTTAAAAATTTATACGCCATTTAATAAGGGATAAAAAATTAAATATTAAATGACAATTTTTAACATCCAACGAGGAACTTTAACAACATCACCAGTCATTAATGATTCACAAACGAACAAGCCACTTTCTTTTCCATTAACTCTAAAAACTCCCTCCAATAGTTTATTTTTCAGTTTATCCATACCGTTTGCTTCATTGTATATTCTCACTCTTTGACCGATTACATCAAAGTTAGGCTCTTCATGAGTTATGAAATTCATTTTGGCACAATATAAACACCATTCACGCTCCATTTCATCTGTCATCATGTTTGGTGATACAGGATGTTTGAAAAATTTAGTGAATGAAGTATTGGGTGAGTTATTATATTCATCTACTAAATATTCCATAACTTCAGGATAAATGATAGTCCCATATCCTGCGTTATAGTTCATAGTTCGTAATGTCCGGCAGATTCTATCCAAAATTGATAGTGTTGAATGGTTCCCTCTTGATTCTTCATTGGTGTTCACAAAATTTGAAACTTTATTTTTAACATAAACCCTCAAAGTTATGCCGTTTTCTATACACCAATACGCCAAATCATTACCGGTAAAAGCTGGCTCTTGGTCACAGACAATATGCTTAATATTTACACCATTTATTATTAATGAATTTAAAGACTGAATAGTATTTAACGCTGTCATATTCTCCTTCGTTTCTTTTGGTGCTTTCCATTCACTATTAATTTTAGTAATTAATGAACTCAATATGGCGTAAGTTCTTCTTGTGTTCATCTCAACAACTAACAACCAGACGAACACATCAGAAATGAAATAGTCTATAATAAAAGTACCTTTTGCCCCTATTGCTTTCATATAATATTTTTTATTTCCTTTCAAATCAAAAGAGTCTTTTTCTTTCTCTTCTAACTTATCCCTAACTTTATCATATCCCCACTTCATTCTTTCTCCATAATTTATGAGCTGGTTTTTACTTCTCCATGGGCTCGATTTAAAAACTTTTTCCTTTTTCTTTATTTCTTCATTTATCTCTTCATCTACCTCATTCATTTTAAAATTCTCATTTTTTCCCTTCATTTCGTTTTTCTTTTTCTCTGCCTTTTCATTTTTATGGTATTTATCGTATAATGACTGAAAATATTTTAACCGTTCCTCAGTTATTTCATTATTTGGTATTCCTAACAATTGATATTTTAAATAATCCCTCAACGTCTCAACTTTTGCATATTGTTTCTTACTATATAATGCGGCACTATTCAAAATGTTTTTTATTCGTTCGTCATAATATCGCTGTAATTCACGCTCATCATTATCTTCAGGTTCCTTTGATTTGTTGTATAAATAAAATATTATATCCTGATGATTGATAGCAAAATTTACAGCCCAATCTATGGCGTCTTCTTCCCTTCTCAACATGTCCAAATTTTTTTCGTAAATGTCAAGCAAAAACGCCCATGGTTTAAATTCATTATTAATTAAAGCCTGACTTAATTTTGGGTATAATCTATAATTCTCATTAAAATAATTATTCAATTTTTTTCTTTCTTTCTTCCTTACTTCAGGGTTTTTGTCTTCAATACTTGACATAAATTTATTTAATTTGTATTTATAACCATTCAGTAACTCACCAATGTGTTTTTTAATTAATCCCATATCATTAATGTTACTCATTTCATACACAATAAAATATTTTTAATTTATTTTAAATGGATTATGAATATGAAGACGTTGAAAATATGTCCAGTGATGATTTAGTAAATTATGAGATGATGGAAGAACTAGAGGGCAGAACTAACAAAGAAAGTTTGACCAAAATTAAAGGCACAAATATTTATTTAAATTCAGTGAATGTTTTAGTGGGTAGACAACGAACAGGGAAAACGTACACGATGACAAAGGAGATAATAAAAATTTCACGAAACAGTAAAGAGACACACTTGATAATTTACATTAACAAATCAGGAGACGCAGATGATGAAACATTTTATAAATGTGCTCAATTGATTGAAAAACCATTAATATATGTCAGTTATAAAGAAGCTCCAAAGTTAATAAATGAGATAATAAAATATAAAATGATTTATAATAAAATAATGGAAAATAATTTGGAGGATGAATTACCAGAGGAAATGAGGGATGAGCTATTTAATAAATTATTCATCACTGATTTCAAAAGTAAATTTTTGCACACTGTGGTAATACTGGAGGATGCAACGAATACAAAAGAGTTGAATGATAAAACGGGAATGATAAATGACCTCCTCACCAAATGCCGACACATTCAGTTTTCCTTCTTTATTTTGGTTCATTTCTGGAAAGCTCTGAATACCAATTTGAAATCAAACCTATCCACTATATTTATTTTCGCTGGTTATTCACGCCAACAGTTACAATATATCACGTATCAATTAAATATCCCATTAACCTCTTCAGAACTATATAACATTTATAAACAAATCACTGGACATCAGAAATTATATATAGATGCTAATGAGCAAACATTTAACGTTCTCAATTAATTTTTATCATTTATTTTCTCATTAATTTTTATTTTTTATTTATCATTAAATGCAGAACATAAAGACAATCAATGACTTTAAGACAATTGAAGATATCAGAAAGCCAAGGGAGAAAACCACCGCATGGAGTGGAGAAAATGAAAATATGTATAATTCATTAATAAATTTAATTTTAAATCATAAAAAAGAAATTCAAAAAGTTCCTTTGGCTTCATCAATTACAACAGCTCAACCATGGGCAGAAAAGCGTGGAATGCGTGCAGGTGTTGAAGATTTAGATGGAGACGGTACCTCCGAAGTGGTCGTATATGATAAAGCCGGTCGTTCAGTCATTATTAATGGCTATAAGTTAAGGGACTCAGATTTTGCCATGAGGCAGCAATATTTCACAGAACATCCAAGTAAAGAAAGTAGAATAAAAGAGCCTTCAGTTTTAGAATGGGCGAAAGCTAAAAGTTATGAAACAAGAGTAGACCCGAACAATCCATGGATAACTCATTCAAGACTTACTGCAGACGGTCAGAAACTAGCAGAAAGAGGTTATAAGATGCCACAGAAACCAAAGAAAACACAATCGGTTTTCAGTATATTCACAAAACTCATCAGCCCATATGTTAAAAATTACTTTGAGGATTTAGCAAAAGAAGATGGTGTGAGGTTAATTATTGGTGAAAAAGGAGGACCGTATAATGTTGAATTTATTAAAAAGATTGTCTCTCCAATCGTAATTTATCGTATGCTTTATGTCCTACTTATCGAAAGAACTTACTTCTTTCATTTGAAAGCTAGTGGTAGCCCCAACTTACAATATGATGCATTCAAAAAATTTATAAAAGAAAATCCAAAGCAATTCTGGGGATTCTATAAAGATAACTTTTTGACTAAGGACCTGACAAAATTTAAGGATAAAATAAATGTTCAAATAGTTAGCCAAGCAATGGTATCACCACCTATTCAAATGGATGGCTCAGACCTTGAGGATTCGATTGTGTTCCTATTAGGTGTTAAGAACTGCCAGGACGGTTATTTTATGCAGTTATTAGGAGATAATGAAGAAGCCGGACAGTTTATAGAAATTCTCAAAATAAAATCCCATCCTGAAAATTTTGAGCATAGATTGAGGATGAATACATATAAAGAAATAGCCAGAGACTCACAACGTGTATGGTTCAAGAACCTTATAGAAATTTTTGAAAACAGTAAGGAGGGACTCCAAAGGTTTGTATGGGCTAATAATGTTGGATTAAATCCATTGAGTTTAGCTAAGAGTGAACAAGAAGTAGAAAAAGCTGGCACCTCATCGCCGACTAAATCAGGAAAGCCAGCAGATTTAAACAAAGATTTGGAAAATAAAGATAAAGGTGAAGGTGAAAAACCTAAAGAAGGAGAAGCCCCACAAAGTGAATGAATTAAATGATGTGAAATGAATGATGAAGAGGATGAGTGAGAAATAAATTTTAAAAATTAATGATTTAAATTAATTATTTTTATTTTTATGAAATGGATTTAGTAATAAATGAGATAAAGAACATAAGAAATGAACCTAAAAGCACAGATGGAGTAAAAGGAAATTTAAGTTATGAAATACCGTTTACGGAATTGACATTAGGTCCTAATAATATTGGTTTTACTTTAGTTCCATCTTCTATAAAACACGTTGACAGTACGTATGAAACTTTGAGGGAGTTTGGAGAAAAACCTTTAAACGCTGTAATATTCGTTTCTCAAAAATACCCAATCAACCAAATGTTTAACGCTATTGTAAAAATAGTAATTAATAATTATTTTAGTTTCAAAAAGGATGAAGTTTTTATTAAACGCTATAAACTTGAGACTCAGTATGGCAATGCAAATGATTTAAATTTGCATTTCGGTTCAAATAATCCCCCATTAAAAGTGAATGAAGATATAATAATTTATAAATGTTTATTTCTTAATAATTCACCCGCTCCAACAAAAGATTTTAAAATTTATGTTTGGGGTTATGCATCGGAACCTATAGAAGATATCAAAGTTTTAGAAAAAGATGTTGACTATATATATTTTAACAATGATGAACTCAGTAAATCATATAGTTTTTCAGAATATCCAACTTCATAAATTAGGAATTAATGATAAAAATAAATTTGAAAAGGAGTGAAGATGAAAAATAAATTTTCATGATGGGTCAAAGTCCCCGCCGATATGCGGCTTAATTATTATTTTTATTTCTCCTCAATCATGCCCATTTTATCACTCATTGTCTTTATCGCTTCATAATGATTAATAAGCACCTCATTTAGTTTCTTTATTTCTTCATTTATTTCATTTATTTTTTCATTTAATTTATCCTCAGTCATCTTTACCTCATTCATTACTTCAACCTTATTTTTATTCACTTCATCCCTTAAATCATTTATTCTCTCATCTTTTCCGTCTCTCATTTTCTTCAGTGACTCCAAATTAAATTTCACCTCACCTGATGCTCTCAATTCTCTATTCACTACTGATATCATTTATTTATAAATAAAAATTTCAATAAATTAATAAAAAACGTGCCACAAATTTAAAAGACTGTTTTTCCTCATCACTTAAAGGCTCACCGTTCAAATGAGTGAACCATAAATTAAAACCATTTCGGTGAGTATTTATTTTATATTTCGCCGTGTCCTTGTTTGGTTGGTCATTAACGAAACACGCGGCATAATTTAAATAGTGGTCACGTTCGATAAAATCAGCATTCATGATTAAGTCCCCAACTAATGAGCCATTTAATACCGCCCTAACTTGTTCAATCACTATATATCTTTCATTCTTGCTTGCCACAAATTCACTCGGTAAATTATTTTTTTCACTATCTGTCCAGTAATATGTTTTCATTTATTTAAAAATAAAATTCAAAATATATTTAATTAATTATCCTGAGAACCTGGTGGAGAGCCTGATGAAACATATTTAAGCCCTTCATCAACTGAAGCAATAAAATATGTGTCACGACATACCCATAACTGTGGAGGCGGTGGATGAATTTCTTTATTATTTGCATCTACGAAATAATAGGTATCCTTTCCTTCACCTGTAAATAATGGCTGCCCTCTGAATTGGATCGCGACGTTTTGACCGTTACTATCTAAACCATCGAATGTATAACCGGCGTTGTTTCTTTCCACCTGAACGTTAAACATAAAACTGGTTCCATCACTGAGAGGGTTTTTGTATCTTGTGCCATCGCTTGCGTTCTTTTTCATCGTTATGGAGTCCTCGAATTCTTTGGTGCATCTCAACCCATTTGATAAATCACCAGCGATTAATTGATATTGAAGGAATCTAGCGCCCTGAGTGCTTACCACTTGGTCTGGTATGTTTTGACCATTAACGGTTAGCTGACAGTTATCATAAATTGGGTTTTCAAATACTGTATAATCGTTATCATGTTTGGGGAACATTACACTAAAACACGTTACGTTATCCAGTGGAATGTTTAATGTTGATTGAATACCTGCCTGAGTTGCTGCTAATGGAAAAGCGTTATAGTTTAATTCTTGTGATGGAATATAAACAGGTTGTTTAAATAAATTATATATTGATTGTTTTGACTTTTCGCTAATCTTGAAACCATACATGTTAGACTTTAATGATTGAACACTTAAGCCAGTCATGATATATCTGATTTCTCCGCTTTCTGGAGTGTAAATGTCAATACTCTGACCACCGATTGTTTCAGTTCTTTTGGTTACATTTGTGAAACCATATGATGGGTTATTAACTTGTGAAAATGCATGAGTAAAACCAGCGCCTGTAGTTGATGAAAATGTGGCGTTCAAATCTTCGCCCTCTCTAATTGCTTTATAATCTCTGACCTTTTCTGGATTCAATAGAGCATATACAAAGCCTTTCTTCTTTATGTAAAATTTCAATTCAATATCACCAACGCAGAAATTAGGGAACATGTCAAACGCTTGAAGGGCTAAAATGTCATCGAACGGAATATTTATTTCATATTCTTCTATATGTTCTTTACCGTCTGCATAATCTGCAAGATTAACGAAAACACCAGCGGCTGACTCTGAATAATTTTCAACGTTCTCATATAATGAGTGTGTATATTTCTTTGTCTTCTTTTCATTGTGTGGTTTTAGTGTTGAATATGCGAAGCCTTCTCTTACCATCTCGTTTTGTGTGTATCCTGTCGATTTGTTACGGTTATTTATAAATAACTGGTCCAATATGTGTGAAGAAGATTTTAAGCCTATGAATGATTTAAATAAATGGTGTGGGTCGTTTGTTGAAAATGCTGTATTCAAACCTACGAAGTATCCTTTTTGTCTAATCTTGAATGTTAAAAATCCGTCAGTAATTTGTGATATATCATGATCTGAATGTGTTATTGAAATTGTTGTATATTGTGAATCATCGAAAGGAGCCGCTTGGTCGTGACAGTCTGTAGTTCTTAAGAAGAAGCTTCTGGTGCCGTCATTTGTTTGTATTAAATTCTTTATAATATTGTGAAAATACGCGGCAACGTTACCCGTTCTTTGTTCCGTGTTGTTCATTCTCTTATTTTGTTCACTGTTCATTTTATATAAAATAAAAATATAAATTATATATATAAATTAATTTTTTTAATTTCTCATAAAGTATGGCTTGGGGTTTTTGGAATAAACTCAAAAAGGGATTCGTTAAAATAGGAAATGGAATTAAGAAGGGCTTGACATGGGTGAACGATCATATAGTAAAGCCCGTTGTTAAGCCTCTCATAAACACATTCGGTGGAGCTCTTGATAAAGTTAAACCAGGATTAGGCACAGCGTTAAACACAGGCGTAAACATTGGCTCCGGTTTGGTTGATGATTGGAGTGGTTCAGGCGACGGCTCAACTACTCGAAAAGCTATGGCAGATGTAGGTGGTTGGGTTAATCGGCGACTAAATAAATAAACTAATTTTTATCATTAATTTTAAAAATTATTTTTGTCACTTATTGACAAAATTTATTTTTGACTCTTTCGCTCCTAATGAATTTTAACACTTACTATATAAAATCCTAATAAAGTTAATGATGTGTTTAAAAATGTTATTTGTGTTTTAAAAAATTTTTCAGTGGTGATGTCATATGCGAGAGGTGGTATGTTTAGACGTGAATATGAAAAACAGAAATGATGAGAGCAGAGGAGCGGAGTGATTGGGTCTCAACTGAATGTTTTTTGGTTCACTCTAAAAATACCACGTCACATACTACTTTTCCAATAGATTTGTTTGCTTTCGCTTTTTCTGACATAATCTAAATGTAAAATTTTTGTAAAGTCAAAATCCTGACATTTTTCTTCCAAAAAAATGCAAAATCAGAATCAAAATCCTGGTGGAATTGATGCAGATCGCTATTATCCCACCGATGAAGAACTCAAAATTCTGATTCCTATGCTGAGAAAGTACTTTAGTTTGCCTGAAAGAAGCAATTCAAGGAAAGATTTAGTTGATGAAGTATTTACAGCAGTAGCAAAGATCAATCCGAAGCATTGGGATGCTAAGAAAGTACGTATTTGGTTTAGAAATAATAAGAAAACATTCATGAGTGCAGATCCTGAAAGAATTCCAACAGCACAAATACCTCCAATTCCAACAGGAGATCCAAATATGATCCAATCAAATGATTCTAATGAGATGAGAGGTATTCAAAGGCCTCGTTTTGTAAATCCAAATGCTCCGGTACAAAATCGATCGAATCAAGCTCCACAACAAGCATTTGTTCCTGATTTACCAATAATTAAACAAGAAATTACCACTGATCAGAGCTCATTTCAAACATCTCTTGAAGAACATTACGAATATCTTGATAAGCTTCGTGGTTTATTGATACAAGCAAGTGAACATCCTCATGCTGCCAAAATCAACAATCAAAAAGATGTTTCATACAACTACACTCAGTGTTTACAACAAATGTCCAAGAAATTGAATGTAGAAAACATTTTTTCGTATGATTCTAGAGCCAAGAAAGTCTACGCATTACCAGCAAAGCATTTAATTTCAAAGATTTCTTTGACATCAGCTCTTGCAGCGACACAAGGTCAATATCCACTAAAAACAGAGTGTAAGATGGCAAAATTAACTGATAATGTTTACAGAAAAGAAGGAATGGAAACTCCAGTTGGACTTTCTTCCGAATATCTCAAATTTTATTCAGGAAATTTAACGGAAACAATTAAAGACATTCCAGGGTTGTCATCATCAACATTTACAAGTGATGGAAAACTTATTTATTCCTATTTTGATCCAGATAAGAAACAACATTTATTAAAATTCGAAGAAAATACAGTTACTATTCCATGTTTCCAGCCTCCAACATCCATGGTATACGATGAAGAGCTCAAAATCGTCTGGATCAGTGCCGAATGCCGAATTTTTGGTATATCAACCGAAACTCTTTCAGTTGTCGACATTTTATTTGCCAGTGTCCAGCCATCTGACACCACGAGCATCTCCATTGCCGATGACAATTTGGTTTTAACCATAAACAACGTGATAATCATCTACAAAAGACAGAAATCCCAAGGTCCTTCGCTGGCAATCATGTCCGACCTGAACACTTCACTTCTTGAGGACAAAATTCGACCGGCCAGTTTAGACAGAAATTCGATTTCTTGGAAAAGAGGTCGACAGAACTTCTCAACGTTAGCTCCCTCCTGCAGAAACTACAGCTACACGTCATATATTAACAAGAACTTCATCATTTCTTCGTCAATCAGCCCTTCAATGGACATTATGACTATTGAGCGACAATCTCTTGGTAATTTGATCGGCCATACTGCAGGAATAACCAGCATGACCACGTGTAAAGACATTTTGTTCACTGGTTCAGCAGATTGTACTGTCAAAGCTTGGGATATCAAACATAGTTCTGTTTTATATCATTTTGACAGACATTCTGCGAAGGTAACTGCTTTGTTTGCTTGCGAAGTTGATGGGAGACTAGTTGTTTTCTCTGGAGGAGACGACGGAGTGATAATAGTTTGGGATCCAGTTAATTCGACTGAAATATTTGAGTTCTATAGGGAAAAGACAACTATTAGAAGGGTTCATTTCGTTCCAGAACAAATGACTTTGTATGCTGTAATAAGAGATGATTCGGAAATAATTTTACCGAAAACTCAAATTTTGACGGTTAAAATAGAATAATTTTAAATATATTGCATGAAAATAAACAATGTTGTTTGAAAAGAGTATTATTTTTTTTAATATAATTCAATACTATTCAATTTTCAATTCAATAAAAATTATTTGTCGTAAAAAAAAATTTAAAAGATCAGCCTGTATGTTAACATTCAATTTTTTTTAAATCGCCATGGAATAACATCTCTCTACATTGACAATAACAGGAAACAAGTGTTGATAATTAAAAATTAGTTAATGCATTTTGTTTTTCTGATTAATAGCATAAAATAGAACTGAGATATTTGTTTTTTAGAAAAAATAAGATCAGCAATAATTCTGAATCCCATAAAATATAATTCCTAAATTCTTTAATAAATCAATTCATTATATCGATCAATGGATGTCATCGATTAAAACGACATTGGTTCTAAAATATTTAATAGAGTCATATCAAAAAATTGAATATAAAATTAAATCTCTATGAAAAAGTTGAAGAATTCAGAGAGGCCTTTCCTTTTGGAATGGAATATATGGAATGGCTTCACGTATTACATAATCTCTTTGATTCTGTATTTCATTGGAAACATTCATGAAGTCATTGAGAATGGTTTCCATTTTATCCCTTTTTTCAAATGTTATATAAAACTTATTATTTTCATTACATGGTTTATTGGACACTTCAATATCATACCTTTTAAGCATTCATTTCATACCAGAAACTTTAGTTCGTGAGTTTTCCTATTAATTCAAATAATTCTTACTTCTGTTGGATATTTAGTCAGGGAAGTTACTGATGAAAGTGAGGAAATACCTGCTAAGTTCACGAGTGCATACAGAAAATATTTATTCGTAGAAACAGTGATATTTGTTACTTTTTTATCGTTAGTCATTGCTTTTTTCAAAAATATATACGAAGCAGTAGGTCCAATGTACGAAGATATATTCTTTGCGCTTCTCGCCCAAGGAAATGAATACAAAAGCAATTACGCAATCATTTTTTCGTTTTTGAAGAAATACGCGTTTACATTATGGGTTCCATCATTAATCATTACAGTTATTTATTATAGAATAACTCGCAAAACATACAAGATTATAAAATCGAAGTTCAAATTCAGATTACAGTTTTATTACTTAATATTTCCATTTTTACTATCTGCGATATATTTCTTTTCGCAGATTTTCATTCCATTACCTGTTTCTAACTCCAATTCCTTCTTTTTCCAAGCAATGATCAATCCGAGTTCGAAATTACTCCAGTTTCCAGAGAAAAAGAAGAACATTATTCTTATTGACTTAGAATCAATGGACTCCGCTTTTCTTTCAACGAAAAACGGTGGTTGTATGGACGAATCCCTTATACCATATTTAGAGGAACTTGCATTAGATAAAAATAATATACATTTCACCAATACAAGTTATCCAAAACTAGGAGGAATGTCAATTGTTTCAAGAACAGAATTTTCAACAGGAAGCACATTCGGAGTTTTATGTGGTGCTCCATTTATGGGAGATAATTATAAATGGGGAAGATCGCATGGGTATCTTGATAAGTTGACATGTATGAGTAATCTATTACAAGATGAAGATTATATATTATCTGCGACATTTGGATCTACATTTGGAGATTGGGGATTTGGAAATATATTTAGAAAACATAATTTCGATAAAATTAATACAAGATATCAAATTGAAAGAGATATACATAATGAATATGTTAAAGACTTTGCTACATATTCTTACTTTAAGAGAGAATTAAATTATTTGCACAAATCAAGGAAACCATTTTTGGCATTCATTACTACATCAGATACTCATGAACCTGGTATTGAATGCGATTATTGTCCAAAAAATATCAGTCAACAATTATTTAAAACAGTTAGATGTGCAAATAACCAAATTAAAGAATTCCTTGAATGGGCAAAACTACAAGAATGGTATAATAATACTGTTATTGTTATATATGGAGATCATGTTTCAAGAGATGTAAATGTAATTGATATTGCGAAAGCAAAAAATATGATGAGAGAAGCTTATATTGTTTTCATTAACTCAGAGGTGAAAGCAAATAAAACATATGAAAGAAAGTTCATTGCATATGACTTGTTCCCTTCTATATTAGCTGCTACTGGTGTGAAGATAAAAGATAATAGATTAGGTCTTGGAGTCAATATATTTTCAAATGAATCGACTCTGTTGGAAAAATACCAAGATAAGTTTGTATCTAGTTTTTCTGATACAACGTATTGGTATGAAACAGTAATTCTCAACAAACCTGCACAATGTGATGGATTCACACCTTGTATTAGTATAGAAAACTTTACTCAAATCTGAGAATAATATTAGAGATTTTTAGAATAAATGTGTTATATATCTGAACTACTTTTATTTAACAGATAATATATTTTTAAAACAGTACAAGCTTAAATAGTTAACTTTTAGTTAATAATGTAAAATTATTAACAAGAAGAATACTAAATATCATCGTTCTATTGTTTCTTGGAAGCATGCAATAAGAATCATCTATAAGAGATATCAATACTCCAAAATTCTAAAATAATTTCATATCTTCAAATAAACAAAGAAAATCAATAAATACATCATTACGCCATATAGTTTATGTGGAAAATTACAAAAATAAAATTTTAATAAAATGGGAAAGAAGAACATAAAAATTAGAAATTTTGTCAAAGTTTTTATAAAATTGCAAAATTTTGGATAGAAAAACTGTTTGTCTGGAAATTCTAACACGTGTGTTTAAATTAATATTAGATGTTCGCTATATGCACACTATTTTTGACTTTTCTTTAGCGATATTATGTATTAAATCACGGAAATTATATTCATTATTTAAGTGTACATACATGACTTCTTTAAAATAAAACATTTTATCGAACCGATAAGCAGTTCAACAAAAAAATTGAATTTGATTTCGAAATTTTGAGATTAGAAATGGAAAAATGATACAATATTCAAAGAACTCTGCTTCAATATAGCTATTTATTATGTATTAATTCAGAAAATTTTTAATTTTGTGAAAAATATTCTCGCAAAAATGAAGTATTTTGATTTTCTAGGTTATTTCAACGATTCATTCATGAGAGTGAGTTCATTTTAGAAACCCGAAATCCTCAAATGACAGTCTGTTCAACCACCAGTCACTTTTTCTTATTGTGATCCATTGTAAAAAAATTTTGAGAGATCTCACAAAAATTTAATGCAACGAAGCTTTGATCTGCAATTATTAATTACCTAAAGCATTAGTTTCGCACTAATATGAGGTAAAATGTCAAATTATGCTGAATTTTTATTTATATTTTGTCTAAGTTCCAATTATGGATGATTCAGCTGCCATCAACGAATTATCCAATCAATGGTGCATATTACTTACTGCCCAATGCTGTCATGCCCTTCCTATCTCACCAAACGAGCTCAGTATGAAGATTTCTAATCTTGCAGAGAGCCAGGAAGAAGAATCAGTCGGAAAAATCATCCTCTCTGGTTACAGTATGTCCAAAACTAATGAAATCGATAAAATAAGTATGATGTTTGACAGTTTATCTACGATTTTATACCAATTTCACTCAAGACCCGAGTTTCCACGAATATTCAACAAAGTTTTCTTCATAACAGCCTCTGTCTTTTCCATGAATAACGCTAATTCTGAAGCAAAGAAGGTAGTTAAGGCTATTCACACAGATGACATTGATAAAGCAGTTCCTTTGAACGAATTCCAGGTCATTGAGTCCAGAGTTTTTATATTGTTCTCTACAATGCTATCAGCAGCCTCAAATTTACCTCAAATAAAACTTCACGAATTTAATCACAAAATTATCAATACAATCTTTAGATACCTCAACTGTACAGAACCACAATCAGTCAGAACAGCTGTTGGCCAAATTTTAGCTGTTCTTTCCTCTGTTGTTATCAACTTAAAACAAATTATTTACATTTTTTGGGTTCAGTTCTCAAAATGCAAGAAAGAGGACGAATACAGAAACTTTACGACATACTTAGATGGAATTGCTAATTTACAGTTTGGAATATCGTATAATGAAGATTTTGCTGAATTGACACTTGAATTCTTCAACAACTTCATTGATAACGAGAAAAAGATCGACATTGGTGTTGTCAGACTCAAATTCCTTTCTACATTCGAAACAATCATCATAAATATCAACAAAAATCCAGATAATTACAGTTTGCAGTATTTATCAGTATTAGATTCAATTTGGAATATCGCAGTCAAATGGTCATCAAAAGGAAAGCACACATTGTTCTGCTACACCTTCCTTTGCCATATTTTGTTAAATTCTTCTTCAGATTTTTATATAAACCACTCGGAAAAGTACTTTATTTTGCTTACAAAGTACGCAAAGAATGGCCAAACAGATGTTTTGAACCTTGTTTTATTAATTCTGAAGAATGTTCCTGAATTTTTCAAAAAAGAGAAACAAGATGAATTAGTTAAGATGATTTCGGACAAAATTATTCCTCTTCTCTTCATAAATAATGATAACAAGATCAAGTTACGCTTTGAATACGAAGATCAGTATCCAATTGTACTGAAAATCATGAACGAAATAGGAAAACAATGTCCAGAAGTATTAATAAATGAAGTTTTCTATATATTGTCCAACAAAGAAGTTACAGAAAGTAACAAATTGGTCAGATTAATTGCAATTCAGTCTTTGGCCGCTTTGTGCAAAGAAATTCCAGACAAAATGAAGGAATATAGCAACAGAATGTCCCATTTCTTCGAAGAAATGCTCTTAGCAGCTGATCCTGACTTTCTTCATGAGCAACAACACGCATTACCAACATTTCCGACATTCCACTCCGACCAACAGCCGCAGAATGAGATTCTATCACAGATAGTCTTCTTCTTGTCCGTAAGCGGAGAGTCCTACGCCTTGGAAGCTCAAGATTCTTTCCGAAATTTCGTTGAAAAGGTCGTTCAGCCTGATTTCTGCGGAAATACACCAATTATATACATCAACAATATCATCCAGAACATAGAATCAGCAACAGCGAGCGATTCTTACATTTTTATTAATTATTTAAGGAATGTTCTCAAATCTTACCAAATTAACCTTTCCAACTGCAAGGATGTGCAAGGATACATCTATAACTTCACAAACGAGTGGGAAGAGATGAGAATGAACTTAGATTGTTTATTATTAATTTTGCTGATGAGCCCTGACCAAAAGATCATCAATGCAACAGAAGAAGTCATTGAAGTCCTCAATACTACCGAAATAATACAGTTTGACGAATTTTGCGAGTATCATAAAAATAATTTAGCGACATTCCTCAAAGAAACAGGAACAAAAGACATCATTGGTAATGCAAAGAAGATGCAAGACACATACAAAGAGTTTACTGATGTTTTCCTTTCGAAATTGTTCTCCAAATTCGAAATGAGAAGAAAAACCATTTCCACGCAGCATTCGATCAAAGTCATCCACTATCTGACTAAGTTTATACAGAATGACAACGAAATGTTCAAAAAAATTTTGGTATTTTTATTTGGATATTTCGTAGAAGAAGCAAACAACCAAGAAATACCGCAAATACTGTCCGAACTCGACTATAGCCTGACAATTCCTATTGGCGATGCACTTTTCGAGTGGTTATCCACTACATTCAAAGGAGATTATTTCCATCAAACGACAACCATCATGAAAACCATAGTTTTCAGACCAGAATTCAAGAATTTAGACAAAGAAGATGCCCATTTACAACATTTAGAGAAGTTTGTTGTTATGATGCTAGGATATAAAGATCTTCGCACAGAAACACACTTCAAGAACTTAGAAGACAGTTATTCAGTCTATATCAAGTGGTGTGAAGAAGATCCACATGAAATGAAGCGATTATTCAACACTAAGATCCTTGTCGACACAATTTATTATTCATTTTTCAACATTTTGAAATCAGACAATTCGCAAATCATGCCAAAGTTTTTCCCATACACACTTTTCTTAGCAATCACAGCAACATTCAAGCACATCGAATTACCACGAGAAGGATACAACAAATTCTGCAAGTACTTGAATGATTTCATTGAAATCCACATTCACGATGACATTCTCCAAGGAAAAATCGTTGAATGTCTCACAGAACTTCTTAAGAACAACAGACATCTTCTTCTTGAATTCTCACGACAAACATATTGTTCATTGTTTGACATCTATTCCGGAAGTTTTCTTTTATCTATCTGCAATGTTTTTGTTTTGTGTTCAGATTTCTTTTCTTTTTATGAAAATTCGAAAGTCATCATTGTTTATTTATTGATATTACATCTTTCTAGTTCTGCCGTTTTCACTCGGAAAGCATCACACAAACTACTGTCTTTAGTTCTTAATCGATGGAATTCTATCTTTAATAAGCAACCACAACGAAATCTTTTCATTTACAACTCAGTGAACAACACATCATCATATATCGGACACTCAGACATGTTCATCAAATACATCATTGAAAGTATTCCATCAGATATCTGTTTTGATGTTATTTCTCTTCTTTCAAACGATATGAGTTTAATCAAGATTTCACATGACACTATATTATGTAACATCAGCAAAGTTATTCCTGTTGTTGTCAGAGATTGTGACATCGAACATTTGATTTCGAATATATTGAAACTTGTTTGTTCATGTGATTTCAATCATTCTATGACGGCAGAACACATTGCTAATATCTTTGAATGCGTTTTCAATTGTATCAAAACACATGATCGATGTGGTGCTAAGTATTTGTGTCAATTGATCATTAAATTCTCATGTGATCATGAAAATAATAACAAAATCAGCGAATGTTCAGTTGTTGCTCTTTGTTCACTCTTCGAAGTATTTCCAGGCGATGTTTCATCATATTTAGTCTCAATCTTCGATGTTTACAACTGCAGTGTTTCAGACAACATCGATAACTTTGTTTCATATCTCAGCAAATCAGATATAACATTTATCCCATCACGTGAAGAGATCATCGCATGCAACAGTCTTTCACAGATCTTACTTCTTATTTCAGATTTTAATATTTTTGATGAATATATTAAGCCACATTTGAGTTTGCTTTTCTTCTTTGGTTTATTCAATTACCATCGTAAAGATGTTAAAATTGGTAAGTTCAAACCTATGCTTGATATCCTTCTTGAGACAGTTCTTCTTCGAATGAACAAATCACAGTCAACACGTGAGAAAACACTTTCCACACTTCAGAATATTTCAGTTCTTGCATATGCAACAAACACAAATGTTGAGTTCCACATCCAATCTAAGAACGAACGAAAGTTCATTCTTGAAGATACAGAACTTATCAAGAAACTTACAAACATCTTCTGCGATAACAACAAAGAGATGAAGAAAGAAATTTTTAATATTGTTTTCTCTAATTTCTTCCTTTCAGGAAAATGCGAACGTGCGAAAGAGTTGTTGACAATGATGATCTCACTTCGAGACGAGTACAACACGAACTCTATATACATCATCCTTCTTTACACACTTCACTCACTGAAGATCGGCCGCCTTGACTTAGTAACAACACTTGTCAAGAACATCCAGACGAGACTGATGACATGTTCCGATAAATCATTCATGAACGAGTGTGTTCCAGTCTTACTGACATTCTTGACATATTTGCAAGAAGGATTCGACTTCCACATCATCTTCAACATGATGTCAGTTATTCCAGGCATCTGCGACAGAATCATTGAACACGAATCATGTGAAACGATCTCATCGGAGTTCTGCAGTTTCTTCGACAAATACGGCAGTGATCTCTTCATTGCTTCTCTTTTCGTTCGCTTCTTAGTTATCCAAGAAGACTTGAACTCACACGAGACAGAACTTATCATCAACTGCCTCATCCACATTTCTAACATTTATGACATCTACAACAGAGAAAAAGACAAAAATAAAGAAAAAGAAAAACAAAATGAAGAAGAAGAACAAGAAGAAAAAGAAAACGAAGAAAACTGGTGTTTGCTTCTTGGAGTTTTAGTTGAGTATCTGAGATACAAGTCATGTAAATCACAGAAAGATTACAAAGTCATCTTCAAAGGTTTCAATTACAATTTAGATGATTTCATCAATTTCATTTTGTCTAATTTCAAGAGTGTTAAGAAGTTGAATTTCGTCATCTATTTCAATATATCGATATACAGACAATTCCACTTCGTTGACATATCGATCGACAAACATGTTGTAGAACTCATATCTCGTTTCATCAAAGAGTCAAAACATTTCAACAAATCAGTGTATTCGTCATTAATCACATTCTTGAATATGATTGTCATCTCTAGTGACTCAGAGACAAGAGTTGTTGCATCTTCTCTCTTGTATGATTTGATGAACGACAAACATATCGAATTCGACGAATCTCTGCTTAGATACTCAAAGATGAACATCAAGATGAACAAGAAGATAACAGATAAGATATCACAAACATCTAATGACAATAACAATATTAGTAATCAAAATAAAATTGTGAGTAAATCAAAGAGCAAGAGGTTGATTCCTTTCATCAATCGAATGAGTCTTGATTTATCATATCAGAACAAAATTGACGAAACATCGAATCAAAGGAGAAGATCAAGTGTCATCGAATATTACGAGAATAACAGTAACAAACGAGAAAGAGTCATTCTCAAAGATTCATTCCCTTCTGTTTCCCTATTCGACACAGGATTCACTGATGACACAAACATCGACCAAATTCTCTGGCAATATGTTGTTGACAAAGCAAAATCACTTCAATAAATATTTAATTTTTTTTTTAACTTTGATATTTTTCTTTCTCTTTATCTGTTAAATGGATATGTTCAAGAAAACAAATGTCCAGAATTTACGGAAATCTCTTTCTTTTTTATTGATGATTTCAATTTCATCTGCATCTTCAATAACAATATTTATGAAAGCTTCGTTATTGTCAATAATATTTGAAATTATATTTCTAGTGTTGCTTTCGAAACAAAGATCTGCTGATAAATGCTTAAGATGGTTTTCGATCATTTCATTTTTTGTTGATGTTATTGATATGTCATTTGGGATTGTTCCTTGGTTATTATTTAAGCAACTATTCTCTATAGAAATAGAACCTCTAAAATCATTACCATATGGGGATTGGATAATGAAAATATTATCGGCAAAACTATTTATGATATTACATTCATAAATAGTTAATGAATTCTGATATACTTCAATTAGTTGATCTTTTGCTTTGTTGTTTATAATGTTACTTCGAAATAATTTTTCATCATGAGGTTGTTGATATGTATCTGTACTAAAACAAATACATATATCACTAGATGATGTGTTATTAATAATAGAATTCATAGATGAATTTGATTCTGTATCTGCTGTGCAAAAGAAATATGCAGATATTGAACTTGTTTTAAAATACGAAATATTAGAATTATAAAGAAATTGGTGCCCATGATAAAAAGAAATTGAAATATCACCTTTTTCTTCATTAAAAGTTCGAGAAAATGATGATTCTAGGATCCAATTTTTAGAATCTCCTATAGATGTTATGCAATAACAATGCTGTCCATTAGAATCTGCCCAACAATCTGTGGAACAAACACGGTTTTGAACAATTTCGCCGTTTTCATTAAGAAAGATACAGCCACCATAACCTTCATTGGTGGAAATAGATATAAATGTAGTAGATTCAATAACAGTTTTAAGGTCACCACTAGAATAAAGTACTCGGTTTGAAAGATCTTTGAAAAAACTATTATAAAGATAGGCATTTCCATTCTTTGTATATGATCCATTTGTTATCTGTTCATAACTGCCTTCGAAATAATTGTTATATTCTGTATGAAACATTTATAATTTTTCATAGAAATAAGTTAAATATTTTGTCACTTTTTTCCCATCTTAAAGTTAAAAAATAGAAAAATAAAAATTACTCAAACTAGTTTGAATGAAAATGACAATTAACAGTAGATAATTATGAATATGTATTGGTTTTCAGGTCGAAATTCAAGAATTTGGACAAATAAAATGGTCCATTTACTACATTTAAAGAAGAAAAAGTAAAATTTGATCAAGGTTTACTACGATTTTGTGGAAGCTATCGTGCTCATTATTCATCAATGTTATGTGTACTACATATTAGGGGTTTAAAATCGGCATCAATATCAATACATTTCCCCATTTCAATTCCAAAATGTAAATGTGATGCGACCAAATATATCGTGCTCCCCAGAATTATTTTTGCTTTTTTCATTGAAAATATTATTAAATATCAGAGTGAGAAAAATTTACATTTCAAGAGTGAAATTGAATGAAGTACGTTGGAGATGATGTGCAAACTAACTATGGATCTAACATCTACATCATAAAGGGAAAGCTAAGATCACATTTTATGTGAGTGGGATCACTTCTGATAAAATACTTTCATTTTTTTTGCTTTCTGATGAAAATTTTTATTATACACAGTCCAAAGATGGATATATCTTAGGAGATCAGAATAATTCTAAACCTAAAGGTTTAAAGAACCGTGAATTATTAAATTGTGTTATTCCGAAAACATTTAATGGCAAAATTGTTTTTGGCTTAGGATATCAATGCTTTCATAGTGCACATAGTTTGATTAAAGCATTTGTTCCGAATACAATCAGCCTTTTTCATAACGATGTTTTTGCAAACTGCTCACATCTTGAAGAAATTTTATTTGAAGATGGATTCAAGAATGTAAATTTGGCAGGGTATACATTATATAGAACAATTATGCGTTCATTTAAATTCCCAATTGGTTCAACTGCAGAAATCTATTTTTTCCAATGGTCTAATATAAAAAATGTCTATATTTACGATTTTATGCACTCTAATAAATCAAACATATTTGAAAGTTGTTCACCATCAATAAATATTTACGTCCCAGCGAATTATCCATATGATACATTTGCCCAAAGACCTGTGACAAAAATTCTTCCTGATTTTATTTTCAATAAAGAAACAAAAGGAATCAAGATTTTTTGCCTTTACAATCATTTTATTTCTATCCATCCATTTATCTTTTTATTTACTTAATATTTATAAGTCCATAAAAAGTGTCACAACTTTTTTACTATTGAATTTTGTGTCAATTTTTTTCTTTTTCTTTTTCTTCCCTAATTGATTTCTGATGAAAATTTTTTCTATACATCATTTAAAGATGGTTATATCATCGGAAATGATACTGATATAATACTCAATGGGCTAAAGAATCTTCATTTAGCTGATTGTATTATTCCTAGAAGTTTTAACAACAAACCAGTCTATGGTTTTGGATATCGATGCTTCCACAGTGCACATAGTTTTGTTAGAGCATTTATTCCCAACACAATCACGTATTTTAGAAATGATGCATTTGCAAATTGTACACATCTCGAAGAACTTTTATTTGAAGACGGTTTTAAGAATGTGAATCTTGGAGGATATACTCTTTATGGAACTATTATGCGCTCATTTAAATTCCCAATTGGATCAACAACTAGAGAGTGTTTTTTTCAAATATCTAAAATCGAGAATGTTTATATTTATGATTTCATGCATTATAGTGATGCAAATATATTTGATCATTGTGAACAAGCAATTAATATTTATGTTCCTGTCAACTACCCGTATGATACATTTGGCGAAAGATCTGTTAAAAAAGTTCTTCCAATCTACATTCAACATATTGAATCAAAAGGAATCAAAATTCTTTGTATCAATAATAATTTAGCTTATATTTCTCCATTTCTCATTTTACTTATTTGAATAAATCATTAATATTAATATTTCAATACTGAAATGCACAATGAAGAACAGTTTTACCATTATACTTTTTTAACAACTTTTAAATATATATATATAACAAATAAGTTAACAATATATTAATCTTGGAGCGCAAAACAGCTGAATTTCATTATCTATATTTCAACATATCGATATAAAGACAATTAAATTTCGTTTCATCAAAGAGTCAAAACATTTCAACAAATCAGTGTATTCGTCATTGATCACTTTCTTGAATATGATTGTCATCTCTAGTGACTCAGAGACAAGAGTTGTTGCATCTTCTCTCTTGTATGATTTGATGAACGACAAACATATCGAATTCGATGAATCTCTGCTTAGATACTCAAAGATGAACATCAAGATGAACAAGAAGATAACAGATAAGATATCACAAACATCTAATGACAATAACAATATTAGTAATCAAAATAAAATTGTGAGTAAATCAAAGAGCAAGAGGTTGATTCCTTTCATCAATCGAATGAGTCTTGATTTATCATATCAGAACAAAATTGACGAAACATCGAATCAAAGGAGAAGATCAAGTGTCATCGAATATTACGAGAATAACAGTAACAAACGAGAAAGAGTCATTCTCAAAGATTCATTCCCTTCTGTTTCCCTATTCGACACAGGATTCATTGATGACACAAACAGATTGTTGACAAAGCAAAATCTCTTCAATATGTGTGACTAAACTTTTGTTTCTGAGTTTGTCAATTCAAATATATTTAAAAAAACAAATTTCCAAAACCGGCCATAATCCTTCCCTATCTTATTAATAATTTCAATTCCATCTAATTTTTGAATAAGGATATTTAGGAATTCATCATGTTTCATTTCAGTAATTGTCGTATAATAACTACTTGAAAAACAAAGAGCTGTTGATAAATGCTTAAGATTGTTTTCATTCATTTCATTTTTTGTTGATATTATCGATATGTTATTTGGAACTGTTCCTTGGTTATTATTTAAGTAACTGTTCTCTATAGAAAATATTATCGGCAAAACTATTTATGATATTACATTCATAAATAGTTAATGAATTCTGATATACTTCAATTAGTTCATCACTCGCTTTGTTGTTTATAATGTTACTTCGAAATAATTTTTCATCATGAGGTTGTTGATATGTATTTGTATTAAAACAAATACATCTATCACCAGATGATGTGTTATTAATAATAGAATTCATAGATGAATTTGATTCTGTATCTGCTGTGCAAAAGAAATATGCCGAAATAAAACTTGTTTTAAAATACGAAATATTAGAATTATAAAGAAATTGATGTCCACGATAAAATTCAATTGATGATTTGCCTTTTTCTTCATTAAAAGTTCGAGAAAAAGATGATTCTAGGATCCAATTTGCATTTTTCCCTATAGATACAATGCAATTACAATGCTGACCAAAAGATGACGCCCAACAATCTGTGGAACAAATACGGTTTTGGACAATTTCGCCGTTTTGATCTAGGAATATGCAGCCACCATATCCATTTTCATCATCGTTAGTGGAAACGCATACAAAAGTACTCGATTCGATGACAATTTTGAGATTTCCATTTGAATATAAAGTCCTGTTTGAAAGAACTTTGAAAAAACAATCATAAATATAGGCGTTTCCGTCATGAGTGTATGTTCCATTTGTTATGTTTTCATAAGATCCTTCGAAATAATCATTAAATTCTGCATGGAACATTTAGAATTGTTCATCTTTTGACTTTAAATATTTTGTCACTTTTTTGTTATCCGATGATGACTTTTACTATTCATCCCATAAAGACGGTTTTATCATCGGTAGAGAATCTGAAGATATTACAAATGGTTTAAAGAATCTTGCATTAACAGATTGTGTTGTTCCACGAACATTTCAAAACAAAAGAGTCTACGGCTTTTCATACAGATGCTTTCACAGTGCACCAAACATCATTCGAGCATTTATTCCAAACACGATTACTTTAATTCAGATACTTTTATGCATTGCACAAAACTCAAAGAAATTCATTTTGAAGAAAGATTTCGAAATGTATATCTATCTGGGTATGTATTAATTGATACATCAATAACTTCATTTAGATTTCCGCTTGGTTGCACTATTGGTCAATACTTTTTTCAGTCTTCCAAGATAGAATACATATATATTTACGATTTTATGGCATATAATGATAATAATATATTTGATCTTTGCGAGCAAACGATCAACATCTATGTTCCATTGAATTATCCATATGAAACATTTGGCGGAAGACCAGTGACAAAAATTCTTCCGAATTATATTTTCATTAACAAATCTAAAGGGATCGAAATTTTTTGTCTTTACAATCGTTTTATTCCTATTCTTCCATTTATCTTTTTATTTGCTTAAATAATTTTTTTATCTCTGCTGCACAATGAAAAGCAGTTTCACCATTTCAGCAGAATAAAATATTCTAATTACTTGAGATAGAATTATTCATTAATGATCTATTTATTATTATTCTAGAATAGCTTTTTCAAATCGAGAAAGTTCAAAACATCTGAAGTGTTCAAATTAGATTTTGAGTGGATTTGTAAATTATATCTTGAATAACTGAGATCGTCGATTTATTGAAAACATTTTTTGCCCTGCATCAAAAATCAAGTTACTGATCATCAATATGATTCCATAGGACAAATTAGCATTTTAACAGAATTTCATTCTGTTAAAATCTCTCCCATCCTCTTTCATTACATTATTTTAAGAAATGAAAATGGTGCCATGGGATTCTGATAAAACATCCTCCATTTTTTTTGACAGTTTTTATTTGTTTTCAGACGGATTTATCATTGGAGATAAAACTGATGTTAAACTAAATGGACTAAAGAATCTTAATTTAGTTGACTGTGTAATTCCGAAATCTTTCCGAGGTAATAAAGTTTATGGCTTAGGATATCGATGCTTCCATAGTGCTCATAGCTTTATTAGAGCATTTGTCCCTAACACAATCACTAAATTTGAAAACGACGTTTTTGCAAATTGCACAAATCTTCAAGAACTTTATTTTGAAGACGGATTCAAGAATGTGAATTTAGGAGGATATACATTATTTAGAACAACCATGCGTTCATTTAAGTTCCCAATTGGTTCATCTGTCCAAGTATATTTTTTTCAGTTGTCTCAGATTGAATTCATTTATATTTACGATTTCATGAAATTTGACGAGACGAACATATTTTGGAGTTGTCCGCAGACAATTCATATTTATGTTCCATTGAATTATCCATATGATAGTTTTGGAGGACGACCGGTGACAAAAATTCTTCCCGATTATTTTTTTCATGAGAGAGGGTCAAAGTTGCTATTTGTCACTTTTCCACAAGAATATAATGGGGAAAAAGTTATCATATAGTTGATCTCATTTATTGAGGTGAGAGATGTATGTAGTGTAATGGGATAAACAGTGGGATTGCTGCTCTAAGTCCTAGGTTCGAGACACATTGGCTTCATTTTTCTCTTTTTTATTGACGTAAACTATTCAATTTTTGTGTTCTCCATTCAAATTTCAGAATTTTTTTTGCAGATTTCACGCTACATTCGAAGTTACCTTTTGTAACAACCACCACTGCCTACGAAAGACGAAAGTGTGTCACGATTTCACCCGGAAATCCGACGGTTGTTTAAGAGTATGCACTTTTGGCACCCACTCTTTTTTTCATGCAGATACAGACAAATTCAAAAATCAGTGTTTTAGTAATCATTTATCTAATGTTATTTTATTTTTATTTTTGTTGTCATGAATATTAAATATGCTGATTATAATTCAACAAGAAGAGAAGTTTTTCCAATTAATTTTCATTGACGAAAAATACAATTTGATAATAATTATATGAAGAATAATTGTTCAAAAAAATATTTATTCTATTTCAATAGTGATTATCAAAAAATGAGAACATATTTTATGCCCGTAAAAAGTGTCACGGTTTTTGACTCTTAAATTCTGTGTCTATTTTTCCCTCTCTTTTTCTAATTGATTTCTGATGAAATTTTTTTCTATACATCATATAAAGATGGTTATATCATCGGAAATGAATGGACTAAAGAATCTTAATTTAGTTGATTGTATTATTCCTAGAAGTTTTAACAACAAACCTGTCTATGGTTTTGGATATCGATGCTTCCACAGTGCACATAGTTTTGTTAGAGCATTTATTCCCAACACAATCACATATTTTAAAGACGATGTATTTGCAAATTGTTCACATCTTGAAGAATTTTTATTTGAAGATGGATTCAAGAATGTGAATTTGGCAGGGTATACATTGTATAGAACTATTATGCGCTCATTTAAATTCCCAATTGGATCAACAACTAGAGAGTGCTTTTTCCAAGTATCTAAAATCGAGAATGTTTATATTTATGATTTCATGCATTTTAGTGATGCAAGTGTATTTGACCTTTGTGAGCAGACAATTAATATTTATGTTCCTGTCAACTACCCGTATGATACATTTGGCGAAAGATCTGTTAAAAAAGTTCTCCCAATCTATATTCGTCATATTGAATCAAAAGGAATCAAAATTCTTTGTATTAATAACAATTTGGCTTATATTTCTCCATTTCTCATTTTACTTATTTGAATAAATCATTAATAATAATATTTCAAAATCGTAATGCACAATGAAGAACAGTTTTACCATTATGATTTTTTTAAACAACTAACTTTTTTCATTAAAACAAATAACCAAATCTTGTTTTTGTTTGCAGATTCAGATCATGAAGTCTAATTCATGTATCCAAAATATTTATTGTTCTATATTTAGAATTTGTTGGTTTTGACTCTTTCCAGGATATCTAAGATGAAATTCCGAGTTTGATAATCTCTTGTTCAACAAATGAATTGTAAACTACTCAAAAATTTACAGTCGGCCTTTTGAATTGAAGTTTACAAATTCAGTCAAAATATTTTGTCAGATTATATTTGCTTTCTGATGAAAATTTTTACTATTCATCATACAATGATGGATATCTCCTAGGAACTGGTACAATGGATGTGCGAAATGGGCTAAAAAACCTTAATTTAGTTGACTGTGTTATTCCGAGAACTTTTAATGGAAAAAAAGTTTATGGACTAGCATATCGATGCTTTCATAGTGCACCTAACATTGTCAAAGTATTTATTCCCAAAACATCTACAATTTTTATTGGAGATTCATTTGCAAATTGCAAACAAATTAAAGAAATCTTTTTTGAAGATGGATTTCATAATGTAAATTTATCTTCATATACATTAATTGGAGCCTCTATTACTTCTTTTCGATTTCCAATTGGCTCTTCAATCGGAGATTTCTTTTTTGCTGAATCTAAAATACAAGACATATATATTTATGATTTTATGTCATTTAATACAAAAGAGACATTTGATAAATGTCTACAAGCAATAAATATTTATGTTCCAGTAAATTATCCATACAATTCCTTTGGCGGGAAATCAGTGAAAAAAATTCTTCCAAATTATATTCAAAATGTTGAATCTAAAGCATTTCAATTTTGTTGTCTTTATAATCACTTATCATCTGCTCTCCCATTTATCTTTTTATTTGTGTGATAAATAAAAATACTTTTTAATCTGCCGCATAAAACCTAATCTGATAAAATACATAAGTTTTCAATTTTTTTTTTGCTTTCTGATGAAAATTTTTATTATACACAGTCCAAAGATGGATATATCATAGGAGATCAGAATAATTCTAAACCTAAAGGTTTAAAGAACCGTGAATTATTAAATTGTGTTTTTCCAAAAACATTTAATGGCAAAATTGTTTTTGGCTTAGGATATCAATGCTTTCATAGTGCACATAGTTTGATTAAAGCATTTGTTCCGAATACAATCAGCCTTTTTCATAACGATGTTTTTGCAAACTGCTCACATCTTGAAGAAATTTTATTTGAAGATGGATTCAAGAATGTAAATTTGGCAGGGTATACATTATATAGAACAATTATGCGTTCATTTAAATTCCCAATTGGTTCAACTGCAGAAATCTATTTTTTCCAATGGTCTAATATAAAAAATGTCTATATTTACGATTTTATGCCCTCTAATGACTCAAGTATATTTTCAATGTGTCCCCAAACAATAAATATTTTCGTCCCTGCAAATTATCCATATGATACATTTGCCCAAAGATCTGTGACAAAAATTCTTCCAGATTATTATTATCGTGCAGAATCCAAAAGAATTATAATTACTTGTGCTAATAATCATTTGTCATATGTAATTCCATTTATATTTTTGTTTGCTTGACCAAATATGATTAGTTTGAACTTAATAAATGGAGTTTTTTTTTTACTTTCCAAATTTATTCAAAATATTTTGTCACACTTTATTTGCTTTCTGATGAAAACTTTTATTATATCGCATACAAAGATGGATATATTATTGGCAATGATACTAAAATACTCCATAATGGATTAAAAAACCTTAATTTAGTTGACTGTGTTATTCCTAGAACCTTTAATCATAAAAAATTATACGGATATAGATGCTTCCATAGTGCACCAAGTATTATTCGAGCGTTTATCCCTAACACCATTACTTCCTTTCAAGGAGATACTTTCAGTTGTTGTTACACACTTCGAGAATTAATTTTTGAAGATGGGTTTCATAATATTAATCTGAATGGGTATACATTATTCGGAGTTAATATAAGTTCATTTAAGTTCCCCATTGGTTCTAAAATTGGAGGCTACTTTTTTGCAGAATCTAGTATCGAAAATATATATATCCATGATTTCATGATAAGTATTAATGATAATATATTTAATAACTGTCAACAAACTATAAATATTTATGTTCCTGCGAATTATCCGTATGATAATTTTGGAGGAAGGCCAGTGAAAAAAATTCTTCCAAATTATTATTTTCGGAGTGAATCTAAAGGAATTGATATCTGTCTTAATAATCAATTATTCTATGTCATTTCATTTGTGTTTTTATTACTTTAAATAGCATAGTGTTGATTTATTTCTTCATTTGTGAGACTTCTTTCTTATATCATTCCTCTAAGATATAAATAAATTTATTTGGATATTTATTAAATTTCATAGTCATTCTTCGTGCGTTTAATACTGTTGGATAATGCTAATCATTGCTTCCAAATTGTTGGAAAATAGAGAAATACTAGTAATATACCAAATTATATGGACAAAATTGAATGAGTGAAACGGTTTTCAATTTTGTTCATTATTTGGATATCTTGTTCCATACTGAGAGCTTAAAAAATGTGCTTCTGTTAATTTTATAAAGATCATTATTTGGTACAAGATATAAATATTAGGGATCTCTTATGTGGATTATGTAAACTTCTCAAAATAAAACGTTTTTCATAAATCTTACTCTTATTAATATAAAAATACGTTTTTGTCGTAATGAATCTTCTTGCTAAATGATTTCTGATGATAACCTTTACTACACCCCATATAAAAATGGATATATCATCAGAAACAATTCGTTTGTTAAGCTCAACGGCTTAAAAAATTATAATTTAATTGATTGTGTTATTCCTAAAACATTTGAAGGTAAAAGAGTATATGGATTCGGATACCGATGCTTTCATAGTGGGCATAGCATTGTTAAAGTTTTCATTCCTAATACGATAAATTATTTTAATGGAGATACCTTTGCAAACTGTACTAACTTAACAGATATACTCTTTGAAGATGGATTTCATAATGTTGTGTTAAGTTCTTATTTATTATACGCCACAAATATCACCTCGTTTAAATTTCCGATTGGCACCACTATTAAAGGATATTCTTTTGCTTATACTCCTATTCGGGATATCTATATTTATGATTTTATGACCTTCAATAATGCGAATATATTTATAGCTTGTTCGAAGTCTATTAATATCTATGTTCCAGAGAATTATCCTTATGACAGTTTTGGTGGAAGACCTGTGTCAAAAATTCTTCCGTCCTATACTTTTAGCATTCAAGCAAAGGGAATAAAAATACTTTGCGTTACAAATCAATTATATTACATTACTCCATTTGTATTTCTATTTGTATAATTTAAAAAGAATGTATATTATAAAATGATTTCTTTTTACAAAAACATGATAATCAGAGGATGAATTGAAACTTTAGATTTAACAATTTTCATGTAATTAATTGAACATCAGGCTGAACAATCATAAACACATCGACGAGGAAGCTTGCTAGTGCTAATCAATTCAGATATGAATGATTTGCTTTGGTTTTCAATCTCACAACCACATGAAAGTTGGTGGCAGTCTTTAAATGAATCTTTACCAACAGACAAAAAACATGAAGCATTGATGTTGCAACTTTCTGTTAAAATAGGTCAGATGGTATAAAAAGTGTACATCAAATGATCATTAGGAATTGTGAATTCAGTTAGAGATAACATTAATTGATACATCAATAACTTCATATCTAAATACCATGAACACTTTATTTAAATGTAGCAAAAATTATGAGAAAATGATTATTTTTATTATCAATAGCCGCTAGATTGCATATATCTTTGGCACAAAAACATAGCAGCACGAATAATATACTCAGCACTTGCTTTGTCAGTCAGAGGAGAATCTTCATGAAGCCATTTTTCAACAGCAGCTTTGTTTTGAATAGAATCATTAATAATTTCACCAAGTTTAGATCTTCTCACGGCTTCAGCGAATATTCCTTGAATCTTCTGCGATTTCAGAGGAGATATCCACTGATGTGATTGTCCACAAGCTTCCATGATGAAATCAGATGAATCTCCCGATCCAAATCCGAGAACTGATCTCTTTTTAACTACAGGAATGATAGCGTTTGCAAACTCATTTGATGTTTCAAGTAATTTTTCATCAGAACTGATATCATGTCTAACAATTTTGTGCAAGTTATAAAGAGGGAACAAATTGGATTTTGCAAAAATACTTTCTTCAATTGGAAGTTCATTTGTGATGAAAATAGGTCCTAATTGAGACAAAATTTCATTAATTGTATTCATTGTTTGTAAGTCTCTGCAAATTGCCCATTCTTCATAATGTTTTTGTGCAGATTCTAAACAATAAATTACTCCTAAAACCGACTGTTTTTGTAGAGCGTTTCTGGCGATTTCTGATGATGTTTTTCCGAAATGTTGAGGGAAGAAAGATGAAGGAGATGATGTTTCTTTCATTCCATTGTCAATGAGAGCGGAGATAAGTGAAACGAGTGCAGAAACTTGTTCTTGATCATTTGGATTTTTGATGAGTTCTTGGATACAATTGTTGAGAGACTTGATGTATGATGCAAATTGTGTGAATGAAGTGGTTGGACTGTCAAAAGTTGGTTGAAGAGAATCTTGAATGCTGATTGGTGAAAGTTCTCTCTGCTGTGGTTCTGGGAAGGATTGGTAGATGTCATCTAGAAGTGAAACAGCTTCATCAAAGTTTAGTTCTGGAGAAGGCAAACTGAATTGAAGATCAAGTATTGGTGTTTCTTTTGGATTCATTGAGTCTAAAATTGCTTGAAGTTCAGATTGCATCGTTTGATTGAGTGAAATCTCATCATTGTTTGTATTTTGGGTCATCAATCTGGCTTCTTCTTCGGCCTTCAAACGAGCCTCCTCTTCGGCCTTCAAACGAGCTTCTTCTTCGGCCTTGAGTCTAGCTTCTTCTTCGGCCTTGAGTCTAGCTTCTTCTTCGGCCTTGAGTCTAGCTTCCTCTTCGGCCTTTAATCTGGCTTCTTCTTCGGCCTTTAATCTGGCTTCTTCTTCGGCCTTCAAACGAGCTTCTTCTTCAGCCTTCAAACGAGCTTCTTCTTCAGCCTTCAAACGAGCTTCTTCTTCAGCTTTCAAACGAGCTTCTTCTTCAGCTTTCAAACGAGCTTCTTCTTCGGCCTTCAAACGAGCTTCTTCTTCAGCCTTCAAACGAGCTTCTTCTTCAGCTTTCAAACGAGCTTCTTCTTCAGCTTTCAAACGAGCTTCTTCTTCAGCCTTCAAACGAGCTTCTTCTTCAGCCTTCAAACGAGCTTCTTCTTCAGCCTTCAAACGAGCTTCTTCTTCAGCCTTCAAACGAGCTTCTTCTTCGGCCTTCAAACGAGCTTCTTCTTCAGCCTTCAAACGAGCTTCTTCTTCAGCTTTCAAACGAGCTTCTTCTTCAGCCTTCAAACGAGCTTCTTCTTCAGCCTTCAAACGAGCTTCTTCTTCAGCCTTCAAACGAGCTTCTTCTTCAGCCTTCAAACGAGCTTCTTCTTCAGCCTTCAAACGAGCTTCTTCTTCAGCTTTCAAACGAGCTTCTTCTTCAGCCTTCAAACGAGCTTCTTCTTCAGCTTTCAAACGAGCTTCTTCTTCAGCCTTCAAACGAGCTTCTTCTTCAGCCTTCAAACGAGCTTCTTCTTCAGCCTTCAAACGAGCTTCTTCTTCAGCCTTCAAACGAGCTTCTTCTTCAGCCTTCAAACGAGCTTCTTCTTCAGCCTTCAAACGAGCTTCTTCTTCAGCCTTCAAACGAGCTTCTTCTTCAGCCTTCAAACGAGCTTCTTCTTCAGCCTTCAAACGAGCTTCTTCTTCAGCCTTCAAACGAGCTTCTTCTTCGGCCTTCAAACGAGCTTCTTCTTCAGCTTTCAAACGAGCTTCTTCTTCAGCTTTCAAACGAGCTTCTTCTTCAGCCTTCAAACGAGCTTCTTCTTCAGCCTTCAAACGAGCTTCTTCTTCAGCCTTCAAACGAGCTTCTTCTTCGGCCTTCAAACGAGCTTCTTCTTCAGCCTTCAAACGAGCTTCTTCTTCAGCCTTCAAACGAGCTTCTTCTTCAGCTTTCAAACGAGCTTCTTCTTCAGCCTTCAAACGAGCTTCTTCTTCAGCCTTCAAACGAGCTTCTTCTTCGGCCTTCAAACGAGCTTCTTCTTCAGCTTTCAAACGAGCTTCTTCTTCAGCCTTCAAACGAGCTTCTTCTTCAGCCTTCAAACGAGCTTCTTCTTCGGCCTTCAAACGAGCTTCTTCTTCAGCCTTCAAACGAGCTTCTTCTTCGGCCTTCAAACGAGCTTCTTCTTCAGCCTTCAAACGAGCTTCTTCTTCAGCCTTCAAACGAGCTTCTTCTTCGGCCTTCAAACGAGCTTCTTCTTCAGCCTTCAAACGAGCTTCTTCTTCGGCCTTCAAACGAGCTTCTTCTTCGGCCTTCAAACGAGCTTCTTCTTCGGCCTTCAAACGAGCTTCTTCTTCGGCCTTCAAACGAGCTTCTTCTTCAGCCTTCAAACGAGCTTCTTCTTCAGCCTTCAAACGAGCTTCTTCTTCAGCTTTCAAACGAGCTTCTTCTTCAGCCTTCAAACGAGCTTCTTCTTCAGCTTTCAAACGAGCCTCCTCTTCAGCCTTCAAACGAGCCTCCTCTTCAGCCTTCAAACGAGCTTCTTCTTCAGCCTTAATACGAGCTTCTTCTTCAGCCTTCAAACGAGCTTCTTCCTCTGCTTTCAAACGAGCTTCTTCCTCTGCTTTAAGGCGAGCTTCTTCTTCGGCCTTCAGTCTAGCTTCTTCTTCAGCCTTGAGTCTAGCTTCTTCTTCAGCCTTGAGTCTAGCTTCTTCTTCAGCCTTGAGTCTAGCTTCTTCCTCTGCTTTCAGTCTGGCTTCTTCTTCAGCCTTGAGTCTGGCTTCTTCTTCAGCCTTGAGTCTGGCTTCTTCTTCGGCCTTGAGTCTGGCTTCTTCTTCAGCCTTGAGTCTGGCTTCTTCTTCGGCCTTGAGTCTGGCTTCTTCCTCTGCCTTTAATCTGGCTTCTTCTTCAGCCTTGAGTCTAGCTTCTTCCTCTGCTTTAAGGCGAGCTTCTTCTTCAGCCTTGAGTCTAGCTTCTTCTTCAGCTTTGAGTCTGGCTTCTTCTTCAGCTTTGAGTCTGGCTTCTTCTTCAGCCTTGAGTCTAGCTTCTTCTTCAGCTTTGAGTCTGGCTTCTTCTTCAGCTTTAATACGAGCTTCTTCTTCAGCCTTCAAACGAGCTTCTTCTTCATCTCTGAAATCTTTAGCAACTCTTTCTACATCACGTTGAATGTCATCATCTTTGCGGAAACCCATCTTTCTGTTTGGAAAACGCCCAATGTTACTGCTGAATGAATATAATGCAAGTATCCATGACATTACATCTGCAGGACCACCGCACATGATAACTGTAAATGGATCTTTGTAAGTTTGTGCTATTGTTATTGTGTTAATAATGTTATCCAATTTACCAAAGATTGAGTTTCTAATCGATGGAAAACATGATACTGTTCGTGTGAGTTTTATTGAGAGAGCTGCAGACTGTGTTTTACCTGAGAAGGCTCTGATCTCGAATTCGTAGCCAGAATCAATGGCTTTGATTTCACCAACCGCTCGCTGTGGAACTTTCGAATTTGGTAAAGCAATGACAATTTCAGCTGTTTTAAAGCATGTTTTCGGATTCAAACGCGATATTAATTTTTCTGTCAGTGAAAGCATTTCGAAATAAGTAACTAAAAATTGTGCACTATCTTCTGGTGACTTAAATGTAAGTTTATGATGTATTACAGGATCGTCATTAAAAACTAACGAAACTTCTTTCTTTAAAGATCCGTCTGATAAGGGTGTATAGTGTGGCATGAATATTATAAATCTTGTTTGTCTAAGTGGAACAAAAGTGAAAGCCAAAAATGGTCCAATTTGATGAATTGTATAAACATCACTTGGAATATCACCTGCTGCTACAATGGAGACACCATCCCAGTTGTTTCTTTTATCAATACTCTGGTAAGCATCTGGTAACTTTATTCCCCGTAACATTTACAGCCAATTTTCAATTCAAATTTTCAAAATTCTCAATAAATTTTATGCGATTTGTATCTTGAAAACGTGAACAACATTGTAACTAGCTGTTCTCAGCATATGGGAATAAAAAAAGATGCAAAAGCCATTAGAAATACTATCGGTTTCATATGATGAGAATCAAAACATGAGCCAACATACTCTCAACCATATGGTATATGTTTCTGGTATGTATTTATTTGAATTTAATGTGTATTACCTTTAATAATGCAAAAAAATAGTTTCCTTATATAAATTAAAATATAAATGTCATATCAAAGCACTAAACTCAATAATTTCAAATGTGTGTTTTAGTTTTTTTGCTCCAGACCTTATCGGGCATATATTTATTTTAGACACTCCAATCTAATTTCCGTTCCGGTTCCAATATCGGACACAGATCCTTATCTCAAGGCAAGGAGGTGAATTGTTTAGATTATTTATGAATAGAAACGAATAAATAATTCAGACATAAATATCTGGAATATAATCTGCAAACGAAAGCTCCAAATAATTACTAAAAAGTTAGTATTTATTATATAACAAACAGAAAATTATATAGTCACTTCAGATTCTTTGGAATTATCATTTTGGATCAAGTTCTTAAAAATAGAGCGCCTTATATGAAATTGGTCATGTGGTAGATTTTCGACCGGACGATTAAGCAACTGATCCAAATTTAACGGATCATTTACTTCTTTGGGGGTAAAGCTGTTTTTGACAAAGTACTGATCGTTGATTTTAATTTCACTGGTCTGGTTTGTTCTAGACACAATGCCAGCCACCTCTAATATCTGAGCGATTTGATATAATTTACATAAAGTCGTTTTTTGGCGTCCACTTTGCACTGATAAAAATATGCTTGCTTCTTTAATATCGATATATTGAATTCCCAAGAATAGAAAAAGCATCAAAAATGTTTCTGTTACCTTTGAAATTGAGATCGTACCATCCGATGGTAATATGCTTTCTAGTGATGTGCTCTCATCGAAAATATGATATGTGTCTACCATCTTGGATATGGTTGACTTGACATTAGAATGTCCATTCCACTGAAGTTTTGTAGAATCTCTTTTTGTGCAAAATCCAACTGTGTTGAGTACATTAATGACATCATAAAATCTTCTCTGATGAAACCCTAATTTTGTGCATAATTTATTTAAACTATAAACGCCATTTTTATCAGAAGAGCAATAGTGAATTAATTTATGAGTTGAAGCTGTAAATGAGTCTTGCCTTCTCTCTCCTCTATATCTATCGTAGGAGGAGCGAGAAGACATCTCAATCAATTATTTTTTTGAGGTACTCTCAAACAAAAAAATGTAAGTGAGTCCGCAAAAAACTCTTCGAATCCTTGTATTATGTATGATTTGAATGTTGAAAGTGTTTATGTTTTAAAAAAGGCTGTCGAAATGAAATTAAATGTCGTTGGACATATATAATAATTTAACAGAAATAAAAGCAAAATGACATTTGCATGGTTTATTTGAAGCTCTGAAAATCATTCAAAAAATTGAGATGCCTTCGCAATAATGCACCTAAACCGTCTAACAAATGAAAAATTAATAATAATTTTTGTATTGCTGTGATATTTATTAATTAATAATTTTCAATAGATTCTCAATTTCAATACACTGCGAAGTGACTTCATTCAATTTTGTATCAGTTCTATATAATTTAGCTGCAATGAGTAATTGTTTAAAAATTAGATATTAACTGATTAAGTAATAAGTTTATTAGCAGCTCCAATATATAAAACCTTCGAAATTTTGAAGATTCAAATTTTATTAACAGTAAAATCAAAAAATCAAGCAAAATCAATTACATCAAGTTTATTGCCAATATGGATATTTAAGATTATCTGGGTTTCATTAAATTCCATCTTTCGAAAAAAAAATATTCATTCAAAAATCATTTGAAATGAATTATTTCAATTTTATATTTACATTTATGTTTTAGACATAAAACGTCAATAACTGTTGCCAATAATTTTAAATCATTCGGTTTTTAATATAGAGCTGTGCCAATTTAATGAATACATTTCGATTATTACATGTTATTACTTTTCAACAAATTTATATTATACGTCAGATTATCTTCTAAGAATTATGGTTTCAGTTGATCAACTGAGATTATGACTGAAAATTGAATGAATTCCTAATAGCCCAAGTCATAATGTCGTTGTTTGACGAAGATAATATCAGAACAATAATTTTGGTTCTAAAGTCGTTGATAATATCCTGAACCAAAATATGATAATTTAATGAAAGAAATGATTTTAAATTCGATATTAATGTAAAATCTAATAAAAAAATTATTTAACATTGAAATTCATGTTTACAAATATTTATATACAAACAATGCATGGAAAGTTAGATATGTTTCAAATTCTGCAAATTCCATAATTTTGTTCTTGATCTTCTTTCTCATTAAGCTGAACAGCAGAAATTAGGGCTATTCTTTCATCACTGAAGTATTCCCAATCAAGAACTTGTGATGATTTCCTGGAATTATTCAATAAATTGACTAAAAGTCTTAAAATATAATCGTATGGAGGGCAATCTTCATAACGGAGATCTCTAATACGCCTATATATCTCAGTAAACTCAGATGGCATGCCTGAGCATAATTCGGGAGGATTTATATTCTTTTTGAGATTATAAATAGTTTCAGAGACATTTGTGTTAGACCATGGAAGATCTCCTGTATAAAGCTCGACACAGCTGTAAAACCATGATAACATATCGTCACGCCTTGAAAGTTGATTGCGTTCATGAGCATTAACTGAGGCGTAACGCTTTGATCCTACGAATCCGATGTCATTTCTAAATGGCAAATGCTCATTTGTCGAAGGATCAATATAACTGACGGATAAACCAAAATCTATAAGGCAAATAGGGTTGTTTTTGCCTGGTCTCAATAAAAAGTTTGATGGTTTGATATCTCTATGTATAAAACCTTTTTGATGTAAAACTTTAATGCATTTTAACATTTCTGTAACGATAAATAGTGTTGTATATCTTGAAAATCTTTTTGTATCTAATTCTGATCTCATTGCAGCTACAGACGATCCTAGTAGCTCCATAATGTAATATTGAGAATTGAAAAGAATCCCATGAGTCACTAATTTTGGAAAATAAGGTGATTCTTGAAGCTGTTCGAGTTCATTTATCTCATTTGTGAGAGAATTTCGAGCACTTTCGTTATGTTCCACTTTTAAGGCAAAATAATCAGGAGTCCCAATATCATTTACCAAATATACTTGGCCATAGCTTCCCTTTCCTATTAGCCTATCTATTCTATAAGATCCAAACATGGTCCCTTGTTTAAATCGTGACATTTTAGCCATTGTTATATTGAAAACTGAAAATCTGAAATTGTATGTAATTTAGAATTCAAATTTTTGTAATGAAATTTTTGAATCATATAATTCAAATATAGTATATGTATCTAAAATGTAAAAGAAATTTCAAAAAATAAATGGATTCAAAATACTCTTTATTTTATCTTTAAAAAATAGATGTGATAAGTCGAATTATGAAAAAGATTCGCATAATAATCTTTAAATTGAGAGTCTCATCACAATTTTCAATGCTCGATTTTTAAAAACTGTTTAAAAATAGAGCTTATATTGAAATAGTGTAGAGACTAAAAATTACCACAGACTATTTCAGAGGATTGAGTTGCCACTCAATCCTCTGAAAAGTCTGAGGTAATTTGCAAAATTAATTTAATTTTCAATCCTCCATTAAAAATTTAATGTATATGATGATAGTAAAAAATTTTTGATTTGTATAAATACGGGTGTATCAATTTTTTGTCTCAATAGCGGTTTGTCTCGATGATTTGAAAACGAGGTGGTTTTTAATCAATACAACGCATTCACAAATTAAGTTAAGCTTTATTTAAGTTTAATAAGTATCTATTTATAATTTTTGAATTTGAGGCGGATAAAAATGTCAGTTTTCTTGGAAACCGATGAACAATCTAACGTTTCTTTCCGGTGATAAAAATTTTGAATCATTTAATGTTTACTCTCTATTTATTGTTTGCTAAGCTACTATTCAATCTCGATGTCCAATTTTGATCGTATTCATCAATTTTGTCTTTCTGGGGATCGAAACTTCAAGTAATGCTTATTTAGTTCCATTGCATTCTAGTACATTGCCTTAGTACGATACCGTGGAGTGTATGAACATCTGATGTAAAAACGCTTCTATCCTTAAAATCCATAACGCAAACCTTATGATTTTCTGACAATTTCTGCTGTACATACTGTTATATTGAAGAAATAAGTATATTTTATCAGCTAGTAAATCGTAATTTTGTTTATATGAAATTTTAATAAGAAATAGAAAGCTAGAAAAAAAATGCGATGAAAACATGGATGATGGTATTGCAAAAGATGTCTTTGGAAAGCTTCATATAACTTAATTGGTTTATTATGAAATTAATAAGAAAGTGATAGCAATATTAAGATACATTCTTCTTAACATTAAGCATGTTAATAATTCTTTATTTTTGTTTTCATAAGCCTTTATTTCTCGTTCTAAGCCAATAAGATTCCCAAAACAATCAACTTGATTTATATCTGAGTCTGCAGGTGGGATACATGTGGATTTGATTGATAGGAATTTAAAGCACCTGACATCAGTTCTGTTATAATCATAAAAAATTGTTTTGTCTCGCCAGGATTCATAGTATATACATATTCTTGGTTTCCAACAAAATTTCTTCCATCTACACTCACTTCAACCGAAAACTGAGCAGGTCTGCAACCTCCTTTTGTGGTGGTGATTTCAAAGGATTCAATAGTAAGAAAATTAAATGGAAAACAAATAATAAAATAAATTGTTGGATCATGAGAAATCCAATATGAGTTCGCTGAGAAATCAAAGTCAAAAGCTTTATCAATTCTGTAATCACTATAATGACATGATTCCTCTAGTGTGAAGTATTGTGGATATAAAAGCTTATATGTGTCATATAAATAGCGCATTGTTCCATTATTTGGCGAATAATGAAAATACAATTAGAAACTCACATATAAAAAAAATTCAATAGAATTCATTTCAATATTGATAATTACATTATAGCTGTATTCAACCATAAAACTCATATTCGTAATTTTTGTTAATACATCTTTCAAAAAATTTCAACTTCGATTTTTCTCGAAATCTACCCTTGCAATGAATATTGATTTTATAAAACTTAGGCACTATATTATATGCTAATAGACTTAGCCATTTTACAATTTTTTACTCATGAGCTCTTTCAGATTCAATGAATGAGAGGAAAAGTATTGTACTAAGAATACTTACATAAATCTAATATATGGTGGATGATTTACTATTCAAAAGACGATATTGATGTTATATTCATTGAAAAATGAAAAATTTGGAAAGAAAATAAAGATTTATTATACAATAGCTGATAAAAATCGCTCAACGTAGCTAACAACGTTGTTATCAAACTTACCAGAGATCTTTTTAACATCAATATTAGAAGTGTCTGCATTAAGTTTGAAATCTTTGGCTGTTTCTGCTGTATCTATGATAACACACCTTTAGGTCTGTTTTCATCATTCAAAAGCTTTTCAACATATGTTAATGATTCTGGAATATCAGATCTAACGACAAAGATTGCACCGTTAAGATAATTTAATGATGAAACAATAGATGGTAACAATGACGACGATCCACCATTATCTTCTACAATGAAACAGTAAATTTTGGAATGAATTTGAGCATAAATTCTGATTTCATCAGAAATTGTTGGTATCAATGGTGTATCTACTAAATAAGGATCAAGAAGCCTCCAAATTTATGTTTTTCCTGTATTTGAGGCTCCCAAAAATCCAACTCTGACTAATTCTGCATCTGGATCACGCTTGCAACGAATTAGTTTTCCTGTGTTCTCTGGACTTGTATTGTCGATTATTGTCTTGTACATTTGGATCTGTTTGCGTAAAGTTTCGAGTTCTTGATTTGCTGCTTTGCCTTGATTGTAGTATTGGTATCCTATCTGGAATGATTGATCTGCGATGTTTTTGACAAGGCGAAAATCGTTAATTGAAAATGCATAGTCAAGAAGCGCTTGATGCAATTCTTCGCAGCCGAATATAGTTGCAATAGATTCTAATTGGTAAATATACTCCTTGTTAATATCAAGTTTATGTGTATTAAGGTAATTAATAAAAATTTTGAATGCTTCCTGCGTATAAACTGTATCATATTGCAGTTCTGACTCTTCTGCATCTTCTATCGCTTTGCACACCTCGCTTGCTGACTGGTAATCGACTTCAAAGACCTGACCATTATGAACAATTTTCATCTCAATATTTGAAGATTTTACAAAAAAAATCGTGTAAAGTTCACAAAAATGACCTTTTATTCATCTTTGAAAGAAAAATGTTAAGATCATAACTTTTTAAGCTTATAAAATGCATGATCTTTAGGAGTATTTCATGAATTATTCATTAAATACAACAACCTTCTCGAACAACGCCTATTTTATATGTCAATTTTTATTCAATTATCGTAAAATGGATGAATTGTTAAAAAAATATGATGAACTAAAGCCGTATTTATTTCCAAATATAGCACTAAAACTGGATGAGATAGATGCATCAGGTAATCAACTTACGAGACATGTTTTAAGAAAGAATAGACAGTCAATTTATGAACTCTTCGCACATGATTTTATAGATTATCAAAAAAATTCAAGTTACTTCTCAGATCTACTCGAAAGTTCATATCAAACACCTGTAGATTCGCTTTTAATTATTAATCCTCTTCATGCACAGGGATTATGTCAGTTATTGCAAACAATTTATTCAAACCCAAAGAGCTTAGCAAAAGCCATTAGTGAAAACTTAAGTAGTCCATATTTTCACCATATTGTCAATTTAGCAATTCCTGCGATCTATGGATTCTTTTCTACCAAGGAGCAAGGAGCTCAAGCATTATCATTTTATACTTGCTTGTCCGCTCAAGTTAATTTCTCAGTATATTGCCACATTATTAAGCCCTTTTTCATGAATTCAAACATGGATAATTTCATAAACCAGCTTGTTACTGCAATTTTCTTCTCAAATTACCTTAAAAAATTTAATCCAGACAGATTTTGCGATTTAATCGTCAACAAAACTCAAAAGTTTTTGAGATTTCTTCCAACATCACAGTTCCAATTACTCAGATTTCTCAGTCTACAATGGGATAACGTTTCTATTTGGAGATTAATTATTAATTGCTTAATTATTCCAGCATTTACATTACAATATCATTTCAATCCGTTTGCACACTCATACTTAGTCAAGTTCGACTTACAGCAAGTAATAAAATGCCTCCAAACTTACGATGCGTTTCCAACAATTAATTTATCAGTAAGTTGGCCTCTCGAGATTCCAGGTGACTTTGTATTCCTCAACAATACATGTACTTACGAAATAATCTTAACAAAAGCTGATATCGAAGCTATTCAATGCTTTACAAATTACATGACTTATCATGGGCCAAAGCTCCCAGAGATCTTAAAAGAAATCAAGTCCCCATCATTTAAACCATTTTCCATCGTGTTCTTTCCAAAGATTCCTCTTCCGCCAAGTTTTCCTTCGAGACCATTGTTTTTCGAGACAAAAACTTACGAACCGCCGAACGATAATCGTATGGCCCAAATGTGGGTCTCAATTTGCGAAGCGGCGACAGAAATAAGAGAAGACCCGATTAATGTCATCAGAAACAAGATCCAGACACAGAATCATATGCTGAACGCAAAGCTCGCTGAAATGAACATGGATGACGTATTGATGTACGGAGTTCAAACAGAATTGTCGGAATTATCGAATAACGCAAGAAATTTCGAAAGGTTGTTGAACCATAAACTGGAAATGTCAAGAATGAATGGATTTAATGCATTATGTGGCATTTTCGAATCAAAAACGTCATTTCTTGTCGCTAAAAAAATGGTAAATAAAGTTAAAGGCAAATTCTGGCAGATTATTTCAAATATGTCAGGAACAAGCCATGTAAGATTCCATTCAGCCATTATTATGCTTGATCAAGGCGAAAATGAGTTTTTGAAGCCAATTAAATCTTCTCTTTCTGTTTTGCACAAGAAATTCGCCAAAGTAACTGAAATGAAGATGGTTGAATGCAGTAAAGAGATAACTCTCGGAAGTACAAGTTTCCAATCCCAGATTTCAGAAAATAATGTTTTATTATCGATTGTTAATGAAAGTTCTTCATTCCTTTCGAGAGCAACAGTTCTTCTTTACTATCTGAAGACATTCAACACCTTCTGCGAGTGTTATTCCATTGATGATACCAGAGAATCTTACGATCAGATGATGCATTACGCAATTTCAATGAATAACACGAGTTGGCTACTTAAGACAGTTCTCCTCCTTGATGGAACTCTTTTCGGAGATGCAAGATACGAAAAAGAAATCGGAAAAATGTATTTGGACTTGTGGCAGAAGTTTAAGGCTTCATTTTTGCAATATTTGTCTTATGATGAACAGCTGCTTGTAGGATACATCAAACTTTCAGGTGAAGGAACTCTTACATCTGCAAATTAATTTTTTGTTTTTTTATTTTTGTTATTTGTACTTATGTTAAATAATTGTTATTGAAAATTTAATCAATTCTTTATAATCTTCTCTCAAACATTATGAAATCGATTTCAAAATCTGAAATTTGTTCTTCAAAAACTGGGTTTCGTAATGAATTATTTTGCTTTTGATGTCTTTCTTGAGGCTTTTATAAGTTCGTCATTAAAATTTTCGAGAAAATTAAAACAATGATCAAATTATCCGCCTTGAGTTCTTGTATTGGAGTCAAGAATTGTCTTTGTGATACTACCTTTTGATAGTTATATTATGAAAACATGATATTAATGAACAACGAAAATTTATTCAAATATGGAACAATTTCTATTGAATTTTCCTAATAAATTGTTCCATAAAGCAAAATACAAACAAAAAAGTTTAAGCTTTCTCCATGTGACGAGAGAGCCAATAGGATGTGAGAATCAAGAGAGATGTGATGATAGCGATGCAAGTATATAATATAACATAGAATGGTGTATTGTTGAATACGATCAAAAGGCCAAGAATGATGGTGGCAATGATCGCTAAATTTTCTGGGTTAGTACGGACAAACGTGGACTTCCACCATTCATATAAGCCTAGTATACGTTCGCGTGACTTAACTAATAGCCGGATGATTTCTTCTTTGTTGAGATCAGAATCAGAATGAGGTGTCTGAATTATGATTTTGAGCTTTTTGAGTTCGCCAATGATGAATACTATGCCTGATATGCTTGCCATAAAGATGATGCTTCCTATAACTTCGCTATGACAGTGATATGATAGATAGACAGTCAGGATAGATACAAAAATCAGAGAAGCGATGACTAGATTCACTGATTTAGATCCGAATATGTCCAAGTAAAGAAGGAAAATAGGCTTGTTGGTTTCAAAAAACTGTGCTACCCACTCTTCATTATTTCTCATTCAAATAATGTCAATTTATTATTTCAATACTTTCATAAGAAATTTCCAACGGCCAATCAAAAAATTTCATCCAAAATTTGGATCAAAGGTTTTTAAAATATGGTAAAGATCAACTTTAATTTATGCATGCATTGAAAATAAACTTTTTTCAAAAGTGCCAATTGACGATCCAATTTCTGAGAAATAAATTATTTGGAAGAAAGCATAAATTGCAACATTCCAAAGGATCGATAAAATTTGCAGATTGTCAACAATCGATAGAAAATTATTACAGTCTGAGCCAAAACTTTTAAAATCGAAATATTCAACTACCATCAAATATTTTCTCCAGAAAAATTCAATCTTTCCATGAAAAAAAGTCATAAACATCCATTGTAAATTGTCACTTTTGCAATTTTTCGAAATCGTTAATATCAATTTCTTATGCAAACAGCCGTTTCTGACCAAAATGTTAATATAATCCCGCTGATTTCGATAGTAGAACCTAATAGTAATACTTCAAACAATCCACGCTTTTCAAAAGTTCCAAATTCTTCAAGAAATCCAATCAAAAATTACCAAATAGATGTTTTACAAGCTTCAATTCGTAAAAATTTTGAATCAGTGCATGACAGTGAAGTATTAAAGGCAAGAGCTGCTTTATATAAAAGATTTTATCAAGAAGATCGAATGAAAGAATTCGAGCGCAGAAGAGAAAACATCATGCGTCAAAGATCGATGCCAAAAAGGTTTATTGACAATCATATGCTTGAAAAAGTTGTTTCTAGAAGACGGTTAGATGTTCAAATGGCACAAAAGAATAATAACTCTGATTCTCTTCCGCCATTTTCTCCAAGAGCACCTTTACCACATGATCCAGGACGCTGGGTTCCTCCAAATAAACATGTTTACTACTGGGGGTGTTAATATTAACAACATGGTTTTTATCTCTTCATAACTATTAATATACTTTGTCTATGTGTAATAAATTTTGTTTCTATTTTCGATTTTTTTGATAAATATTTTTTATTCACCCAATTGAATTCATAATAATTAAAAATCTATGGGATAAATCATTCAACTAGTACTATTTTTGCAATATATGAATGAACTATTGATATTTAATCATAGATATTTTCTTAAAAAAAATAAATTTTACTTTCTATAAGCTATTTGTTAAATAACCTATATCGAGAAGTCTAGGAAAAGCAGATCACATATAGGTTTGAAAAGAAAATCATAAATAAGCTCCATATACTCAAATTTTATGAGCTCTAAAATCCAATTATCCAAGGATACAGCATTGTTTTCATTCAATGAAAATATATCAACTATGCGCATCAGTCCATGTTGGTGCATAATACTATAGAGAGTTTTATATTAATCCTCACGTATAGGAAGATAAAAATGCTCAAAGTCATCCAAAAAAAATCGAATGTATGTAGATCCTCAAGAAAATTAAAATCAATAACAAAAATATCTTTATAACAATATACAACAAAAAAATAAGCCTAATTAAGGTTTCTTTTTTGAATTTAAAAACGGTTAACCTATTCAAAATTCAAAGAAAACCGATAAAAGGCCTTTTTCGTTACGCAGTCCAAAAAGACTTCCGTCATCTATCAAAGAAAGACTGAAATGTGACGTTTTGACGGGGAAAGATATGTAAAGTGGGTAATAAATTGTGGCGCAGAGCTTCTTTCCGAATACTGTACGTGCTACTCTCACAGAAGTGAAGCAGTCAGTGCAAGAACCAGGGAGTTCGGTTAATCTTGGTTTCGAAAGTCCGCCAATGACCATCTGCGTATCACATTGTAATAACCACTCATCGGCAAGGAATCTGGCGCTGAATCCGGCTGAAAAATAATGATCGCATGCCGCAATGAAAGATCCGTTGTTTATACCGAATTTTTCGCTATCGACGTTCTGTGCGAACAAAGGAGCGATGTAGTGGAACCTTTCCAAGGTCGGAAGCGTCTGGTAAGAGAAAATCTTTCCTGAACCGAAATATAACGAGTAAGTATCATCAAAATTGTAATTAAACTTAAGCTCACTCGTTAAAAATGGTTGGATGTGGTTTGGTGAGTGAACAATACCAATTGAAGTCTTTGAAAATAATAATTTTTCGAAATAATTGAAATAAGTGAAAGATAATACATTGTATTTCTCTGGATCTGATACTAGATTGGCTGGTGTCTGTGATGATCGTTTCTTTTGAGCAATTCTTATGAATCTAAGGCGATAAGAGTTTATTGGGTCATTAGAAAGAGTTTTGACAGAAAATAATTTGTATTTCTCAGATAGGTATTGTCTGTTTTGTCTTCGGATTGAAAAGATTGTTGCTGGGATGACATTTGATGAAAAGTCGAGTTTCTCTGGTTTATTAATAATATATTTTGCAGTAAATGAATGTGTAAGGAGACTGTTAAGTGTTGCATTAAGTTCGGCAACTTTTCCATTGTTTAAAGCTTTCAAATCAGCATCCAAACCAAGACCACACTTTGTTCGTTGAAAACCTAAGTTGTATTTGTAAGTAGTGTTTGAATCATCTTTGAAAGTAATATGTGGTTGGTAAACACCATCGACATTTTTAATTTTGAATGTATTTACAAGATCAACTCTTTTGACTCGATTTGTGAGTTGTGAAATCTCTTCTTTCTTTATTTCTGGTGATTTATTCATCTCATTTATCCTTGTAAGTTCTTTATTTAATGCAGCAGTGATTTTCTCCATTCGATTGGGAAAAAAAAATTGTGAACTACCGCAGTCAATTTTATAAATTACTTTTATAATTTATCATTTGATTAATTAATTTATTGATAAAGAATAAAAATTTTTGGCAAATTTTGTGAAACAAAAATGGCTTCATTTCATTCTTCCATCAAGATTTTAGTCAGTTCTTTGATGGAAATTGCCAATATGTAAAGGATGGCAATTACACAGAAAACAGTAACTATTACGTCAAAAGTTGTTTCTTTGAAGATCTCAACAATCGTTCAGTCTATTCTACAAGCTATTCTAAATTCCTATTTGAAGATAGTACTTTCATTAGAGTATCAGCCACATCGCATAATGATTATGGTGGCGCAGTTTACACCCAAAATAGTGAACCTGTTCATAACAGAATTTGTTCATTCAACTGTTCGGCCCCATGGTATGGACAATATTGCTATTGTGAAACACCTCAAGGATCATTCAAAAATTACTTGATTGGAAGTACTTTATCATGTTCTTTTGAAAATCAGGCTGGGAATGCGCCAATATTCATTAGGTATGGAAAACAATTCTTAACGAAAACAAATATTTCATATTATAGAACAAATTTTATTGATGGATTCCATTTTAATTTAGGAGAATCGGAATCAAAATCCACTTATAATTCAATAATAAATAATACATCAACAAGTGAATTTTGTATAAGTTTTCATGATATTCATAATGTAAATATATATAAATGTAATATCATTAATAACTCTGTAAGAGATAGATTTATCCACAATGATAGATGTGATCTATTAATAGTTGAAGAATGTAACATTATTGATAACTCAGGGTATTCTCTCATTTATAACGAAGATAGTTCAACAGAAATTATTAATTGTTATCTTCGGAATGAAGGAACAATTTCAGGTAATGTTGATGTTATAAATACTTATGAAGTAGAAATAAAGAACGAACTTGGTCATCTTTCTACTGCTTTATGCCACGCAAACTATACCCTGGCATATGATCTCCCTTTGGTTTATTCAAAAAAAGTGAAAATATTTAGTTTATTCTCTCTATATATTTTGTTATTTGCAAGCAAAGATAAATTGTTTATTGACACTCAGCAAAATCAGCATAAAGTCTACAGCCGACACTCTATGTTTGGTTTATCCAAACTCAAATCAATCTTTTCTTCTTTATTAAGATAAAGGATTCTGAAAGCAATCATTATAGTCAATAAGTGAAATATTAATTTGGGAGCGATCCTCGGTATTTCCCGATATTATCTTTGCTCCAAATGAGTCATTTCATTGATTTAACATTTCATGAAAAACTGATATATAATTCCGTTAAAAAAAGATATGATTTGTAGTTGATGTCAAAAAAATTGAGATAAGGTCAAATGGGAATTCTTTGGTTCTTGCAAAAAAATATTCAGTAAATAACTATTATGTTCCAATTATATGTGAACTTCTATGAAAAAGGAGAGTGCATTAAGTATACTTAAATTTTTTGATGTGAAAATGTTTTTATGTTATTATTCCATCAAGAATTTTGTCAATTCTTTGATGGAAATTATTAATATGTAAAGAATGGCTCTTATACTGAAAGCAGTAGCTCTTGTGTCAAAGGTTGTTTATTCTACCAGTGATTCTAAATTTCTATTTGAAGATAGCACATTTCTTTGAGTATCTATTCCATCAGGCGGTGGTGGGGCAATTTACACTGAAAATGGTGAAATTGTTCACAACAGAATTTGTTCATTTAACTGCTCTACAAAAGGGTCTGGACAATATTGTTATTGTCATTCATTGGAAGGACTATTTAAAAAATATGTAATTGAAAGCACTTTATCAAAATTTTCAGAAAAGTTGATTGGAGAAGCACCAATATATTTTAAAAATGGAAATACATTATTAACAAGAGAAATATTTCATATTTTAAGTTATATTCAATAAGTAGATATATGTTTTATACAGGACAATCTGAATCGAATTCCACTTATAATTCAGTAATAAATAATACATCGCCAAATAATTATTGTATAGGCTGCATTGATATTCCTACTTTAAAAGTATATAAATGTAACATCTTTAATAACTCTGATAATGACCACGTTATCTACTTTGATAAATGTAACCAATTAACAGTAGAAGAATGTAACATTGTTGATAACTACGGAGATATACTCTTTCGTATTGAAAATAGTATAATGGAAATTATTAATTGTTATCTTAAAAATGAAGGAAACATCCAAGGTAATATTGATGTGGCAAATACTTATATCTCGGAAATAAAGAACGAACTAAGTCATCTTTCTACTGCTCTATGTCATGCAGATTATCCGCTTCCAATCAATCTTCGAGAATCCCAAAAAAAGTGAAAGTTTTTTCCCCACTTTATATTTTGTTATTTGCAAGCAAAGAAAAATTAATTGGTGGTATTTAACATAAAGTCTGCAGCCGAAACTCTTTGTTCGATTTATCCAAAAGAAAATCGTTTCTTCTTTATTATGATAAAAGAAGTTATTTTCTTTATTGAAAAACGAACAAAATTTTTACTTGAAGAATAAAGAAATAAAGGACTTTAGGCTAAAAGTTTTAAGCAGATAATGTCGGTTGTATACTGCTGGTTTCTCTAGATCATGATTATTGCTCATATCTTTGCTTGCAAATAACAAAATACAAAATGAAAATAAGCTAAATACTTTGATTTCGTCTGGAGATGTACGATTAATATATTTTGGTTTTGTTTTGCAAAGCTCTGTTGAAAAATGACTTAGTTCATTCTCTATTGCTGTATTTTTCGGATATTTTATTATGATATACTCTGGAACTGTTCCTTCATTTTTAAGGTAAGAATCAATTACTTCTATTTTATAGCTTGTACTTTCGTCGTAAATATGAAATGTCTTATTAGCCGAGTTATCAATAATGTTGCATTCTTTAAATGTTAAATGATCGCAATGATAATTATAGATGAGATATTCTTTTCCAGAATTATTTATTATGTTACATCGAAATAATTTTGGATTATAAGTAGAATAATGGCCTATACATTGACCTTCATTTGATGTATTATTTAATATTGAATTATAAGTGAAATTTGTTTCTTCTTGAATTAATTCGGGACTTGATTGACCAAATCCGTAGCCGCTTAGACTCTTTATTCTAATATATGAAATATTTGATTTCGTCAAGCATAAATTCCCATGTTGGAACCAAATAGGCGCATATCCCAAATTATAGTTTGTATTAGATAATGTACTTTCAATTACGTAATTTTTGTATTGTTTGCCAGATGCAGCGCTATTGCAATACTGTCCAAAACCATTGGTGAAACAGTTGTAAGAACAAATTCGGTTGTGCACTGCTTCACATTTGGAAGTGTAAATTGCACCTCCTTCACCTCATGGATATGAGACACTAACAAATGTACTATCTTCGAAAAGAAATTTAGACTCGCTATCAGAATAAACCGAGCGGTTATTGAGATCTTCAAAGAAACAGTCTTTGACGTAGTAGTTACCGTTTTCTGTATAATTTCCTTTACTTACATTTTGGTAATTTCCATCAAAGAATTGACTAAATTCTTGATGGAAGAATAGTTTGAAGCTATTTTTGATTCACAAAAATTTTGCCAAAATTTTGTCAATTTGAATGAACCGCACAAACATTCGCCGCTTTCTTCCTATATAAGTAGTAGGTGAGACATGAATATATATGGTGAAGGAAAACAAAATTACAATGCACTTAACATGAAGACTTTAAAACAAACAAAAATACAAAATAATTATAGAGTTAATTATAGTAGTCAAGTGGCATCGATTCGATAGAAAACATTGGTTGAGAGATTTCCATATAAATGTCTTTCATCAATTCTTCGTCTGTTGGTTCAGTAGCAGGAGATTGTGCTGATGGGCATTCTGATTTAGATCCAATAGTACTGAATGAAACAACTGAATCTAAATCATCAAAAAGTCTGTTTGCATTTTCTTTGATAAACTTTGCTGCTCTTCTTCTTTTCTCCATCATTTCTCGTTCCCTCTTCCGCTTAAATTCTGCTTCATTAGGAGCAAACAGAGGTCCGAGTAATACAGGAGGTCTTGATGTCTGTGAAAGATGAACATTTGAGTTGAAATCTTTTCTTTCTCTTGGATTTCGAGATTTTGATTTTTCAAGAAGAACTTTTTTCCGTTTTTCTAGCTGATTTAAGTCGTTTTGCTTATTAATTTCTAGATCTTGTAATTCTTTCTTCTTTAGTTCTTCAATGCTATGAATATCTTTCTGTTGTTGAAGCCGTAAATTGATTTTCGCATTTCGATAATCTTTGATAAGTTTTTCTTGAGCCATCATTGTCTCTTGTTGTGACACTATCTCTGTTTCCTGGTGAATCTCTTTTGCTTTTTCAAACTGATTAGATTTTGCATAGAATTGTTCGATTTCTTTCAAATTCAAAAGATTTTTAGACGGTTTACGGTATTTGTTAGGTTCAACTGTAGACCATTCGGTATCGAAATCATCTGTTTGCTTCTTATGCTCTGTTTGAATTTGCTCAATTTTCTCAGAATATTTCTGATTTATTTGCTGTAGTTGCTGTTCGTATTTCGAATTTATCTCTTCTTCCTTTGCCTTAAAATCTTCTTCTGGTTCTCCATTAGCTGAGCTCTGTGAACAAGTTCTTGATGCGATTTCTTTTTTAATTAATTGAAGAATTTTTAATGATTTCTTGCATTCATCGTAATTCTCTGATGCAGCCATTTCGGCAATGTGGTCCTTTACTGTAGATTTGTAGGAAAAGAGAGTTCGTATATCTAAATTTTTCAAATCATTTCTATTTGATACTGTTGCGCATATTTCATTGTAATCAGGTTTTACTTGTGACATATCTATTTTATTAACTTTCGGCTGAAATGTTTTAGCAAATGTCGGTTTTCTTCCTGTAGAAGCGTTTGTACTTGCACTTCTCGTTGTCAATGAAGAGTTTTGCATTGAAGTGGTCGGTCTGTTTATTGATAAACGTGGATGGCCTCCGATCATCACTGTTTTCATGCTAAAATCTTCAATTTTGAAATAAAAATTCATAAAAAAGTAACGGGTTTCAAAAATGTGATTATTTTTGGATTTATTCAGTACAAATCTATTATATGTTTGTAGGACAATTGAATTACGATTCACTTTTTAACAATCGGATCGTTTTCCAAAAATTGAAAATTAAAAAATCCAATTTAGACTTATTCCTCAAGAGAAATATTTATAAATTATCTTTAAATTGATGAAAACATGAGTATTGAGACAATAAGTCATTCCTGAATTCCTCAATATGTAAAAATTTTGACATTTGAGGAAAATAGGCAATATTTTTGAGTTTGTGGCACCTCTCAGTAATGTTGGTTATGTGTATTCAATAAAAATTTGACATTTGCTATTTTGAGCGGAAGAAGGGGTTCTCCTTTCGAGAACAATTCCAAGAGGCCACCAATGCATTTAATGACACCTAATGAAAAGTCGTTGCTTAACCATAAGCTAAAACTCTTGGATAATCAATCAAATTCGGAAACTCCAGATTCTTACTCTTTAATTATTACTCAAAAGTCAGTTAAACGAGTTAGTGTCGATTCAAAATCACGATCATATTCAAGAGAAGATCGATCTCCGTATTCAAATTATAATTCTTCTCCATGGATCAATGCAGTATTTGATTCACCTGTATCCTTGAAAATTAGACTTGATTTCTTAACAGCAAGAAGACTAATATACTCTCGTGTGTTTTTTAATAAATGGAAACAACGTTATTACAAAATTCACCCAAGAAGATCATCATCTATTAATTCACCACGTATTAAAAAGCATGACAATACACAGCAAATTCATATAGACAGTGAGTTATCGTTTTTAAGGCAACAAAACAAAAAATCTGAAAAACGTTTTAAGAAAATTACACCAGATTTAGCAAATGATAAGCAAACTCAAACATGTTTCGTATCTGATACAGAACCACAAGGAGTTTACATTGCAAAATCCAAAATAAATGAAGATAATCAAAATTCTTCTGATATCGACAGAGAATTCGAAGAAACTATTACAAGCATAAGAAAACGTCGCTACAAGAATACAACCATTACTACAGATCCGAAAAATAATGAATATCAAGAATCCGATGAATCTGATAAAGAAACCAACACTGATGGATTTGTTTTTGAGACTCCTAAGCCAGAAAAAAAGTCAAAGACATCAATAAAAGAGATAAAAAGCGATCTTTCAGAAAAATCTTTGAAAAATGTGAGTGGATACTTGATTTCAAGAATGAAACCACAACCAAACAATGCAAGAATACAGTTAACTGAGTCTTCTTCTTCAGATTCAGATGATTTCACAAATTTTGTTTTGAAAGACGTAGATTTAGAAGAATTTTCAAAAAAGAGGAAACAGAAACAATCTCCAAAGCCAAAAAGAAAATCCAGCAAAAGTCCGAAAATTGATTGGGTAAAAGCAAGCGAAAGAATGAACAAAACACTCTCTGTAGAAGAGAAACTTGCAAAGAGAAGGTTGCTAAAGGAAATGGCTGAAAAGGAAGCTGAACAACAAAATTCTGAAAATGAAAAATCTCCAGACTTGGTTTGGAAGCTCCATGATCAGAAGAAATTCGAAAGAAAAAATATCAAACCACAAAATGATATCAAAACGACGCCAAATAAAGAAAATAAAATTAATCAAAATAATTCTTCAAATTTAGATCATAATCTTTCGGATTCTGGTAATGAAGCTGAAACAAAGTCAAAGAGATCCAATTTGTCGTTCCAAAGTTTTCTAATTAGTGATGAAATTTTAGGAACACCTGCAAAACCAATGTTAGAAACTTCACCAGCAAATGAGAAGGAAGTCTACTCAAATCCTCACTTGAAATCTTCTAAAAGTCAAAAATCTTCCGAAATCGAAAATGAGTCTAAAATCAATGGAGAAAATGACAATAATGAAGAAGAAAATGAAGATAACGAAATGAACAATGACAATGATATTTTAGATAAGTCAAATGTAAAGATGAAATCAAGGCCAAATAAACGAAAATACAATGACAGTACTGACCTTGATTTCAGATCACGTAATTCGCCAAAGGAGAAAGACTACAGTCTGTTCATGAATTACGAAGATAAAAAACCTCAAAGAAAAGCAAAATTAAAAGATTTGGTATCAAATCAAGGCCAAAATGAAACAAACCAATTGAACAATGATGATTTATACCTTAGAGATGATGATTACATAGAAAACTTATCTAAAAAGTCCAAAATGAAAAATGATGATAATGAAACCTTTCAATTTAAAGGTTTTAATGCCAACAATGATCAAGACTATGAATATATGCCACGATACAATGATCATTCTCCTAAGAATTCAAAATCATCGAAACAAAAACAAAAATATCAAAACGTTGAAGCAAATGCCGGTGATGTTCCTTACTCTAATGATAATAACCAGTACGAATACGAGCTGAATGAAGAGAAATCTTCATCTGCCAAAAAGATGAAAGTAAATCAACGCAATTTAACAGACAATACTACTTACACAAAGCCACCAATCATGGCAATGACCAAATCACGTCAAATTTCTGAAGAAAAACCACCAAATATTATTATTCCAGATAAACCAATTGAAGCAAAGCATTTTGATGATCTTCCTGATATACAAATAGAACTACAAAGCGTCACAACACCAAGAAAGAGTCCAAAAGAGAAATCGAAAGCATCTCCTCAAAATCTCCAAATTCAAAAGATTTCTCAGATGGAATTCTCTCCTTGGGATGATCCAGAGGAATATCATCCTGCAAAATATACAAATTCTCCAAAGAATGAAAATATTATTTCAAAATCTTCAGAGTCTCCGAAATCTAGTCATACTCCAACGATAAATAAGTCTGTAGTAAACAGAATCCGCATGAATCATCGAAAATCTCAAAAAGATTCACCAAAATCAGGAAATCTCAACTCTCCAAACGAAGAAAGCTCATTTTATAACAGAAATATTGCTATTGATGGAAGGAGCCACAGTATGGAGATATTCCTGTTGAATAAAGGCTCTCCTTCCAAAATAGCCGATTATGTCCGAGCAAATGAGGTAGCAGACAGTAATCCATCCACTCCAAGACATGAAAAAGGCATAAAACATGCGGAAACTTCATCAGAAATCAAAATTTCCCAAAGGAAATCCAGAAAATCCAAAATTGTTGACGGCCACATTAAACCGGCAGAGCTGGACAATCCGAAACTGATCAATGAATTCAATTCCCTCCACGATCGACTTTCAAATATCCAAATGGGAATTTCGAATTCGGCTGAGAACTTCAGCTTCGACTTGATGGCCCATGTCATACAAGATGCAGAGAAAGCGAAGAAGGAAAAGTCAAAGATTTCCCAGAAAATTCCAAAATATGAAAATTCTGACAGCCTATTGACGAAATCTCCGACTGAAAACGATAGTCCGAAATCGAAATTCGCCATTTTCGATGTAAAATCTCCTTCATCAAATAATTCTACTTCATCTCCTTTAGTTTCGCCAACAATGAAGATGGAACTGGTCACAGATGACATATTTGATGTAAACAGAACACCAAAACATGAAAAACATAAACATAAAAATGATCAATCAAATCTTAAGGAGAAACTGTCTCCAAATGATTCCAATGATCATGGTTTCATCAGTTCTCCAACGAAATCTCCTAAATATTCCTTGGATTTGAACATTTCCCCTCAAAAAGAAAATTCCTCTGAAAAACCACTTCCTCCGACCAATTTACAGAAGAATATTTCTCCAAAGAAAGAAAAATCTTTTTCAGAAGAAAAAACTTCAAATTCCGAAAAATTATCTTCTGGAAAGAAGCAAAAAGAAGAGAAAACCAACATATCTACTCCATTATCTCAAAATAATTTGGTTTCTGATGATAAATACAATAATTTTGAAAAATCTGACAAAATTATCACTAAAAATGAATCTCCAAGTAGAGTTGATGCATCAACATCACCAGATATTCCATTGCCTCTACCACAAATCCAGTCTCCACCGAAGAAATTCGATATTTTCGGTCCAATTGAAGAAAATCCAGAAAATAACGCTAAATCTGATGAAGGTGGATATATAATAATAGATAGTGATAAAGAAGAAGAGAAACCAAGGCAAAGAAAACACAGAAATTCAACACAAAGGAGATATTCAACAGATACAACAGAAGGAAAGCTTCTTATACTTGAAAAGGCACAACGAAGACTTAGTGATTACTTAGATAACGAAGAAATCGAAGAAAAACAACAAATTCCTGAAATTAAATCTTCATTAGTCGAAAAACCGCCAGAAAAGAAGCCAAAGTTTATAGAAACAGAGATTCCCAAACCAAAAGGAATGGTCAAGTTCAAAGAATTCTCAGCAAGTGACAGCGAACCAGGATTACCGATATATGATCCAAATCCGAAGCGAAATCCGAAATCTGACTTCTCAGAAATGTCAGACATATCGGAATTCGAAGTTACTCCTGTTCTTCCTGATCAAGAAGTCCAGTTTTCCCAATCAGAACTTTTATCAAGGAATATCGAAGAAGGAATCGATGAGAAATCGAAGATTCCTGCAGAAACACCCCCTTCCAAAGGTACTCCTGTTAGTAATTCCTCAAAATACTCGAATAATAAAGAAGAATTTGGCCAAACGAAGAAATCTAGCAGAAGAACACCGAAACAAAGGAGAAGGAGTTACCAATTCATCGAAAAAGATTACGAAAACGATGTTTTCACCCCATCAAAGCTGGAAATTACGACTCCGAGGTCAGGAACGTTTAAAGATTCACCTGATTCGAAATCTAATGTATCAAGTGTTACGAAATTGCAGGTTTCGCCTCCAAAAATTGCGAAATCTAAATCAGAAATTTCAAATAATCTTGAATTGTCACCTTTATCAACAAATGAGCGGCCAAACCAACTGAACAAGCTCTCCGTTTCACCTCCGAAGATCGATGACGTCCAGAAATTGGAGATTTCACCATCAAAAGCGGAAGAAAGAACTGAAAAGCCAGATTTGGCCATTTCTGTGGCCAATTCAAGGGAAATCCCGAAGAATGAAAAGGAATTTTTGAGAATTTCATCGAATAATTGGATTTATTCAAACGAAGAAAAGGAAAACAATGGATTTTCTTCAACTCCAAACGAAGGAAATCAACTGGTTCAATTTCTGAAAATTCCAATAAATTTAATGAGATATCGAAAGATTTCGGAAATTCATCACCAAAATCTTCTAATTTGTCATCAGAACAAACCAGAAAAGGATCTCAGAAACTTTCAATTTCAGTTCCAGAAGAATCAGAAAAAATTGTCCAAGAAAGAAGGAATTTCCTTGTTGACATGTCAGCAACAAACTCCTTCACGGCCTCTCTATTATTCTGTGTCTAATTCGATCAATTCTCACACGGAAGAAGACGTTGACTTGGTTGGACTAGTTTTTGATATCGGAGATTCTGATAACAGTGATAACAACGATGATCTTTTAATTTCTCAATTCAAAAAGAAAAAATGAAATATTTAAAATTGTTTCCGAAAAGTGAAGGAAAATTGAGAAGATTGTGAAGTTTACACGGAATATTATTTAGAAAAAGCGGAATTTTATATTATATAAACTGTTATTTTGTTTTTTATTAAAAAATATACTGATAATTTTTTTAAAAAAAAGGAATAATCAAATTATTCGATTCCAATAAAATGGAAGATCTTTCTATAGATTTCGCCTCTGAATTTCGACTTCATCAAATCGTGTGGGCCTCCTTCGTATTCAATGAACTCGCAATTTGGAATTGACTGAGCCCATTCTTTATTTGTTGGTGGGTGGACGAGTTTATCAGAAGTTCCTTGTAAGAACAATAACGGAACTTCGGGTGGATATAAATGTGCGCTCTGTTGAATGTAATCCATATGTTGAACAAAAGAATTCAAAATAACGGGTGAAGCTTTAACTTGCATATGGGGAGATTCCATAACAGCCTTCTTGTATCCATCAGGATATGGTGATTTACTTACATCAAGGCCTGTAGGGATTCCGACAAAAGGTAAAACCCAAGATCCAACTTTCAAACCCATACGTAGTAAGAAGGAAGGATTTGGATAAGCATAAGCTCTTAACCATGGTCCAGTTACAATGACTCCTTTTACCTTATTGATAAATTCTGACTTAGAAGTCATAAAACATAAAGTCGCCAAACCACCGAAGGAGTGCCCAAACAAGTAAATCGGAATATCTGGATATTGAGAACTTGCATAAGCAATCTGTTGTTCGATACCCTCTATTACTTGAGGAACTGTAGTTTGTGTTCTTGCACCTGGACTTCGTCCGTGTCCACGATGATCAGCAGCAATCGCAGCACCACCATGCCCAGCAAATACGCGCATAACGTTTGCATTAAAGCAAACAGCAGAGCAAAGGCCGTGCATATAAATTATTACATACTTAGTTGGGCCTTCTTTTACACGCCAATGACAGCCAACAATTGTCTCACCTTTAGTTACTACTTCGAACGTTTCGCCATCATATTCAGTACTCCAGTCAACATCATCAATCTCCATATCAGAAAAATTGAATAAAAACAATGAAATACACTTTTTTATCCATAAAAGTGACGATTTTTTCTTAATTCTACCAAAAGTGACATTTAACCATCAAATCATCAAATTTATTGATCAATTTTCATTAGATGGGTAAATCTAATATATTATCATTTATGGAATTTTATGTCTTTTCAATTTTGAAAGGAATGAGCGGAATTTTCTCTGTGGACATATTTGTTAACTATAAGTTTTACTTCTAATTTTGAAAAAAAAATATCTCACTAAAAAAATGAATTCAATACCACATTAGATCTCTGAAAACTTCATTAATTTTAATTTATATTATTAGGTACTGCGTCCATGTCATGCAAGCATGCATGGTTTATTGAAAACTAACAAAATCAAAAAAAAATATCAATAATCAAATCTGACTTAAAAGAAGCATACGCAATTGGGAAATCAAATACTGCTTCGGAAATTACCAGTTCTGCTATAGTACGCGTTGAATAAAAAGATTTTATCATAAAGATTAAATTTCTTCAAAATCACGATGTTAAAGTAATAAAACTATAATTTCAAATTGTTTTAGAAGTTTACCCAATACTAAATACTCGACATACTTCGATATTCGAAAAATAACATCAAGAAATACATTACAAGTTTTGAAATTCAATTAATGATGTATTGAAGTAACTAATTATTTTATTTTCAAGAATCTGACATGAAACAGGTGGAAATTTTTTCAAGAAAAAAAAAGAAAAAAAATGATTCATGATGATGGATTTCTTAATACATGTCCAGATAAGAGGCATACATTGAATGAAGATAAAGTTCGAGAAGTGCTTAATGCTGGAAATGCTACAAATAGTTCTAATTCAACCGAATTTGAAACTGTGCCATACAACCAAGAAAATTGTGAAGCACTTCTAAAGACTGCTGTCCTCTTAAATGGAAACAAGCACTTAGTTGGAGAAAATGATTTTGCTTTTTCTTTATTTTATCAAGGCGAAGGTGCGAAACCAACTTCCATTTTCTATCCAGTACGCAATAAATTAACAGATAAATATCATGTTATCATTGAAAGTCCACCCGTTGTGCCAGTAAATGTAAGCGAAAAACAATCTCAGCAAGAAAATTTACCAAATGACGCTCAAAATCAGCAAAACGACAAAAGAGACCAATTAAATGGAAATGCAAATGATCCCAACAGCAATATTTCACAAGGGAATGGAAATGAACAAAATATTGATCCACAAAACTCACCAGAATCACAACAGACTCAATCTACAGAATCTACCCGGGCACTTTCTAATCCAGATAATCAAAATAGTCAAGAAAACAAATCAGATGAAAATTCTCAAAACATAACTTCTCAAAATGATCAAAATAACCAAGATAATACATCAAATCAAGCAACACAAGCTACAGATCAAACTACTGATCAACAAAATCAGCAAAATCAAGGAAATGATAATTCTCAAAATTTAGATCCACAAAATGATCAAAATAGTTCAAATAATACAGACAATCAAACTACAGATCAAAATTCTGATCAACAAAACCAAGGAAATCAATCAAATGATAATTCACAAAATAATTCTTCTCAAAACGACCAAAATGATCAAAATAGTGCAGTAAACCAAACTACAGATCCAAATAATCAACAAAACCAATCAAATGATCAGCAAAATCAAGGAAATGATAATTTCCAAATTAATTCTTCTCCAAACGATCAAAATAGTACAGTAAATCAAACATCTGATCAACAAAATCAAAACCAAGAAAATACTGATGAAAATCAAAATAATTCTTCACAAGAACCACGAGTAAAGGAAATTGAGTTTGAGAGTTTGGAAGAGAAACAAATCATTGTTTACGGCATTCTGAGTTACTTGACATTCCTTGCGAATAACAACTTCTATTATCCAGTAGAAAAAGACATTTATGAGTACATTTATTTAGACGAACAAAGCAGACCTAAACTTCGAATTCCCCCATTTTCAGTCACACAAGAAATGAAGAAACTATCAAAAGAAGAAATCAGAAATCATCATCTCAAACTATTTAAAGATTTTTACAGATTATGTTTTTCAGATGAAGAATATCAATCAATCGAATCATTCACTTCTCTTGATGACTTACAAAGTGAATTATACAATTCATTTAAAGGCAAAAACAAGCAATTCGATGATTATTTCAACGAAATCATTAATTATGGAACGAACAACAAAAATTCAACAAAAACAGATAAAGAAATTGATGATCTTTTCTTGAACGGAGATGATGACCATAAATGGTCGATAATTCGAGAATTAGTTGATCAAACAGAAGTAAACACAAAGAACTACCAGATCTTGTACTTCATCTACAAACTACATCAATGGGGACCTCCTAATTTATATTTAGAAATATATTATTACATCAAACTCATGCAATTCAAACCAGAACTTGATAATTTCTATTTAAACAGCGATAATGATTTGTACAAAGCAGTTTATTATGAATGCAAATACCATGAATCTAGATATTATGAATATTTCTTCAAATCATTGGAATATTACAATAAGTCATTATCAAATAAAGAATATGATGAACAATTCATTAAATACAGACTTTCTATTCTTGGCCAAGACTTGGAATCTCTTCGAATAGTTGCAGATGAAGGATATCCACTCGCTATTTACGATTACGCATTGGAGATCTCTAAATATGATATCAACATCGCTATCTCTTATTCGGAGAAAGCAATTCAATATATGTTTGAAGCAAGAGATCTCACAGCGAGACTTAAATATAATTTTTATCTTCTTCATCCAGATGAACGAATTGAGAATGATATATTTAATCTCTGTAATGGATATAAATCTCTTTACTACATCACAGATCGATTGTTTGTTCGTGCTTGTCATTTATTAAGTAATGAAAGAATTAGTAAATACATCGAAAGTAAAATTAATAATGGATACACAGATATCATCAAACATTCTGATACTTGTATCAAACAAATCTTCAAATTTTGTGGTTCAAAACAGTTGATACAACTTTATCCAGAAGGAAGTCGTCATCTCAAGAAGATGAGATTCCACAAAGGTTACACTATCATTCATCTTTTCGCAGAAAGAGGTGACGTCGAAGGTGTTAAATATTGCATTGAAAAACTGAAATGTAAAACAAATAAACTCGTTAATAAGAAAAAACCTATTGAAATTGCAAGAGCAAATAACAATATCGCTGTTGTTAAATATCTCGAATCATTATCACCCAGTAATAACAAACCAACATCTTCAAATTCGTCACAGAACAGAATTGGTTCAACAAAACCAGGAAGTTCAAGACCAACTAATTTATCAAGTAAAAATTCAAAAGCTAACATTGCTGCTCTCAGAATAACTCACTCATCAAGTATAAAATGAATAAAAAATATTGTTATCGAATTTAAATTTCAAAATTTTTTAAGCATATTTTTCGCAACCTCCTCTGAAATTTGAGAGGATTGGAATGGATTTCATGCGAGGAATAGACAATATTGCTTATGTCATTCATCGCAAGGATCATTTAAAAATTATGCAATTGAGTGTTCTTTATCAAGATCATCAGAAACGTCGATTGGACGTGCACCATTAAACTTTGGATATGGAAATCAATTCTTAACAAGTACAAATATTTCATATTTTAAAACAATTAATAGATGTGGATATGCTTTTGAAGCTGGACAAAGCATATCAAATTCTTCTTATAATTTAATAATAAATAACACATCAACAGATGTATATTGCATACAAAACTATATATTATCTAAAGTAAAAATATATAAATGTAACATCATAATTAACTCAGCGAAAGAATGGTTTATAAACAATGAGGAATATAATGAAGTTACAGTTGAGGAATGCAATATTATTGATAATACAGCAATTAATATTTTTTCTATAGAAAAGGCAGGATCAGATATAACAAAAGTTCTTAATTGTTATCTGCAAAGCAATAAAAAAAACAACATGAAATGTAGTATTTAATAATAATTACAACACAGAAATAAGTCTTGTCATTAAACATTTTTCAACAAGGTTATGCCAGGCAAAATATCCAATAATTCTCAATCAATTTTCAATTTCAGCCGAAATTGATTTCTTTAAATTATTTTCATTTTGTATTATGTTATTTTCGAGCAAGGATGAAATTGTTTTTAATTCAGAAAGAAATCAGAATGATATTCACAATCGGCACTCTATTTTTGACTTCTTAAACATTAAATATTTCTTTTCTTTCTTATTCTAATTAAATATGACTTGCGTGTTTTTATTTCTTAATCCACAATGAATTCATGCCTTTTTGGAAAATGATAAGAACACATTGGCAACTACAGCCAATGAATATCATTCCATTGAAACCATGTTTTCCAAAATTGTTTTCTTGGAATGGAAATATATAATTCCTTTCTATATCACAATCGATCAATTAGGAAATGGAAGCATTGCTAAGTACATTGACATAAAATCAAAGAAGGATTCCCACATATCATCAAGTATTCAGATGGAAGTCATCATCTCAAGAAGATGTGATTTCATATTATAAAAACTCAATAACAGATGATAGTGAGTTTTTTATCTTTTAATTATATAAAACAATCGATATACTCAATTTCTCATTATTTTTCTGAATCAAATGCTAAGGATAAAATGATTATGTTTTCAATAAAATGTAAAAAAGTGCACAAAATGTTTTTCACCCCGTGTAAAACCCAAATTATTGATTTTCGGATACAATTGAGAGGATATTGAAATTTTGTCAAAATTCATAAATGTTGCAAAACATTTTCTCATCAAGTATTCCATGAATACTTTGATGGAGAATGTCAAAGTATAAAGAATGGAACATATAATGATAACTCCAAAAGTTTCTGTGTTCATAACAGTTTATTTGAAGATCTCAAGAGTCGAGCAATTTATTCTTCAGGAGATTCTAAATTCCTATTTGAAGATAGTACATTTATTAGTGTATCTACTGCATCAGGTGATGGTGGTGCAGTTTGGATTTTAAAAGGAGAAAACGTTCACAACCGTATTTGTTCATTCAACTGTTCTGCACCAAATAATGGACAATATAGTCTCTGTTATTCCACTCAAGGCTCATTGAAAAATTACGTAAACGAAAGTACTTTATCAAGAACTACCACGACTCCAATTGGACGTTCACCGATATACTTTGTGTATGGAAATCAATTCTTAACGAAAACTAATATTTCGTATTTTAGAACGATTGATAGATGTGGATACCAATTTGACCAAGGACAATCAAAATCAAATTCTACTTATAATTCAATATTAAATAATACCTCTACGAATATAATTTGCATAAGAAATTATATACTTACTAATACAAGATTGTATAAAAGTAACATCATCCATAACTATGTAAAAGATCAAGTCATTAGCAATTTCAGATGTTTTCCATTAACAGTAGAAGAATGTAATATTTTTGATAACTTAGGAACTTATACTTTTTATATTGAAGAATCAGGAAACGCAGTAGTTAATAATTGTTACCTTAAAAACAATAAAAAAGCATTAGGAAATGTTGTATTTAATAACATTGACAACTATGAAATAAACTTCAAACTAAATCATCTTTCAGAAGAACGATGTCAACCCGACTCTTTAGTTCAAAGCAATCATCTTTTTATCTTAGACGAGTTTGAAGATTTTAGCTTATTTTCATTATGTATTTTGTTATTTTCGCGCAACAATGAAATTGTTTTTATCTCAGAAAGAGATAAACATGAAATCTACAATCGACAATCTCTTTTTGGCTACATTAACTTTAAATACTTCTTTTCTTTCTTCAAATAAAAATTTTTAGTTTTCTTGAATTTTTGAATATTTTTCTGCATAAGGAATTTCTCAGGCAATTGTGGCTTTGTATTAGGTCAAGAATAAAACTTTTATTCTTAAGCTGAGATTTTATCATCAAACAAGTTGATATCAACCAAAATTCGGAAAAATGAGGCTGGAAATGCTGGGTTATTCAAAGTATTGCATCTTAAAATATAATACAATGTGGAAATAGAAAGGTGCCTATGAAATTATTTAATTTTTATGAAATCCTATATGAAAATTACATTCTTGACAGCAATTTAAATTAGTTAGCAAAATCAATCTTTTGCTTTGCTCTGGGAAACATGTTTTTGTGGCAGATAAACCCATTTTTTCGAACTTAGCATTCAATTCAATTTTTCAGTGAAGTTCTCTCAATTTGAGGGAATGTACTAAAAGGTAATCTAAACCATGAAAATAAGTTTGTTTTACTGCAAAAATTGAATTAAGCACGTTATTCGTAAGGTGTAAATTAAATGGATATATACTATCAACATCAGATATCAATTCTAAAAATCATTTAGAGAAAACTGAGATCCCATTTTTTGAGAGTGAGAAAAATTTTGTCAAAATCCACAAATGTTGCAAAACATTTTCTCATCAAGTATTCAATGAATACTTTGATGGGGAATGTCAAAGTGCAGCTAGTGGAACTTACTCTGATAACTACAAAAACTACTGTGTTAAAGACAGTTTCTTTCAAGATCTTACTGACCGAGCAGTTTATTCATCAGGAGATTCTAAATTTCTATTTGAAGATAGTACATTTGTTAAAGTATCTTCATCAAAAGATGGTGGTGCAGTTTGCACTGACAAAGGAGAAATTGTCCAAAACCGAATTTGTTCATACAACTGCTATACATCAGAATGGGGACAGTATTGTCTTGTTTATTCAACTGAAGGACAATACAAAAATTACCTTATCGAAAGTTCTATATCAAGTTCTCGTGAAACTTCTACTGGAAACGCTCCAGCATACTTTCATGGCGGAAGTCAATACTTCACGAAAACAAATATTTCATATTTTAGAATAGGGTCATACTGCGGTTACCTTGTTGAAAAAGGACAATCAGAAACAAATTCCACTTATAATTCAATAATAAATAATACATCAACAGGTGATTATTGTATTTACAACTTTGGTTTACCTACAGTAAAAATATATAAATGTAACATCATTAATAACTCTGTAAAAGATAGGGTTATCTACAATGTTAATTGTAAACCATTAACAGTTGAAGAATGTAACATTATTGATAACTCAGGAACTAATACTTTTTATTTATTAGTTTCAGATCCATATAAAACAGAAGTTATTAATTGTTACCTTGGAAATAATAATAAAACATACGGAACTGTTGTATTTAATAACACTTACAACAAAGAAAAAGGTGACCAAACTATTTTTTGAAAGTCCGCCATAACTTTAATGGTACTATTTCAGCGTGTACAATGAATACAAAAATTCTAAGAGTGCCACATAAAATAGTACTTTAGACTTGAGTTAATGCTACCAAGCAAATGTTAAAAAGATGACTTTAGTGTTTTGATAATCAAAGATTAAAATCATTATTGTCTAAATCAATAATCATAACGACAGAAGTTAATGTTTTTTCATAAGTGCTTTAAATCCACTTTTAAAAGTATACCTCAAAAATCAAAATATCAAAAAAATTAGCCGATAGGTTTGGCTTTAATTTTTGTCTGCTTTTATGATTTGATATGGATGTTATAATTTTAAAAGTTGAGCCAAATTCACCAATAGATTTTTGAGATTTGCAAATACTCAATAATTTTCAGCGTGTTCTCTTTTATTAAAAGAACTATTTGGTTTCAGTATCATATAAATTGATATTTACTTTCTATTTGAACCTTCATTTAGCTAATGATTTAATAATACAGATTTCATCTAGTCCTTATAAGAGAATTTTGAATTTGTTATAATAAAAAAACAAACAGATATAGCTTACACTTCTATAATAAAGATACCTTTTATAGAAATCAGTATGAAATGTGTTTTGGCTTATTGGAAGCATATCAGACATAATCGCCATAATCAAAAAATCTATATACCCAATAAGTAATAAATTTGTCGATATAGATTTTCCATAAAATTAGTTTTTAGTCTGATCTTAAAATAAATTTAATTTTTTATAAAAAAATCACATTTAAAAGTACCTTTTTAGTAGCTCGAAATCCTGTTGGTGGATTTCGGGCGTACTTCAAAATTAGCTTTTCTTCTACATATGCAAGCTATATTTTAAATATGGAGCAAATCGGATCGGCGAAAGGAGTTTAGTTACCTTTATAAAGAAATAAATCTCGAACTAAAACATCTTTCGACAGAACTATGCCAAGCAAAATATTTAGATTTTAACAATCATCAAACAGTTTCAGTCGAATTTGAAATTTTTAATTTATTTCCACTTTATATTTTATTATTTATCAGCAAAGATGAAATTGTTTTTAACTCGGAAAGAGATAAACATGAAATCTACAATCGACACTCTCTTTTTGACTTCTTCAACATTAAAAATTTCTTTTCTTTCTTCTTCAAATAAAAACTTCGTTTTCCTTTTGAAATTATTGGGTACCTAATTAACTACATCAATATTTATTTATTGAAAAGTTAATGATATATGAAAATAATTTCAAAAATCAGATATAAATCTCAATACAATGAGAAAACAGATAGAACACAAGGGGTCAATTAAGTTGAAAGTCTGTCAATAATTCATATTCCAGCAAATTCAAAAATTAAAATTAGCAGATTATGAATGGAAAAAAAATTACAAAAAAGAAACATACAAAGTTTTAGTCTATTTCGATAGGAGCTATTTCTTGAAGAGCTCTCTCTGTATCGAAGTTATTTCTTCGAAGAATTTCAACTGCTTGTCTCAAGTCAATTCGTTGCTGTAGTAATGTATTGACTGCTGATCTCTGTCGTGCTGTAAGAGTATCGACCAATGCGAAGTCTTCGTCTTCAAATTCGTTGAATTCGTTGTCTACGTCCATAATTGCGCAGATTTGATCGAATATATGTTCATCACTGTGCTCTGAGACGCCTGTATTAATAAGATGTGTATGAAGAAGTGGAACAAAATTCGAAGGATTCGAAGAAATTACGTTACTAGCAACAGCTATTTCATCGATTCTATTGTATATGGAGTTTTCTTGGCTTATTACATCATTTAGATGAACTTGGTTAACAAAATTTTGTGCAATTCTTTCGATATCTCCATTGTCAAGAAATTCTGTGACTCGTTCCTCACTGTAGAAGTTGTTATCGCTGGCTTCATCTTCCTCATCCTCTGTGTACTGATTTTCGTCATAATCTTCTTCGTAATCTTCGTTGTGATGACCAAATAAATCGAAAAATGGAAAATCATGATCGTGCTCGCGATGACTAATATGTGGTTTCACTAGATAGAATATAACTTCTGAAAACTCTTTAAGGCCAATGAATGGCTCAATTTCAAAGAGAAATTGACCTCTATGAACAAATTTTGCTTTTCCTGTTAATCGTTCCAGCTGAAATTCTTTACGAAGCATTGCTTCAGCTTCATCATGTGTCGTTGTAGGCTGTATTTCTAATATCTTTCTCTTTTTCTTCGGATAAGTGAAAATTATTTTCATTTTTTATGGCACTTTTATGGGAATTAAAATACCAACATATTCATAATTGTTTATCAATATATAGTTATTTTATTCTAATGGAAATTTCCTGAAAACAATTTGCTCGAAATCAAAGATTGGCTAATAGAATTCAAGCTAATATCAATAATAATGTAAGGGTTTCGTTTTGCTAAAATTGTCACTTTTATAGCATATTTGTTTTTGGATGTTTTGCGAAACCAAAAAAAAAAAAAACTATGATATACAATGTGTGTGTAAAGAAAATACTTTATTTACTAGTTAAAAAATCATTTGGTATTGATCAAGTTATTTTTTCTGGATAAGATATTATATGGATAATTGGATAGAAAATACAATTATATAATCTTGTACCTGGTTTAATTAAGCTAATTGTCATCAGAAACTTGTAATTTTTATGAATTTCAGATTTTCTTTTCATTACTGCTTTTCTTAATAGGTCAAGTTCTTATTTACGTTATAAAGTATGATATTTACAAATATCAAGTTATCATGTTTTTTGAGAAATTATGAGAAACAAACAAAAATGAAAAAGATAGGAATAGCAATGAATAGTGATGTGGGTATAGAAAATGTAAGAGATATGAATGCAAAGCAATCAGTATTTAGGACATTGACCATAGATTTCGAAAAAAAAATGCTGCATACTGAGCGAAAACTATGATTATATTATAAGGCTGTCATTTAAAGCATAATGAAATTATTCCCTTTTCATTTTAATCGAATAAGATAGTAAAGATTTTTGAATTAGCTAGAAACTGATGAGATGTTTTCACAAATCAGATTTTTAATCTCTATAATGCATAATTCACTCAATATCTCAATTTTGATATTGCGAGATATTTTTGCTATCGGTTTCGCAATTTTGACACAATAGCAAGAGGGTTCTATAAGCATTATTATCAACGTAGAATCTGAATATCATATCAGAAAATGTCGCAAATCTGACATTTACCCGACCAAATAGCAAAAATAATTGAATACTTTTCGCAAAAACTTTAAAAATCGATAAAAATATGAAATATAGATATTAAAGAGACTTTTTATATAATATTCATAAAGATTTTCCAAAAATATGATACCGCAAAATTAAAAAAGTGACGTCTTGAGTGGAGTCAAAGGTCGAAATTGCTAGCTAAATGTTTTTTTAGCGAAATTGCGTATTGTACGTTTTTTTCGCAAAACGAAACCCTTAAATAATGTCATTTCACACAAGATAAAAAGGACAAATATAGTAGTTTCGTGATGTATTAACTTAGATTCTTTTGAGATAATTTGAAATATTTAGTTTTAGATCACAAGTATTTGACATTTAAAAATAGAAGTGCAGACTAATTTACTTTTATATAAAATAACCCCTTAAAAAATCTAAATTGAATTTTTTTTTCAAATTTAAATAAATATGCGACAAAATGAATTTACAATGCTTCCTTCTTTGCATCCTCGAGTTTCTTCCTAATGTTATCAACAATCTTTTGTTGTTGAGCAACTTCAGCATCCATTGTTTGGTTAAGCTTATCAGCTGAGCGCATCCAACGCTCCTTGAAGCCTGCAACATCTCTATCCTGAGCAGCAAGAAGCTGTTGGCGTTGTCTTTTCTGTGTCTGAAGGAAGATTCTCTTCTTCTCGAGTTCCTCGATCTTTTCCATCTTGTTGCCTTCCTTATGAAGGGCTGTAGCTTCATCGTAGCGCTTTGTTAAAACGAGATGACGTTCTCTTTCACGAAGATCTAATAATGCTGGAGAAGGCTTCAAATACGAAGATGGGAGCTCATCAATTGGGCGTGAATCATTATCCTGAAGCCTTGTAAGCTGTGTCCTCTCAAGCCTACGAGCAGATGAAGATTGAGTACGGTTGAAATCAGTAACTTTCTGATTCCATTGCTCAATTGTCTTCTTAAGGGAGTTTTCAGCTTGTTGAAGTTGGATTTCTAAGGCTTTGATTTCCTGAGACTTCATTTGAGCATGCTTTCTCTGAATAACGATGGAGTTAATCTTTTGGATTAAATCAACAATCTGTTGAGAAAGGTGGTAATTTCCTGCTAATGTAGCTTGGCGTTTTCTTTCTTTGAGTGTGATGATAACTTGATTAACATTTTCGAGTGGTATCGATGTGAGTGGAGCACCCTTAAGAATATCGTCGACTCTTGATTCTGCTGAAATATGCTCTCCTCTTGTTAAAGTTTTGTATTCTGCTGTCGGATTTTGAGCTGCAGGTCTATTTGGCTTAGGAAAAGTACCTCTTACTGTGTTTGGGTTGTATAATGCCCTTGAATGGATTGTGGAAGTACTCATTGGAACTTCAACACGTGGGCGCAACAGGTTAGGAAGCTGAGTCATCGATGAAAGTTGTTGTAACGATTTTTTTATCTCAGAAATTATAAAAAAATTCGTTATGATGAGAGATTGCTCAAATGACAAATGAAATAGCATAACCAATGTATGACAGAAGCACATATCATATCATTTTGAGGGAAAATCCCACTTTTAGAAATCGAGCACTAAAAAGTTCAAAATTTTTTAGGAACTGACATGTAAATGGATATATCAATGGTAATTGCAGCTAAATCCAACAAAATTTGATATGGAATTAAATTGGCAACGGGCGAGAAACAAGAAAAAAATTTTCCTTGTAAATGACGATTAAACTGAAAAGTGCCACCGACCATCTTCCATTGAAAATCGAGATACGCTAAGTAATGTCACTTCACTTTTAATGCTCTCCTCTTCCTTCGAGCGCAACCTCCACCAACCACTCCTTTTCATCGACAAGGACACCAAGGTCGTCATCCAGGGTATCGGTAACCAGGGCCAGTTCCACTCCCGCCTTATGCGCCAGTATGGCACAAAGGTTGTTGGTGCCGTCCATCCAAAGAAGGCCGGCTCAATCATTGCTGGTCTCCCAATCTTCAAGAACATGAAGGAGGTTGTTAAGAGAACAGATGCTAATGCATCTCTTATCTTCGTTCCAGCTCCAGGTGCTGCTGCTGCTTGCATTGAAGCTGCTCAGGCTGGCATGGGTCTTGTTGTCTGCATCACAGAACACATCCCACAGCACGACATGATCAAGGTCAAGAAGGTCATGAAGGAAACAGGCTGCCAGCTTATCGGTCCAAACTGCCCAGGTCTTATCCAGCCAGGCACACACACAAAGCTTGGTATCATCCCAACAAACATCTTCAACAACGGTAAGATCGGTATTGTTTCCCGCTCCGGCACACTCACATACGAAGCTGCCTACGCTACAACACTCGCTGGCCTTGGTCAGTCCACAGTTGTCGGCATCGGTGGTGATCCATTCGCAGGCCAACTCCACACAGATGTTGTCAAGCGCTTCGCTGCAGACCCACAGACCGAGGGTATCATCCTCATCGGTGAAATCGGTGGCACATCTGAAGAAGATGCCGCTGAGTGGATCGCTAAGACAAAGCTTACCCAGGAGAAGCCAGTCGTCGCCTTCATCGCCGGCGCTACAGCTCCACCAGGCAAGCGTATGGGCCACGCTGGTGCCATCGTTTCTGGCGGCAAGGGCACAGCTGAGGGCAAGTACAAGGCTCTTGAAGCAGCTGGTGTTCGCATTGCTCGCCACCCAGGTAACATGGGCAAGTTCATCTTCGAGGAGATGAAGAGAATGGGCAAGATCTAAATTTCTCATAAAAGTTCACAATTCAATAACCTAATTACAAAAATTAAATCATCATTTTTCTCATTTTTTTTCAAATTAAAAAGTCACATTCTCATATCTTTGAAAAAAATCTTCACAGTTGGCCATTATATGCATAGTTAGCTTTAACATCTTACGGGGATTGATTCGTAATAGTTTTTATGGATTTATGACCTTATTTTGGTGTAAAACGACAAATTTGGTCGTAAAATAAAACAAAAAGAACCGATTGAATTCTTTTTAAATTCTTTATCTAGATATGTAATTCGTTCATAATTAATAAGAAATGTTCGCTAACTACAGGTTTTTGAAATATCATTCTCATTTGATGATGGTAAATGATAACATTTGACGCTAAATATAGCTTCTAAACCAATCATAGATATTGAGTTTGTTGTGATTACCCTTTTACGAATGCAAAAAGCCAAGAAATTTTTTTTCGCGGGAAAAAATCTAAATTAACGTGCAAAAATATAGTGCTCAATTTTTGTGAATAAAATAATCGTTCTCGAAAATGAAAACTTCATTATAATCTCATTTTGCAACTAGAATATGTGAATTCTAAAGTGAAATTTCTCAATCCAACAATAAAATTTTATTGATGACGGAAAAAACGGAAGAGGATAAGACATTTGCAACAAATGAAGTTCCTACAGAATATCATGTTGATGATAATGAAATTAAAGACCTTCCTCCTTTAGAAATCACAATAAAACACGATCAAAAAATTGATTCCAGTTGCCAAACCGAAAATAATACATTAAGAACCGAAGAAGAGGAAGAAGAAACACTTGTTGATAAAGCTCTGGAGAAAAAATTACCCAAAAATCTTCAACAAGATGATTATGAAGGTTTGTTAACTCAATTAAAAGAAAATAGAGACGCCTTAATAGAAGAAGGGCGGGCAACTGAGGCTTCTGCTTATAATGACGCCTACAAATATACCTGGGAGTCATATCAAGACGCCTATAAACGAAAAGTTTTCAAAGAAGCGAAAATGTGCAGTGTTAGACGCATTGCTAATGCTAAAAATCTTTACGATGAGAAAAAGGAAGGCTATGAAAAAGAAGAAGAAGTAATTGTCGAAAGTCTTAAAAAACGAATTGAAAAATTACAAATTAAACATCAGCAGCAGATCGACGACTATGAGAGAGAGTGGCGAGATCCTGCTAAAATACGTAAATATAACAAGACATCGGGCAAACTCAAAGAATTACGACTTCAAGCGAAAATGTTAATGAAAACTCACAGATACAACGAAGCCCAAATGATAGAAGCTGAAGCGAATAGGCTTCAAGAAATCGAAACAAAGAAGCAGCAAAAGCAGATGATTGACGATCATCTTGCCGGTTTAAACTATTTAATTGCTCAACAACATGAAGAGCTTCGATTAGTTAGAATGTCGAATGATATCAAAATTAGTACATTTAGAACTGATAAAGTCAAAGAACTTGATGTTTGTCAAAAAAGAATTATGAACGCAGAAGTATCTTCCGAATTTGTAAAGAAGCCTGACCAAGTTTGGGCTAAAAAGAAGAATACTTTCAAATGCCCAAGAATTATGTCGACAAGAAGCTTAAATAAGACCAGTTTAAGCAAAGTTAGCCCTTCGGATACGCTTCCTTTAAGAGGTGTCAACTTGTCTAAGTCTAGTCGTGCGAAAACGACATTTAACTACCGTACTTATTTGTAAATTGTATTTATATATTGCTTATGAAGAATTTATTATATTTTTTTATACTGTCTGATAAACCTTTTTTGATATTTATACATTTATCTCTCCTTTTTACTCCCCAAAAATTCCAAATTTTTTTCAAATTTCAAAAAATAAATATGAAAAATTAGAAAAAGAATTTCAAAATTAACAATACAGATCTTTTTTTGTGAAATATTTGAACAACATGATAGCCATAAATTTGTTGTTAATACGATTTCATCCAGATTTATTTCAAAATAATGATTTTTACAAACTTTGATAATAATTTTGTACAGTTGAAATTGGAGAGTCTGATATTAGAAAGTCCTTACATAATACAAAGAATTTTTCATAATTAAATTACATTTAATATTCTCAGAGAATGAGATTAATTCATTTGAGATAAAAATGCAAATATTGCGGGCGTTAGAGTAAAAATTTGATGCAAAAATTATTTTCATGTTCACTAATGAGATTTAATAAAGTTTAAAATTTTTTAAAAGATTTTATCCTAATTCATCAATTTTTCAGATCAAAAAAGTATTGTAGACAAATTCAAATGCATTTGCAATATAAAAATTTATTTGTAAAAAAAGAGATCAATTTCTTTCTTATTCCTTTTATTTCCATTTGATGCCTTGATGGACATCTAACCTTTGTCAATAAAGTCGAATTTATAGTAAAAATTTAGTTAGTTACATAGGGTGATACATAAATTAGTTTAATCAAATTGGGATTCCATTTCATCTAGTTCGAAAAAGGAACTATCAATTTCAGCTTGTATAATTTGCGACTTTTCTCGATCTTCGGACTTCTCTGCTTTAATAATCTGAGATGTGTTCAATTGAAACACGTTTTCAAATGTAGCATTCCTTCTTAGTAGCTTCTTATATTGTGCTTTAATGGAAACATCAGTTCTATGCGGGAATAATTGTGAGATTGCAGTCCATTTCTTGCCATATTGATGAACAGACCATAGAATTTTGTAATTTTCTTCAGGAGTAAAAGGACCTAGATTAACATTCGAATCCAAATAGTAAAACCATCTATCTTTGCATTGCCTTGGGTTTTTTGTTACCATTAATTTTGCAATAATGTGCCAATCAATTGCTTTTCTATCTCGTTGCATCGAATTAACTAATGATTTAAGCTTATCATCTTCTTCTTTCGTGAATTTGTTCCTTACAATTCTCTTAATCTCTTGCATTTTAGACATGGAAGATATAATCTATAAAATTGATAATTACTCACTCAAAAATTTGAGTGAAAAGCTAAAAACAATTGAAAGTATTGAATGGTCAGTCAAAACGTTGTCAAGTATATAATTTGATAATTGTAATATGCACATCATCTTTGCTTTATAAATTTTGCAAAAATGTTATCATTTTCTGAGGAGTAGGTAGATTTTTGAAACCGAAGAATTTTACATCACTTATTCATTAACAATTGTTTTTTTTATAAAAAAAAATCAAACCAAAATTATTATCTTACTAAAAATTAGATATTGATGTGATTTCGATTAAATTAAGATTTATCAATATATCATTGTATTAATTAGATCAATATGAGCTTTCCAAATTAAAAATTATTTAAAAATCAAAAATAATATCAAATGAAATGCGATAATGTAAATAATCCAATGAAATCATATAATGTCTCTAATATCATTTTATATGAATTGATTTTTACCAGTTTGGTGAATATTTGTTTGATTTTTAAAATTTACATATTGACGTGGGTTTTGCATATATAAACAGGGTGTTGGTTATATTTTGCATACCGAAAAGATTTTTTACCAAGCGCAAATCAGGAGGGGACCGCAAAGATATTTTTTTCCCGATTAAATTGTGAGCCTTTCAAATGTTGTATAACCTTTTTAAATTTTATTCTTAAATAACCCATATCGGGCAATATCAATTTCATTTCCAAATTGAATGGATAATTCAATGAAAAAACGAACATTTTCATCGTTTCAAAGGGATTTTTTTGAAACAATAAATTAAATTCACGAGTTCAGACTTATTTTTCCGTAATACTACATCATGAGGCAATAACACTCCCATATTTAGAATAGCTGTTTCCATAATTTCACATTCAAAAAAAAGTGTAACATGGTTTATGTTTTGTATACTAGAGTCAAAATCTCGAGCACAAAAGTGACATTGAATACTTGTAAGTATTGAATTCCCATGTAAACTATTCATTTCTATCGTTTTTTGTAGTCCACATTTCCTCACTCTCGATTTTACTCATAAAAATATTAAAAAATCACTATACAATATATAAAATATATATTTATATTGTTAAAACAATGTTATTTTTGCGAGATTTCATCTGAAATTAAAATTAGGGATTTTTTGAATTTTGAACTAAAATTTGTGATTGGCAAATATTGAATAATCGATTGGAATATGAAAGAAATACTTTAAAATTGAATAGAATATGCCGATAGAATTTTTCTCACAATTTTAAAAAGTTGTTCAAATCCTATTTTTGATTGAGTTTTTGCAATTGTTATATATCAAGTGACAAGCTAAAAATAAAATTTTTGTTGCACTACTATTTTTGCAACAATTTGTAAATTACGTGCATCCCTTGTATTCCAGTGATCAACATCGAGATTACATATTGTAAGAAATCCTTTTGAAGTAGATCTCTATTTGAATTCAAATTCGGACAGTCTATTTCATGTTGCTTCGTGAGAATGTATATAATTTGCAATGTGAATATTATATAATTGATTCTGTATAAATAAGTAATTATGCTTTAGGAAACTGCTCGGCATTGCATGAGATCTAATCTTATAATAATTTTTTAGATATGTTGAAATATGTAATATTTAGCTTCAATATCATTTATTATGGTGTGTCTTTGCTGTTTTTTTGATATTGGATATCAATGACTCTTCTGTGAACGAAAAAATCATATAAATCATTAAATTCTAAACGTAAGCGAAACTCATTCAATTTATTATTAGAATCAAATCTATTTTAAAATTGAGCTATTCGTTAAATCACAAAAGGATACTTTATATTTTTAGTCAAAATTTGTTGATAGGAGCTTATTGGCGCAATCTCATGTTCTTCCTGGAAGCAGCGCACAGACCAGTCAGAAGCGCTCCTTCCAGGACCAGAATGACTAGAAGGGGGCCCTGACCTTGAGAAAGGACCCCCTTCCAGGTCTTTCTGGGACAATTCGGTTCGCATTGCGAGTGTCTGCTGCTTCTTTTGACCAAAGCAGCAGACACTCGCAATTATATGTTGCGGCAAGTGCATCTGTGGTGTCGGAATGCACTTGCCGCGAACTTCGAGCAATCTCCTGATCTTCCTGGAAGGAGCGCACAGACCAGTCAGAAGCGCTCCTTCCAGGACCAGAAAGACTAGAAGGGGGCCCTGACCTTGAGAAAAGACCCCCTTCCAGGTCTTTCTCCAAGGAACATTGTGCCATTGTGGGAGACATGCAGAGACAATGTCTCCCAGAATGATACATTGCGACCAACACGAGTGAATGGGACACTCTATTCTTTCAATTTTCTCATTAATATTTTATCTTTTTTTATTAGATCAATAAATAAACTCTTTTAATGTTCACAATTACATAAATCCATATGAATCAATTCGCTATTTATTTAGTCTCTAATTTTAATAGCTTTTTTGAATCTTGCAATCTAAATAATTAATATATGCAGGTCATTTTATTTTTTTTTCTTAATTACATTATATATAATAATATATTATATGTCCAAATCGAACAAATTGTGAATTTTTACTTTTGAATGGTATTCAAATTTACCCTCTCCTAAGAAAATGCCCCAACAATATTCAGGCAGATAAATAAAAAATTGATAATTTCTTATTCATCTTTGGTTAAATTACACTAGTCTTTTCATACACATGTTAGATAAATTTTAATCTTTGCGAGTCAGTCACTCTCATTTTTCTCAACTGCATATTTTATCTTCGATCAAATTAATTTTAATTAGACTTTCAGTCTTCAATATAAAATAAAATACAAGCTTTTCAATTTGGACAATAATGAATAAATATGTTTGTTTGAAATATTAGGATACAATGAATGATAAATTTATTTATTAAAATAAAATTGGCTAGCATAATCTGCCAATCGATGATTTGAAAATCTCATTCAATTAAAAGGTTAATTACAACACAAACTCTTTCTTTTTTTAAATTTTATATCAAATGATCAAGATCTACAAATATGTTTTAACCTTTAATGAATTTACAATTAACAAATAATTTACACATATTACTCTTCTTCTTTTAATGTTAATCCCATAGTCAACAAAGTATACAAATTTTGAGGGTACATTGAATTTGAGTCTATTCACCATTCATTTAAAAACCCCAAAAAATAATTTGAAAAATGACGGAGTTAGATAGTCCTCCCCCTAAGACAGCTAGGCAAAGAAGCGCTAGATTTACGGAAGCCGAGGATAATATCCTGAAAGATCTTGTAAAGGATAACAAGAAAAGAACATGGAAAGAAATCGCCACATTTTTACCAGGCCGTACAGCATGCCAATGCCGTGATAGATATAATCAATATCTTTTTAAGCAAGTTATCGTGAAACCCTGGACAAACGAAGAAGATGAAATTATAGTAGAAAAATATCGCCTTTTTGGTCCACATTGGGTAAAAATATCGGAATTCCTTCCAGGTAGGAGTGGAAATAATATTAAAAATCGCTGGAATAGCGCTTTACAAAAATATCATGGCATTTCTCATGAAATGCCAAAACAAAAGAGAAGATCCAAAAAGGTAAAGTGGGGAGAAGTAGAAGAAAGAAAAGAAGATCCTATTCAGATAACTTATCCTTTGATTCCTACGACTCCAAATATCATTGAGCCGACTAATTATTCAGATATAATCCCAAAGGCATTCTCCAAACCAAATGTTATTGACCTTGATTTTAGCATCGAGTATAAAAAGATATTTTGTTAAGTTCTATTAAAATTATAATTATTTTTTCTCTTTTAATTTTTTTTGTTAGTCATTTATTTATATATCATATAAGTGAAACATATATCCATGTAAGCTAAAAAGCACCAACGACTCAACCACATTGAATTTCCACAAACTTACAGTTACTATCTGATTTTTGAGTTTTATTAAATAAGCTTTAAAAAATTTATCTTGTTTCTATTTTATTCTAATAATTTGGCATCTGTATATTGTATTTTTGGTAAATTTTTTTGTCTTTATAATGATCCAACAAAACTCAAATAAATTTTTGATTAATAGATCGAATCTAATTATAATATTTTTTTTATCATTATAAAATAGAAAAATATAAACAAGATAGACATTCTCTATGAGACCGAATGATAAGCTTTGACAAGTATCATTCAACAAAATTGTGATATTATTTTTTTTTAGAATTATCAGTATAATTGTTAAAGTTTAATTCTAATCCATTCGAAATTCTTAAATTACAATATAATCTTTTTTTAAATCATAAATTATAATATTCATATGATTCTAAATTTTATATGAGAAGGCATTTTCGTTAATAACATAAACTAGATTTTCGGAATTTTGTAATCAAAAGTAACACTTGTTTTTAGATCATTACAAAAATTGACATTGCAATAAAAAATGAAAAAAATGTTAAAAAATAGGAATTTCTGATCTTTTAAAATCTGTAAATCATCAAATAATAATAAGTTGTGTAAACTGGAACTGGGAATAAAATTCAGATTCAGAAATGTTGGTGATAAAAAAATGTAGATTTAACATAAATAACAACCTAATTTTTACAAATATACATACAGTAATTAAAACCATGTAGATTCGGGCAAGTCAAAAGCCTCGAAATCGTTAATAATATAATTTTCCGAAAACAAAGAGAAGAATGAATTGTCATCAAGGGTTTCCATCTTAACGAGGGACTGAGCATTATTATCAATATTATTATTGTGGTTGACTGGCAAAATGATTTTTTCTGATTTATAATCATTTCTTGGAATGGAAACTTCTTCTGCGACAGCTTTCATTTCTATTACAGGCGATTGCTCATAACTAGCGTCATCAATCCATTTATCCTTCTTTGATCTTCGTTCTTGACGTGCGTTTTTGTGTTGAATTCCGTGATATTTGGTTAAGGCACTGTTCCACCTGTTCTTGATGTTGTTGCCACTGCGACCTGGAAGGAACTGTGAGATCTTAACCCAGTGTGGACCATAAAGACGGTACTTCTCAACAATAACCTCGTCTTCCTCTGATGTCCATGGCTTGCTAACAACTTCTTTGAAAAGGTACTGGTTGTACCTGTCGCGGCACTGGCATGCTGTGCGACCTGGAAGGAACGTAGCAATCTCTTTCCATGTGCGGTTCTTCTTGTCCTTGGCAAGCTCCTTCAAAAGAGCATCTTCTTCCTTTGTGAATCGTTTGCCATATTTTCCTGTTGTAGCAGGGGAAGAAGTATAAGATGCATCATCAGAATCTGATGAACTTGATGAGTATGAATATCTTGGAGACATTATGAAAATAATGGTTGATTTTAGTCTGTCTCAAAAAATTGAAGTTTTGAATGGTTATATTAACGTGTTTCATAGAATTCGTTTTTTTGAGAGACTCCTAACTGCTTTTATCTCAATTTATTTATGTTTATTTTTAAACAAAATAGTGTTATTTATCTGGTAATGAGAAATATCAATTTTTTAACGTTTTTGAGTTTGTAATCAATTATCAGTTAAACTTTTTTGTATGACAAAACGATAGATTTCGTCTTCGGTACCAAAATCAGTTTATTTATACGGGATTATAATTACTTGAAGCATTCTCGATCATTTTAAAAAAATTTGACAATTTCCGAATTTCCTATTTTTAAAGTATTAATATATGACCTATATGCCCATTCATTACCGACACTGGAAGACATTTTCTCTTTTATTAGTTTTATTTTTTTTATCAAAATATTTATTCGATTAAATTTCATTATGTCTTAATTTAAATTCATATAAATTCAAAAGAGAATATTATTATTCGTTGATATTTTTTCTTTTTTTTATTTTCATTATTATTCTGATTATAAAGCTCATTAGTTTCATCTCGAACATTTACCGATGTATTTGTATTACTATACTTAAGAATTTCGCCCGAATTCATCAACGGACATTTTGTTTGTAATCCAAAATCATTTGCTTCTCAAATTGAGAACCTGCAAATTATCGGGAAGATCATTTCCCTCTCAATTGTGAACTGCAGCGAGGTTAAAATTGAAAAGGATATTGCCGATACTATCAAAAAATCTGGCTCTCAAAAAATCGACAAAGGTTGTCAGAAGTATATAAAAGAACAATGAATTCAAGCTCATCATACTCATCAAGTTCATCAGATTCTGATGATGCATCTTATACTTCTTCCCCTGCTACAACAGGAAAATATGGCAAACGATTCACAAAGGAAGAAGATGCTCTTTTGAAGGAGCTTGCCAAGGACAAGAAGAACCGCACATGGAAAGAGATTGCTACGTTCCTTCCAGGTCGCACAGCATGCCAGTGCCGCGACAGGTACAACCAGTACCTTTTCAAAGAAGTTGTTAGCAAGCCATGGACATCAGAGGAAGACGAGGTTATTGTTGAGAAGTACCGTCTTTATGGTCCACACTGGGTTAAGATCTCACAGTTCCTTCCAGGTCGCAGTGGCAACAACATCAAGAACAGGTGGAACAGTGCCTTAACCAAATATCACGGAATTCAACACAAAAACGCACGTCAAGAACGAAGATCAAAGAAGGATAAGTGGGTTCAACAATATAAACAAAACGATGAATTATCAATTCCCATTAATCAAACATTTGCAGTTCCACAGCAATCCATTCAAAACCAAACTGCTTATCCATATATAATTCAACAAAGCGTAACATCTTATCACGATATCGCAAATTCAATTTCTGATCCTAATAGCATTATGACCAATCAAAACTTGACTAAAGTTTTTAATTCATTAGACGATTCAGAGGTTGCAATAGAATCATTGTTTGAACAATGCAATGACGAATTTCAGAATTTTGTATTTTAATTGTTATTTGTTATTAAAATATATACATGGCACGGCGGGCGCAAAAAGTGACAAAATAGAATACCTATAGTGGCAAGACAAAGGAAACATTTTTGTAAGGCAAACATTATATCAAATACCTTTACTTTGTAATAAGAAATATAATTATCACGAAATTACAAATAAATATTGTTTAATATAATTAATAGCAAAATTCTTTTTTATTATTTCCCTTAAGACCTTACTTATTAAGTATACGTATAACAAGCTTGTACTGCCTGTATTAGTTAATAGAACAAAAGAAAATGAGCTCAAATGAAAAAAAATTTCATGCTATTTTGGAAATATGCATATTCGAAGTATGAGAGTTGTAAACACTGAGAATTTTAAGCTTTGGTTGATGATAGTCTTTAATTTTTCTTGAAGTAGTAAATTATTTGATATGAAAATTTAATGGCCAGCATAATCAATCGTGCGTTTCGTTTCTTGATTGAGAAACGATGATTGTGTGCTAATGAATTATTGCGTCTGACAGGTTATGATTATGGATACCTGAAATTAAGCTTTTATGGGAAACATCACCGAGCGCCATTTGGCGCCCCTAATGCTGTTTCTATCGGTATGATTAAGGAGCTTTCTTATGCACTTTCATCACTTGAACTTGAACGCTACAAGATATATGCCCCCCTCCCAATGGGAGGTGGGAGCAAAAATTGAAATGTTTACATTGACTTTTGAATACTTTACAAGCGCCCCTCCCAGTGGGCGCGGGCGCAAGTGATCGGGTCAAAAAAATCATAAAAATATTCAAAATTGCGATTTTAATATGTGTTTAAGAAGTAAATTTATTAATAACGATATTTCATAGTACAAAATGTGTTCAATCTCTTCGTAAATCATTCAAAAAAATCAAAAGAATTTCCAAAATTCAATTTTTTTAGTAAAATTTATATCTTTTTCTATCGTCTCCTCCCCACCAGTGGGAGCCACCGGAGTAGGGTTGTACAAACTGGCACGCCTGCTGGCACACCTTTTTTGGCCAGCTGGCACGATTTTTTTAAAAAACACATTAAAAAAGTCACTTTTTGCCCCATCTAATGAGATTTTTTTTTACAATTTTTTCCCCTTATTTTTCAATTTAGATATGATTTTAAGCTCTCAAAATTGAAGTTTACCTGATGTTTCTTAGTTTTTATGATAATAAAATGTTGCAAAGTTGAGTTTGGATTCAATAAATTTAAGAAAATTTTATTTTACAATGAAATTATAAGAAAGGATGTTTTTATCCTATGTCAAAGAGAATACATTTGTAGATCCCGACTTTTGACATGGTTGAAAATTCCAAAAAAAAATTCAAAATTTAAAAAAAAAATTAAAAAATATAAATTTCATGTTAAAAAATGATTTTTGAAATTTTTTTGGAAAAATAGAATGTCATATTTTTATGTTTTATTGCTATTTTTTACGAAATCAATAAAATATTTGTTAATTTGGCTGAGATTATAAATAAAATCTTTCTAAATCTTGCAATTGATTGCTAAAATCTGTTTTATGTATTAATTGGCATTGAGATTCGTTATAAAAGAATGCGAATTATTTTGTATGAGTAAACGTATTTTGTAAAATTTGAAATTCTCTTCTCTCATTACTTACCTTAGATCTCTCGCTTTTAGCTCTCAGATTTCGCTCATAGAACTCAGGTTTTAGTTATGTACTCATAGATGTATCATTACTGCCCGCAGATCTCTCATTACTACCTTACTAACCAGATCTTAACTCTCATTACTACCTTACTAACCAGATCTTAACTCTCATTACTACCTTACTAACCAGATCTTAACTCTCATTACTACCTTACTAACCAGATCTTAACTCTCATTACTACCTTACTAACCAGATCTTAACTCTCATTACTACCTTACTAACCAGATCTTAACTCTCATTACTACCTTACTAACCAGATCTTAACTCTCATTACTACCTTACTAACCAGATCTTAACTCTCATTACTACCTTACTAACCAGATCTTAACTCTCATTACTACCTTACTAACCAGATCTTAACTCTCATTACTACCTTACTAACCAGATCTTAACTCTCATTACTACCTTACTAACCAGATCTTAACTCTCATTACTACCTTACTAACCAGATCTTAACTCTCATTACTACCTTACTAACCAGATCTTAACTCTCATTACTACCTTACTAACCAGATCTTAACTCTCATTACTACCTTACTAACCAGATCTTAACTCTCATTACTACCTTACTAACCAGATCTTAACTCTCATTACTACCTTACTAACCAGATCTTAACTCTCATTACTACCTTACTAACCAGATCTTAACTCTCATTACTACCTTACTAACCAGATCTTAACTCTCATTACTACCTTACTAACCAGATCTTAACTCTCATTACTACCTTACTAACCAGATCTTAACTCTCATTACTACCTTACTAACCAGATCTTAACTCTCATTACTACCTTACTAACCAGATCTTAACTCTCATTACTACCTTACTAACCAGATCTTAACTCTCATTACTACCTTACTAACCAGATCTTAACTCTCATTACTACCTTACTAACCAGATCTTAACTCTCATTACTACCTTACTAACCAGATCTTAACTCTCATTACTACCTTACTAACCAGATCTTAACTCTCATTACTACCTTACTAACCAGATCTTAACTCTCATTACTACCTTACTAACCAGATCTTAACTCTCATTACTACCTTACTAACCAGATCTTAACTCTCATTACTACCTTACTAACCAGATCTTAACTCTCATTACTACCTTACTAACCAGATCTTAACTCTCATTACTACCTTACTAACCAGATCTTAACTCTCATTACTACCTTACTAACCAGATCTTAACTCTCATTACTACCTTACTAACCAGATCTTAACTCTCATTACTACCTTACTAACCAGATCTTAACTCTCATTACTACCTTACTAACCAGATCTTAACTCTCATTACTACCTTACTAACCAGATCTTAACTCTCATTACTACCTTACTAACCAGATCTTAACTCTCATTACTACCTTACTCATCAGATATCTAATTATTTACATATGATTTCTCACATCTCACTCAAGTCTCATTACTTACCCTATCTTTTTAACCTTTTCTGATAATTACTGAAATAACTAAATCCTTTTTTTAGTTTAATTCTGATATTAAATTTTTAAAATCTCTTTAATTTTTTGAACTACGCCTTTAATTTGTAATTGCCGATTTCACAGATTTGAACCATTTAATAAAATAACATTATTCAACTTAATCATATCAAACATGGTAGTTTGATTTTCAGATCTACATTTTAAAAACCTCTTTATTATCTTGAGTTATACTTTTATTATATAATACCTGAGTTCATAACTGAAAACTCTTAATTAGAGTACAATATTCAACTTAATCATAACAAGATTTGTTGAATTTCAAATTTGATTTATATCTTCCATCACTTAAAACTCTCACAGCTTACAATATAAGCTAAAAAGTATATTTTCATAGTAATAAAATTAATTATTAAATTTTTTACTTTTTCCTTTCCAAAACTAGAAAAAAAGGAAGGGAAAAGGGAAAAAGAAGAAAGAAAAGAGAAAAAAAGAAAAAATAATAATGAGCATATTATATAATTGTGGTCATAGGCCGAGTGGCGTGGAAAGGATGTCGCCCTTCGGGCTCCACCCTTTCCACGCCACGAGGCCCGATTTTTGGCCACTTTTTTGATTTTGGCCGCGTGCCAGCTCCTGGCAGGCGGCCCGCAAAATTGTGCCAGTTTGTACAACCCTACACCGGAGGCGCGGGCGGCGCCACTGGCGCCAAAAAAGTAGCGCCCATCGTGCCATGTATATTAAAATATATACTATCCATTTTATATTTATTGAGCTAATTTTTTAAATTAACAACATTTTTTTTGGAAATGACATTTCGAAAAAAATGATAAAGGATTATAAGATAGAATAATTTATTCGCTCTATAATAACAAGAATCAACATTAAAACATTAATGATGAAAAGTCAGTCAACATTTCCATGTTCGAAAAATCTAATTCATTAAATACTGAATTGAAAGCTTCTTGTTCGCTCATCGATTTGATAATTGTGTTATTTAATGAATGATTATCAAGTTCAGGAGAGTTTTGAATTGTTACTTGTTCGGATTGATAATCCGAATTCGATGATTCTTCAGTTTCCCATTTAGATTTCCTAGATCTTCTCTGTTGAGGTATGTTTTTGTGTTGAATTCCGTGATATTTGGTTAAGGCACTGTTCCACCTGTTCTTGATGTTGTTGCCACTGCGACCTGGAAGGAACTGTGAGATCTTAACCCAGTGTGGACCATAAAGACGGTACTTCTCAACAATAACCTCGTCTTCCTCTGATGTCCATGGCTTGCTAACAACTTCTTTGAAAAGGTACTGGTTGTACCTGTCGCGGCACTGGCATGCTGTGCGACCTGGAAGGAACGTAGCAATCTCTTTCCATGTGCGGTTCTTCTTGTCCTTGGCAAGCTCCTTCAAAAGAGCATCTTCTTCCTTTGTGAATCGTTTGCCGTGCTTTGATGCAACAATAGAATCTTGTGCATCAGAGAACTCAGATTCCATCGGTGATTTCATAGACTGATAATTCAACACACTCATTCGTCTAGTTTGCTTAAAATATATTGATTGGATTGCAATCAAAAGGAGGATCGATTTTTTGAGAACTTTACAAATCAAAATCGAACAACTCTGTCAAAAATAAGTGAGTTTTGAAAGATTCAAAAAGGCTTTTGAAACTTTGAATAAGTTGATAAATCGGCGTTCGTTTCATAATATTTACCCCTACTAAATTCTTTAAATAATCATTTATAATATTTTATTTTTTCAATAGTACGGTGGTTTTAATTTTTGACATGTCACGATCATAGTGGTTAAATTTCACCTTAAATAACAAAATCTAAATTTTCAACTGTAAAATCAATAAAATTTTAATTAACAAGATTGAATTCAAATATGGTCCTGAATTTGAAACGATTGGCCATGACGCAATCGATTACATAGAAATGCATAATAATACTCCATGTCTCATTATCAATCGGAAATTTCTAAAATTTATTGAGTTTTATTTGCCAGAAAGATTTGTTCGAGTAGCTCTTTTGCCAATTTTCAATCTCCACGTTCATTTTCGAAACTATTCTTTTTTTAGTTATTAGCCATGAGGAATTTGGCGAAATCATATTCTTTCAGGAAATCGAATCTAAAAAATTGATCTTTTAAAAGAAAGATTATTAACAAAAGTTTACTATTAAGAAAAATATTCCATATGATCGTGCTATACCCGTCAATCAATTCTTGTGCTACCAATTTGAATTTTTTCATAATTCTTTTCTAGCTCATTCATTGCTTGCTGTTCTATTAGATTCATCACCGACTCAGCATTAATCATGTCTGAAGTCGTCTCCCACTTTTCACGTTTTGATCTTCTTTCTTGCTTTACGTTATTATGTTCAATTCCGTGATATTGAAGAAGGGCGCTGTTCCATCTATTTTTAACATTATTCCCAGAACGGCCAGGCAAGAACTGAGAAATTTTTACCCAATGGGGCCCAAATTCTCTATATTTTTCTATAATAATACGATCTTCATCAACTGTCCAGGGTTTTGACACAACATCTTTAAATAAATACTGGTTGTAACGATCTCTACATTGGCAGGCTGTTCTTCCAGGAAGAAATTGTGCAATTTCCTTCCATGTTTTGTTTTGCTTATTTTTGACGAGTTCCTTGAGAAGAGCATCTTCTTGCGGAGTAAATCGATTGCTATGACGAATGTTTACTTCATCAGACATCCCGCTTTGGATATGTTTTGTAAAAATATATCCTCTCAAAATTTGAATGATTATTCAAGTTGAAGAACAATCGTTTAATTTTTAAGGTTACAATGCAGTGAAGAATCAATTTTTGCATGATATTGATAATAAAAAATGATGATTTACAAGTTACAAGTAAACAATTTTCAAATTATAAATCCTATCGTCATACGAATGCACCAAACTTTTATCGAAGTGTGCTCAAATTTAGTCATTTTCATTTAATTTAAAAATAACTGAACGATCATATTTTCCCCTTTGTTGAATTTTCGAAAATAATTTAGATTCAATGTTCAATGCATTATATCGATGAACAATAGGTAAATAACTGAATTTTAATGAAAACGGCATTAATTAACCAGAATTATTATGCGAATTTGGGTTTTAACCCTTTTTCAAAATTAAATCATAAAACATTTATTAGAAATAAACCACATTCATTTTACCAATAGATAACCTACTTTGAAGTTAGTTTTTTTAATCCTGAAAAGGTAACTAAACTCCTTTCGCCGATCCGATTTGCTCCATATTTAAAATATAGCTTGCATATGTAGAAGAAAAGCTAATTTTGAAGTACGCCCGAAATCCACCAACAGGATTTCGAGCTACTAAAAAGGTACTTTTAAATGTGATTTTTTTATAAAAAATTAAATTTATTTTAAGATCAGACTAAAAACTAATTTTATGGAAAATCTATATCGACAAATTTATTACTTATTGGGTATATAGATTTTTTGATTATGGCGATTATGTCTGATATGCTTCCAATAAGCCAAAACACATTTCATACTGATTTCTATAAAAGGTATCTTTATTATAGAAGTGTAAGCTATATCTGTTTGTTTTTTTATTATAACAAATTCAAAATTCTCTTATAAGGACTAGATGAAATCTGTATTATTAAATCATTAGCTAAATGAAGGTTCAAATAGAAAGTAAATATCAATTTATATGATACTGAAACCAAATAGTTCTTTTAATAAAAGATAACACGCTGAAAATTATTGAGTATTTGCAAATCTCAAAAATCTATTGGTGAATTTGGCTCAACTTTTAAAATTATAACATCCATATCAAATCATAAAAGCAGACAAAAATTAAAGCCAAACCTATCGGCCAATTTTTTTTGATATTTTGATTTTTGAGGTATACTTTTAAAAGTGGATTTAAAGCACTTATGAAAAAACATTAACTTCTGTCGTTATGATTATTGATTTAGACAATAATGATTTTAATCTTTGATTATCAAAATACTAAAGTCATCTTTTTAACATTTGCTTGGTAGCATTAACTCAAGTCTAAAGTACTATTTTATGTGGCACTCTTAGAATTTTTGTATTCATTGTACACGCTGAAATAGTACCATTAAAGTTATGGCGGACTTTCAAAAAATAGTTTGGTCACCTTTAATCCTGAACTAATTTTATTTGTTTTACAAGTATTTCAAATGATTTATTAACAAACTCATTAATTATATTCATTTTCGATAAACATTTGAAAAAAATACAGTTTATTTTCAAACAAATTTTCAACTTATCTCCAGAATTCCTCCATTGTCAAAATAATATCCCCAACATTATCAAAGAAAATTAATTTATAATCTAATAATCCGATATCATAAACTTCAATTTTATTTTTTCTATTTCTGTTAAGTTTCTTGAATGTATGCCAAATTCAAATGATATTCCTAATAAATTCAAATACATCTTACTAATATCTTTTCTAAAATTCTGATCTATTGTTCAAATCGATTCATTTGTGCGAAATCAACTCACGAAATCATTATGATAAACCAAAATTTCAATTATTTCATTTGTCAATACCACGATACATTCTAAATGTGAATTTTATCTGTCCTCGATAATTTTCATGAAAAATCTTTATCGAAAAGATAACATATGCATCAACTCAATGCTGCTTAGATTAAAAACAAAAAATTGTTTAAACAATCGTTTGGAAAAAAATCGTCAAGTAATTAAAAACAAATAATATATTTAAACAACAAAGAACAAATAATCGAATTAGTGTAAGAAAGTGTAGCGCGAACAAAACCGCGATCTCTGGAAAAGCGATTAAGTGGGTCGCGATAAATCCTGACGGAAGTATCATCTACATCATCGCATTCCGGGTTCTTGGAGAATTTGGATACAGATCCCTTGTAAACCTGCTCAAATCCATACTTGTAGAGAGACATCTGAACCTCATTTACGCCATGTCCGGCCTTCACATTCAAGAATTCTGAGAAGATTCTGTCATCAACCTTGAAATGATGTGAATCTATCCAGCTCACACCAACAAATGGGATGGCATTTTGATTATTTTTAGTGATACACAAGGCATTATAAAGCTTTATATCGAATTGTCTCGCGCCACCGTTTCTCTTTGTGAAATAGGTCTTTTGAATGCGGTCAAGAGAAATGGACTGTGGGGCCCATTCTGATTTTGGTATTAAATTAATGTTATGTCTGTGTGTTAGTTTTGTCTAAAAAATGATTGGAGACGTTTCCATCTCCAATCAAGAAACATACGGCTCTATTAAAATTTCTGATGGCTTAATAAGAGATAAGATGTTGTTCAATACTTTGGTTTGAGGAACTTTGGCCTCATAAACAGTAGACATATAACGAGGGGTTTCATTGTTGTCCTGACTCTCTGAATCAGAATCGCTTGAGTTTCTTTGATTGCATTTTGAATGTTGATAAAGCACTTCTAGTAAAGCACCTGTTTTGGCTCTTGGGATAGGGTATCCTTCACTAAGTGTCATGAAGTGTTTTCCACGTTGGGATTGGTTACAGTTAGACATCTGGGATTTAAAAATAATAAATTTTTGAATCAGTTTTTTCATAGGAGTCAAAACCGAACAAATACTCTGAATTGTATTTTTTATGAGCCAAGGCGTAACGGTTTGTAAGAGCGAATTTTAAAAAAATCTAGTTTGATATTTGTCATATACCATAGTCTGTTCTTTTTAAGATTTTACCTTATCTAATTCAATTTTTTTTCACACCGAAAATTTTTAAGGAATATTAATATATGATATTAACAGAATGCAATATCACTTGGATGATGTCATTCAAAATTGTGAGATTTAAGAGTTTTTCAGAAAAATTTCATTAAGAGTTTTTACAATACATAGCAATCATCTACAATTATAATTTTAAACATTGATTGGTTCAATAAGATTTTAATTCAAAATATCGAAAAGTGACAAAGATTTTCTGAAAATTGCAATAAATTTAATTTATGTTTAAGCCCATTTATTCATAATTTATGTGTTTATTAATTAAAATTATCCTTAAAATTTTGTATTTTTTGAATGCCCGATAATTACGATTTGTTATTAATTTTTGGATTTTTTGATAGAGTACGTTTTACAATTTTTACGAGTTTTAAATATTTACTCTATTTTATTAAACAATATATTTCTAACCATCTTGTCTTACTCTGAAAAAATCAAAATCAAAGAGTTGCTACAAAAGTGGTCTTCTATCACGAATTTTGGAATATTAATATAATTCTTTATTTGTTATGCTAATAATTCATTTTATTCTTTTGAGGTTGAAATAAACATAAAGATTTTTTTAAAATATTCACTCTCATTTTTCTTACATCAGATTATCCATTATAAAGATTGTCAATTTTGAAGAAACTGCTTATTATCTTTAAATTTTTTGATAAAATAATATAATTTTATGAAACATGAACACTTAATTAATTATGGATTCTTTTTTTGTTGTGTTTTCAATCTTTTATCAATTCAACCTTTCGAAATTTTTATATTTTTTAATTCCACAATTATTTAACACATTTATTTTCGCTTTCATACAACCCCTCGAAATCAACTTTAACCTTTTAGAAGATTTTCCTATTTTTTTATTTTTATTTTTAATTTTTTTGGAGTTTCAGAAATGTGAATCACCCTGTTCATATCACAATCTAGTGCTTTTAAACCATCATCAATTTTCGATTTTGTGCAACTTGAATTTTTATTGGTAATTATTGATTGCAAATGAGTTCTTCTACTAGCTATTCTATAATGATTAGTTTTTATCTTTGGGCAATTTTATTTTCTAGATGTGTAATTATATAATTATTTGATTTTGATAGAAATTAGTGTTAGTTTAATAATGAATAGAATTTGCTTATTTTTATTCTTATTTTTCAAATCATTATTCATATTTTTATTTGAAATAATTAAAGAATATTACGTTTTGAATTTCCTATTTTCGTAAAAATCAATATATACATTTCATTTTTTTTTCCTTGATTAATTATTTTTATAAATTGAATCCGAAATATTGCTCTTTTCATAAATATTATATTCAACAATATTATAATACACGCACATTTCATAAATACGTATTAAAAATTAAGAGACGAGAAAATATTTGAATAAAATGTTGTATTGTTTTTGTGAAATGTCGTATGATGTTTCAGTATTCTTTTATCCATTGGAATGTAACTCATTTACTCATTATTACCAACTCATTCTTCTTTAAGTTGATTCATTTCATCATCAAAAAGTTAACCACTATCGCCGTTTAGTTATGGGTTCGTAAATGCTCTCACGCACAAAACGATGTTTCTTGGAAATTATTACCCAGATTTTCCTTACTTTTACCACCTCTCTAAAGCTGGGGACACCGCCTATCGTTGGGAGTAGCTATTAAATAGAACCACCAAGGGTATTTTTCGAACTGCCGGTGTAGTGGAAACATCCGACATAATGATTCATTATGCCAAGGTTTGATTCCCAATTAGCCAATTTTTTTCTTTTTTGGATCATGAATTTTTTTTTGGGTCACTATAAGATTTGTTTCATGTTCTAAATCTGCTGCATATGTAATCTATTTTTATTTACCTATTTTTTCAAAATCTATTGGATTGCCAAATTTGAATATATTTAAAATCATAAAAATCCAAAAAAACTATAAATATATGTTTTATGCATAGTGCCGATACTCAAATATCAGATTACTTAGATCCATGAATAATATCCGAATTTTTTTTCTTAAAATTAAACTTCAAAACTTCTTGCAATCTTATTCTTCATCTATTGTAAATTTTTAAAACCATTTTTTAAAATAATTTTGCGTAAATTTTATTCTCATGTTGTTTTAATCGAAAATTGATACATTTTCAAAAAAATAATATTGACTTATGAAATTCATTTTTAAGGTGAAATAGTATTGTTTTTATTAAAGTATATGAATAATATATAAAAAATTAATGAATAATATAAGCAGATTTTTAGTTTACAAAACAAATATGAGCAATGCAATTTCAAACTTTTGCTGGCAATTTCAATATTGCTCAAGTTTATAGTATTTGTGATACCTATAACATCGGCTTAATCAAAATTCGATTTTTCTTATGAGTTATTGAGAAAATTTGATTGCAATGAGAAGGATTTCGACGTTTTTGATAAACTAAGAGCTGAGCTTTAGGGGTTCAGTTCATTTATGGCTGTAGTTTGATGCGTAGATCTCTTTTTTATTGTAAATTCTTTCAGCATGGAGATCGAGAATGAATCTTTTGAGAACTTTATGAGTTTTTACACCCGTAAAGAGGTCCTTCGAGGAAAGATAGTCCAGACTACATGAAGATGTGGGTTAACCAAAAAAATCCGATGGTTTCCCCATATTCATGTAGATCTTCGAAAAAATGAGCACCAAAAAAGCCAAAAAAATAGGCTTTTTATTGGATTTGTACACTAGATCAATAATCTATTTAGGATCTGACACTCTTTTTAGCCAGAGATATGAGGTCCTTTCTAGGAAAACGATCTATTCACCCATAAAAAAAATGAATTATCGTTTTCCCCAGAAATTACATGGGGAGTGGTAAAAGTAAGGAAAATCTGGGTATTAATTTCCAAATGAATCTGACACATTACTTTCAATTTCGATTCAATCAGGTGGAAGAAATTTACATAATTTAATTTGGTGAAGCATATATAATAAAATTAAAATTTATCCCACTTTATTCTATTGAAATCTGAATTTGTGGACGTATCAGCTTAAAAAATAACGTGATTTAAAAAAATAATAATCGAGAAACAAGTTATCTATACACTAACAAATCTAAATTTCACATCCAATGCAAATTATTTTTGGAAGAAATTCACCATTCAAAATCTCATAAATTTGACCAGGGTATTGAAAAATTGAGAATATCGAAGACTTTACATATCCACTATATTTCACATCAATGTTTTCTCTTTTAGTTCAAAGGGCAAATGTTCGAACTGCTACAGACTTTTACTTTTGGGCCAATATTCTTTTTGATGGTATCGACATGACTTATGTCCTTCCAACGTCATGGTCAACTGTCAAAGGATATATCAACGAATTTTGCCAACCAAAGATCCCAGTCTACGACATTTACAAGAAAATAACTCCGGATCCAAAAGCTTTAGACGATTATTATGAAAAAAGCGGCTATTATTTCGTAAATACAACATCACTTACTAAATTCTATGGTTTGATGGGCGACTTTGATATATCACCCATTGTTAATAATTTATATGCCAACAAGAAGTATATTAAGGACATTTGCAACATTTTAGAGTTTGATGGCGATAGAATCGAAAAACTTATCATAAATCTCAAGGAAAATCCAGACCAAGCCAGATTAGTTGACTTACTCGAAGGCATGAAGCTCGGAACTAACTATATCTACGACGCTCTCGATATTTTCAACTTCATGATGACGAAGAAAGATACATTCCTTCTCCAAGACGTTCCAGGCCACATATTCTTCGAATGCGATGCCGTTATGAACCTTATTGCTGACATTCCTGAGATAGTTTCAAATGATTATATTACAATCGCCGAAATCATGAGAGAAATCAACTATTTGATTGATTTCGGCATCAACTCATGGGAAGCCAACAAACTGTTCATCAAACATACCAATTTGCTCTTATTCGAACCAATAATTCGCATGATTCCTAAAAATGCTAAAGATGTGATCAGAAAAGTTAAAAACATCATCCAATTATATGATGACATCATTGCTGACTCTGATTTACCAGAAGAAGTCAAAGAATTCACAAAAACATTTAATTTCGCCATCGAAGGCCTTAAAATGTTCATTGACAAAGGCTTCTCCATTGAATCAGTATCAATGCTTGTTGTTGGATTCGAATACGCCGCCAAAGTCACTAGACAAGGCAAACCATTAGTTTCCTCCTACAACAATGGCAACTTCACAGGCGAATCCCTTGGAACAGTCATCAGAGCGATGGCAAGATCAGGTGTATCAATGAAGGAACTTGTTATGGCAATTGGCTAAATCAGACATGACATGTTAGGAGGTGAGCAAACAGCTGAAGAGTTCTATAACAGTTTTAGAGGTGCTATACAAGCAACAAAACAAGTTGTTACATTTGTTAAGACAGTTGTTGATATTGTTAAACCAATTCTTGAGTTTGGAGCTCAAATCAAACAGTTCATTGATACAATCAAAGGATTTTTGAATGTTTTGACTCCTGTTAATTCTGTTGTTACTGTTCTTGATTTCTTAGGATTTACAAAGTATAAATCTGATAATATCGTTGGTTTCTTTGCTGAACTCGCCAAGTTATTGAAGAAATTAGGTTATTACATTCCAATCAAGGAAACAGTCATTGATTTCGTTAAAAAACTTTCTAAATTGACTTATGATGAAAGTTTGAAGGTTCAGGATATTTTCGACCAAACATCGAATCCTGAGACAACAACAGGTTTGTTTGATGGATTAAGGAAATTGGCTGACAGAAAGAATCTCGGAGAAGCATTCGCTGATTTCACAATTGGAGGAATTAATCCTGTACAAACAATGAAGAATATTGAAAAATTGCCGGAAAATGATCAATCTATTGAAAATCTTGTTAACTGTCTTTCTGATGGAAAAAGGAACTGCTGATGCCGCAAAGAATATCGCTAAGGCTATTGATACAATGGCAAAGAATGAGGATGCTTCCGTTGAAAAGATTTTGTCTTCTGCTGGTGTGAATACGAAGAAATTCTATGAACAAACTAATTCATTTTTGGGTGTTTTAGCAAATGATTTGGGAGAAACATTGACTGGTTTCTTGGATATTAAGGGTGAAGAATTAAATGCTGGTCTCAATGCAGTTTCCGTAAGAGTTAATGCTACTAAAGTTATCACTCCTGAAAATGTCGCTCAGTTATCTGATTCATTCGAATCAAATTTGGTCAAACCAACAAGAAAGAGTTTGTCAAAGAGCAAAGCTTGGATCGCAGCTGTCGTAATCATTTTACTCGCTGTTATAGCAGGTGTTGCCGTCGCAGGATACTTCATGTATAAGAAGAAGATTTGGATCTTCGCCGAAAAGGAAGAATCTGACGGCCACAATGAAGTAACATTGACTTTGGCTTGAGAATAAAAATTAATTATATTTTTTTATAAATTAGAAAGATTTTTTTTGAGTTTATTATTTACTTTGATGGAATGTGTTTCATTGTCTTGAAATGTGAAGATTACATAAAGAGTACTTTAATTCGCATATCTGACCTAAAAGATACATTGAATAACAGAATTGTAGACCATGAAGTTATGACATATGAAAACAATTGATAATTCTTAAAACAGCTTCTGTTTATCTTTCAAATATATAAAACAAATTTCATTTCATTTAAGGAAATAGTTTAAAATGATCAAATGACCATACTACGAAATGGAATATTGTTTTTAATCATTTAAATTTCTTAAATCCTTACATACAAAATTCTAGATTTCTGGATTAAGTACTAATTCAATATTTTTCTATTGTACCACAAAAATTAAGCTAATGAGCGATCAGGTTGGTATGTTGGGTTATTTGTTTTAACTCAAATATATTTCTATAAATCAAATAATCGAAGAAAGGATAATAATGGAAAATAATGGTATTATAGAAATGAGATACATGCATATTTGCTTCAAACATAGGACATATTAAAAATTGCTTAACTTTGAGTTTAAATAATTTTTTTTTTCAAAGGAAGCAAATGTAATTATTTATGAGTTTATATCAGTTCATCAGATACAGCTAAATTACAAATGGAATGATATGTTTTCCTTGAAGTTTCAAGAATTTTAATCATATTTCCAAACTTTGCGTCACATGCATCATAAAGCCAAGCAAAATATCACAATTCCAATTTAAGTGATGAGGTTCAGGCTATTGAAAATGAAAACTTGATTGAAAATAATTTTGCATTGAAATGAAAAATTGTGATTTCAATAATAGACGCAGCAACTGATTAAACAATAGCCAACCAACTTAGCTATTAAAAATCATTCAAAATTTTTTACGATAATGAAAATTTGAATGGAGAAGCAATGAAATTTAAAAACAATTCAGGAAATTTTTGGTAGATTCTGGTTTTCGATTTCTATAATTTTTAAAAAATTTTGATTTCAAATATTTATTTTAATTGGGACAATATATAGCAAAATTTTATAATGAAATTTCAGAAAGTAAAATTAATTTTGCGGTTTTGGCAGAAATTGAAAATGCATATATTTTATATTTGGCCATCAATGAATTTAATGGTGTTTCAAAATGTAATCGCATATATACATAGGTTTTGTTTTTCTCCCATAAAAATATGGTGCTCTCAATTTATTTGGAGCTGTAAAATTTTTCGATAAAAAATCATCATACAATTGATATTGGAAAAGTTCTTACTTTTACTAATTCTATGAGATTTGTAATCAAATCATAATGTGTTCAATATTGATATACAAGTGGAATTATACCGTTTTGAAACTTTACTTCAATCAAACAATTTTTTTTTCATATTTACATTCTCTACAAATAATAATCTTTCAATTTTATGTTTTGAAAATTACTAAAAGAAATAGATTTATAGCTAAATCTTTTTTTACAAATTTTTCTGATTTCAAAACAAAATATTATCGAAATTATTATCCCATATATCTGCTAGTAATTATCCGATAATTTTAATTTCACTTTAATTTCTCAATACCAACTTTCAATTCCATGATCCCTCAATATTTCAATGTTTTCCTCGATTCTCAAAATAATCCCTGTTTGAACCTTTTGCATTACTCATGTTTCTCTTAATTTAATCACCTAACACCAATTTTTATCAAAAGTAATTCTCAAAATATTTGAATTGACTGTTTTTCAATTCAAAAATTTATCAATAAAACATTACAAAATGAACGCCAGAGACGAATGCTTTCTTAAAATGAAGAATTTCCAGTTCAGGGATGTTATCGGATGTGGTGCTTGTGGCGTTGTTTACCTTGTTTATGATCCTTTATACAGACGCGAATTTGCTTTGAAGTCAATTAAGGAGTCAAAGTTCAATAAGAACGAAGTTGATTGCATGAAACAAGTTGATGACTCTAATATTGTCCGTTTGTATAACTATGATTACTATGATGGTTCAGTTTACCTCCTTATGGAATATTGTCCAACATCACTTGACAGATATATCCGAAGGAAATCGATACTTTCTCATGAACAGATGATTAAGTATGCAACAGGGATACTAAAAGCTATCAGGGCTTGCCATCATTGCCACGTAGCACATTTAGATATCAAACCTGCTAACTTTTTAATCGATTATTACGATAGAATAAGAGTATGCGATTTTGGATTTTCATCGATCCATAGTGATTCGGAGCTTGATCGCACTTGTGAAGGCTCTGTTCCTTTTATGGCTCCTGAAATCATCCAAGGAAAGCCACATGACTCTTTCAAAGCTGATATGTGGGCAATTGGTGTTACATTCTTTATCATGGCCACTGGAGTTTTTCCATGGGCAGGAGACGATAGAAAGACATTATGTGAAAACTTACAAAGTCAGCCACCTAGAATGGAATTAGTTCACGATACACATTTCGCGGGTATTATCAAACAGCTACTATCTATTAATCCAGACGAGAGACCGTCAATTGACCAGTTATTAGAAAGTCAATTGTTCAGAGAGTCATCTTCAGTTATTGGAAGAATAAATCATAAGAAGATGCATCCATATGCTGTTAAAGCCTGCTGCTACTCACTGACTAATTATATTGTTGTTCCAAGAATCCAAAGAACAAAGCTTCAGCAAAGTATTTAATACTGTTGCTTAGATCCGTTAATTTTGAACGGTTCGCAGATGCTTTATTGTTTGTTTTTTATTTGTTTGTAAATCGATTTTAGTTTATCTATCATTGTTTTCAAACAGATCATAACTTGAACATCCAATTCCCAAACGATCAGCTAAAAATTTTCAAAAAATTATCCAATAAAATTTAAAAATTTCTAAAATTAACCAATATCTATTAAATAATACAAACTAATTCCTTCATAATAAGGTATCATTTCATTAATGTTGTTTAAATTCCTTGATAAAATATCAAATTAAAATATTATTGGAATTAACAAAAGAAATATCAAAATTTTACTATATATTATCTACAATAATGGATTGGTAAGCTCATTATCAGTCGGTTTCTTCTCGTCAAGTAAAGTTTCTTTATCATTTCGAATTGTTTGCTTAAAACTATCAGAAGCGCCTTGTATAAGTACTTGATGCTTAAAGGATAATGCTTTGGTGAGCCAATCAGCGTAATCTAGCTTATATCTTCTGGCATTAAACTCATTTCTATTGTAAACATATCTTGTTGATACATCAATACATTCCTTTTCACTATAAGCAATTGCCCATGTAACATCTTGATTGCAACCGCATTCGTAAAGTAAAGGACAATCAATTCTATTAACATAAGGATCTACAGAAACATATCGCTTCATACTTGGAATATATACTTCGAGGATATGGAATTTAAGATCTATTAAAACAAATCTAAATTGAAATCCAGTATACTTCAAAATTGATGCAAGACCTAAGCAATGCTCTAATTCACGACCAGTATGGTTCATAAGAATAACTATAGGGTTCGTAAATTTCGTATATCTTGTTGCAGCTCCACAAATTGGACATTTGAAAATTTCTGCTGAAAGTGGGTGACCACCGAGCTCATCTGGTATAACAGGAGCAGGACCCGCATATATGGTTGGCTGACCGCAAACATGGCAAGGTGGAATTCCGTATTTTTGGAAAAATTGAGTACAAAACCAATTTGTAATTTGCTTAAGTTTTTCGTATGGTTCTAAATGTTCGAAAAGGGATCTAGGATATACTTTATCAACTGCATTTTTAAGTTCCGGATCATTTAAAAATGAAATAATGTTATAATAGCGACTTAATTCACTCAAAATGTACAAACCATCTTTTGGAGCTTGTAATGCTTCGGCAACCAAGTTCGGAAAATAATTATTTAAATAAGAATCGATAGTTTTGAAATCTTTTTTCAAAATGAAAACGACAATAGGCTTCTCTCTGTTAATTCCGATCGATCCTATTGGTACTGGAACAATAGGATGCGTTTTTCCGTGCCATAAAATGTAATCATCGGCTTTTCCTTGCATATCGAGTTTTCCTTTCAGTTCTTCGAATATTGCTATTATTGGGACATTTAGATTTAATGTTACATCAATGACTTTCTTACCATACGAAAAAAGAATTTTCGCTTGCATAATTGTCACTTTTTAAAATATCAAATCCTCATTTCTCAACGAAATGAATAATAGCAATCAACTTAAATCATGTCATCAAAAAGTAGATTCTCATATTTCAGATACAAATCCAGTAGCTGTTTGTTGTTTCCAACTTATTATTCAATACTTATTTTATTCATTATGAGCATTGCCTGAAATTTCAGATTATCTTTGAGCAAATAGAAGCTTATAAAATAGTATTGCAATGCAAAATAGGAATGTACCTGTAACTATCTTATATATTGATAATTGCTTTATTAAATATAATATTGTTTCGCAAATATTAGACTATCATCATTATTATGTAGACATGAATCATGAAGTATTGTCCCTAAAATGCTTACTACAATGAATAATTTTTGATTTTTTTTATTTCATCATTAGAATTCATTCTAAATTAATCATATGTTTCTGTTTATTTTTCAAAGAAATGAATAACGAGTTAATTATATTCGATCAATTGCTATATTTTTCTTTTGGATAATCTTTTCCTTTTAATTGAGGAGCTAAAATTATCATTTTAAGATTCACTATATTAAGTGGAAAATATTTCCGAAATATTATCAACTCAGATAGCGAACAAGAATTCATTTCAAAAGTTACTTCATCTTTTTAGAGAATTATCAGTCTTTTGAGGTGCGTCTTTATTCATCAAAACTATTGAATGCATACTTTCCGTTCAATTCCTTCAATGGCTAAATCAATGATGCCTTTCAATTTTTATTAAATAATCGGAAATGATTATATACTAACTCTTGCATATTTTCATCTCAGTATTTCCAATTTACAAAAGTGTCACAAAATTTTATTCAAAAAACAATCATAATGATGTAAATTTCAGAATCCAAAATCTTTACATTTTATTAGTCAATCTATTTACTTCATTTATCAATACTCATTTCTCTCAAATTTTGCCAAACCCTCAATTTTGAATTGAAGTTGCCGATAAAATTGAATAATGTAAATGCATCGTCAAATTAAATTTTCGATAAAGTGATATTCGGAATGCTGCCTATTTTATTCCGACTTACATTTTCCTTCATTGACGAAGATTTCTATGGTCATATCAAAGCAGGCTATAATGAATTAGACCTCAACGTTACAGATAGAAGATTTAGAGTTGAAGGCGGTTACTATGTTGTTTTTCTCCCATCAACAACAGAAGGAATTAATGTCCGCGTATCAGATGATAAAACAACATACAAACTCTTTGATAGGTTACTTCATAATCTCATCAAATTCAGTACAAAGCATACCAGTGATTGCTTACCAATCGTTCAAATACCCAAGCTGTGATTCAATTGTTACTTTAATTGGTTCCGGCGAATTATATGCAAGCTGCAAAGAGTCTAATACTACATATAAGCTCAACACTACTAAAAGTGTATGTATGTATTATGCTTTTAAGAAAGATACAGCTACAGCTCATTCTATTGTTCAAGGAACTCTTAAAGGAAAGTATTATGACCATGAAGGCCAGAAAGTTGGCAACACGGATGCCATTACAACACCTTTTGTCGTTGTTGTTGATAATCCAAATACATTTTGCAATTCAGACCTCGCAGGTGCAAATGTTACTGGTGCCGAAGGAATCCTTAGCCTTACATTAACACAAGACGGCGCAACAAACTTTACATACATTGGAAAAGCTAAAGGAATTAATATGACCATGATTATCATCATTGTTGGTACAATTATCGGCATTGCATTAATTGTTATACTTGTTGTAGTTGGTATTTGCATCTACCACTGCGTTAGCAACAAACCAGTCACATTTCCAGACCAACCTCAGCTCGAACTTGGTATGATTGAAGTTCCACCGAAGGAATACAATCCATACGAAGGAAAGAATCCATTGGCTGCTGCCCAAGATAAAGTTGTTTAACATTAACAAACAATTACCATTGCCAACCGGTTTCACTTTGTAACATTAGTTGCAAACATAATTCTTGTTAATTAAACAAATCTTTTTATACTCCTTTCTATGTTTTATTCAAAATTTACTAATAATATTTTTCATTTTACCAGAAAACTGGATTGATCTTATTTGCTTTCTCTGGATTCAACACACAAATAAATAAAATGAAACAGTGGTAAGATATGAGTAAATCATTAACATAAATTTGAATATTTAAACAACATTACACATCGCAAAAGATTTTTATTACTACTACAGGACTCAAAAAGCAGTAGGTTAAGTATCCAACATATAGAGAAGCAATATCATTCATCATAAATAGATTAATATTATTATTTTATCTTATTTCCTTGAATCATCAGAAAGACTTATTACCAGATATCTGAATTTCAACTTTGTATAAAATAGAATCATAGTTAAATAATATCAATCTAACAATATTCTTTATTATTGGTTTAATAAAGACTAAAATAACATGATTAAAATAAAAAACAAGATAACATGGTATATATTAGATGTAGACTATCGAATGTCTCATGTAAATTCAACATGCACATTTTGACTTTTTTTCAAGCTCAATATCAAGAATTTCATTAACATTTGGATTATGGTAAACTAATTTTCCTCTTTCGTTGAATATTGCCTGTGCCATTTCAGTTGCGGCATCTCTAACTCTTCCTCCAGTTTTGGCTGACACAAAGTAAATTGGGAAATTATGTTCTAAAGCCCAATCTGTAGCCATATCTATCGTATTGTTAGATGCCAAATCTATTTTATTTCCAATTACGAAGAATTTACATTGATTATCAACGTGTGCTTGTACTAAATCGTACCATTTCTCCAAATTTTGAATTGATTGCTTATTAGATATATCGAATACCATAAAAACGCCGCATGAATTCCTTGCATATATTGGAACAATACAATTAAACTTTTCTTGGCCTGCTGTATCCCATAAATTGAGTGTCACTGGAGTGCTATCTTTCATTTTCAAATGAATTTTATATAAACCTGGGGAAATTGTTGGTTCAACGTCGGCTAGAAACATGTCATCAACTAATCTGTTAATGATACATGTTTTTCCAACCATAGGGTCTCCAACGATGACTATTTTGTAATCTATATTATCTATACACATTGTTTTTGGAATCATTATAAATGCACTTTATTTGGCACTTTTGTAGATTTTAGATTGAATGTAAAATAATTTGAACAAACAATAAGCATTTATTTATATTCAGGTTCAAGTGTATTAGTAAAATTATAAAATATCATCATAAATTAGTGTGGTTTATTGTTCAATAAGCATTTAAAAGCATATAATACTAAATTTCCAATTGTACTTCTCATGCTCATGTAGAACTCATAAGTTCTGCAAGGATTTCTCTATTCTGAATTTCATGATTATCAAACTATTCATTATTTCCGTATATTACTGAGGAAAATATAATAGCATTAATACCTGAAAACAAAATATCTTGCTTTTATTTAAAACTTCATGATTTGTAGATTCAATTTCACTCAATAATGGATATTGCTCGTCGCAACTTGAGCAGAAAGATTTTTTCTTGAATATAAACAATGTGAAATATAAATCACAATAAACCAAATTTCCAAAATTTTTGATAAATGGCAAATTTATTTTTTTCAAAAATGAATCCAACAACTGAAAAATATCGTGCCTTGCTGAAAGAGAATAGACCGGATCCACCAGCAGATAAATATCTTGGAGAAGTCATTCATATTCGCAAATTAATGAAAGGACCTTCATTGGAAGAACAAAAACCAGAACCTAAAGAATCTTCTGATTCTGATTATCAAGAAATAGTTGTTGATGTCCAAGACCAGGTTGCTCTTATTAAAAACCTTCAACAAAGCAGAAATCCACCAGGTCCAAATCGTAATGCAGTCCCTATTTAAAAAACTAAAGTCTTTGTACGAATTTCAAATAAACCATGTTGTATCAATAAAAATTTTACTCTTCAAGCCAAGTTATTTTTTGAAATTATTTGTTTGAAAAAAATTCATACTAATATAAAACAAAATACATACAAAACATTTATTATACATATAACAAAACCGATAAAATCATTGCTTCAATTTCATTAATGAATATGTTGAAACTTGTGAAGCAATTTTGTGGTCTTGGGTTGTTTTAAGGAGTATTCCAAGTCTTAACTCTGGTAAAAAGTGACCATGCTCGTTGGCTGCTCTTAAAATCGGTTTATAATACAAAGGAAGCCATCTTTTGTCATCTGCGAGCTGTAGAAACTCGACAATACCTGGCTCCGTAAATTGAGCTTTAGATAAATATCTAAGGATCTTTAATTGTTCCGGATTAACATCTTCAGAAGGGAAATCATTGATGAAATCTTGCCACCATGACTCAGTGCGTCTTTCCTTTAATGCACTAAGTGCGGCACTACGTCTAGCTCGAATTTGAGCTTCTTCCATTCCATATTTTAAAGAATTTTCGTATTGAACTTTCATATTCTTGTGTCTACGTGCACTTCTTCTATTTATACTCGATACTATCTCATTGTCACGCAGTCTATCTTCTTCATTAATTCTGTAAAGAATTCCTTCGATTTCGTTAGATGCGAGATCTCCAATTGTAGTTGTATCTGGGGGATGAACATTGTATAGATGCAACCTTGGCTCCATTTGTGGAGCGATATAGCTTGTAAATGGGCGAATTGCTTGTTCTTCAGTTAAAAATTCCGTTTTTGGTACTTTTTGAAGTGGAATAGGATCTGTTCTTTCTGAAAAAACTTTGTTAATAGGTATTCCAGCTTTCACTCGTCTAATACGACGATCTGCATCACGAATTTCTTTTAAAATGTAATGTTGAACTGGTTTCGGAGGTCTGACTCTTAATATATCTTCTGCGCTTTTGATTTTTGCATTTATATCCGTTTCAACTGAAAGCGTTGGAATTTTTAATGCTGCTTGTCTTCTTCTTGAGAGAACTGGCGTAGGAACTTTTCCCTCTCTATACTTGTAAGTGTATGTCGCATCTAAAGATCTTCTTGCCGAAAGTTTCTGATCTTTAGTTTTATAGGGAACAAAAGAATCAAGCATTTTTTTTTGCAACGGATTTTTTTTGTTCATAATTATCTGAGAATTGGAATGATTATTAAGAACAGTTAGTGGCAAAGGAAATCAATAAAAAAGAAGAGTTGAAGATCAGGAGATACCTAAGTTAGATTCGATATTATCTGTAAATTTCACATTATCTTGATATTTACATATAACATAATCCAATGTAGGGAGAAATATATGGTGCCATTATTGATTCACTTAGAGTAGGTATTTTAGAGATATTGATAAAAAAAAATCTTTTAGCTTAATAAAGAAGAAAAGAAAGACTTGAGTCTTGAGAAGCTAAAAAGAAAGTTTCGATTATAGGCTTCATGCTTCTCTGACTGATTAATAAATATCGATTTATCCTGACAAGAAAATAACAAAATATATAATGGAAGAAAACCAAAGAACTTGAATTCTTTTGAAAATGTTAGACTTATAGTTTTTGCTTGACATCTATCTTTAGGAAGATGATTTATTTTGTTCTTTATTTCTTTGTTGTACGTATTTCTAAAGGCTACTTTTCCTGTCGTTTCAGTATTTTTTCTAAGGTAACAATTTATGACTTCAGTTTTACCTGATTCTTCTACATAAAATGCATATGATCCTGTGTTATCAACAATGTTACACTCTTTATATTGAACTTGATCACATTTATAACTGTTGAATACTTGTTCACCTACAGTATTTTTAATTATGTTGCATTTATATATTTTTATATTAGGTGATTTAGCATTCCTAATACAATATTTAAGTGCTGCAGCATTATTTATGATTGTATTAAATGTGGAGTTTGATTCTGATTCTGCTTGAAAAAAATAGTATCCGCAAACAAAATTAATTTTAAAATATGAAATATTTGTTTTTGTTAAATGTTGTTTTCCATAGTAAAAGTCTGATGGGGCTGATCCAAAAAGATTTTCATTCGAACTTGATATAGTAGATTCTTCAACGTATTTGATAAATTGTCCTTGAGATGATACGCTGGAACAATACTGTCCATAACCTGCAGCGGAACAATCAAATGAACAAATCCGGTTGTGAACAACTTCGCCAGTTGCTGTGTAAACAGCACCACCATCACCTGTTGGATTTGACACTCTAATAAATGTACTATCTTCAAATAAGAATTGCGAACTACCATTTGAATAAATTGCACGATTATTGAGATCTTGAAAGAAACTTTTTTTGACGCAGTAGCTTTTTTTCTCTGTGTAACTGCCATTCTTTACACTAAGGCATTTTCCATCAAAGTATTTATTGTCATGATGGATGAATGGTGTGAAACCATTTTCAGATCAAATATTTTGTCAAAATTTTATTTCTTTCAGAAGTAATCCCACTTCGAATTTTGATCCCAAACTTTCTAACAATGAAATTTGATGTGAGAATATATTATTTCTATCTATTTCAATTGTCAGATACAAAAGTACGATTAGGTCTGTCCTCTCAATTTGCTACAGTCTTCGACGATTATTTCGAAATTTTTTGCTTATTACATATCAATAGGGTTGTACAAACTGGCACAATTTTGCGGGCCGCCTGCCAGGAGCTGGCACGCGGCCAAAATCAAAAAAGTGGCCAAAAATCGGGCCTCGTGGCGTGGAAAGGATGTCGCCCTTCGGGCTCCACCCTTTCCACGCCACTCGGCCTATGACCACAATTATATAATATGCTCATTATTATTTTTTCTTCTTTTCTCTTCTTTTTTTTCTTTTTCTTCTTTTCTCTTCTTTTTTTTCTTTTTCTTCTTTTCTCTTCTTTTTTTTCTTTTTCTCTTTTCTTTCTTCTTTTTCCCTTTTCCCTTCCTTTTTTTAGTTTTGGAAAGGAAAAAGTAAAAAATTTAATAATTAATTTTATTACTATGAAAATATACTTTTTAGCTTATATTGTAAGCTGTGAGAGTTTTAAGTGATGGAAGATATAAATCAAATTTGAAATTCAACAAATCTTGTTATGATTAAGTTGAATATTGTACTCTAATTAAGAGTTTTCAGTTATGAACTCAGGTATTATATAATAAAAGTATAACTCAAGATAATAAAGAGGTTTTTAAAATGTAGATCTGAAAATCAAACTACCATGTTTGATATGATTAAGTTGAATAATGTTATTTTATTAAATGGTTCAAATCTGTGAAATCGGCAATTACAAATTAAATGCGTAGTTCAAAAAATTAAAGAGATTTTAAAAATTTAATATCAGAATTAAACTAAAAAAAGGATTTAGTTATTTCAGTAATTATCAGAAAAGGTTAAAAAGATAGGGTAAGTAATGAGACTTGAGTGAGATGTGAGAAATCATATGTAAATAATTAGATATCTGATGAGTAAGGTAGTAATGAGAGTTAAGATCTGGTTAGTAAGGTAGTAATGAGAGTTAAGATCTGGTTAGTAAGGTAGTAATGAGAGTTAAGATCTGGTTAGTAAGGTAGTAATGAGAGTTAAGATCTGGTTAGTAAGGTAGTAATGAGAGTTAAGATCTGGTTAGTAAGGTAGTAATGAGAGTTAAGATCTGGTTAGTAAGGTAGTAATGAGAGTTAAGATCTGGTTAGTAAGGTAGTAATGAGAGTTAAGATCTGGTTAGTAAGGTAGTAATGAGAGTTAAGATCTGGTTAGTAAGGTAGTAATGAGAGTTAAGATCTGGTTAGTAAGGTAGTAATGAGAGTTAAGATCTGGTTAGTAAGGTAGTAATGAGAGTTAAGATCTGGTTAGTAAGGTAGTAATGAGAGTTAAGATCTGGTTAGTAAGGTAGTAATGAGAGTTAAGATCTGGTTAGTAAGGTAGTAATGAGAGTTAAGATCTGGTTAGTAAGGTAGTAATGAGAGTTAAGATCTGGTTAGTAAGGTAGTAATGAGAGTTAAGATCTGGTTAGTAAGGTAGTAATGAGAGTTAAGATCTGGTTAGTAAGGTAGTAATGAGAGTTAAGATCTGGTTAGTAAGGTAGTAATGAGAGTTAAGATCTGGTTAGTAAGGTAGTAATGAGAGTTAAGATCTGGTTAGTAAGGTAGTAATGAGAGTTAAGATCTGGTTAGTAAGGTAGTAATGAGAGTTAAGATCTGGTTAGTAAGGTAGTAATGAGAGTTAAGATCTGGTTAGTAAGGTAGTAATGAGAGTTAAGATCTGGTTAGTAAGGTAGTAATGAGAGTTAAGATCTGGTTAGTAAGGTAGTAATGAGAGTTAAGATCTGGTTAGTAAGGTAGTAATGAGAGTTAAGATCTGGTTAGTAAGGTAGTAATGAGAGTTAAGATCTGGTTAGTAAGGTAGTAATGAGAGTTAAGATCTGGTTAGTAAGGTAGTAATGAGAGTTAAGATCTGGTTAGTAAGGTAGTAATGAGAGTTAAGATCTGGTTAGTAAGGTAGTAATGAGAGTTAAGATCTGGTTAGTAAGGTAGTAATGAGAGTTAAGATCTGGTTAGTAAGGTAGTAATGAGAGTTAAGATCTGGTTAGTAAGGTAGTAATGAGAGTTAAGATCTGGTTAGTAAGGTAGTAATGAGAGTTAAGATCTGGTTAGTAAGGTAGTAATGAGAGTTAAGATCTGTTAGTAAGGTAGTAATGAGAGTTAAGATCTGATGAGTAAGGTAGTAATGAGAGTTAAGATCTGGTTAGTAAGGTAGTAATGAGAGTTAAGATCTGGTTAGTAAGGTAGTAATGAGAGATCTGCGGGCAGTAATGATACATCTATGAGTACATAACTAAAACCTGAGTTCTATGAGCGAAATCTGAGAGCTAAAAGCCGAGAGATCTAAGGTAAGTAATGAGAGAAGAGAATTTGAAATTTTACAAAATACGTTTACTCATACAAAATAATTCGCATTCTTTTATAACGAATCTCAATGCCAATTAATACATAAAACAGATTTTAGCAATCAATTGCAAGATTTAGAAAGATTTTATTTATAATCTCAGCCAAATTAACAAATATTTTATTGATTTCGTAAAAAATAGCAATAAAACATAAAAATATGACATTCTATTTTTCCAAAAAAATTTCAAAAATCATTTTTTAACATGAAATTTATATTTTTTAATTTTTTTTTTAAATTTTGAATTTTTTTTTGGAATTTTCAACCATGTCAAAAGTCGGGATCTACAAATGTATTCTCTTTGACATAGGATAAAAACATCCTTTCTTATAATTTCATTGTAAAATAAAATTTTCTTAAATTTATTGAATCCAAACTCAACTTTGCAACATTTTATTATCATAAAAACAAAGAAACATCAGGTAAACTTCAATTTGGAGAGCTTAAAATCATATCTAAATTGAAAAATAAGGGGAAAAAAATTGTAAAAAAAAATCTCATTAGATGGGGCAAAAAGTGACTTTTTTAATGTGTTTTTTAAAAAAATCGTGCCAGCTGGCCAAAAAAGGTGTGCCAGCAGGCGTGCCAGTTTGTACAACCCTACATATCAACAAAAAAGTTTTTAAAATCAAATCGAAAAAATATTTGAGGCGAATTCACCGATTTATTTATAATAAATTTAAATTTAAAAATTTAATCAATACTTGATTTTTTCATTACTATCGAACATTTGACGGATTATGAAACGGTAAATAATCTCAATATTTGGTCCTATTTCTAATTTATTTGAGTATTTTGCAATTATATTGAATGAAACAAATTATGGAATATTCGATAAATAAAATTGTTTAATTGCATGTTTTGATTGATTTTCCATATTAAGATGAACAAATGCGGATGATTTCATATCTAATTCATACCATTTTGCTTAGTTTTTGGCAATTTCAATTCAATTTTCATCAATAAAGCTAGATTCACTAAATTTCTAATCTGCAAATCAAAATTTTCATAATCATATACTAATACACGCCTGTGGGTTAGTTTCATATTTTTTTTTAAATTTTTTTTACAATATCTGAGATTAATAGCAATGCCAACATATTTTATACAAATAGTAATATGCAAATATTATCTCATATTCTTCATTTTCATGTCAGTTATGCATGAAACGTTTTGAATTGGCTTAATTAATCAACAAACTTATATAATAAATGTGTTATATTTATACAGTTAACATATAGAAGATCTGTATTATGTACGCAAAGCTTTATACTCAAAGTTGGAAAGAATCTCATTATGAATTTAAGATAGACATCGAGAACCAGCTTAATAAGCTATGGCATTATATTTCCTCATATAAGTACTTCTATACTTAATATGTACAGGTGTTGCAATTTGCCCTTAGTGCGGGAGCCCTTAGAAGTAATCAATTCAATATTCCGTATCATACTCAATTTTTATAATTAATATATACTTTTCATCGCTTTTACTTGATTTTTGAATTTATTTGAAAAGTGAATCGGAATTGAAAGGTTGATACAAACGACTCTCATTTTATATGATATTAATAAAGAATGAAGAGATTAATAGTACACTTGATGCCTATTTTTAATAGAATATAAACCTAGAAATCTTATATGTAATGAAATTAGAATTCGGCTATTGAGTATATGATGCATTATGAAGAGGAGTTTTGCTGTTAAATTATATTTGAAAATAATTTAGATTTTATCTGAATAAAGAAAAAAAGATGGATTTAAGTTTAGATAAAGTAGAAAGAATGTTTCGATTGTATACTGCTGCTTTATTTGATTCGGATTCTGAAATAAAATTATCTTTGTGAATAAATAATAAAATATAAAATGGAAATAAATTAAAATCATCAAATTCGGATGAAACTGTTTGATGATTGTTAAAATCTAAATATTTTGCTTGGCATAGTCTTGTCGAAAGATGTTTTAGTTCGAGATTTATTTCTTTGTTGTAAGTGTTATTAAATACAACATCTCCGTATGTTTTATTATTATTTCCAAGGTAACAATTAATAACTTCTGTTTTACCTGAATATTCTACAGAAAAAGTTCTAGTTCCTGAGTTATCAATAATGTTACATTCTTCAACTGTTAATGGTTTACAATTAACATTGTAGATAACTTTATCTTTTACAGAGTTATTAATGATGTTACATTTATATATTTTTACTGTAGGTAAACCAAAGTTGTAAATACAAATTTCATTTGTTGATGTATTATTTATTATTGAATTATAAGTGGAATTTGATTCTGATTGTCCTTTTTCAACAAGGTAACCGCAGTATGACCCTAATCTAAAATATGAAATATTTGTTTTCGTTAAGTATTGTTTTCCATAATAAAAGTCTGCTGGAGCTCTTCCAATAGGAGTTTCATGAGATCTTGATAAAGTACTTTCAATAACGTATTTTATGTATGAGCCTTGTCCTTGACTTGAGCAATATTGTCCATAATTTGGTGCAGAACAGTTGAACGAACAAATTCGGTTGTGAACAACATCACCTTTTGTGGTATAAACTGCACCACCAGCACCTGATGGTGTTAATACATTAATAAATGTATTATCTTCAAATAAGAATTTAGATTCGCCTGAAGAATGAACTGCACGGTTCTTGAGGTCTTCAAAGAAACTGTCTTCGACACAGTAGTTGTTAGGATCTGGATATGTGCCATTGCTTACGCGTTGGCACCCTCCATCAAAGAATTGTTGAAATTCTTGATGGAGGAATCCATGATAAATTTTGTCAAAATTTTACTTCCTCTCAATGAAAATCAATATTAATTATTATAATTGCATTTTCATGAGATTATATAAGTGAATTTCCGTTGAAAAATATAAAGATCTTTCAAATTTCGAAATGAAATCTTTCATAATCAGAATTTAGTCATATTCTCTCATTACAATATTGATACTAAGATAATAAATAAAATCGAACTAATTAATTAAATGATATATCACTTTAAATTAATTAAAAAAAGATAATAAGATAAGTTTTATTTATATTAGATTATTTTATTTTTCATCAGCAAAACTTTCATAGTTGTTGTCGGCTTTGTTCTTCTTGAGTTGACGTTGGATGATGAAGCTGATGAAGATGATGAAAATAACACCAAAAACGGCTGAAATAGAGATGATGATGTTTCGTGTCTTGTTAGAGATAGAAGATTCGATAGATTGTGACTGACCAAGTTGAACACGAATGTTAGAGATGACAACTTTGTGATCATAAACGGAAGTAGAAATGCCATCGATCTTGAAATGAGGAACATCTTTGTTCTGAAGACCATAAATAACAATTTGATCACAGATTGGTGCATATTGACATTCGCCTTTGCATTTGATTTCAATTTGTTTATCTTCGTATTTAATAGAAATTCTAGCTGAGCCGTTATTAGTTTTGTAATCAAATGATTGGCCATCATCGTAATAAAGTTCTCCTTCTGATTCTTTGTCATCATCAACTGAGATGATCAATGTGACATTGGATTTCAATGATTCTGAAATACTTGAAACATCTTCGGACAAAATAGCACTGATTGAACCACCTTTGATGAATGCAGAAACATGTTCACTGATCTTGGCTGAGTGTGTGCCTGTAACAAGTGGTTCACCTGTACGAAAATCATACCATTCATCTTCACCTGGTTTAGTAACAAAAACACTATCTGATCCTTCTCTCAAAACGGGAACAACCATGAGTTGACCACCAACAATAACTTGGTGACTGATAGAATGGACATCTGATTCTGGGTAATGGTAGAAAAGAGGAGCTGCAAATGGAATGCCTTTACGTGATGATCGTTCCATAGATGTATAAAGAAGTGGGAAAACACGATAGCGTTCTTTGATTGATCTTAATATACTAGAATAGATATCAGAATCATTCTTGTACAGATATGGTTCTCTGTATTCTGTTGTATTCGCTGAGTGTTCACGGAAAAGTGGATAGATTAATGAGCCAACTTGGTACCAGCGTGCTAAAAGTTCTTTCGTAGTGTTAGAACCAAAGCCACCAACATCTGAACCGGTGAATGGTTGGCCATTCAGATTAGATGTCAAAAGTGAATCAATCGATTGTGATAAATGTTCCCAAAGTGCTGAATTGTCGCCGGACCATGTCCACGCGTATTTCTGTGAGCCGGCAAAGAATGAACGTGTAAGAATGAATGGACGAAAACGACGACTGTTGATAGAATCAAATGTGCCTTTCGTCATAGATAAACCATATATAGAATGAACTTCGCGAACTTCGATTGTGTTGTTCAGTTGTTTGGCATCTTTAGGTAATGTGCCTTCAATGGATTCCCAAGCAGCAACTTCGTTCATGTCATTCCATGGATAGACATTCTCTGCCCAATCTGTAAATTTACTTGACCACCATTTTCGAACATCACTTCGAATGAAATCGGGCCATGATGAGTTTCCTGGCCAACATGATGCTTTGAATGGAACATCCTCTTTCTTAACGAAATAATCATGATCAATACATTCTTTATATGGTAAATAATCATCTGAAACTGCCATATGTGGATCTGCAATTCTAATTATAGTTTTGTTTTGCTGTTTGAGGGTGGAAAAGAACTTCTCTCGATCGTAGAAGAACTTGTCACTGAATGTAAATGGACGTTTGCGATCAAGATGGTCGATGTCGAGCCAAATAACATCCCATGGAATATTTTCTGCGGAAAAGTTGGAGAAAATCTCTTCAACTTGTGTCTGATTCATATATCCCCACTTGGACTGTTGATAGCCAAGAGTCCAGGCTGGTGGAAGTGGTGCTCTTCCGGTAAGTGTTGTATATTCTTTCATTAAGTCATCAATGTCGTGAACGAATACAACAAAATCGATGAAACCACCTTCAGAAATGAATCTGACATCTCTGGAGTCTGTTTTTGTTCTGATTGAAAATGTTAAATCAGATGGATTCATCCAGAAGACAGCTGGTGATTTCTTGAGGTTCTTGTGATGTGCAAAGAAGAATGGTACGTATCCATAGAGTGAATAAGCATCTCTGGCATATCTTCTGTCTTCTCCATCGGGAAGATTAAGACTTGAAGTACTCTCATGGAGACCTGTAAGATAAGCGTCTTTAATGAATGAAAATGACATGCCAACAGCTGTCTTTCCATGTGGGAATGTTTCGATTTTTCCATCCCATTCTTCGTTTTCGACAGCTGAACCGTCTTCTATGAACATAAATCCATCAGGATTTAAGTTCATGTAGTTATCGTCGTCATGAGCAATCTGAATTGCGAAATTACTTTTTTGAATTTTAATTTCGAAGTTGTGTGTTTTAATTGTGTAGTGGTCGCCATCATCTTTACCTTCAATATCTGATTTTGCTGTCAAAAGTGTTGAATTAACAATAAGATCGTCGTGAAGAATATCATATCTGTAACTTGATTGAGATTCAGGCATTAAAACTCTGAACCTTACACCGCCTGTTGGAATTTCATAAATTTGGACAGAATATCCTGATGATACTCCGTTGAGATTAAGATCTGCAGTGAAAATTTGAGAATTCACTTGAGGATTGGAGATACTCCATGCAACAGGAGTCGTTTTGTTGATGTTTTCTCTGCAAAAACGCATGTCTTTGCATTCACGAAAACAAAGAGAAAGAAATACAGATAACATGAAAAAATAATTTATTCAGTGTCTACCGAGAATTGAGATAAATTTACATACCAAGATTCACTTCTCCATTAAATAATAAATGTCAAATGATCAGCAACATTGTTTAATAAAATGTCGATGGTAAAACGATCAATTTGAGAACCTACACTTTGCTTCAATTATATGCTTTACATAATCTCCTTAGCTTGCTATGTCTTTACATATGACTAGCTTGGCACACTCTATAGTATCTATGTCGTGCAAAAATCGTCATCAATTAAATTATTTTTCATATTATTGTTTTTTGTTGTAACAATAAGAGTATAGGAAGTTGTTTAATTGATGATATACCTTCAATTTCCAAGAAATTCCTTTCATTAAATATAGCTTTTTTGATTATTGCAATATGTACAATTAAAGTAGCCTATCATGTCCCCAAAATCAGGAATTATTCCATATAAAGTACTAAGTTAAACCGTGGATGATAAATTTTAGATCTACTTACAACATTTGTTCATTTTTAAGTAATTCATAGGGGAAAAATGTCCTTAGGATTAGAGGAATAAGAAAATATATTTGCTATTCATTAAGTAATAATCTTCCTATATTTATCAGCATTATTATTCAATAAAATATAGATTCAAATTAAGAATAGCTAGTATGCTGGTTAAACATTCAAATCATATTGTATACGTATAGTATGATGCGCCGTAGCAAGGTTGGGCCTATGATATAGACAAATATTTTATTTCCGTTCAAATTTAATTAATATCATTTATCTGTCAACTTACTAGATTGAATTGAATACATTAGCTGAATATTAAATAATTGGTCAATTCAGATTGCATTTCGAACAACAAAATTTAAAATACCAATTTCTAACTAATGTATGAGAATGAATTGGTAGAATATATAATTGGCAATAATGTGTAAATTAAGTCTTTCTCTGATAAATATTGTAAAGAAATATGCAGTTTTGTTATATCAAACATAAAATATGATATTTAAACAAATTAGGATACGGAAATTAACAATAATGTTACTAATTAAGATAGTTATCACAAAGAAGAAACTAAATGAAACGAATGTGGTTAATTCCAAAAATTTAAGGATTTTCGACCAGATTTAATAAATCAAACACAAAGGCAGTTCCGAAGCAAATAAGAAAGATGAAATAAAAAGGATTTTTTTTTAAAAAAATCTTGCAATATTTTATGATTCCTGTAAAAGTATTCAATTTTGAAATTAAATAATATTTGTGTTTATCATCATTATTAACAACAAATCAAATTGGAGCATATTCAAAAAATAATTATTGGGTTTAGTTTCAAAAAATAATTACCGTATTTGAAATTTGAATGAGTAATTAATGTATTTCAATTTAAACAAAGTAATCACCAATTCATGAAGAATGATAATTAAAAGAAAATAACAATAAAAATTTTCTGCTATTCAAAAGCAACTTTTTATTTTTCAAATTCTGATCGTTACGAAAAATGATTGATTAATATATAGTTTTTGTAATATATTGTTGGACAACTATTGTTTCTTACAATTAATAAATTTCTTTGAGAAAATTAAATATGTATTGCAACATCAAATTTTGAACATTATTTTCATGTTTATTTATTCAGGATCATTTAATATTTTCAATGCGCTTCACACAAATATTTTTAGCAAAATTTTTGATAACTATTCAATTCGGAACGTAATCATGGCTTAATCATACATTGTAAATCAATATTATCATTCCTTTTCCATAAGAACTCTTTCAATACTTTTAATGATCACATACAAATTTTCCATATCAAATATTTAAAATTCTAATTACCAAAATAAACGATGAACAAACAGATGCCTGAAGATCTGGTAAAGATGATTATAGATGAAGCGGCCAATAATATTGGCACATGGTCCTTTTCCTTTATCAAAAAACTTCAAGAAGACTTAAAATTTTTTGATCAGAAGAAACTTGACAAATTTGTTTATCTTATCTTACTTGAAGCTGAAGACGAACACAATGATAATAACATGAAATTGAAAATAGCTCAATTGCTTTCTTCCTTAAGATCATTCTTTCTTCCTGGGATTGTATTTTCTATTAATTCCCAAAACCAGCGCATAAAACAAATTGCCAACAACATTCCTCAAGGGAAACTCTGCGATTGTACTAAAAGAATGTTTCTTAATCTGATTCAAGTCAACGTTGTACCAAATGTCTCTAATAGAATTAAGTCAAGCAGTGCCCAACCTGTTAAGCAGCCTGATATACAATTCAGTTTTGATAATTCTCCAAAATTTCCAATTTAATTCTTTTGTAATTTTATGAATTTTTTATTTGTTTGTATTGTTCCTGAGTTATCAATAATGTTACATTCTTCAACTGTTAATAGATTACATCTATAATTGTAGATAACTTTATCTTTTACAGAGTTATTAATGATGTTACATTTATATATTTTTACTTGTTTATCAGGAAAATAATAGTTATGAATACACTGATCATTTGTTGATGTATTATTTATTATTGAATTATAAGTGGAATTTGATTCCGATTGTCCATCATAAAAAGAGTATCCACTTTCTTGGTTTGTTCTAAAATATGAAATATTTGTTTTCGTTAAGTATTGTTTTCCATAATAAAAGTCTGCTGGAGCTCTTCCAATAGGAGTTTCATGAGATCTTGATAAAGTACTTTCAATAACGTATTTTATGTATGAGCCTTGTCCTCGGCTAGAGCAATATTGTCCATAATTTGGTGCAGAACAGTTGAACGAACAAATTCGGTTGTGAACAACATCGCCGTTTTCTGTAAGAACTGCACCACCAGAACCTGATGATGTTGATACGTTAATAAATGTATTATCTTCAAATAAGAATTTAGATTCGCCTGAAGAATAAACTGCACGGTTCTTGAGGTCTTCAAAGAAACTGTCTTTGACACAATAGTTATTAGGATCTGGATATGTGCCATTGCTTACGCGTTGGCACCCTCCATCAAAGAATTGTTGAAATTCTTGATGGAGGAATCCATGATAAATTTTGTCAAAATTTTACTTCCTCTCAATTATAATCAATATTAATTATCAAATTAAGTCAATTTACGCTGAAAAATATAAAGATCTTTCAAATTTCGAAATTGTGATTTTGGTATTTTTCTCTCAAACTATTATCTGTTACATTTTTGTATTATAATGATAAGAATAAACTTGAGTGATTTGATTTTGATATTTTTTTTTTCCTCAATAGTAGATGAGTGAAATATTTCATTAATTCACAAAAACAAAAGCCGAGTAAGATAATAAAGCCGCTAAGATTTTACAACAAGAAAAATAATTAACAATTTTTATTCTGGTTTGGCAGCCGAGTGATTTCGAATCTTCCCTTCTTAACAGTTACAGGAGACTTTGAATCAACTAAGAAGTCCCACTTTGGAGGCTCGTACTGGACAATCGCTGGAGTTGATTGACTGACATCGTTTCCAAGCTTGAGACGCATCTTATTCAGACGCATTTCATTAATAGAGAAACTGGAAGCAATTGACGGCAATTTTGAAATTAAAGTTTTCTGGAGATATTCATTATCTCTTGCCTTCTGAATAAATGGATGCGAAAGTAACTCTTTAGCTGTCCATCTGTTATTTGGATCTGTCTGTAGACATTTTGAAATAAAATCGATAAATTCCGGCGAATACTTGGAATTTGAAGGCAAACTAGGTGGCGGCAAGTTAATGATTTTCATCATGATCTCCATTTCATTTAATGTTGAGTATGGCGCATCACCTGTTGCTAACTCAATCGCTGTGATGCCTAAACTCCAAATATCGGCCTTCTCAGTGTATCCTTCCTCCTCAATGAGAACTTCTGGCGCCATATAACATGGTGTTCCAGCAACTGTAAAACGAAATGAACGTCTTTGACCTTCTTCGAAAAGTCTTGTAGAAACACCGAAGTCACCAATCTTAACTACTCCATTTCCTTCGATGAGTATGTTGCCTGGTTTGACATCACGATGTATTTGTCCACTTGAATGAATATAATCAAGCGCGTTGAGGGTCCCTTTCAATATCGTTGCGATCTGGATTTCATTTGGAAGGCCATTTGGCATATGGATACGTAAAATGTCATATAAAGAACCTGCAGAGCAATAACTCATCAGAATGTAGATATTGGGACCTTCAATGAAGGAACCATAATAGCTAATGATGTTTTTATGCTGCATTGAAGACCAATACGACACTTCTTGTCTTAAATAATCGAGCTCAATTTGACCTGTTTCGAGGTCAATTTTCTTAATTGAAACAACTTCATTGTTATCTAAGCATACGGCTGAGAATACCTCACTTGTTCCTCCTCGACCTATGCGTTCTTTGATCTCATACCAGTCTAAACTTAATGGAAAACTCATTGAAGTCTGACTCAAATATTAATGACAAAAATTTTCACAAAAATTGAATATTTTCAAGAAAACATGCGGTATCGGTTATCATGGCATATATATTATCCTTAGATGTATTAATTAAAATAATTTTTGATTTTACGATAGACTCACAATATTTTTTCGACAAATCAAAGGAATGACTGTGGTGGAATAAACATCCGGATTTTCGAGAAATAATGAAGTTTGGTCTCTTTTGAGAAGAGAAACCACAACAATTCAATAGTTTACTTGCATTTTTTGATTACTTTACACCACTTTTTGCATTATTTATAATTCAATTTTGATAAGTTTACATTGCAATTGAGATAAGTTAAATTGAAGGAGATAAATTATTGAAAGGCTTACAACGATATTTTTGCTTCAAATCAATATAAAATAAATCATTAGTTGGATCTTATTTTCCTTTTATTTTTTTAGGAAATTTTAAATATTCGACTTTCTTCTGAAACCATCTAAATTGCTTGTTTTATCCAACAAAAATTCGAATTTCTGAGGTCTGGCTCTAAAATCAAATGAAAATTTTTATCATTAATCACATAAAGTTAGATATAGCCTGGAAAACCTAGATTTAGGAGTTAAATGCAAAATAAATTACATTGGAATTTATTTAATTGAATTTTGTCGTGCGTTTCAATTTATCAAAAATTTTGTTCTATCAATGAATATGATATCTTTTCATAATAAATACTATGGACATTTTACAATATAAATTCACACTAGCAACTAAAAATGCAAAATTTGTTTTCATAGAATTCTGAATGGAGGTAATATATACGATTTTTCGCACATAAAATTGCAAAAAGTCTCTTAATTTGGCATTGTGTTACGTAGCGAAATTTAATATTGAAATAATATCATTAATTGTGCAATAAAAGCATTGTATTTGTATTGTGCCTTCATAATATTTCCATTCTGATTAAACAAAAAGTACGATCATATAGAAAACAATCACAATTGATAGGAAATTGCAAGCATATTCCTTATTTCTAAAAAGTATGTAAATACACAATTTATACTAACAATTTATTGATGAAAACAAATCAGATATAACAACTTGATTCTCGATTAATATTATCAAGAACTTCATCATCACAAATGAATTCTGGACTTAGCTCAACTTCATTTGCTCCTTCAACTGGTCCATTCCAGTCAACAAAATCATCTGGATTAGGAAGATCTGCAAAATAATTTTCCCAAACATGATGTTCATTACCTGTAATGCCAATTCGTCTCTTCATATCATCAATTTTCTCGTATATGTATTTATAATTAGGTTTTTCGTCAAAATGCAAGTATGAAATACTTGTCCAAATATCTGCAAGTTCTGGTCCAACATTATGGGTAAATTTTTTCACATTAAACTGTGATTTCAAGTATATTAGTTCATCATTATCTTGCACTCCTCTCCATGGTAATTTTCCACAGAGTAACTCAATCATTACGTAGTACCATGAAATCAAATCGTCTTTTCGAGACACGGTACAAAAATGATGAGCATTTATGCTTGCGTATGCTTTTGATCCTCTGAACCCGGCGTTTTCTTCGTGCAAACAATGCTTTCCTGTTTCGGTATCGATATATTGACGAGTTAATCCGAAATCAATAATACAAATGGGAGTATCTCGCTTGTTTCTTGTTATAATATTTCCAGGTTTTATATCGCGATGGACAAAACCTCGAAGATGGAGTTGTTCTAATGCTTTAAGAGATTCTTGCATTACTATAATACCGGATTCAATAGGAATTTTCTTGAAAATCTGTGTAATTGAAGGACCTAATAATTCCATTGAATAAAATCTAAACTCTGGAGTTACCCCGAATATGCCACATCGTGGAAACATAAGTGAAGATTGCAAATGAGTAAGAATTTTGAATTCATGTTCAAGATATCTCTTGCGACTTGTATGAGGTTCGATTTTTATCGCTACAATCTCCCCAGTTTTGGTATCTTTAGCATTGTATACTTCTCCAAATGTACCCCGTCCGATTTTTTCTCCTATAATATATTGGAGAAGCATCGTCCCGGTTTTTAACATTTCAGCAAAAAATTGACAGATAAAAAATCGATGAATGCTATTTTATTTTACCAAATCTAACCGACCTAATGTGACACTAAGGTTATGCATGTATGCACTGAGGATTTCGTAATATTAGCTTGACTGTACATTTATGATGTGAAATACATTTTTATAGATCTCCTATAATGAAATTGCAATTATAAGTTAATCAGTTGATTGCTGGTGAATTCAATACTACCGAAAAAACGAATACAAGGAAAAGATTTCCAAGTTTTTAGAAAATACTATTGTATCAATCGACCATAAGATACTTCTAGCACTGCACATACTTTGATTTAATCGAAGTTTATGGATACAAATCTTATGGCTCAATAATAACTATTAACATAAGATTTGGTGTCTAAATATATTAAAATATTACATTAGATCGCGTTATCCTCTGTTATTAATAGTTCAAGAATACATGCTTTCCATAAAAATTTTCAGATGAAACACATGATCATAATTTTTGATATCGCATGCTGCAATTTCGTTTTCATAGAGCTATTATTTTCTGTAACTATAGTAATTGGAACTGCATCGTAAAAACACAAAAATCTTCAATAGAGAGCTTCCATTGTTTGTGGGATTAAATTTCAATGGTTGTCAAAATTACGTTTAAAAAAAATTCAAAAATTCTCTGAATAAGATGCACATATAAAATAATTAAACCATTTCAATTTTTTAAATTGAGAGGATATATAAATTGTCAAAATCTTTGATTTGAATATGGCTTTATGTTATTCAGCCATCAAGAATTTGATCAATTCTTTGATGGGAAATACGAAATTGTAAGAAATGGGAGTTATCCAGATAGTAATAACTACTACGTCGAAGATTGCATCTTTAAAGAACTAACAAATCGTGCTGTTACTTCTACAGGAGCCTCTAAATTTCTTTTCGAAGATAGTATTTTTGATAGTGTATCTTGTTCATCAGATAATGGTGGCGCGGTTTATACAGAAAGCGGAGAATCTGTTCATAACAGAAATTGTTCGTTTAACTGCTACGCATCAATTTGGGGACAATATTGCTATTGTTTCGCATCTGAGGAATCATCCAAAAATTATATTATTGAAAGTACAATTTCCAGAACTAATGAAGATCCAATTGGAGAAGCACCATTATTTTTAGCAATTGGAAAACAAAACTTAACTAATACCAATAATTCTTTTTTCCGAAATAATAATCGATGTGGATATCAATTTGAACAAGGACAAACTGATTCAAGATACAGTTATAATTCAATAATTAACAATACAGCAACAGATAAATTTTGCATAAGGTACTATCAGTTTGCTAATGCATATATTTATAAGTGTAATATCATTAGAAATAAAGTAAAAGATCAAGTAATTTGTAACTCTCAATGCACTCAAGCAACTATTGAAGAATGCAATATTATTGAAAATCTTGGAACCGATACAATATCTATAGAAACTTCAGGGAAAACAGAAGTTATTAATTGCTTCCTTAATAATGAAGGAACAATTCCAGACACAATTTCACTTAGAAATACTTATATCGCAGAAATAAAGAATGAATTGAAGCATTTCACAACCGCTATATGCAAAGGAAAACCTATCAATCCTCAAACATATTTGAACAAAGCAAAATTTTTGGGTTTATTACCACTTTATATTATGTTGTTTTCAAGTAAAGAAAAGTATAGTACTGGCATTGTAGCACATAAGCCAGTAGTGTATAATCGAAACTATCTGTCTGGTTTGTCCAAACTTAAATATATCTTTTCTTTGTTAAGATAAAAATTCATAAATAATAAATGGTGTTTTTAGAAATAGTAAAGGATATTTTCTTTGAGAGCTTTTCTCAGCATTTTCACACCAAAATTGGCCAATGTATTTATGAAAAGGTATAATTTTTAAGAAAAAATAAATCATTACAAATAAGTATTTATAACAAATAATATATAAAATAAATAAAGATAAAGTATAAAAAAATCTAGAAAGGTAAAGAGAGAGGTGGTTCGTATTTCCTTGATAATACATCAATAGGAAGGTCAAAGTTACGAGTGATTGATTCTTTAACAGATCTAACAAAGTCCAAAACACTGTTATCAAGGGAATAAGTTCTAAGACCACATTCGCGAATTTGAAGACAAAGAGAACTGATGATATCAAGTTGCATAATGTCAAAGTCTTCAATGTTGGCAAGAGATCGAACTTGTTCTGAAATACGAGCATATCCTAAAACAAATGGAAGACATTCTGTCTTGTTTCTTGATGAAACAAATTGACGCATGCAGCTGTAATCGTCGTAATGACTTGTGAGTTCATCGATGCTGTAGAATCGATCTTTAAGATCTCCACTAACTAAATCCCAACTGCGACGCAATCGACTGATTGCTGGTGAATTCAATGCAGCGGAAATCTCGAAAACAAGGAAAAGATTTCCAAGTTGTGCTGAATATGTCATTGTATCAATCCAATATGATATATTACGCGCTCTGTTCTTGCTGTCATCTGTCAAAATGTGTCGACAAATGTAATCACATGTGTTGTTGAAACTGCGAACAATGTCATGAAAACGCTGACAAAGAATATCGTCAACTGAAAGTTTACTAACAATTTCGCATTCAACAAACATGAAATGTTCAGCAAGAAAAGAAGGAGGAACTCCAAGAGGAGGCATTCCCCATTGAGAATGCGAAAGAGGAGAAAATCGTGGAAACTCTTGTAATCGATCTGATCTAATGATTCCTTTACAAAGAGCACGTCCTACAGAGCGTGCGAAATAAAGAAGAAACTTACTATTAGGTGAAACAGAAATAGTTGATTTGATAGCAGCAGAAAACAATTTGTAAAAGTCTTTCGTGAAATCTTGAGGAAACAATAAAAGCCAGTTCATGCAATAATTAAAAACACTTTCGCCAAATAAATCAAACATGTTGTTAACTGAGGAACACATTGATGATATCCTCGGCCAAACATCATATATGTTTCTACCAATAATGTGGCATGAAATTATATGTGTTCGATCACAAATTCGATCATACTTTAAATTACTAAATTTTAATGAATCGAAATGTGAAATATCAATGCGTGTCGCGTCTTTCGTAATGTCTGATGCGAAAAATCGAGTGAGTTGGAGGTCACTGGTCTCTGAATATCGTTTGGAAAGGAATAATAGTTCATCAAAATTACGACGAAGAACAGAATCGCGAAAGAAACGCCATTCGTTTTGTGATCGCGAGCGATTTCCAAAAATTGATGATACTTTTTGTCGAATAAGTGATGATAGCTCTTCACGTTCACGGCTATCATGTGTAACTGGACTTAAATCGTCGAAATAGTTCTGTAAAGTAAGATTTCGTGATGCAGCGGAAAACCTTGATGCAAAGAAGACTTCAAAGTCGTAATGCGATAGTTTGCGACCATGTGTACTCTGAATACGTGGTGTTGGTGGCGAATTAAGTGTTTGATGTAACTCAATTTCTTCTCCTGTCATTGTATCGAATTGCGATGAACTGTCTGCTGGTGGAGGGACAAATTTCTTGTTCTTGTCGTCAATGAGACTGAATAAAAGATCATCTATTGAATTCGAAAGGTTTTGTTGGTTAGAATTTGGAGTATTTGGCTGCCTTTTCCTTGTTCTTGGTCGGCTAGTAAGAGGTGGAGGAGGAAGTGCTTGATTTTGGCTTTTAAGTTCTTTTAATTGTAGATTATTTTCGACTAACGTTTTTGAATTTGAAGAAGATCCGTGTGAATGGTATGATTCTTTTTGTTGATCAATGTGTGAGTTATGTGAATGACTTCTTGAGCTCGATGCGCTTCTGTGGCTCCCAGAAGATTTTTCTCGATGCGTTGAAGCTGCAGAAACTGATTTGTATCTACGCTCGGATGAACGTTCATCTTTGGAATTGTATCTGCTCGAGTGCTTATGACTGTGGTGTGAAGATTTACGACTTTCGCGACTCATAGGTTCATCATCAACAACAAATGGTTCTTTTTCTTCCCGACGAGTTCTGCGCCGACTCGAAACATCTGTCTGTTGTTTGGTTAAACGCATCTCATCAGGGACCTCAGCATTTTTTTGCTGAGCTCTCGTACGACGCATTTTTATGTAAACTTTTCAAATTTTGCATTGACAATAGTATGAATTTCATACGATTTTCAAGATAACCATCAAACGAATTAACATAAAAATTTCTTTCAAAAATTGATAAACGTCTGTTGAAATCTGATCAACTTATTTGCTGGATTTCATTATGTTGAATAAAATCTCGCAAAATTTATAGTTCTTTTGACAAACTGTAAATTTCAAATAAACGTATTCAAATTTAACCAGTGAGATGTTCATACTCGTTATCACTGCTTTTTGTGGAGTAAAATAAATCGGCTTCAAAGAATGGCTTTCAAATGTTCCGCTGTACGAACAGATACTGAATTATTTGATAAATTCAAAATTTATTTACGCTTGGCTTTTTTACCCTTTGAATTCCCTGTCACTTGTGCCTCGTGCATAGAATTATTGAAGAAAAGTTTTCATTTTTGTTTAATTTAAGTCTAATGCCAACAATATTTTCATTAAGGCGACCGTTTTAAATATGGAAGTCATCCAATAAACATGTATTGGAACAAAATATTATTAACCCGTATACAACTTCTCCAAATTTCAATAGAAGGTTAACATCACATGAAACGATTAAAATTCGTTGAGATTGCATTCCAAAATTGGCATTTGTACGTATTGTATTTATTCTCTTGATAGATAAAATAAAAATTCAAAGAAAAAACAAAATTTCTTTCGATATTTGACTCTTTGTAATTGCCTATTGTCTGTAATTCTTATATGCATCATTACAAAAATGAGTAGGATAATGTTCATTTATAGATTTATGATTAATTTTTTGATTATTGAAAATTAATTTTATGAAATGCTATATATTGAAAACATCAGAGTTAATAAGAGATAGATAGTATGTTTTTATTCATTAATATCATTGTTTCAGAGAACTCCGTCGTTTGCTTCGATTGTTGCATCTTCTTCGCTGATGATCTCTGTTTCCAAGAGGTTAAACTTGTTATCGAACTTGAAAACAAGTGCGCTTCCATTTGAAAGAACCTTTTCATTCATCAATTCTTCAGATGTCATTTTTTGTAAGTATTTCTTCATTGCGCGCATGACATTTCCATGGGCAACAATAAGTACTTTCTTTCCTTCCATCAATCGTGGAACGATTTGGTCGATAAAGTATGGTTTCGCTCTTTCCCACATCATATCAATGGATTCGCCATTTGGTATAACGCGAGGGTCGAGGTCTTTGTATTTAGGATCGTCTGAAGGATTTTCTTGACCAGGTGCGCAAGGAGGAGGCTGTAGACAAGTATCTTTCTTCCAGATGTTGAGTTCCTCTTCAGTAAGTGTAGTACATATTTGCTCTTTGTTCATACCTGTCAGTAAACCGAAATGGCATTCGTTAAGACGCCAATTTGAAATGGTCTGTATGTGCATTTGATCTAGAACGTCAAGGACTATCCACATCGTCCTGATTGATCGTTTTAAGTAAGATGAAAAGCAAACATCGAAGTGAAATCCATGGCTTTTCAACAATCTTCCAGCCGCGTAAGCATCTTCGATTCCTTTTTCAGTAAGATCTGTATCATACCAGCCACTGTATGTTCTATTGAGGTTTGATAAAGATTCTCCATGCCGAAGAATAACTAATGTTGAAAATGGCTCAATCTTTTTTCGAGACATCAATTTATAAAAGTGACAAATTCTGATCGATCGTCATAATTTTTTTGACATTTTTATCGTCCTAAAAAACGGTCAATATACACATATATAAAACAATTCTATCATTATAGCTTCGATACTTTTTTTGAAGGACAATATCTATATGTACAAAATGGAGCTTATCCAGAAGATAACAATTATTACATATATCAATGCTTCTTTAAAAATCTAAATAATCAAGCAGTTTATTCTTCAGGCGAGCAGTCTAAGTTTCTATTTGAAGATAGTACATTTGTTAGTATATCACATCCATCAGAATTTGGTGGTGCAGTTTACACCATAAAAGGCGCATCCGTTCACAATAGAATTTGTTCATTCAACTGCTCTACTTCAAGTTGGGCACAGTATTGTTTTTGCTATTCATATCAAGATTTATTCAAAATATTCGTTATTGAAAGTACTGTAGCTAGACCTGATATTTATTCAATTGGAAATATCCCAGTATATCTAATAAGAGGTGCACAATGCTTATCTAATACAAATATTTCGTATTTTTCAACAATTGATAGATGTGGTTTTCAACTAGAATCAGGCACTGCTGAATCAAATTCCACATATAATTCAATAATAAATAATACATCATCTGAACGATTTTGCTTGTATAATGCTGTTTCTTCAAATCTTAAAATATTTCGATGCAATATTATTAATAACTCTGTTGTAGATTTTTTAATAACTGCTGATGAATTAGAGTTATTAAAACTTGAAGAATGTAACATTCTTAATAACAATGGGAATTGTATATTTAATTCTGCAAATAGCAGATCCTTCGTCAAAGTTGTTAATTGCTATTTTAGTAAAAATACAACCGTTGGATATGTGGAGATTGAAAGTACATACACAAGCGAAATAAAACATGATCTAAAACTGTTCCCAGAGAAACTCTGTCATTTACCAACTATTAATCATACAAATGCAGACGAATTTGAAATTTTTAATTTGATGTCATTTTGTATTTTATTATTTTCAAAGAATGATAATTCAAGCGAAGCCAAACATATCAAACGTGAAGTTTACAATCGTCGTTCAATTTTTGACTTTTTGAAGCCCAAATCCATAATATCGTTTTTCTTCAAATAAATATTTTTTGCATCTTAAGATGATGAAATATGTAGTTCCATTTTATGAGTATTTACTTTAACATTGAATATTGAAAAATGGTGAGTAAACCCTTTCTGATAATCAGAAAGTAAGCTCTCTGATGCCCAAATTGATATCTTATGTTTGATCAGCATTAATTATTTATAAAGATTGCTGATAAAACATACGAATAACTCATGATGGTATTAATCCAGACTCCAAAAGTTCAATTTCTTCTTCCTTAACTTTTTCTTGAAAGAAGATAAATTACTTTTCTTCGTAGAGTTAGAATGAGAATTTAGTTTTTTAGCATGCATTATGTGTATAGAGTATTTAATCAGCGATTTGTAATCGATATCATTTTTCTTGGATGTATAACTTGTAATGATTTCTTTATCATAAAAGATTGGACACATTTCATCATTTGATCTAAAAACTGTAATCACAGAAATCTTTGAAATATTTTGGAATAACGAAATTTCAATCAGGAATTGATTTGTAAAAAATCCTATATTTGCTGATCCTGTTTCATCTCCAGTATATGAATCATCTCTACAGTTAAAAAATATCGATTTTGAAACACAAGAATTAGCATTTGTTCCAAGCAGAGAATAACTACTCCCTTCATTGACCTTTGAATGTGAAATGTTTGTGTTTTCCAAGCCAATCGTTCCATTTACATGACAAATACTACCAAATCCTTTAAAAACGTTTGTGCCACATTTTGCGATCGAGGAATATTGAATTATATTTTGGAACAAATCATGATTAGAAACTTCAGAAAAACTATGAATTCCTGATTGAGAATAAGATTCGCATGTTGAATTATACAATGTAATTCGGTCTTGAACGCACTGTCCTTCTCTGGAAAAATATAAGCTGCATCAATTTCCCTCTTTTTTTGTGGCAGCTAATGAATGCTGTTGTATCTGCTAAAAGTTTTGTTGTTTCTTGGACAGATTCGATATTTATCGCTCCTTGAGGTGTTAAATATTCGAAGTTGCATTTGCTGATGTAGTAACTTTGATCATGAGCACCGATATTTGTTTTCCGATTTGTAACATATAATGGTTCTGGGCTTGAAGGATAAAAAGAATTCCAATCTTTTTTGAAAATCATCTAAAATTTTAGAAATCGAAATGAGAATTTGGACCAAATAAGACTGCATTTTATATTAATTAATGTAAGGATGTCGTTTTGCGAATAGTGTCACTTTTATAGAGCGAGTTTTAGCTTGTTTGTCTGATATGTCAAAAATAAATCAAAAAGTGACAATATTTTCACACTTCAGAGAAAATTGAAATTATAAAAAACGATTCATGGTATATTTCTTTATTAGATCTTCTATATTAATGCTTTTATTGATAGATTATAATCAAAGGTCCCAATAAGTTAATTTTATGATAGTTTTCATCCAAAAAAGAAATTATTTGACCAAATAATCGGAACGATAAAATTGAATTCAAAATTTTCAAAATTTTATGATGAATCATTGTTTTTCATTGTATTAAATGGGATCTAAGTTCTCCAATTTATTTTATAAGCATTTCGGAAAGGAATATCGGATAGTAATGCTTGGGTTAGATGCCTCAGGAAAAACAACAATTCTGTATAAACTAAAATTAAACACGACAATTGACGCAATTCCAACAATAGGATTCAATATTGAGACAATCAATTACAAGAATTTAAATCTCAATATCTGGGATGTTGGAGGCGGAGATAAAATTCATGCACTATGGTATCATTACTATTCAGATATGAAAGGAACGATATATGTTATTTATTCTTAGATTTATCATATGAAGAATTTTCTAATTATTATCTTTCGAAAACGATCACGTTAAAAACTCCATTGCTATTTCTTTGCAATAAAGTAGATATAGAAAAGCATGCTTCAGAAGAAATGATTATCGAACATTTTCATCTCAATGAAATAACTGATCGGCCTTGGCGTATCCAGTTTTGCAGTGCAATTAACGGTACTGGTCTCTATGAAGGTATAGAATGGCTTTATTCTCAAATTTATGAAAAATGATTCATAAAAACTCTCGAATTTCTTGCTCTTATGTCTGTGTAAAAAATAACCAACAGAAATAAGGATATAATCATTCCTGGCCATTTAGTTTCCAGCATAACCACTATTTTTATTATTAATTTGTTATTTAAAAAATAAATTTAATAAAAATTCTGAAAATATGAGTTATAGTAATAAGATTTTTTTAGAAATTGATACAGTCTAAAGTACTAATTACTAATTAGATTGATATTCTTAACTTTCTTTAAGTCCCGTCTGCAAAATCATATAACTTTTCAAATCTGAGAGGATTCTCAATGAAGGATTATTATTTTCGTCTGGAAAAGTGACAAAATTATCATTTTCGTCAGACAACAATGATAATTTTTTATTTTCATGGTCATGCTAAAAAGTTAAATTTATGAGATTGCATTGCAATGACACCTACTTGAATTGCAACGCATCTATTAGGAAATTTTGGTGAAAATAAATTGAATAGTTTGAGTTTGTGATTTTGACTTCGCTAAAAAAGTTTTGACTCGAAATTCACAAAAAATGAAACAATATGAAATTAGAACTAGAATAATAACATGCACAAGGAGCTATTAAATAAAGTTGCGTATGAGTGGATTGCGCTTAAATTAATAGAAATAGAGTTATAGTTCAATAATTCAGATGCCAGACGAAAATGATTAATTTTGTCACTTTTCCAGACGAAAATGATAATGCTCTATTCTCAATTTATTGGGTTATTTATGTTTCAATTTCTCTCCACCTAAAAAGTATCTATGATATAATTTCAATAGCATTATGTTCCATATATATCCCAGTAAAAAAAAGTAAATTTGGAACACTTAAAATTTACGCCCATCTGACAACAATTTACATTTATGACAATCAGTGTGAATTATCTTTGAAAATTAAAAGGTCATATCATTCAGACATAAATCCATCCTTAAAAAATCATAAAAATTCTGAAATTAACATAAGATGTGCATGTGCCAATCTGATTTTAATTCTGACAAAGCATCATTGAAAAAAAATGATGTGTCACCCTCGACATTTTCTTTCATTGAAAACTATCGTTAAACAAAATAATTGAAGTTCATGTCATACGGTGATAAGTGCATTTTTTAAAATCAGACTTTTGTTGATTTAAGGCTGCACTTACGCCCATCTGACTTTAATTTAAATTTTTGACAACTGGCGTGGAGCGTCATTGAAAATTAACCTTAAACAACTGGATTGAAAGTAGTGTCATAGGGGCGTAAGTGCATCCTTAAGGTCGACAAAAAAGTGCTGAAATCAAAAGCCATCGAAGGAGTGCTTTCTGAGACTCTGTTTGTCAGAAATTATATATTTGTAAACTTTCTGACACTAAAAAAATCTTTTGTACACTTTCAAAGTTTTTGACATTGTGATGTGTCAGAGAGTACTCAATTTTCTTTTCAAGTTTTGGTTTTTATTGATTTATAAATAAGTAAATTAAAATTTGATTTCTTGAGTTTTGCAGATGATTTGTGGAGGAAGGAATGATGAAGATGTTTTTGGTCGTGATGTAAGTGATCTTGTATTGATATTTGGTTTTAACGATGATTTTGATTTTCTTTCTGAAAGATTAGTTATAACTGACACTGTTTGCTTTGATATTTCTTCTGTTGTTGTTGATAACTCTTTACATGTGTCATCAAACGAAATAATACAGTCTAAAGTACTAATTGCTGATTTTTCTGAAATATTTATGTCTATTTTTATAATAATAGTTTCGCTACTTCGTAGAGATATTCGTGATGTCTGTGTTTGTACATATTCATTGATTATATTAAAAACATTTTGAATTTCAACATCAAGATTAACTAAAAAGACGCAATCATGCATATTATTCAGACAGTATTCATCACACATGTTTTCAACATGTTTAATATAACGAATTATCTTAGAAAAATGTTCTGACTTATTATAAGTAACTTGTGTACAATCGTATGTGGCATGCTTTAGTTCTTGAAGTTTATGGATGATGTGCTCTAAATGTGTCTTAAGATTATTGAAAAATGGCTGATATCCATTGTTAATAAAAGTATTTACAGTATGATGATATTTATTCCATTGTTTAATGTATGAATCACAAAGTCTTTTACATGTGTTCGACATTTCTAGCTTTGTTTTTGTATTTACTTGTGATTTATTATTTAATGATTTTACATTTTGTATCAAAACATCAAATTGATTTACTGTTTCCTTTGATTGAATAATTAAATCAGGAAAATAGAAATCTATTGCTAATTTAGTGCTTATTTGACTTAAATTATTAAAATATTGAATTAAATTTTCTTTTAATTCCATTAATTTCTGAAGATCTGAATTGTTTGATATAAATTTTGAATCTCTTTTTCGTGCTGTAAGTGGGTGTTGACTCTTGGTGGAATTTCGAAAAGTTGATAAAGAACGAGTAGTTAAAGGAGACAATGGTGGTTGAGAAACTGAATGTGTTGCTGATAAATCAATGTTTATTTGAGGAATTTGCATTGAATTTTTTTGAAATTAGAAATAATAAAATATCTTTTAGAAAAAATGAAAATTCAATACAAAAAGATTTAATACCGAAAAATTAGCAAGAATATATTGAAGTTATTTTGGAATTTCTAGAGAAATTTTATTCGTATTTGGAGATTTCAAATTTCTAAGATAGTATATATAAGAAAGGAAAGAATTCATTTATTTATATGATAGAAAAAGAGGTAAAGAAACATATACAAATTTAAAATAAACAATTACCTCAACAGAAAGAAGAATAAAATATAACAATCTAGAATAATGATGAAATGGCCTGTCTTTGTTCTGGTGTCAACCTGTTAGGGAAGTCAACTTTGAACTTGACAATAAAATTGCCACGAAGTTCAGATTTGGCAATGACCATTCCATGTTCTGGTATAATCTCTTTGTATCCGGACTCTATTGGTCCATTAATTTCTTTCGTTACGGTCTGACCATCAATATCAAGGGTATTGAGTGTAAAACCTAGAAGTGCTTGTTTTAATGTAATGTGCACAGTCTCCTGAATATCATTTTCAATTCTTTTGAACTTTGGATGAGGAACTTCGATGGCTTTGAAAATAATATCTTCTGCAGGCTTATTAACCAGTTTATTTCCTTGGCCTGATGCTACAATTTCAGCACCGGATTCAATGCCAGGGTAAAGAGAAACTGTGCAGTTCTTTGTCTCCAAAGATCCTTCGCGACAACGAGCTACTTTGAAGACTTTCTTGGTTCCTTTTTGGAGTTCTTCGAGAGTGCAATAAACTTTGACGATAATTGGACCCATTAAAGAAGATAATGATTCCTCTTCTTCATCATATACTTCACTTGAAGCAGCAGAACTAACACCAAATGTTGATCTTTCATATTGTGGTTGCGGATTGGATGCAAAGCGTGCATGTACTGGGCAGGATTGCATTCTTGGCGGTGGATAATTAACTCTTGATGGAATTTCATTAGCATTATTGGATGCCACGCCAGAGGGTCCATAAAACTTATCATATAAATCATCTAACTGGGTTCTGGAGTTAGGTGAATATGGATTTCTTGCTCTCCTGCGTCCAGGAAGCGATCCGGTCATATCATATTGTCTTCTTTCATTGTCGTCAATCAATATTTTGTACGCATTTGTGATTTCAGCAAATTTCTTTGTCGTCCATTCAACATTATCGGGATTTTTGTCCGGATGGAATTCGATAGCTAATTGCTTGTATTTCTTCTTTATTTCTTCCTTGGTGGCAAGTCTTGAAACACCTAATATCTCGTATAGATCATCGTCCATAGAATTTACGAAATTTTTAGTACTCTGAATTTTTGTATGACATTTAATTTGGTTTACACCTAATCAAATTCTTATCAAGTGTTTTACATATAAATTGATGATTTAATGGTCGACCCCATCAAAATTCATTTATCCACAAAAGTGACGCCTTATCAAAATTGAATACATATTGACCTTTTATCTTTGATTTTGAGAGATTTGTTAGTGTGGTCGATGTATTATCATATTTATCTTATATAAATACATATTTTGGATTAAATTTTATTCGATACTAGGCAAAAGTGACATCGGTGGGAAAGTGACATTTAATAATTTCGAACATTTGATTTATTCTGAGATTGAAAGATTCTCAATTCTTTATTGCTCATATTGAGCAGCTACGAAGGATAAAAAACTACGATTGACGATCGAATTCATTGCATAACATGGATAACCATTCAAATCAGAAATTCTGAGATAAAATTTTAATTGAAATAAAATCATTTCCCAAGAGTAGAAAAATATGCACAATTAAGAAAACCATCCTAAAATAATGGTTTTTGGTGGCCGGGGTAAATTGCTTCAAATTTGTAATTCCAATTTTATTGAGATTATTTGAGATTATTGTGTTTTAGTCATTTCAAATGTTTTATTTTTATACATATAACCTCTTCTACTAATTAATTAATCAAATTTGTCCTAATATCATCTGTTATTCACAATATCGGATTTTATCAGGAAATTATAGAGGCTATGCTACATACACTAATATAAAATATGCATTGAATAATGCATTCTTTGCTTGTTCCCCAAATTTATGAAATTATGAAATCTTATTAAAAAAAATGATACATAAAATTATGTTTTATGCAATATGAATATATATATTTTTAACTTTTCTATAATTCTTTTTGTCAATGAGAGTTTAAAACTATAATTATTAGATTCTAACATTAATATAGACTATTAAGTTTCTCTTTGAGAGCACTATATGCGTAGGCTGCGGACATATTTTCCAAGAGCATTGGCCTGATACCCAGTAAATGATGTTTTATTGAAAATTATTTGGATATTTCTTCCATCTACTATTCGATTCATTCAAAACAAAGACATGAAATAGACATCCCGTTATTAAATAAATAAAGATATTTCCTGATTTGCTGGAAATTTTTTTATAAAGATGCGAGAATCACAAATTTGATCATGGATTTAGCTAATTGTATATTTTCTTTATCAGAATTTGTTTTAAAACGAATAGATCTTGCATAGCGAGATTTTCAAACCGTAAATTTATATTGAAAATTCTTTTATCGTTCACGAAAATGGAATCTCCGTGCTCACCATCTTCCTCAGCATCATTGAATGTTCCCATCACATTTTGGAACATGCTATCTCCGGAAGATCAAGCGGAGTACATAGATCTTCGTACTCAATTCCATAATTCGTCGACACGAGAAAGGCACGGCTCTTCAATCCAAGGTGACTTACAGACAATCAAAGCATACATTGAACGCAGAAGTGAATTGCAAGAAATTCGAAGTATCGTTTGCGGAATTTGTTTTGCTGGTTCCTTTATTTGCGTCAATACATCTCAACTTAAATGTTTATTAGGGAGATGCAAATCAAGTATTAACAATGGATTTCAAATCTTAGGATATTTTTCTGCAAAAACTAAAGTTAGGCAATGTATTGTTCCTGTCTTACCATCTCTCTTACGAGATTCATCTCTTCTTAGACAATGGACAATTCGATGCACAGAAAATACGATTAGGATACCACCACCTCAATTGGCCCCATCAGCTCCACCGAGAAAACCTTTACCAACTCCAAATATAAATCGTGGAAATGGACCTTTACCAACACCTATGATTAATAATATTAGCACTTTAACCAATTCTCTTCAAATTAAGAATCCTAATTCAAATTCAACACCAACTCAAAAATTGAGTCCAACTACAGATGGCCTATCCCCGCCAATTACTCCGTTCTTTGACCCCCCTCCAGAATATTCTACATTTGAAAATATTCTCCCTGCTTCAGCTCCTAGACCAGTATCAATGCCCAATATATATTTCGATATGAATCCTTCTATCGATAAGATCGATAATTCTAACGAAGATTTCCAAGATTCTTTCGATATTCCATTAATTGATAGAGCTGAAAACTTTGAGCAGGATATGGCAGATTGGACTAAGTTTGAGACTGTATTTCCTTAATAAATTTGTATTTTAATTACTTTTTTTTATTTTTATCTTCAATATCTGCATGAAAAAGAGTATCGACCCGAATTCTCAAGCAAATTAGAAATCCTATTTCAAAGGCCTTTATAAACCTCTATAAATTTTCCCCGTTATAATTATAAAAAATAACAATTTGTTTTTAAATCTACTTTACAGTTGGAACGTACCTACTATTATGTAATTTTCAGTTAATTTAAACAATGAATTAAAAATTTCATAATTCAATTTGCGGAGTTAACTATTTTTGTACTGAAGTTTTATCTTACAATTTGATAAGTGTTTCAAAATTATAAATATTCCATCCAATGACATAATCCGCAAACTTTTTTTGAATTGAAAAGTGTCAAGGGGGAAAAAATGCAACAATAAATATTTCTATCCTCATGATATTTGTTCAATTTTTTTCTAATTTTCCAAAAACGTCAAAACCGGCAATCATTTGAGAGCTGTTTAAAAATGTTAGCCCTCCTATTCTCACTTGTGGCATGCGAGGATTCCGATGAGCTCGTACCCCTTAAAATATCAATGGCTGGAAAGGTAGCAATTCCAACTGCTTCCCTTATCTTTTTAACGATATTTTCGATAGCATTATATTTTCTTGCAGGAAGGCACCTTGCTGATGATGTTCCCCTTGATAAAGTAATGATAATGGAAGATTCTAACTCAGAAAGTATTAATAACGAAAGCGAAGATGAAGAATCGCATCCTGAAGCTGAACCAGTTATACTTGATGAACTTTAATAAGCACCAAGCCATTTTGTTACAAAATTATTGATATGCTTCTGAGCATATTAATTAAATATTATTCATTGATTTCCATTGTTACAAAATTTTTAATTAATACATTTTTATTTCAACTAAAAATTTAATTCATTTATTTCCATTCGATTTTGATATAAAATATGTAGCAAAATATTTTTGTAAATATTTTTGTAAAAAAAATAATAATGAAAAAATAAATCTTTTGGTATTTATAATCTAAATATCCTTGACGATCGAAATTTGATCTTAGAGTTTGAAATCTCAATCTGCTGTATGAAATATGAATTTTGACAGAAAAAGATAGCCAAGGAGAGTAGAATTAAAATAACTTATCAATGTTGATGGAAATATAACCAATATTTCATTTGAATGGAAAAATGTTTTCAAAATTTTGATCGTGTTTTTTATGATAAGTAAAATAATTACCCATTCTTCTCAATTTGAATTTAGATATTTGCAACAATAAAATTGATATCTCCGATTGATTTGTTTATTATAGAACGATTATATGAATACCCAAATATCAGTTTCAAATTTGGCTAATTCAAAATTTTTGTGAGTAAAATTTTTGATGGGTTTGATGATAGTTTGTAAATATAATATAGAGTTAAATTAGCATAAATAGTTTTTGTCACATTTTTCATGTTTGAGAACATTTTATCAATTGAGAGCAAAATTTATTCATTCAAAAATTTTCGCAAGAAAAGCAATGAATAGAATAATTTAAAAATTCATTGACGATTGCTGAATGTGAAATAAAATAGTTTATAAAATACAAAGTGATCGCAGAAATAAGTTTTGATAAAGATTTTGATAAAAAAATTAGCCAGAAGAAGTCACTTCATTTTTAATGACAACAGCTCTCCAAGGCAATCCAGTTACAGTCAAGGGCAACTTCGTTAAGGTTGGCCAACAAGCTCCAGAATTCGAGCTTGTCAAGGGTGACTTAAGCTCTTTCCACCTTTCTGATGTTAAGGGCAAGTATGCTGTTCTCAACATCTTCCCATCCATGGATACCGGTGTTTGCGCCGCCTCCGTCCGCAAGTTCAATGTCCTTGCTACATCACTTTCCGACACCGTTGTTCTTGCAATTTCAAAGGACTTACCATTTGCACAGACAAGATTCTGCGCAAACGAAGGCATCAAGAACGTCATTCCTCTTTCTGACTTCAGATACACATCACACTTTGCTGAAGACTACGGTGTTCTCCTTGCCAGTGGTCCAATGAACGGTCTCTTAGCACGTGCCGTTGTTGTTCTTGATCCAACAGGCAAGGTCATCTATACAGAAATGGTTCCAGAAATCACACACGAACCAAACTACGATGCTGCTATGGCCGCTCTTAAGCACTAAAATCTTTCTATGAATTTACTTGAATTTAACTAATTTTTAATAATTCTTTCTAATGTCTTTAAGATATATTATTTATTTTATTGTTTCATTGATTTTACCATTTATTTTTTGATATATTACTTATTGGATATAAATTATGGTATTTTAAGATAGTGTAATGCCTCTCGGATGATATTTGATGATTACATCATATGAAACAATATCCTATCATGTCTTTTAGGATATAAAATTGTGAGATTATGCAATTTGAACAGACAGATTCCCAATAGCACATTCGATGAGATATACCTGGAAAATGTACCAACGTACATGAGTTCATTTTTCAAATGAAAACGTTTTTGGATTTTGAGTAAGATTCCTAATGAAAATTACATAGATAACAATCGCACATTATATAAAGTACAAGAAGGTAAAACTGATGTTGTTATTTTATCTCAGTGTGAAGTCATTTTTGGAAAAGATAAATCAAATTATTGTTTCCAACTTGTTACAACTTCTCTTAAATCGTTTACATTCGAACCAAATCCGAATTTACAAAATATTAATAACTATGCGTTCTATAATTGCATTAATCTTCTTTCGATTGATCTCCAAATGTGCACAAAACTTGAATGTATTGGTGAATATGTGTTCTATAACTGCAATTCCGTTGCATCTATCTCACTTCCAGAGGGCTTACAATCAATCAAAAGTTATTGTTTCTACAAACTTAAAATAACGTCAATCAACATTCCTTCCACTGTTTCTTCTATAGAAGATTTCGGAATTGCATCCATCACCACATTGACAAGAATAACTTTTTCTCCAAACTCCCAATTAACTTCAATTGTGATGTCAGCATTTCATACCACTAGCTTTGTATCATTCACCATTCCAGATAACGTGAAAAGCATCAATGGAGGTGCATTCTTCGGAAATTCTGTAATGGAAAATATCTATGTCTCAAACGAAAACCAGAAATTCTGGAGTGACTCATTTATCGTTTACACCAACGATAATGCCACAATTGTTTACTGTGCTCCGAATTCTGGCTTGACTTCTTTCACAATTCCAGATACCGTTAAAACCATCAACGATGGCTGTTTCCTTCATTCCAAACTCCAATCATTAGTTATTCCAGACTCGGTTTCAAAATTAGGGCAGTATTCTTTTTCGAGAATGAGAAGTATTAAAAAGATAATTCTTCCAGCAACGATAACAATAATCCCAATTGCATGTTTTGAATCCTGCTCAATAACAGAAATGACAGTTCCAGAAGGCGTCACAAAAATTCAAACTCAAGGCTTTGCATACTGCTCTTCTTTGACCTTATTAGTTCTACCATCAACACTAGAAGATATTGGTGGTAATGCACTCCCTATGAGTAGCAAACTTGAAATTAGATTATCAGGAAATGATGTTTTCTTAGATACTCAATTTTTGCTTTTTACAAGCCAAAATACAACACTGGTTTTGCTTTTAGATTCCAGTGCAAATTCAGTTGTTATTCCTTCAACAGTCAAGACAATAAGAAATTCAGCATTTAAAGATAAAATTAATTTAGTTTCCGTTTCTTTTGATGGAGTACCAGAACTTGAGGTAATAGAAGCTAAAGCATTTATTGGCTGCAAAAAGTTATCATCCTTTCCAATAAGTCCAAAATTAGTTTCGATTGGAGAGTCAAGTTTTCAAGATACAAATTTAGGAGGAGAATTAAATTTCCCTTCTACTTTGACAAATATCGATAGCAACGCGTTTAACGATTTAAGTAATATTGAGATATTATCTTTTTCATCGACAAATAATTTAACAATAGGAAGCTATGCCTTCAGTGGTTGTTCATCAATAAAATCAATCACTCTGCCATCGAGTGCAAATGTTTTCTTAGGAAATTATGTTTTCAGCGGCATCCGAAAAGTCAAAGAATTTACATTCACCAACAACATCAAGAAATCAGGATTAGGGTGTTTCATGAACAGCAGTTTCGAAACATTCACATTCGAAAACGACATTTTTTGTTCGAACGAACTCCCTTCATCATTTTTCAAAGATTGTTGCAATTTAAGTCTCATCTCTATTCCATCTAACATTACCACACTTGGCACCGAATGTTTGAGCAACACAGGCATCACCGATCTTTATCTTCCCGACTATGTTGAAACACTTGGTCTTCAATGTCTTAAAGACTGCACATCACTCGAATCTGTTCACATTTCATCAACAAGCAAACTCGAGCATATCGAATTTGGTGTTTTCAGTGGATGCTGATCACTCCGCTCATTTTCAGAATTCGAAAGCACATACTTCTGTGTTGACAACGGTGCTATCTATTCTAAAGATCGTCGTCGTATGTACATCTACCCACCTGCAAGTCCTAAATCATTTGTTTCACTTTCCGACAAAGTCAGCAACATCGAGAACGGTGCATTCATCTCATGCAGTCACTTAACATCTATCCTTATTCCAGACAACTCAGTTGTTAACATCGGTCACAGTGCATTCATGGGCTGCACCCATCTTCGTCATCTCACCATTCCTCTTTGTGTTCAAAGCATTGGCGAGAATGCATTTTCAGGTTGTGACTCACTTGTTTGTGTTGAATTTGAGAACAAAAGTTCAACATTCAAAACACTTCTTGTTTCACGCGGCATGAAATCGAAGTGTCTTATTCCATGTGGTTTAATCACATGCAATGCACACTTTAATTTCTTTTCTAACAGTATTTCTATTTTATCTCTTTCTGTATTTATTTTGATATGATATCCTTAAAAACTTGTTTTATTTTACTTTGTTTCCATCTTTTATTCAATTTATATGAAAATAATGATATAAATCGATTTCCTTTGACATTATTTGGGAAATTGCATAACTTCCTTATTTAATTTGTTTTAATTATCATCTTTTTGTCAGCGATAACAATATTTAATATAAAATCAAATTTTTTTATTTAACTGTAAAATGATTATGTAACAACAAAATTGAATAATTAATTATCAAGATAATTGTATTCTTCAAAAGGATGCAATAACTCATTAATTTGATCCAAGTTTACTCTCAATCCAATTATCTCCATTGCTTTATCCCACATCCCTTTAAACCATGAGAAAATTGCGCAAATCTTTGAAGGGCAAAAACTATATGCAGTAACTGCTATTCCTCCTAAAATGCTAGCAACAATTTGGATGTTTTTAAGTGCTTCCATTTTTTTCGAATCATTTACTAATGAGATTGCTTTTTCTGGAATATCATCTGGTATTTTATTATAAATTAGTTTTGTATAATCTTTTGATTTGATAAGAAGATTTTTTATTGCTGGAAGAGGATTTGCCCATCCAAAATACCACCATGCAAGAGCAATTGAAGCCGCGATAATTGCAATTATGATGAATCTTTCAATCCATTTCTTTCTATTTTTCTCTCTTAATAAAGCACTAAACACATCTCTTATTGTTGAGAATTTATTAATGATATGATCCTTGTGATTTCTTACTAAGTTCATGTAATTTTCTCCTAAATTATTGATGCGATTAATGTAGTTATTTAGTTCCAAACGAAGTTCCGTAACAACATTATTAATCAAAGTTATATCTTCTGTACCAATAGATTCTAATAATTGCAGTCTTGAATTGTTAGCTATCTCAGTTATTTCATGGGCAATTTGTTGTAATCTTTGCTCTATAGCCAATTGATTTTGTCTTCTTTCTTGGGCATTTCTTTCATTATCTGCTGCCTGCTGTTGCAGTAACAATACTCTTTGTCTTTTGATTTGTAATATGTTGGTTATTTTTACATTAATGATATTTCTAACTCTTAACGAAGGTTGAAATTGTTGACAGTAATCTTCATATGTTCTATTGTATTCTGCTTCTAATCTGTCAATAGTTTCAATTGTACTTAAATCTCTATATCTAATAAATAAATTATATAATTCCCTTGTCATTGTATGCAAAAGACCTTCATAAATACCGTATTCGATTGGATTAGAAATACGGAAGATTTCTTGGGGATCAATAAGTAATGGGTTATTTAACATATCAAAAAATTCATTCTGATCTCTTCTGAAATGAATTCTTGCTCCATCCATGATCTTTCTATATAACAAGTTTGAAGTTTGATCACAGTAATTGACAATAGAAAATGCCATATTGCGTTCATGAAGTTCATTACTAATTTGTGAATTTTGAGTGTCATTAATTATTCTTCTGACATCTAAATTAGCAATTCTTTCTTCAAAGCCTGTGATATTAATAATCAGACTTGATCTTTCTGCACGATGATAGATGTATTCGATCATTGGAAGAAATGATAAGTCTGTGAAACTTTGCTGAAAGAAAACAATTGATGAACATTGGGAAATTAATGGCATAAGAAGTGCAAGTAGAGTCTCTGTTTTTATCGTATTAGCGGTGAACCCTTGAACATCAACTAGGAATAAATGCGGATCATTAACTTCTTGTTGTATGTTGAATCTGTTGACCAAATCATTGTATCTCCCAATATATGAAACATACGCTCCATCTGTGTGGCCATTGTAGAGCGGGAAACTTTGATGCTGAACTCTTGAAAAATCTGTTGCAATTCTGGACTTATGAGAACTAGAAACACCAAGGAACAGTATAAAAGCAAATTCTTCTCCATGTGTATTTGCCTGCATGTATTCTATCAAGCCTTCATTATTAATTTCCAATTGTTCCTCATGGTTCTCAATATAATGAAACATTAAAAAAAATGACTTAAATTCCTACTCACTCTCAATTTTTGAATTTAAATTCCTACTCATAAAATCATTCTCCAGCAAAATCAAATATCATACATTATAATACAACAAGTGTTTTTAACATAAAATTTTTATTCTTTTTATGTCCTTTTCAATATTGAAAACAAAAAAATTTCGGTCAAATTTTGTCATTGAATTCGAATTTCATTTTTTAATATCCATGACACAAAACATAATAACAGATATTGATTATGGGATTGCAATTGATACCAATGCTATTATAAGGTATATCGATCAGCATTCTAATAGAGAACCTTTCATTATTGTTTTATTTTTTGGACAATCGGTGGGAAAATCAACATTAATTCAAGAAATATCAGGTGTCCAGCAGGAAATCGGTAATATTTATCATCAAAGAACAACTGGCGAGATCATTACCTACGGTGGACATATTTCTGATATTTATCATAGATTAAATTATCTCAATAATGAAAATATAGATGATGATTTACATGTTTACTTCATAGAAGCAGAAGCAATTAATTCATCATGCCCAAATGAAATTATTGTCGAATTTCTTTTACCATTCTGCTCACTTTGCACTAAATTTGTTAATTGCATTGATAAAAATCCAATAAGCGGAAATGCACAAATTATATCATTGATCAATAAGCACCTTATCAGTAGATATAACAATAGGGAAGAAAACCAATTCTTTTTAAGGAAATTGATAACATTTGTTAGGGATATTCCTGAAACTGAGGATGATATCATGACATATAACGATTTATTGCAAACAATATTCCGGAGATTTGCAAATAGTGATATTGTTCACGAGTTTAGGGACCAGGGAATAGTCCCAGATGTTTCATTTGGCGGAAAGTTCAATCAAAGACATTCTAACAAATTTTTGGTTCCTTTTGTCCAGAAACTTTTCACTAACATTGACAGGAATTTAATTTTTGAATCCACAGAAGATTTTGCTGCACATATTCAAGCATTAAATTATCAAGGAAATTTCTATATAAAATTTGTAAACCCTATTGGAACGTGCGATATATTAGAACGAGAAGTAAATCAAATTTTAAATGAGTTCAAGGAATTGGTGAATCAACAAAACATTGGAGAAGAACAATTCATTGTAATAAAGAATCAAAAAATGCAGAGGTTTGATAGAGTACAAAATGAAAATCATATTCATTCACTGAAAGCTCGAACCTCAAGAACAAAACTTGATATTGAGATGGATAAAATTTTTCATGAAAAAATTCTTAAAATCGAATTGATTAATTCTATTTTACAACAAATTGCAAATAGCAAATTCTATGTTAATTTATCTGCACAAGTTCAGAGAGAGATGCAAAATGCAGCAGATTATATTTTTGATACCATTAAATCAAGAACCGATTCGATTTCGAATTATCAACAATTATTGAATCAATATGTTGAAAACCGTAGAAATCATTGTCTACAGTTAATTAATGAGATCGGAGATGAAGAAAAGATAAAAATACAAAATGATATTAATTCAGTATTTGACTATTTGCTGACATATCATTCATATGCAAATATCAGACAGAATTGGATTTTTTCATCTATTGCCAGATATTTTCATGATGCACCAGATCCAAATCCAAGCATAAGAAAAGTTCAAATCAGGAAAATTAGATGTATTGAGCATACTTATCTTAAGAGATTGCAATCAATACATGTTGGGAACAGAGATTATTTACTTCTTCTTAGAAATATTCCAAATGAAAGGAAATATTTTGATATCATTGCTTCTTTACAAAGAATCAATATCTCCGAAACAGTGATTAAGTCTATTATTAATTCTCCAAATCCTTATCAGCTCATTCATTCTGATATATTTAGATTTATTTGCTTGTAAACATCTCATTTTTTAATCGTTATTTAATTCAGAATGGATTTTCCACTTTAAATTTAAAGAATTAAACTATGAATCACACTTAGCTGAATAAAAATTAGATTAATATAATAATAGATGGTTTAGAAAACAAACATAGACGCTATTTAACAAAATTAATAACAAAGCCGGTTTCTTCAAAGTCTTGTCTAAATATATCATCTGATGAATTCATTACAGTTGTTGTAAAAAGTGGATTATCTAATGTAACTCCTGAAGCTGCATCTGATGTTGTAGCAGTTATTACTGTCTCCTCTTGCATCTCTTCTGAACTGTAACCAGATGAGTCTGAAACAGATTTATGCATTTGTCAGATATGGTGTATCATAAGGTGTCTCTATCGCAGTTAAGAATGGTGTACCGTATGGTGTATATATAGGAGTGATCAGTGGTGTAGGAATCATAGTTCTTGACGGTAAACATTGTCCTTTCCATAAAATCTTTCCAGCTGGACAAGAAGTGCACTGGTCACTTGATGTCCCCGAACATGTTTGGCAGCTAGAATGGCATTGCACACATGTATTTGATGCATAAAATGTTTTTTCCGGGCAAGATGAATAGCATCTGTTATTATACTTGATATATCCTGATTCACACGTCAAGCATGTATTATCATCTCTACAGTCATAACAATGATCGATGCATTTGTAAAGAGTTTTAATTTGGTAACACCCATGAGAATTTTTTTCTTGATAAGTATCGATTCCAGCTTCAACTTTAACTTCACCATCAAACCATGAGTTATCGCCATTTGTTTTATCATAGTACGATGAACCTCCGAATCCACAAGCATAATAATGATAAAGATAAATTCCAACAGTTCCGTAACCACCATTTCCTCCATAGTACCCGCCACCGCCGCCGGCTCCTGGAATAAGATCTCTATCAGTTCCTTTACCTCCTCTTCTCCCTTGCTGATGCTCATCATAACTCAAGCCAAGATAGCCATTAATATAGCCGCCATAGCTATTTTCAGTGCCACCATATCCACCATCTTTGCTTCCGCAGCCCCCAGAGCCACCTCCCGCAAGCATGATTGTTTGATCAGTAATTGAATCTTTCATTTCGCTGTAACCACCACCACCTCCGGAATAATCATTTCCATTTCCACTATTATCATTACCACCGTCGCCGCCCTGACCCGGAGTTCCTCCTTTATTGTATTTATCGCAAGTATTAATTTCTGGAGTTCCGCCAATGACAAAAGTAACGTTTTTGGATCCTCGTATCCTTACATTTGCACTAACTTTAGCACCATTTCCTCCAGTTCCGGCAGAACTTCCATCATTACATGCGTCTCCTCCACGCGCTCCTTGAATTTTAATCTCATAAAGACCAGCAGGGAAAGTGAAATCTCTAGTACCGTTGAAATTGCAAGTCCATTTAACATCCTCGAAAGCAAAAAGGATAAGTAGCATTGATTTAACTTGGATACTGAATTTCAACAGATAAAACTCTCAAAAGAATATTTATCATAGAATATCATTAATGAGAATCGAATCGATTATATTAATAATAAAACAGTACATGAAAAATGCTTTATCAATTAATTGACATAAATAAAAAAAATTGAAATAAAATAAGGTCATTGCTTATTCAATTACAACTTCCTTTCAAGTTAAGTACAATCATTATGAGACAAAATAAATGACAGCATTAAAGAATGATGTTAATATCAAATATATAATCTGGGATTTTTCAATTTTATTCTTAAAGATTTCCAATTAATATAGATCCCGTCCACAAATAATATATAAAATACAAATAAAGAAACAATACATGATTACGCGTTTTTGCATCATTTCTTCACTATGATTATTTCATTAATAATTGAATATTACAAGATCGTGCTCAATTACAAAATAGTTCATTCAAAAATATTTTATCAAAAATGTAAATGATATGACAACTTGTTTCATTTTCAAAAAATATCTAATATTCTAGCCAGCATCCATTTCAGTATAAGAAACATGTTTATATTAAATTAAAATCCATATTTTGAATACCTCAGAAAATTGTAAATATTTAAAATCCATATTTTTGTTTTAAAATCCATATTTTGAATGAAATGATGAATTAATATACAAAGTAATATAAAACGAGTTTGCAATAGTTTATCATATCAAAATAAATACAGAAAGAGATAAAATAGAAATACTGTTAGAAAAGAAATTAAAGTGTGCATTGCATGTGATCAAACCACATGGAATGAGACATTTGGGTTTCGTGCCGCGTGAAACAAGAAGTGTTTTGAATGTTGAACTTTTGTTCTCAAATTCAACACAAACAAGTGAGTCACAACCTGAAAATGCATTCTCGCCAATGCTTTGAACACAAAGAGGAATGGTGAGATGACGAAGATGGGTGCAGCCCATGAATGCACTGTGACCGATGTTAACAACTGAGTTGTCTGGAATAAGGATAGATGTTAAGTGACTGCATGAGATGAATGCACCGTTCTCGATGTTGCTGACTTTGTCGGAAAGTGAAACAAATGATTTAGGACTTGCAGGTGGGTAGATGTACATACGACGACGATCTTTAGAATAGATAGCACCGTTGTCAACACAGAAGTATGTGCTTTCGAATTCTGAAAATGAGCGGAGTGATCAGCATCCACTGAAAACACCAAATTCGATATGCTCGAGTTTGCTTGTTGATGAAATGTGAACAGATTCGAGTGATGTGCAGTCTTTAAGACATTGAAGACCAAGTGTTTCAACATAGTCGGGAAGATAAAGATCGGTGATGCCTGTGTTGCTCAAACATTCGGTGCCAAGTGTGGTAATGTTAGATGGAATAGAGATGAGACTTAAATTGCAACAATCTTTGAAAAATGATGAAGGGAGTTCGTTCGAACAAAAAATGTCGTTTTCGAATGTGAATGTTTCGAAACTGCTGTTCATGAAACACCCTAATCCTGATTTCTTGATGTTGTTGGTGAATGTAAATTCTTTGACTTTTCGGATGCCGCTGAAAACATAATTTCCTAAGAAAACATTTGCATTCGATGGCAGAGTGATTGATTTTATTGATGAACAACCACTGAAGGCATAGCTTCCTATTGTTAAATTATTTGTCGATGAAAATGATAATATTTCGATATTTGCTACATTGTAAAAAGCATAATTACCAATTTTAGTCAGCGAAGAAGGGAAATTTAATTCTCCACTTAAACTGGTATCTTGAAAACTTTCTTCCCCTATTGAGATTAATTTTGGACTTATTGGGAAAGATGATAACTTTGTGCATCCTTTGAAAGCTCTACTATCTATTATTTCAAGATTTGGTACTCCATCGAAAGAAACTGAAACTAAATTAATTTTATCTTTAAATGCGGAACCTCTAATTGTTTTCACAGTAGAAGGAATAACTACAGAAGTAATGGAACTGCTTAACAATTGAGATAAAGTTGTATTTTGATTTGTCAAAAGTAATAATTGATTATCGATGAAAACTTCATTTCCTGACACTTTGATTTCGAGATTATCATTTACCGTGATTGCATTGCCTCCAATATCAACTAGTGTTGAAGGTAGATTTATCAAAGTTAAAGAAGAACAATAAGCAAAAGCTTGTAATTGTATTTTTGTTACACCTTCAGGAATCGTTATTTGAGTAATTGAACTTGATTCGAAACAAGCATTTGGAATTGTTTGAACAGCTGGTAAAACTATTGTTGATATACGTTTCATATTACAAAATGCATAACCTTCTATTTTTGTAACTGAATCTGGGATGATTATTGATTCCATCTTCGAATGAAGAAAACAACCTTCGTTGATTGATGTCACAGTATCTGGAATTGTTAATGAAGTTAAGCCTGAATTAGGAGCACAATATACAATGGTGGTATTATCCTTGGTATATACTACAAATGTGTCACTCCAGAACTTTTCATTGTTATTTGAGACATAAACGTTTCTCATTACTGCATTTCCATAGAAAGCAACACCGCTGATGCTTCTTACTTTTTCAGGAACGGTAAATGATGAAAATGAAGTGGTATGGAAGGCAGATTGATCGATTGAAGTCAATAATGAGTTCGGAGAAAATGTGATTTGTGTCAAAGTAGTTGTTGACGCAATTCCATATTTTGCGATAGAAGAAACTGTAGAAGGAATGTTTATCGATGTGATTTTAAGATTGTAGAAGCAATAACTTTTGATTGATTGTAAGCCTTCTGGGAGTGTAATTGCTGTAACTGATTTGCAGTTGTAAAATGCATATTCACCAATATATTCAAGTTTTGTGCACATTTGGAGATCAATCGAAAGAAGATTAACGCAATTGTAGAATGCATAGCTACCGATACTCCGTAAATTCGGATTTGGTTCAAATGCAAACGATTTAAGAGAATCTGTGGCAAGTTGGAAACAATAATTAGATTTATCTTTTCCAAAAATGACTTCACATTGAGATAAAATAACAATATCGGTTTTACCTTCTTGTACTTTATATAATGTGCGACTGTTATCAATGTATTCTCCATCTTGTTTACTACTCATATATCATAAGCTATTTCATTTAAAAAATGAGGACAAAAACTTTTATATTTTATAAATGTGCTTCAAAGGCAGAAGTCTGTATATTCAACTTAAGAAATTTCTACAAATAAAAATTCATTTCAAGTAATATGATCTTGAAGTGTACGATAAGATTTGTGATATAAGCAGAATCAATATAGCAATCTAACTATTTATCAGAAGCAATATTCAAAAAAATTATTTATAAAGATATGCTAAACTCATGTTCGTTAACATCTCACTAATATCTTAAAGAACTCACACAAAATTTTTCTAAAAAAGCTAAATTAAAGAGAATTCATAGAAAGATTTTAGTGCTTAAGAGCGGCCATAGCAGCATCGTAGTTTGGTTCGTGTGTGATTTCTGGAACCATTTCTGTATAGATGACCTTGCCTGTTGGATCAAGAACAACAACGGCACGTGCTAAGAGACCGTTCATTGGACCACTGGCAAGGAGAACACCGTAGTCTTCAGCAAAGTGTGATGTGTATCTGAAGTCAGAAAGAGGAATGACGTTCTTGATGCCTTCGTTTGCGCAGAATCTTGTCTGTGCAAATGGTAAGTCCTTTGAAATTGCAAGAACAACGGTGTCGGAAAGTGATGTAGCAAGGACATTGAACTTGCGGACGGAGGCGGCGCAAACACCGGTATCCATGGATGGGAAGATGTTGAGAACAGCATACTTGCCCTTAACATCAGAAAGGTGGAAAGAGCTTAAGTCACCCTTGACAAGCTCGAATTCTGGAGCTTGTTGGCCAACCTTAACGAAGTTGCCCTTGACTGTAACTGGATTGCCTTGGAGAGCTGTTGTCATTAAAAATGAAGTGACTTCTTCTGGCTAATTTTTTTATCAAAATCTTTATCAAAACTTATTTCTGCGATCACTTTGTATTTTGTAAACTATTTGTTATAGACCGAAAATAGATTTTTTCGGTTTTCTCTTCAAATAATTGAAAGAATGATACTATTATATGTTTATTATATTATATAGCATATAATCATGCTATAGCCGAAAATTATAAGTTTTGAGAAGATTGAATATAACACAAATAAATTTGAATGTAAGTTAAATTGCTTGTTGTTTTTAATAGCTATTTAATGAGAAATCCAATATTGCAAAATTCAAATTGAATAATTGAAAGAACAGAAAAAGTCATTCTTTTCAATTTCGAATATGTTTCATTGTATTTATAATTATATGGTAAATAAGATATTTAAACTTGATTTTTGAAGGAAAATTCACAAAATTGAATAAATTCAAATAATTTTTATTCCAAAATAAACTAGTTATTTGTGTTTAATACTAATTATCTATTCAAACTACAAAGTTTGTAATTTAAAATATTTTGTGAGATCAGATTGAATTAATTCAAGGTTCTTTTCAATTAATATTCATGACCATATTACGCATTTTCGAACATTCTAAACCAAATATATAAAAATGGGAGACGAATGTTAAATTTGCTAGACATGGGGGAGTTGTCTGCAAAGTTTTAGCTCTTATCTCTAACAAAAAATTAATTTTTAAAAAAATGACCGAATACGTTTCACAGCGAGAAAAAAATAAAAGGCAAGATAGAATTTTCTAGACATAAAGAAGTTGTTTACCGAGTTTTAGCTCTTATCTCTAACAAAAAATTAATTTTTAAAAAAAAAGACCGAATACGTTTCACAGCGAGAAAAAAAATAAAAGGCAAGATAGAATTTTCTAGACATAAAGAAGTTGTTTACCGAGTTTTAGCTCTTATCTCTAACAAAAAATTAATTTTTAAAAAAATGACCGAATACGTTTCACAGCGAGAAAAAAATAAAAGGCAAGATAGAATTTTCTAGACATAAAGAAGTTGTTTACCGAGTTTTAGCTCTTATCTCTAACAAAAAATTAATTTTTAAAAAAAAGACCGAATACGTTTCACAGCGAGAAAAAAATAAAAGGCAAGATAGAATTTTCTAGACATAAAGAAGTTGTTTACCGAGTTTTAGCTCTTATCTCTAACAAAAAATTAATTTTTAAAAAAAAGACCGAATACGTTTCACAGCGAGAAAAAAATAAAAGGCAAGATAGAATTTTCTAGACATAAAGTGTTGTAAACAGAAATTCATCAAAAGTGACACCTCAGAAAAGCTAAAATATTTAATTTTTGGAACTTTTGATAGAGCACGTTTTTAAATATTAATTAATGTAAATATATATTTTGTAAAGATTCTTTTTAATAAAAAATAAAATTTTGAAGAAGAACACAAAATCTTCTGAAAAATAATATCACATAAACTCATATTATTTTCTAATATATAACTATTTTATATAAAAATCAAATTCAATGATCTTAAAAGCGAAGGATAAACCTCAAAATTTACGAATATAATGAGTGGGAATATAATGCTTATCTATCATAAAACCATATGAAATATCAATTTTTGCTTTACGCCTAATTTTTGACGACAATTAGCAAAAAAATGTTAAATGTTAACACTCAGTCCATTTGAATATGAAAAATAAAATTGACTTTGATTAAATGTTTTTATTTATCATGCAATTCTTCTTGCGACCAAAGATTTGAATAAAAGTTCAAAAAATAAGATAGCTTAAAAAATAATATACGGTAGTGTTTACTAATAGATGAATAGTATATAAATTCTATTAAAATGGATTTGATCCAAAAAAATATAAAACCAAAAATAATTGTTATAATTTAAATGAAGAAGTAATTTAAAACGATTTTATTTATGATCAAATTTTATATATTTTTTTGGATCAAATCCATTTTAATAGAATTTATATACTATTCATCTATTAGTAAACACTACCGTATATTATTTTTTAAGCTATCTTATTTTTGAACTTTTATTCAAATCTTTGGTCGCAAGAAGAATTGCATGATAAATAAAAACATTTAATCAAAGTCAATTTTATTTTTCATATTCAAATGGACTGAGTGTTAACATTTAACATTTTTTGCAAATTGTCGTCAAAAATTAGGCGTAAAGCAAAAATTGATATTTCATATGGTTTTATGATAGATAAGCATTATATTCCCACTCATTATATTCGTAAATTTTGAGGTTTATCCTTCGCTTTTAAGATCATTGAATTTGATTTTTATATAAAATAGTTATATATTAGAAAATAATATGAGTTTATGTGATATTATTTTTCAGAAGATTTCATTCTATATGCCTATGAAAAGTACTCTCAAAACTAACTTTTTCCTAATTATAATTAAATCTAGAATATTGTATTATGCTTAGTATTATTTCATTTTTCTCATTCAATTTAGAATTTACAAATGTCAAAAAATTGAGAGCTGTCACTTTTGATGAATTTCTGTTTATTACAAAAGAAGTTGTTTACCGAGTTTTAGCTCTTATCTCTAACAAAAAATTAATTTTTAAAAAAATGAACGAATACGTTTCACAGCGAGAAAAAAATAAAACTGTACACTGATTTTCATTTTCATTTCCAGTCACTTTACTTATTATTTTTTCTTTTTTTCATTTTAATTATAAATTATTTCATAATACGTTTATTTACGTTACCATTTTCTTTATTCTTTTGAATTCCATACTAGACACTTATAGAATATTTTGATTGTTAACGTACTTCATTAGAATGAATCCTTACAAAGGGTATGTCGATCGAATTTACCTAATTGGTATTTCCAATCAGATTGAAGAAGGTAAAATGACATGGGAAGAAGCTTGCACCCATGTTCCCATCGCCCCAACCCTTCAATCAAATGATTTCAAATATTTAGATGTAGTTAGTATACATATCTTCAGTACGGTGGCACTGCGCGCCATCTTACCGAAGATATGTCAATCTGACACTTTTACAAAACCACTAACGTATATTTTACATCGCATATGCAATATTTCTAATAACCTTAAACTATTTCTGCCACGTAAAGTATTTATCACATAAACCACCTCATCTCACCTCTCTGTACGTTATATATTGTGCGCAGGTCATTGCCCATGGCAACTCCCCGCGACACAATGCACGTGCATGAAAAAATAAACGTTCTCACTAACGTTCACACTAGCGTTCTCATTTACAAAAGTATTGCAACTCTTTCCATTGCTGTGCTTCACATAATAGTTCATATTCTTCAGTATCACTACTGTCGCTCCAATCGTCAGAGTCAAAGTCGTTGTCATAATTAATGTTTATAAGTTTTGACAAAGCTAATGAAACACGCTTACCGTTTGTATCTACTGCTTGTATATATCTTCCATTATGTTTGCTATCATAAATGCTTAAACTAACTTTACCCTTTCTCCCTCGTATCTGATAGAATGTATTTTCATGAGGAACGAAGAACAAATTCTTGAACTCATGACCGTTGTAGTTTGTTATCTCAATAGTTTTCGTCATTACATCCAAATAAAAATTTTCAGTAAAAATAAAACTAACGTTAAAAATTTCTTATAAGATAAACGTTCTCATTGCTTTATAACTCTCTTCCTTGGTTTCTTTTTAGTTGCTTTCTTCACGTCTGTCTCCAACTTGACTGTCTTTCTTCTTCGTCCATAATGATACCAATTACTTCCACCAGTCAATGGGTCAAATGGTCTTTCGTAAGGGTTTCCATACATTCCATAGGGACCATACGGAAGAACTACTGGTGGAGAAGAAACATTTTCTTTAGTTCCATCGAATCTATTTAAATGCATTGTTTCACCTTTCATCTGGTCATTAAAGTCTTTTGCGTGTTTTGCAAACTCATCGTCCTTTCCTAAAGCATTTTCTGACTCAGTCGCAACCAAATTAGATGCTTTATTTATGAGCCCTATTTTATTTAATCTTAACTTCTTTGCAACCCAGCCTCCAATCTTCCCTTTATTTGCATCTAATGTCTTCGAAACCCTTCCTCCACTCATTTTATTTACTGCGTCATAAGCTCCAAGTGCTTTTGCTCCAAATGCTAATGCTTTTGTTCCCATTGCGCCTAAAGCTGCCCAAGCTACCATTTACACCATATTAAAATCATCTCTCTTCAATATTATCTCATAAAAGTTCTCGTTACTGGAGAAAGTCAATGAAACATAAGCGTTCTCACGGGCTTCGCCCTCACCGCTTTGCGGTCTATCTAACTTCTTTCTTATATCATCTATACGCTTCAAAATGTCTGAACAATTGCTAACATCTTCTACAACAGTTATTTCATCATGAATGACCTTCAAGAACAAGCTCATTTAATATGCTATTAAAATCATCTCAATAATGAGTCCATCCTTTCCATCTTTAGGTAGCACAACATCTTTCATTGAAGAAGGTTCGACAAGTCTTATGTTAAACTTACTGACAAAGTTTGTTATACTATAATGCTTCGGCGGCGAATACATGTAGTTTGAAAGACATAATATAGATTCTTCAGCAAATTCACTTATACTGGATTTTATAACAATGTTCTCACGAGACCAAATACCACCAATTGACAATCTTGTAAGCAATCCTGCTGAACCTTCTACTGTAAACGTCGATGGTAACATTCCACGAAGGTCATCTATTGACATCGTTGAGTCACTGAATTTAAATATTTTCTTAAAGCAATCGTCATTATCTAACCATGCAATAGCTTTGAAGTTTTCATTCGAATATACATCTGCTTCATTAAATGTAAAACCTGACTTCTTTGCAGAGATGACTTTAAAATCTATTGAGTTTGTTTCAAAATTATATGCTATGGTAACTTCTGAAGGCAATGGATGTCCTTCCGCAGTCAGTTGTTCTCTCACTACCGTTTGAAGCTTTGTATTAAAAACTTTCATGTCATCTCCTGTATCTAAGTTCACATACACAGCAACAGGAAAACTATCTTGCTTCTTTGTTTCATCATTATACCTCAAAACATTAAAGTTCTTCAATAATATTGTTCTTCCTGCTGGAATACTTCGAACCTGTCTGATTTCAATAGCTTTCTCACCTCCTACATACTCTACCCAGTGTCTTGGATATTCATAAGTATACTGACTTTCTTGAATTTTGGTAGGTTTCATCATAACGTGTTCATAGTATATCTTTATACTCTTGTCAGTTAGACTCGGTGCTATGTTCTGAATATTTCTGACTTGCATTTTTAATGGAGATAAAATGAAGCATTTAATACATGACGTAGATGAAGACATGAATGAAACTACAGACAAACTTAACTCTTCTCTCATTCTTCCTTTCAGTAAGGACTATGAGTTCTGTTCAAATGGTGTTTATTTCTATTGTGGAAAGATGGGTCAGGAAAGACATTTAACCTCATTCGTCATATACTCATAACAGAACGTTTAGGAAACGACTCTTACTATGACCAAATCATTATATCAGCAACTTCAGACTCTATGGACTCAACAGCGAAAACATTTATGTCAAAAGTTCAAGCCTCTGTCGTTAAAGTTCCAGATAGTGAACTCATTGAATTTCTTCAACGTTACATTCGACGTAAGAGGAAATATTATGCCATCGTTGAATTTATACAGTCAGGAATGCAAAAGACTTCTGAGGAGATGGAAAGAATTATTGACAAACACCACTTACGTCAGTACTCAGGAGTTTACGATATGAAACGACTTACAAACTACATTCTGTCAAAACTTTCAAAATACCCCTTCAAAAAATACCCATCAAACACTCTGCTCGTTTGCGACGACTTCGCTGGTAAAGGTTTAGTGTCAAAACCAGACTCACCATTAGCTAACATCATTACTAAAGTCAGACATTACCACTTAACTGTAGCAATACTTATGCAAACATGGAGGTTTTTAGCTTTAAACATAAAACGTCTCATAACTGACTTCGTTATCTTTCAAGGTTTCTCACGTTATGATATTGAACTCATTTGGAAACAGTCAGGTATAACATTACCTTTTGAAGAAATTTGGGAAGCATATAAGTCTCTCATCTCTCCTCGTTCATACCTTGAGATTCATATCATGACTAATACCATTAAAGTCAAAAATATTCCATGGGAACGACCAACATTGTTTTAAAGTTTAACCTTCAATTGACTGATGGTAAACAAATTCCATGCATCTCTGTCGCCATTTCTGTTAATATTTTTGCTGTCATTCATATCATCCACTTCCCCATCCGTTAGCTTTTGAGGATATGCGTTAGAATAGCTGTTCTTAAATGAAGGCTTTTCACCTTTGAGAGCATAAACTCTATAACTTTCTGCATACTTTATGTTTGAACCTCCTGAGCCATCGTTGACATAAATTTTTATAGGCTTCCACCCTTTGTTCATGTTCCTGCTTCTTCCCTTAGCTCTTTTGTTCAGTAGTTCTACATCTTTATACACAGCTCCTGTCTCAGTGAATTCAACAATATTTTCATTCGTTAGCTTTACATTCAAACCTTGTCGAGTATATTGTTCATTTCATACATATAAAAGGTTTTATTCTATATGAAATGAGAAGCAAATCCATCTTAGCTGGTGCCGTTAATGTTCCAATTGAACCAACATCAAATGTTGACTCACGAACGACAAACAATATTGTCATAAAAACTATAGTTCAGAGTGTTTGAAAGAACCAGAACCAGAGCTTGAAATCCGTGAATTTAAACTCAGCTTCAAACGCTAACGCTACATCAGATGTTAAGTTAGAGTATCCACCACTGGACCAAATTCTTTCAAGAGAAGCCAACGACAATCCTTACACAAATGTTCAAACAAATCCTTCAGATAACGTAGACCATTACCTTCTTCAGTTATACCAAACAATTTTACTCAAAGACGATAAGAAGCTTTTTGACAAATCTTATAAGTAAGAACCAAATAATTCTAACAAAGGAGGACCTTGAAAATGTTATATCACGAATAACAGGAAACAATGTGTCATTGACTATCTCGACCCTGAAATCGAATGCTGTGGTCAAACTCCACTATTCATGAAAATAGGTAACATCCGCATCATTGAAACACCAGGAACTACAGGAGTTGAGTTTAGTAGTATAAATATTCGAACGAGTATACAAAACTATCTACTGACTATAAGCTTTGTTTGAAATATGTTTTAGTAAATTAAAGCAGTCAGGACCTTCGGTCTTGGCGCTTTGCGCCGTCAGTCAAAAAATTTCAAGTTAGCAATTTGTAATATCTATCCAAAACTTCTTCAACAGTATCGAACTCATCTTCATAATGCAAACCTAATCTTATTGACTTGGTGCAGTTTTCACTAACACAATATTTTTCTGTTCTCTTGACTGACATAACTAACTCATTTGTTTCATCAAACAGCAACAACCAAAGTTCATGACCTAATACATAACATTCATACTTTATATTTTTAGCTCTGAGTTCTCTTGTAAGCTGTTGCATTTAATATTTTCTAAAAAGTCAACTTCAACAGTCATTCGCACTGGTGCCTTCAGTTCTACAGGCTCTCCTTGAAAGTCAACAAGTCTGAATTGCATGTCTTTCAAATTATGAGGACTAATGCGAACCCATTTACCTAAATGAGTTGCTATGACAGGAACGTTTGGAATGAACACTGAATTGACTGCATAACAGAAGGATTTATATTCTACTGAACCTTTACTATTAACTCCTGAAATACCTGTGACATTAGCTATTTTTAGACTCAATGTATAAACACATTACCATAACATACGTATGGAACAGATTTCATCTCAATCGTTTTGTCAACACTTTTCAAAGGAAATGTCATATGGTATGCAACCAAAAGAAGTTGTACTCTATGACTCATTTTGTATCTTAAACTCTTTCGCGCTGCTGAACTTCAATGTTCCCTCAGAAGAGAGTTCGACATCTATGTTGTCAATAGTTTCTTCATTTATGAGAGTATCTATGACTCCAGCAATTTTATCTATTCTATACCCAGCTCTGTTAGGAAATGTTATAACACTTCTTTTGTCATCTATTTCAATCTCTATGAAATCTGTTTCATCTGTTATGACAAAAGTTGCGATAGTATTGAAGTCAACAACTCTGAAAGCAAGCGCTTCATTCTGAAGACCTAAGTTTGTTTGTAGCTTTACTGTCCCGTATTCGTTTGGGTCTGTACTTTGCAAATAGAACAACATTTTATTCTCATTAAAATATGACTATTGCTGCATATGCGTATGAAACAAATGAAGCAAGAAGAGCACATGAACTAGTAAACGAAAACTCAACTTTAACCATTGAAGGCAATGATTTAGTCATTGACGATGGAAAGACTAAAAAAGTCATTGATTTCGATACTTTTAACACTTATGACCCATCCATTACAATAAGTAAAGTTCCTATTATAAATGATGGAACGGTGCAATATATAAATTCTACAGTAGATGCCTCATTAGTGAAAGTATTAAATGTTCTCATTGAATTGTTAAAGAGCTTTCGATTTGACGGCAACATTAAATGCCTAAAGAATTTAGTCATGAATGAGAAACAAATTCTTGGCGTTGCTGGTAGCAGTAATGATGTACACCTTATGACATTAGAATATTATAACGAACATAAAGATGAACTGAAAGGAGAGAAGGGTGACACCGGACCTCAAGGACCACAAGGAATACAAGGAATACAAGGAATACAAGGACCTCAAGATGAAAAACGGTTTGGATGTGAAGATGGAAAGGATGGAAAAACTGCTAAATCATGGATATGGAACCTTATAAATACTGGTTTAACAGCTGCTTCATATGGAGTTCTTCAATACCAAATCGGAAAGATATGGGCAGTACTTGGTGAAGAAGTTTTAGATGACGTTAAAAATGCTTTGAACTTCATTTCAAATGGTTCGGATACTATTAAAACTTTATCTGGTTGGATGCAAGAAACAAGGAGTCAAATAGATACTGTAAGATGTATAGCAAACAATGCACGTACGGGATTGGATACTTTACGAGAAGCACAAAATACACTAAAGGAAGCAAATGATATTCTTGGCTCAGTATCAGACATGCATGAAGATTGGCTTAAAGGTATTGGCAAATCTTTAAAAAATCACAGTCAGTCTATTGCTGACTACAAGAAAAGTATAGATTTTTTACATAGTGCTATGGACGTACATGATGGAAGCATAAGGAACTTACTTAATGCTAACAATAACTTACCAGGAACTATTAAAGCATTTATAAAGTCCTTTGTAAAACCCGGTGCTCTAACATTTAGAGAGCAAGAGCATTGAAGTCAAGAGATGCAGAAACTCCAACAGAACCTACAGAAGGAACTGAAACAACAGAAACTCCAGAAGAACCACCAAAACCAACAGCTAATGAAATATTGTTCGAATATTTTCCAAGGTACTCTGTTCTCATTGCATACATTCAAGAAATACTTAAGAAAGCAGACTTGACTTTAGGAGATGATGAAAGTTCTGTATATCTTTCGTTCCAGTTTCAACTAGCAGAACTTTTGAGACAGATATGCTTAATGTATGACAACATCTCTGATTTCACAAGATATGATGACGACCATGACCCCGAACACGGTGAAGAAGAAGTTTTACAAACATCCATTAAGACAGGAAAGGTTTTAACTCAAAGTCTCATTATTGACACCAAAGATGGCGAAGTGGACGTTCTTCAAGAGCTGAAGAAAAATACTTCTTCGGGAGGTGGTGGTAGGCATGAACTTGAAATAAATGAGATAGAAGAGAAATTAGCCGAAAAAGCAGATAAAAACCATGTTCATTATATAAGTTCAGACGAACAGATTATAACGGACTACCATGGATATTTAACACAGGATGAACAAATAAGCACTGAAGATGTTAATGAAAGAAGATATAAATTCATTCGTGCTAAAGGTTATGACATACACTGTACTGTACAGTATGACACAGGTAAAGCACCAGAAGCATTTGGTTATAACGATGAAATTTATGCTTCATACTTCTTTGTTAACGGTGTATTAGTTGAACCAAGATTTACTTTGAGAGTTAAGTCAAAAATAACGTTTGAAGATGCTATTAAAAGTAAAGCTGACAAAGATGAACTTGACGCAATGAACAAAGTTTTGAAATCTCATAAACACAACATCTCCGATATAAATGAACTTCAAGCTACATTAAATAGTAAAGCTGACAAGAACCATACACATAAATCCTTCACTACTGTTAGAGCAGACGACATAATATTGAACTATGATTTGGGTTCAAGTGCACCTTTAGAGAATCCGAGTACAAGCGTAAAAGATACACTAAACTCCTTAAATAGTAAGTGTATGAACATTGAAGGTCATGTCAGAAACTTTGAAACACATGAACTACCAGCAATGTTAGATAAAAAAGCAGATAAAGAACATACACATAACTCCTTCTCAACTGTTGCTATAGAAAGTATTGAAGGAACGGTTGGCGGAACTGGGGATGCATTATATTATAAACCTCCTAACTTTCCACAAGGTTTAACATCGAATGAAAACATAACAACGAAGAAAGACATTAGCTGTAAAAATGTTTATGTCATGGATGATGAAAATAATGTTAAATTCACTGCTCAAGATTTATATGATAAGAAAGCAGACAAAACAGAGCTTCAAACATTAAAGACTGAAATACTTCAAACATTATATCCTGTTGGTTCTATTTATACGTCAATGAACTCAACAAATCCAGCAAGTGTTTTAGGTTTTGGTACGTGGAAGCAGATTGTAGATAAATTCTTATACTGTGCTAACTCTTCAAAGCAAACAGGAGGTTCGAAGAAAATTACTGAAGCAAACCTTCCACCGCACACTCATACAGGAACTACAAACTTTTCTGGCGACCATAGCCACTCATTAAGAGACCACCCATTATACAACTCAGAGTATGAAGCCGGTCATGATGTTTTATCTCCATCTTATAACAATTCAGCAAAAAAGACTTTTCGACAAACTGAACCGGGAGGAAATCATGTCCACACTTTCACAACAAATCCAACAGGCTCGGTGCAGATTATATGCCACCATTTGTGACTGTATTCGCATGGTACCGCGTTCAATGAACGCGCTTGAGCCTAGAATAAAATCTTTAACTTTACATAAATGAGCTTGAAAGAAGTATTCGAACAACATCCATGGAGGTCATTTAAGAAGTTCAATGAAGCTGCAAAGAGTTGGGGATTTACTAACAGAGCTGAAGTGAAAAGGTTCTTTGACAAAAATGTTGTACATCAAACAAAAATAAACCCTTACGACTACTTTTTACCAATTTACTCCAACACTCCTGACGCATACCATTTTGACACTCTCATTCAAAGCAGAAAAGGAGGACATAAACCATTCCTCATCTTCATTAATGTTAACACTCGTAAAGCATATGCATATCCAATGAGGAATAAAGGAACTCATGAAGTTTTAAGAGTTTTACAAAAGTTTGTAGCAGAACATAGCCCAAGTACTTTAACATCAGACCAAGACAGTGCATACCTCAGCAATGAAATCACAGATTTTCTCATTAAGCATAACATAACTCACTACACTACTGAAGACCATAACCATAACATACTCGGCATCATAAACCGCTTCATAAGAACGCTCAGAGATTTAAACCAAGAGCGAGACTTTACCGAAGAAACAATGAAACATTTTCTCGAAGTATATAATTCCTCAACACATTCTACAACAGGACATACACCAAATTCAATGATACAACAACAAGAAGAAAAGTATATACAAAAGAAACGAAGCCAAACACAAAATATCAGAAATTCAACACAATTTACCCTCATTCCTGGTACAAAAGTTCGTGTAGTTCTTGACGACAAGCCGTTGACAAAGAAACGTTTAAGGTTAAGTAGAAACTATTATATCGTAGACTCTACGCAAGGTAATGGATATCTTATAAAAGCTGCTGACGACTCTATTGCGTTTTACCCTCGACATAAATTAGTTGAAAGTAGTAATGGCAAACTTGCTGAAACCATTGACGAAGCAAAGCGAGGAGTGGTTATTGAAATACTTGGCTATAACATAAACGATGACACTTATAAAGTAAGATATGAAGGAGGCGTTGAAGATGTTATACCATCTAAGAACTTGAGAGAGTCAAAGTCAACACATCTGGGACCATTAGAGCGGGAGTACTGGAAAGACAAAAATAAGCCAGAAAGAATAAGAAAATTCTTCTAAACTTTTTCATTAGATGTAAATCAGACATGAATAATGTTTAGGGTAGATGGTTAGATCTAACCTCATTTCTACCCTCACGAATTTTCATGAATTCCTTAAGATAGAAAAAATAACACTAATTTTTTCTAACAAATTTTTTTATTTTGTATGTAAGAACAGAAATGTCAGTCGAAGCAAAAACATTCACGAACAAATCTAATGGCGAAACATTCACAAAAGGCACTTATAACGGTATTGAAGTCTTACGTAGAGACAAGGATGGTTACATTAATGCAACAAAGATGGCAAGAGAAGCGGGAAGGTTAAACCATTTAAACAGATTTCTCAATAGTACTAAAATGCAGGAAATTCTTGAGTTTTGGATGAACGAATACGGTCAAGCCAAAAGTGGCTCGACCTCAAAACAAGCATTTTATGAGCTTACTAAGGGCGTTATAAATGAATTCAAAGGTATTTACATACATCCTGACCTCGTTCATTTTGTTGCTGAATGGTGCTCTGTAAAGTATGCATTTTATGTCAAAGATATTATGGACTCCATAGACAAGAAAGTTCATGAGAAATTAGATGACGAAGAACTTGAAGATACAGTAGAGAATGCAAAACATTTGTTTGAAGAAGAAGTTAGGAAAATGCATGAAAAACAATTAGAACATGAACGTGAGATGTGTTATGGTTATAGAGATTCTCCATACTAACTAGACCAATGGGAACAAGAAGATTTAAAGAGAGAATTTAGAGAATATGAACTCGCTAAGATAGCATTAGAAGCTGCAGAAAAGAAGTTAAAAGTTTGGGGTCGTTTTGTACAAAAATATTGTGAGTAAATGAACCATTTATTTTGTCATAAACGACTAAAAATAATGTTTAGGGTAGAAGGTTAGATCTAACCTCATTTCTACCCTAGCCGCTTTGCGGCTCTGACCTTTGGGTCTCATGAATTTTCATGAATTTCCTTAAGATAGAAAAATAACGCTAATTTTTTTCTAAGAAAAATTTTTATTTTGTATAAAAGATATGATTTCAACAATCGGCACAACAACAATTCAAACAACTTCACCAAACTCGCTAGTCATGAATCCAACATCTATGTTAGTAGAGATGAAAAGCTTCATTCCTTCTTCATATAGTTTTGTAACAGAAATACAAAGAATAAAAGCAAGAACTTTTAACAAGTAATTTAGACTGTACCGCACAGGATGAAGAAAATGAACAGTATCTTTTATGAAATGCAGGACATTATTGACCATTTACCCAAATTGCCTGAAATTCAGCAGCAAAAACTAACTATTCCTGAATTCGATGAAATTGAAGTGAAATCAACTGACTCAGTAGAAATAAAGAAGTTCATACGTAAAGTAAACTATGAGTTTCTAGGATATCATTGCAACCATAAAGTTATGGACAAAGATTGCGACATGGTATATAAGAACATCTCTGACATATATAAATCGGGGGAGTTTAAGACATACGACAACTTTGTTTCATTAGCTGCAAAATGTGTATGGCAGATAAGAGATAAAGATAGAAGAGGTAAGGTATGGAATGAACAGATAAAACCAACTGCTTCAGATTTAAAGAAAACCATTGACGCCTTGGTTGTTTTAGCAGGTAAGGTTTCAGAATATAACGCAAAAATGAACCCGCAATGTTCTAAATGTAAGGCAGCAATAAGGAAATATAACTATTCAGTAAAAGAGATAGAAAGAATGCGAAACGACTATGCAGACTTAAAGAAAGAAGCAGAGAAGCCGGTAGAAGATAAAATGAACATGTTAGAATTTCTGAACAAAAACTATCCAACTGCTGACGATTTCCTTCTATCTGATGTCAAGAAGAAGTATAAAGAAACTTTCGGTATCGTTAAAACATTCGATGTACTAAAAGAAGAAATAGAAGCTACAAAACTGTTTAGAATCTCACGAATTCATAACGTTTACCATGTAAAACGGTTATAAATAATGAGGGTAGAAATGAGGGTAGAAATGAGGTTAGATCTAACCTTCTACCCTAAACATTATTTTTGCTGAAAAATGACCAAATTTCATGAATTTCATTAGTTAGAAAAATAACGCTAATTTTTTTCTAAGAAAATTTTTTATCTTGTATGTAAAGACAGTAATGTCAAACATTGAGTTTGAAACAGTTAGAAAGATAGACAATGACACCAAAGTGGTTAGAATTGGTGATTTAAACGTAAGATACTGTAAGAAATACAACAAATATTCTTTGTCAGACATTATAACACCATCTGGAAAGAAAACAAAGGACTGGGTTAGAATTGCTTCTACTCAGAAAATTTTGACAAGAAATCCTGAGCTTATGATATCGGTAAGATTCTATGGAACTACAGCATATCTCATTGACAAAAGTCTTATACCAATAATTCTTCTATGGATTGACCCAGTTGTTGGATATAACTTCATAACTTATGGTTCATTCGATACGGAACGTTGCAGTGAAGGCTTACTTTACATCGTTCAGAAATCGAAGGACTTCAATACAAAGAGATATAAGATAGGAAGAACATATAATATAACTCAAAGATATGACTCTACAGTCAATAGAGTCAAGGTTGTGTTCGTTAATGATATGAGAGCTGCAGAAACAGAACTACTTGAAAAGTTTGAGAAAATGTATGGTGCTCCCATGAAAGGTAAAGAAACGTTTGAAGTAGATGAGATAGATAAAGCTATAAAATTATTTGACGAAGTTGCTGAAAAATACATGTAAAGCGTTTATTTTTGGTCTTTTGTGAAAGTCAGAAAATAACACTAATTTTTTTCTAACAAATTTTTTATCCTGTATATAAGAAACAGCAATGACAACAACAGAGAACACAACAACAGTTATAGTCCATGAAGCTATAAATGAAGAATACGAATACATACAGTTTAACAAACAATTGAGACTCATTCGTTCAGTCAAAGACGATATGTACCAAATGCAAAGTATAATGAACGCTCTTCGTTCTACAAAGCAAGCATATCATTGGTTTGAAAACCAACAGACAAAAGAACTTTTAGAAGAATTTCCTCATATGATTGCTTCCCTCGGAAAACCGGGGGAAGAGATTCCGTACGAAAATCGCAAGAATTTGGCTCCTGGTTTGAAAGGTTATTATGTTCATAGACTTTTAGTAAATGCTGTAGCAATGTGGGCTTGGCCCCGTTATGCTTGTTATATTTTCATGATGTTAGATGAACTATATAAAGCAGAACGTGGAGAGATGGAAAAGAAACTTCAAGCAAAAGATGAAGTCATTGAATCCAAAGACAAAAGCATACAGAAAAGAATACCGCGTTCAGTACCAAAAGGAAAGGAAAAGAGTTATAAGTATATGATATATACTGAAGAGTTGGAAAATGAAGAAGATAAAGATATGGTTATGTTACATTTAGTCAGAAGAAACAACAAGAGCTTTTATGACTTAGCTAAGATATATAAATCTGACAGAAACTGGTTCTATCGTGAAAACTTACCGATTTCAATGACTCCGAATGAGCAAATAAAGGAAATTGTCAAAAATACTCTTCCTCAAACACACTATGACATCAAAGGTTGCACAATACTTACATTCAAAGAAGACTTAACATTACTGAAGGAAAAAATAACAGAATATTTCGATAACTTCAAAGAGGAAGAATGAAGTCATGACAACATTAACGATGAAGTCACGACAACATTAACGAAGAAGTCACGACAACATTAACGATGAAGTCACGACAACATTAACGAAGAAGTCACGACAACATTAACGAAGAGAGAATGAGGTGAAAAAAGAGGTGAAAAAACGGGTGAGATCTCACCTCTTCACCAAAAATATATTTTTGCTTAAATAGCTTCAGGGTCTATTTCTTCAACCATTTCACTTCCTTCGTCAATGTCAATAGAAGCTTCTTCAACCTTTGGTAAGAATTTCTGTATAACATCTTTGTTCGTTATTGTCTTCAGAGATGAAGGATAATATTTCACATTTGTTTCACCCTTCTTATATTCTTTCTGTTCGGAAAGATTTAAAGCAATATGAAGAAGTCAATGTTAGAGTTCTTTATAACAGTATAATGAGTATCTTTGACATTCACGAAGAAACTCTTTTGTTTCAAAACTACTGCTAACTCTTGTGAAGTATAACGTTTGCGGTCAATGACGATAGCTAATGGTCTGACATACTGACCAAACTTAGATTCTTTCACAAACTTCTTGTTAAAGATAACATTAACATTTGAAGCATTATTGAACTCATTCTTGATGGCAGTAGCGAGAGCATTGTATGAAAAGAACTTGCAATCTTGCATGTGTTTCATTAAAATAAAAAATATTAAATTATTTTGAAAAATAACTTTAAAAAATCTAATCTAATTTTTTCAAAAAATATTTTTTTTATTTCCTACTAAAGATGTATCGGAAGTTGTCTAAGTTAGAACACTCGGAAATAAAACAACTTCTAACAGAAGCTAACATAGAAGTAGCAAAACATTACGCAACAAACAAAAAAGCACTCGCTGACATCCTCAATGACTACAATGGTGCTATAAGTTATGATAGAATTCATGAGTTCATAAAGCCGCAACGCGGCGAGGACGAAGTCCATGCAAGAGCATTTCCTTTAAATGACGTTGCTATTGACTTATATCATAGACGTTCAGTACCTCATGAAGTAAGAAGAGAAATGTTTGACATAACAAATGCAAACGTTGGTCATACTCGTAAAGCTCTTTCACATGATGTTCGTCAAGAGATGTTTGAACTTACGAACTCAAACGTTGGTGAAACAAGAAGAGCTGTACCTCATGAAGTAAGAAGAGAAATGTATGACATAACAAATGCAAACGTTGGTGAAACACGAAAGAGAGATGACACACTGAAACAACAGAGAAGAGAGATGTTTAAGAGCGCTATAGAACAAGTTCGCAAAGCTAACGATGTCATTCGTTCCATTGACGACAAACCAAAAGAAGGTGAGAGATGGTTAAAGAAAGATGAAGAGAATAGGAAGAGAAATGTGAAGTCAGGCAGTAGACTCATTGACTTTAACATTGAAGCTTTAGATGAACCAAACAGAGACTACTTACACAAACATTTCGGTAAGGTTTTCATGAGACTCTTAGAGAAGATTAAAATAAACTCACAACAAAGATGGATGGTATGTTATAAACTTGGTGGAAAGTATGAATGTTCTACGTTAAACCTCAATAATATTGGAACATTACTACATCAGCTCTTGAAGGAGAACTTTATATCAGAGATAGAAGCAAACGCTGCAGGTATTGTTGAAATGCACTATGACTTCTTCTTGACAAACATAAAGAATCTTACTGAAATAAAGATGTATGATTTAACAGAATATGAAGGCTTAACGATGTCAGATGTTAAGAAAGGAAAGCCACAGAAGCGACCATATAGAGATGAAAGCACACTGACAAATGACCAGAAAGCCATTTTGGAAGCTCTTAAGCAAGCAGGAAACCCAGCACTTATAGAAAGCTTTTGGAAAGATAATGGTGAAAAGAAGTTTTATAAGAAGAGAAGCGGTCAGTTCTGGAAGTATCTTTGCACATTACCTATAAATCTTGAACGCTACCAAATCTTCAATGAACTGAACAAAAGAACTGCAGCACTTATGACAGAAGACAATTGTTTCGTTTATGCTTGCATTCAGGCTGGAGTAGATGGAGAGACTATTGACCACATGAGAGAAGTCATTCGTGTTAGAGACTTTCCTCAAAGTAAAGTACAAGAAATTTCTGATGCAACAGGTATAGCATTTAATGTTACCATTGGTTATTTCGACAACTCCAAAGATAACAGAATAATTCACTACATACCAAAAGAATGTGAAACTGCTCGAACTATTGACTTACTTCTTGTTGAAGACCACTACATGCTAAATGAAAGATTACCAATGACAACATATTTCATTCGCAACTATATAGAAATCTTGAAGGAGTGTGGTGGAATGAACATTGAGAAACAAATGAAGATTTATACAAAGAGAGAAGATAAATATGTAGTTCGTTATGATAGAACAACACCGTTATGGGATGTTATGAAAACATTGTGGGAGTGCAAATATTTCGAACCTATTTCTTATGGAGACCTTTTCACATATACGACTGACTTATATAAACAGAACCTTGCACCATTTAAAGACTTGTCATATTCTCCTAAGTATTGTGTTCGACTGAAGGAGAAAGCAGAGTCAAAAGAAGTAAATAAAGCTAAGTGTAAGTTCATACCTGAGCACGTTTTCTTTGCTGACTTTGAGTGTAGCACAGACGGCTTTCATAAAGCCTTTAACATCTGTTACGACAGTGAAGATGGTTCAGTGAGTGAAAGCATTTGGGGTCAGAACTGTGCAACAGAATTTTTGGAACGACTTCCTGACAAGAGTTTAATATATTTCCATAACCTCAGTTATGATATAAACTTCATCTTAAGACACATGACAGAAGTGAAAGGAACTCCCATCATTAAAGGTTCACGAACAATGCAAATAACTGGCTTATATAAAGGAAGGGCAATTATTATAAAAGACTCTTACAGTGTTATAAATAAGAAGCTTAAACTATTTCCTGATATGTTTAACTTACAAACAGGACCGAAAGAAGTATTTCCATACAACTACTACAGCAGTACTTTGCTCATGAATGACAACAGAACTGGTGTCATTAGTGAAGCATGTAAGTTTATCCGGGATGCGGATACATTCATGAAGAACATAGATTCCATCAAAGGTTGCAGAATAGATGAGAACCACTTCGACTTAGAAAAGTATAGCACATTTTATTGCAAACAAGATGTAAGAATTTTAAGAGAAGGTTTTGTTAAGTTCCGCAATGACATATTGAAAGAATTTGATTTAAACGTTTATGACTACGTTAGTATTTGTTCAATTGCTAACAAATTATTTGAGAACAGAATGTACTTCCCGAATGGAAATTTATATGACCTCTCAAATAAACCAAGAGAATTTATTTCACGCTGTATTCAAGGTGGAAGATGTATGCTGTCAGATAACATTAAACAAAAGAGCGAAAAGAAACTCATTGCTGACTTCGACGCTGTTTCATTATATCCATCAGCTATAGCAAGACTTTATACTTTAGAAGGTATTCCAAAGGTTATGAAGAAAGAAATGTTAAGCACAGAGTATCTCATGAGACATTTATTCGATGACGACCAAAAGGAACCCAGTGGTGAAAAGTTTATGTCTGGCTTCTTTGTTCTCATTAAGATAACAGAGATTGGAATACATAGACACTTTCCTTTAATAGTTTGTGACCCTGAACTAAATCCAGAACTTAACGTTCCCAGAAGTTCAAACACTTGCTGTTTAATGTATGTTGACCATATAACATTACAAGACCTCATAAAATATCAAGGTGTCAAATGTGAAGTGTTGCAAGGATACTATTACGATGGAAACAGAGATATTAGAATAAGAGATGAAGTAAAGGAGTTGTTTGAGTTAAGGTTAAAGTATAAGAAAGAAGGAAATTCTTTGCAAGAAAATATAAAGCTCATTCTGAACAGTATTTATGGCAAAACTATTCTATCTCCTATTGAGTCAAAAATAACCATAGTAAATGACAAAGATGCTATAAGATATGCCATCAGAAACTACAACCATATAGTGAAGTTCGAAGGTTTGGATGGTTCAGATAAAACTATTTTCAAGCTAACGAAAAGCATTTGCAGACACTTTAACTTCTGTCCACTTGGTGTTAACATTCTGTCTATGTCGAAGAGAATAATGAATGAAGTATTCTGTACTGCTGAAGATATGGGACTTCAAATATTTTACCAGGACTGCGATAGCATGCATATTTTCAATGAAGACATACCAAAGCTTGCAGCAGAGTTTAAGAAGAGATACGGTCGCGAACTTATAGGAAAGAACCTTGGTCAATTTCATTCTGACTTCGCAGAAATAACACCTGGAAAACAAAGTTTAGCATACAAGTCAATATTTTGTGGAAAGAAGACCTATATAGACTTACTCACTAACGATTTAAATGAAGTTGCATTCCATGCACGTTGCAAAGGTGTCAAACAAGACGTCCTTGCTTTAACCGCTAATGAAATGTTTCCTGAAGCTATACAATGCTATTACAATGAAGATAAGAACATTCACATACCTGTTGGAACATATGACAAAGACTCTGAGTTCAGTTTAATGAAACTTTACAAAGCACTTCATGATGGTCAAGAGATTGGATTTGACTTATGTAAGTCTTCTAGTCCTTGCTTTGCTGAAAAGTTTAACTTCTCAATAACGACTAAAACAAGCTTTATTCGTAAGTTGAAGTTCTGAGGTCATTTATTTTTGTCAGCAATGAGGTCATGAATGAGGTCATTTATTTTTGTCAGCAATGAGGTCATGAATGAGGTCATTTATTTTTGTCAGCAATGAGGTCATGAATGAGGTCATTCGTGATAAAAATAAAACTAGCGTAGATTTTACAATACTGCGATGGTAGAGTTTAAGAGTTGTGCTTCAATGTAGAGACAGTCCTTATGGTCTGGAGGTAGCAAAACAGGTGCTTTATGGTCATGAGTGGAGAACATGTCTATCCAAAACTCACGATTGAAGCCAGTTAATTTATAGTATTTAGGGTTAGGAAGTGGTGAAGTTCTTGTATGACCAATGAACTCATTTTCAACTCCCTTACTTAAGTTTGAATATAATATAGCTTGCTTTCTATCCCAAATACCTGGAAATCTAATTTCGGAAAAATCATTTTTCCTCGGAAGCATTGCATCATAATTGAAAACATTCTTGAAATCATCACTTGGTTCAGAGATTTGAAATCTTATACGTAATGGATTTTCTTTCTTTTTAGCGACTTCATTGAATGGTGAGAATACAATGAATTGACAGTCATGAGTTCCATCAGCATTTGCTACAAACTCGTAATGAAAAGCTATTAATCTTTCTACAATTCCTTCTTCTTTCAGTTCTGCAAGAAAATCACGTAAAGGCTGTAAAGTTTGTACTTCAATGCTAAACTTCTTTTGAAAATTTTCGTAAAATGTAATTATACAGTCTTCTAACGTTGTATCGTCTTTAAAGTATTTGTATATGTGAATGTTTTGGGCGCTTAAAGACTGTTCGTCATTTTCTATCTCGACTTGAAGTATAAAGTCAACCTTTCTGAAAGCACGTGTTATATACATAGATGTTATGCCAATGTACTTCTCTTCATTTATGTTCACAATCCAGTCTGTTGAAAACTTAAACGTTACTCTGTTCCCCTTTATTTTGACGTCAGGGTTTTCACTACTGAACGCAACAGATAAAGGTATTTGTCTATACATTTAATTCGGATAAAAATAAACCATTTACTCTTTCTTTGCTTCAGCTTCTTTAGCTTTTGCTTCAGTTTCTTCTCTAGCTTTTGCTTCAGCTTCTTCTCTAGCTTTTGCTTCAGCTTCTTCTCTAGCTTTTGCTTCAGCTTCTTCTCTAGCTTTTTTCGCCAGTAGTCTTGGGTTCTTTTGCCTTCCAGCAGCTAATGCAGCAAGTTGTTTTTCACTAAGTTTTCTCTTTGGTCTCTCTGGCTTTTGTTCTTGTTTTTGTTCCTTCAGTTCGGATAAAATTTGCTCACGAATTTCTTTCTTCAATGCTTCAACATCTATGACCTCTTGGGTCTTGTCCGTGGGGCTTGTCTGAGTCATTTGACTGCGGATAAAAATCTAACTTAAAACTTTAACCGATGTAAAATGAGCTTGTCAAAATCAGAACGAGAGTCTATTATATTAAATGGCGCAAGAGGAATACAACATCCTTTCTATTACGTAAGTCAGAGTAAAGATGGTAAAATATACGTAAGAAAAAGAAAGGTTCCATTAGCGAATGCAGAAAGCGACAACATTAAGGTGCATGGCAAGGGTGAAGTCCACAAAGCCCATATAAAACCTTCTGTTCAAACCGAGCCACCAATAGAACCAGAAGAAAAGAAGCCAGATGTACTTTCAATAACAAACCAAGAGCTTATTGCAAAGTTCGTGAATTTCATTGAAAAACAAACCGAGTCAAAGAACCCTGACCCACCAGTGAAAGAAGTTGAGACAAAAGAGAATGTACAGTTCATTGAAAATGTCAAGAAACAACTTCCACCACGAATGCCAAGAAGAAGAGTGAGAATAATGAAGTAAATAGATATTTTTATCTGAAGTAAATACATGCAGAACGAACAGCTAAACGAATTTACTCCAGCAGAGCATATTCATCAGATTCGCTCATATTTCGATATCATAGACAATGCAGTTCAAATTGGTGACACTAATAGAAAATATTCTGATGCAAAGATTCCATCACAACCTGGAACTGCTAAAGATAACACATGGGTAACATTCAATCTCTCACCTCCTGGTGAAAATATGTTGAACCTTTACAATACATTCATTACGTATAAAATGGAAGGTCAATTTATTGTAGATAAAGAAATTGGTTCAGGTTCCGATAAAACAAACCCACCAGGATTTTGGATTGGTTTCGATGACGCTTTCTATGCAGTTGCTGGATATCAAATCCTTGCAAATGGTCGTATCGTATATTCTCAAGACAACGCAAGAGAAGAAGCATATATAACTTCAAACTCACAAACTACCGAACAAATAAAGAAAGTAGATGTTTTCTCAAAGACTTGACATGAAGATGTATGGAGTCATTCGGGAACATGCAGAACAGGACAAATTGTTAGTGGTCCAATTACAGCAGGAAAATCATTTGATTTTAAGCTTCGTTTAAGAATTCCTGTTAGAAGATTCCTTCCATTAGAAGCTATTCGATTTATTCCAGCTTTTGCAGGAAACATTCAGCTTAAAGTAAAGTTCAGTAGCGACGCCTTACAATGCACATCTATATCTGTAAATGATATCATTGCTTTCAATCCAACTCTTAAAGTTGCATTTGCTTCAGATTCAAATCCACCGACAAATAAATTTGTTCCATGGAATGAACCATTCACTATGATAACGAAGGCAGTAGAAGCTAGTGGAACAGTTACTATTACAACTGTAACCCAGCAACTATTTCGAACAAAGATGGATTTTAATGAATGTTTCATTCATCCAAAGTCATTCTCTTTAGACCCTAACATTTATACAGAACTTGTAGAACATTATACAAACGAGGCTTTATGTTTTCCTGTTAAAGTTATGGATTGGATTCCTATGGACGGTTCATTCTCAAAGAATACAGATAGTTCAAGTGCAACATTTACAGCAGCTTATACGCCTATTAATGTTAAAAGTATTTGGGCACTATTTAGAAAGAAAGACAACTATTATGTTAATTTTGAGAACCCTAAGTTTAAATATCTTCAGCTTTCCATGGGAGCTTATGGAAATATGCCTGCAGAACCTGAAAAATCATATGGACCTGTATTTTATGAAATGGTTGCGAACGCCTGCAATACAAACAATGATATGATAGGATTTAATGAAGATGTTATGAGGTCATTGGTGGATGATGGTAGTGTGGAACATAAATGGGATAGCTATGACAACACACATTTCTTATGTGGTTTTCCAACAGAAGTGGACTTTTGCTTCCAGCAAGGTCAAACATCTACTGCTCCAATAACATACAAATTGTCTGTTAAAGGACCTATTGAACTAGCAACTGAAAATGTACCAAAGCCACTTATTGGATTTATGAGGGATTGTTGCTTTGCCATTCAGGTGCGTGCTAATGGAATCCCCATAATAAGATTAGATGACTATAACTTAACTACGGACGACAGTGAGGAATAAAGGATGAACGTTTATTTTTAAAGCTTATAAATGAGTTCTTCATCAAGCTCTCGTGAACCTTCACCATCTATGAAACAAACTTTACCAAACGATTATGGAGCACCTATTTAATATTTCTTACGAGCTGCACAATGGCAAAGAGCAGTCTCACCAAGGTTAGGTGTTCCACCAGCTCCTGTCAAAAATAGCATTTGGTCAAGTCCTTATATAAGATATGGTCTCCCACTAGGCTTGCTAGCTACAGCAGTAGCAGTTATGATGTTGAAAAGAAATAAAGCAAATGTTGTAAATAATACTGAAGTAGCTGAAGTTAAACAAACTCCAACACCTTCGCCAAAACCAACGCCTTCACAAGCAAAACCTTCA